ATTATTATTTTTTAATTTTTGTGCCCACAAGACATCTTTGCGGGACGGAGGGATTATTAATTATGTGAAATGGACTTAAATCCAATTCACTGGATTTTTAAAATTAAATAATTTATTCAAGAGTTTCTGACTAACATTATTGACAAATGATGTGTTTTATTGATTTATTTATCAATGTTGTGTGTAACAATGCGTTGTATCGATATATTATTTTAATGATTTTTTAATCAACTTGACCCATTCATCCATAATTACTTCTTCAAAAAATATCTCTTGTCCGCAAACTCAAAAAAGCGCTCGCGCGGAGAAATTTGCACCTCTCTTAATCAACGTATTAACCATATATACACATTTTATATAAATACGTTTGATTTAATAAAAAAATATCTTGTACTATATTTTATGCAAATATTTATATTATAAGACTAGACTCCATATGCTCTTTTTTTTTTTTTTTTTTTTTTTTTAAATACAAAATTTAAAGGAAAATATTATTTCCATATATTTTATAAAAATCATAAAATTAAAATTAGAATTTTTATATAGCTAGTGATGTAATTTTTTTCTATTAAAATAGACTAAGTATAAAAAATACATGCGGTCTATAATAGAAATAGTGTAAATAAATAGACAATAAGTAAAATTGTAAATGACTATTTTTTTTTAATTAAATATTGTTAAGCACAAAAAATAATAATAATAAATAATGGCAGTGGGATTCTGGACGGGTCTGGATATAAGTTAAATGACCCAGAAGTCGGGTGCAATCGGACAGATGCAAGGATCGGGAAGGAAGAAAGGTCGGGCGGAGTCTGAAAAAAGGTGTACCCAAGTCGGGTAAACCGTAGATCGGGTGAAAGACGAAGTCGGGCAGACGCGAAGGTTTGTCAAGAGAAAGGTCGGGCAAGGAAGAGGTACGGACAGATGCGGAGGTCTGTCCAGAAGAGAGTCTGTCCTTCTAAAGAGATAAGGCAAATAGAGCCGGTCGGTTGGTCCGTGATAGGGACCACATTTGGTTGGTCCATGGTCGGACCAATTAAAGTCGGTCAAAGACGGAGGGCGGCTGATGCGGAGGTCGGCCCAAATGATGTCGGGCGAAGAAGCAGGTCGGGCATTGAGGTCAGAACGTGATACGAAGTTCGGACCAAGTGAAGTAGCATGTGTAGGTCGGGTGAGAGAGCAGTTCTGGGGCGGTTAGAGGAAGTTGCAACTGGCGAACGGTTTTTTGAAGGTCGGACGTAGTAGAACGGTTGACACACGTGTCAATAGAAGAGAACTTTTGGGGCGGTTAACAACGGTTATGGTAACTGACCAGACGACGGTTCTGAACGTTTTCTTCAAAGAATATTTAAGGATTTGGATCATCATTTGGCAAGGCATCTTCAATCAACTTCAACAAAGCAAAGTCAGATTTGGGGATCACCACTTTAAATTTCAGTCTTTTATTTTCCAGTTTATTTTCTGTACCATACAGTGTTTAGAGATTCCTAATCTCAGGCACTAATTAATCAAGTTTAAGGATATTTTCTATATCTTTGAATTTTACTTTATTTTTGTTGAAAAATTACATCAACAAATTGGCGACCACAGTGGGAGAAAGGCAAGATTGCTGATCCTACATCAATACAAAATGTCATACAACTGAGGTCTGGCCGAATCATCAGAAAAATCAATATGGCAGGCACACAACCTCAATCATCATCAGCACCGGTGGGAGAGAATGTTTCACCACCAGTCATGCCAAATCCAGGGGAGATTCCCCCACCACCTACCGATTGGTTGTCTTATGTTCAACAAATGAACAACCAGCAAACTTTGGTTATGCAGAACATGTTGCATGAGCAACAAATGAACATGTTGCGTGAACAACAAAATCTAATACAGAACATGGTGGATCAGGCATTCTCCAGATTCACCCTGTATCCAAACATGCTTCCAGCCGTGTCACCTGCTCGTTTTCAGGCGATTTTTCCAAGATCAACGTTTGCAGGGCCAACGTACGTTGACAGTACGTTTCCAAGCGTCACAACTTTCAACCGAACAGATATGGGGAAGATTCCTCTAACTTTCCCAGATAATGTTCCTTTGGGACCGAGGATTGATAATACCCAGCCGAATGCGAGATTAGGAGGACAGACTCATAATCCCATTCCAACCGAACCAGCCTTCTCTAGGGAAGAGAGGTTGGGGGAACAGACTCATAATCCCATTCCAACCGAACCAGCCTTCTCTAGAGAAGAAAGGTTGGAGGGACAGACTCATAATCCCATCCCAGCCGAACCGGCCTTCTCCAGAGAAGAAAGATTGGGAGGTCAGACTCACGATCACATTCCAGTGTTCGACCATATTCCACCCAGAGTAGATCCGGAGGATATTGCTCAAGTTCTGCGGGTGCATTTCGGAATGAATCCGCAAACGGTGAACAGGCCGGTTTACCGGAGGCCATTTCCAGAAAGGATCATTAACGATCATCCTCTCCCGAGAAATTATAGGCCACCAGACTTCTATTCTTTTTCGGGAGAAGACGGAGCCTCTACCATTGAGCATGTGGGTCGCTTCACGGCTCAATTGGGAGAAGTAGGCAACAATCCGTTTCACAAGTTACAATTGTTTGGGTTGTCGCTCACAAGAACATCTTTTTCTTGGTATGCCAGTCTGCCGCCTGGACAGTTGCAAACTTGGGAAGATTTAGAGGCAGATTTTCAAGCAAGGTTCTTTAATCCTCTGCCGACAGTCTCACTGATAGACCTTCTGGAGATCACGCAGATGCCGGAAGAGACCGGCTACCAATTCATAGAGAGGATGCGATTGATGAAGGGACGATGTCCTACGATGATCAATGAAAGCGAAATGACCAATTTGGTGGTCAGGAACATGCATACCAGACTTCGCGAGGCCCTGACAGCCCACGACTTTCAAGATCTGGCCAGTTTAGCATCCACGGCAAGAAGGTTAGAATCCTTTTTTACAGAAAATAATCATGACTTCCGTCAGGGGGGAGATGCTGAAGAGATGGTAGTGCAAGATCGATCAATGTGCAGACCACCACCAGTCCGCAATAAATGGAGGTCGGGTCCAACGTAGCCTCAGAAGATGGAGGTCGGATCTGAGGCTGATGTAGCCTCACCTGCAAACTCCTAAAACATCAAAGTGATGTTTAGGAGTCTTGAGGAGGAGGCTTATTGTTAAGCACAAAAAATAATAATAATAAATAATGGCAGTGGGATTCTGGACGGGTCTGAATATAAGTTAAATGACCCAGAAGTCGGGTGCAATCGGACAGATGCAAGGATCGGGAAGGAAGAAAGGTCGGGCGGAGTCTGAAAAAAGGTGTACCCAAGTCGGGTAAACCGTAGATCGGGTGAAAGACGAAGTCGGGCAGACGCGAAGGTTTGTCAAGAGAAAGGTCGGGCAAGGAAGAGGCACGGACAGATGCGGAGGTCTGTCCAGAAGAGAGTCTGTCCTTCTAAAGAGATAAGGCAAATAGAGCCGGTCGGTTGGTCCGTGATAGGGACCACATTTGGTTGGTCCATGGTCGGACCAATTAAAGTCGGCAAAGACGGAGGGCGGCTGATGCGGAGGTCGGCCCAAATGATGTCGGGCGAAGAAGCAGGTCGGGCATTGAGGTCAGAACGTGATACGAAGTTCGGACCAAGTGAAGTAGCATGTGTAGGTCGGGTGAGAGAGCAGTTCTGGGGCGGTTAGAGGAAGTTGCAACTGACGAACGGTTTTTTGAAGGTCGGACGTAGTAGAACGGTTGACACACGTGTCAATAGAAGAGAACTTTTGGGGCGGTTAACAACGGTTATGGTAACTGACCAGACGACGGTTCTGAACGTTTTCTTCAAAGAATATTTAAGGATTTGGATCATCATTTGGCAAGGCATCTTCAATCAACTTCAACAAAGCAAAGTCAGATTTGGGGGATCACCACTTTAAATTTCAGTCTTTTATTTTCCAGTTTATTTTCTGTACCATACAGTGTTTAGAGATTCCTAATCTCAGGCACTAATTAATCAAGTTTAAGGATATTTTCTATATCTTTGAATTTTACTTTATTTTTGTTGAAAAATTACATCAACAAATATGTTTATAACATATTTTTTAATTTCAATACTTTAATTATTCACCACAGTAAAATGTTACATTCAAGATTTATTTTTAAAATGAAAAAAATTAAAAACACCATTTATATATAAATCTGATAGTATGACTATAAATATTCAGTCAATTATGAAGGTAAGGTACTAAGGTTGGGCCCACCATTCAACCACGACGGCTTCCACCCTACAAATAGTAATACTCTAGTATATTTAAAAAATATATTTTTCAAAATATAACTAAATATCAAAATTTAAAAATAGAAATTCTGACGTGGCAGATGTTGACAGCTAGGTAAGCTATTGTCTATTGTCGCTTCTCTTTGTATGATTATAACCATAAAATAACAACAAAAACAACAATTCCAATAATAATAGCAGTGATATTTTTATTTAAAGAAAATAAAACAAATAATGGGGCACAGTTTTGAGTGATGGTAACACTTTTGTCTGTTTTTTCAACCTTAGCCATTATCAGAACAGCGAGCGTAATAAAACTACTACTATTACTGTTAAGTGTGCTTAAAAACCAACAAACAAACAAAAAATGTTAACAATAATGTTTTGCATTATAATCCAGAAAAACCTTCAAATTGCATATTTACCCTTAAATAAGTTTCTACATAATTGGAATTGGATGTTACTTATTTAGTTTTTTTTATAAAAAAATTCATTATAAAATAATTAATATTATTTGAAGATAATAAAAAATAAACTGACTTTTAGGTGCAGAATAATGGTCAAAGGTGACATACTATACGAAGAGAAGAGGTCCCTTCCAAGAAACAGCATTATAAGAATTATACGTACAATATTTTTAGTTCGTATTTTTATACGGTCCCAAATTGCAGATACAGTTGGCCGTAACCGTATATATCATAGCCCCCCAAACTTGAACTTAGAATTATCAAACACTATATATATAAACTGCTCTGCGGTCAGCACACCCAAGCTTCACTGCGGATCCCCAATTTCTTCATTCTTTTGAATTTTTTTTGTTTAGGTACTCTCTAGCTATACTGAATTCTTCAAAGTCGGATCCAGCTGCTCCTCTCCGGACTGCCGACGCCGTCAGTCGCCGCCGTTTTGGTGAGGAGGTGAGGAAATGGAAGGAGATTTGTACAAGGCGAGTAGTAGTTTGCGAGCGAGCAGTAGGAGAGCTGACCAGAGCTTCCGAGCCAATAGCTCGGGGATATGGCGGAACACCGGAATGGAAGTTTTCTCGAGATCTTCTCGCGAGGAAGACGACGAGGAGGCTTTAAAATGGGCGGCGCTCGAGAAACTTCCGACCTTCGATCGCCTCCGGAAAGGACTGCTGTTCGGATCTAAAGGCGCTAATGAAATCGACGTCGGCGATCTCGGATTCGACGATAAACGGAGCCTCGTCGAGCGGTTGGTCAATAATGTTGAGGAAGATAACGAGAAGTTTCTGTTAAAGCTACGAAACAGAATCGACAGGTTAAACAAACTGACGAGAAAACTGATCAGTCACGTTTTTTGTTACTTTCCGTTATGCAAAACTGATGGAATGTTGTTTTTGTTGAACTCACAGAGTTGGAATTGATATTCCAACCATCGAAGTCAGATACGAGCATCTGAATATCGATGCACAAGCTTACAGTGCAAGCAGATCTTTACCTACTTTCATCAATTTCATCATGAACATGACTGAGGTACGAACAATTCAAACCTCTTAAATCAACACACATCTATATCTATACGTGATACATCTATTCACGTTTTAATTCTGTTACTGCAGGGAGTATTAAATCTTCTCCATATAATTCCGAGTAGAAAAAAGCCATTCACGATCCTAAAGGATGTGAGTGGAATAATCAAGCCTTGTAGAATGACTTTGCTCCTCGGTCCTCCGAGCTCAGGAAAAACTACTCTTCTTTTAGCTCTCGCCGGAAAACTTGATCCTACACTCAAAGTAATTTTTCCGCTTTTCGAAAAATCTTCTTCATCTAATTTACCATTCCATATATATATATATATATTTTCATTCCTGTCAAATTGATTAAACGTATGAAAATTATTTGTTCACAGGTTTCTGGAAGGGTAACTTACAACGGACACGAAATGCATGAATTCATACCGCAGAGAACCGCAGCGTACATCAGCCAGCAGGATTTGCATATCGGAGAAATGACTGTGAGAGAGACTCTGGCGTTTTCCGCTCGCTGCCAAGGCGTTGGCTCTCGATACGGTTCGTGCAGTTCGTTACTCCATGAATTTTGTATTACCCTGTCAATTCGTTAATTAACTAATTTATAAATAATTGCCATAACTGGCACTGTTACAGAGATGCTGGCAGAATTGTCAAGGAGAGAGAAGGCAGCAAATATCAAGCCAGATCCTGACGTTGATATCTACATGAAGGTAATAATTATACTTATGCTATAAGAATTTTGATTGATATGATTTGACAAATATTAGTACTATCTGGCTAATTTAATTAAGGATAGACAGCTGGTAGATTTACGTCACGGCGGCTATACTGTTATCAATTCATTTTGTGTTAAGATAATTATGTATGAATGTGGGGGCTGCTTGAGAAGAGGACAGTAAACGTGATATGAGACAATTCTTGATCTTTTTATATTAGTAGTTGGTATAATTATGCGTGCATCCTTCTAGAAGTTCAAATTTAATCTAATACAAGTTGAGGGAAGAAAGCAAAATTTATTTTCAGCTAACAGCTGCATTTAATAGATAAGAATTTATTTATTTTTTCTTTCGAAAATTAGGGTTTAGTCATAGCATAGAGTACTGTTGTTTCACGTGTTGGTCGGGTCTAAGGCTTAGGAAAATATTCTATTCACAACGTAATGGTCATTAATCAAATATACTATTACATTGATAAATGCAATATATATCTATTTTTAGGAGATTTCAGTATAAATTAATTTATATGAAGTTATTTTTCAATAATCAAAATGGCGTGTGTAAACAGACGATGCACCTGGTCTAAAATTGAGTCCGTCAATGCATTTGACTATTCTATTTTGACTTTGAATTGAATAATTGATTTGTATTTTTTAAGATAACTTTGTTATTCAGTTGTTTTTAATAATAATTATTGAATATAAGGTTAATGTAGTCGTTAAAGATAATATTTTTAAAACTTTTTAGTATAGTATGAAAACAACTTTACAAATATAATTAGTTATATATTATTATTATACAAAAACGTAACTATAAGTTATAACATTGACAGGTCCTTAGGAAAAAGATACAGTGTATATAGAACGATCATATGTTGTTGATCACAAGATTATGAATATGATAGTAATAATTTTGGCTAATTCTTGTAAAAATCAATACAGGCAGCTGCAACTGAAGGAGATGAAGCAAATGTGGTCACAGATTACATTCTCAAGGTATCATCACAGTCACAACCTTAAACCTTGTAATCCAATTACATATTCCACATGCTTCTCAGATAAATTATTCATTTCTTCTAACAGGTCCTGGGGCTCGACATCTGCGCCGACACCTTGGTGGGCGATGAAATGGTCAGAGGTATCTCGGGAGGGCAGAAAAAGCGTGTCACAACTGGTAAACAAGCTGAAGCTTAACCTTCTGTCAATGAAAAAAAATAAAAAATGCTTCAGTTAATTAAATTGATGATCATTTTTTGGTTGAACAGGCGAGATGCTGGTTGGGCCGGCAAAGGCACTCTTCATGGACGAGATATCAACTGGTTTGGACAGTTCTACAACGTACCAGATTGTCAACATGCTCCGACAATACGTCCACATAATGAAAGGAACTGCATTTATCTCCCTTCTGCAGCCCGCACCCGAAACTTACGACCTATTTGATGACATTGTGTTGTTGTCCGACGGTGTGATTGTCTACCAAGGACCTCGACAAAACGTGCTTGATTTCTTCGAAACGATGGGCTTCAAATGCCCTGCAAGAAAAGGTGTTGCTGATTTCTTGCAAGAAGTAAGCAATCCAAACATTTTCATAAATGATACCGTTACAACATATGTATATATATCATATATGTAGTTTTGCTAAGGAGTATTGAATGAAAAATTGCAGGTGACATCGAAGAAAGACCAGAAGCAATACTGGATGCATAAGGACGAGCCGTACCGGTTCATCACCTCAAGCGAATTCGCAGAAGCTTTCCAGTCTTTTGTCATTGGGCGGAGGGTCGGCGATGAGCTGGCGACGCCATTTGACAAGAGCACGAGCCATCCGGCTGCGCTTACGACCGAAAAGTTCGGTCTAGGAATAAAGGAGATATTCAAAGCCTGCAGCGAAAGGGAATTCCTACTGATGAAGAGAAACTCATTCGTCTATTTCTTCAAGCTCTTCCAGGTTTCGACGATGGCATTCATCTCCTTCACGCTCTTCTTGCGCACAGAGATGAACAAAGATAGTTTTGAAGGTGGAGGGATATATGCAGGTGCTCTGTTTTTCGGGGTCCTGGTCACCATGTTCAACGGTTTGTCGGAGCTAGCCATGACCATTTACAAGCTTCCTGTGTTCTACAAACAGAGGGATATGTTCTTCTTCCCTCCATGGGCCTACGCCATTCCCGCATGGGTCCTGAAGATCCCGATCTCTTTTCTTGAAGTTGGGATATGGACATTTACAAGTTACTACATAATCGGATATGATCCCAACATATCGAGGCTATTCAAACAGTACTTGCTGCTTGTGTTGCTGAATCAAGCTGCATCAGCATTGTTCAGAGCCATTGGGGCAGCTGGGAGGAACATGATTGTCGCAAACACCTTCGGGCTGTTTGCGCTGCTCCTGTTCTTCGCATTGGGCGGCTTCGTCCTCGCGCGAGGTAAGGAAGAACAAGGAACAAGTGAAATGCTTTAAATTTTTTAATCACAAAATGATCCATATGTAATTTCTTGTGATGAACTAGCTAACTAACTAACGTGGTGTTGGTAATGTCAATGCAGTTGATGTCAAGAATTGGTGGATATGGGGCTACTGGTCCTCACCTTTGATGTACGCAACGAATGGAATTCTTTCGAACGAATTCAACGGGCACAGTTGGAACAGAGTAAGTCATCAATTCCATTCGTTGCCATTGTTGTTATTACTTACATTATTAAGGAAACTGATCAAATTTTTTGTTGTTGTTGTGGTATAGTTTTTGAATGGGACAAGATTGGGAACTCAGGTGATGGTGAGCAGAGGGTTCTTTCCTTATTCGTACTGGTACTGGATTGGAGTAGCTGCTCTGTTCGGCTTCGTATGGTTCTACAATGTCTTCTTCCTTGCAGCCCTAACGTTGCTTGGCCGTAAGTGCTGTTCTAATATACATATAATGTTTCTACATTGATTGATTGATTCAACATCTCATCTGATCTGATCTGATCTTTATTTGTGAAAATACAAAATTGCAGCATTTGAAAAGCCTCAAGCTGTACTACCCGAGTCGGAAGACGAGAAAAAGGGTTCAGTTTCAGGCAATGAAAACAGGCGGAGAAGCAACTCCTCAGAATCTCCATCCATGAGGGCAGACGCCATTGAAGCCACTGAAGAGAACAGGAAACGAGGAATGATTCTGCCATTCGAACCACACTCTCTTACATTTGATGACATCAGATACTCAGTAGATATGCCAGCGGTACGTAGCTCCAAATCCAAATACTACTTTTCTCTACTCTAATATTGAATTCAGACATTGAAACTAATTAATTAAATTAATTATTGAACAGGAAATGAAAGCCCAAGGTGCTACCGATGATCGATTGGAGCTGTTGAAGGGAGTGAGTGGAGCTTTCAGGCCGGGCGTGCTCACAGCCTTGATGGGTGTTAGTGGCGCCGGTAAGACAACTTTGATGGACGTGCTGGCCGGAAGAAAGACCGGCGGATACATTGACGGAGCCATAACCATTTCTGGCTACCCAAAGAATCAGGAAACCTTTGCTCGAATTTCAGGCTACTGTGAGCAGAACGACATCCATTCGCCAAACGTCACGGTTCACGAGTCCCTCATCTACTCGGCATGGCTAAGGTTGCCTCAAGAAGTCGACGAACAGACCAGAAAGGTAATTGATTAATTAATCAATTAATAAATAGAGCTATGCCTGTGACATAGATAGATAGATAGATAGATAGATAGATAGAGACAGACAGTCATCTTATGATTAACCAACGGTATATGATCAGATGTTCATTGAGGAGGTAATGGAGCTTGTGGAGCTTAAACCATTGAGAGGAGCATTGGTTGGGTTGCCAGGAGTGAGCGGTCTATCAACAGAGCAACGTAAACGTCTGACGATCGCAGTCGAACTTGTGGCGAACCCCTCCATCATCTTCATGGACGAGCCTACTTCAGGGCTCGATGCAAGAGCTGCAGCCATTGTGATGAGGACAGTCAGGAACACCGTCAACACAGGCAGAACTGTCGTCTGCACCATCCATCAGCCTAGCATCGACGTCTTTGAAGCATTCGATGAGGTAATAATAAGAACTTACACAGCATATATCATCATCATCGTCATCCTTTGAAATCACAACTTAGCAGCATTCTAAAATTATGATCATGATGCAGCTCTTCTTGATGAAAAGAGGAGGACAAGAGATATACGTGGGGCCATTGGGTCACAACTCGTGCCATATGATCAAGTACTTCGAAGACATCCAAGGCGTCTCAAAGATCAAAGACGGATACAATCCGGCTACCTGGATGTTGGAAGTCACCACTTCCGCACAAGAACTTCTCTTAGGAGTCGACTTTGCCGATTACTACAAGAAGTCGGAGTTATACGGGTCAGTCGATTTTTCTTTTATCTCCATTCCATTAGACAACATCAATATATATCATATGCTAACATTCTTACTAAACATCCTCTGCTGCAGAAGGAACAAAGGCCTAATCAAGGAGCTAAGCATACCTCGCCAGGGGACGAAAGACTTGTATTTTGCGACGAAATACTCCCAACCTTTCCTCACCCAATGCCTCGCCTGCTTCTGGAAAGCCCACTGGTCCTACTGGCGAAACCCCCCTTACTCAGCTGTTCGATTCTTGTTCACAATCTTCATGGCATGTGTGTTCGGATCCATGTTTTGGGACCTCGGTTCTAAAAGGTAACCAACCAGACTCGACATATCTCCAACCTGTTTTACCTCATTCATTCTCTAGTTTCTAACATCGCAATGAACTGAACTGCAGGACTACTCGACAAGATCTGTCCAACGCCATGGGTTCTATGTACATTGCCATCATCTTTCTGGGATTCCAATACGGCTCCACCGTTCAACCTGTTGTGGCCATCGAACGTACAGTCTTCTACCGTGAAAGAGCAGCTGGAATGTACTCGGCTCTCCCCTATGCATTCTCACAGGTAACACTTCTGTCGATAAATTATTAATGCAAAATATCGAAGAAAGATTGCTGCTTACTTAGTGTAATCCATGTATTGCAGTTCATGATCGAAGTCCCGTATATCTTCGTGCAATCCATGCTATACAGCATCATCACTTACTCCATGATGGGATTTCAATGGGAAGTCGGCAAATTCTTCTGGTTCGCCTACTTCATCTTCTTCTCATTGCTCTTCTTCGTGCTCTACGGAATGGTGACTGTCGCTGTGACTCCTAACCACAACGTCGCTGCCATCATCTCTTCCTTCTTTTACGGCATCTGGAATCTGTTCTCCGGGTTCATCGTCCCGCGACCGGTAACTAACTAATATCTACACAAGTTCTACAAAATGATCTGAAACTCAGTCAGTCACTCACCTGGAATTGGATTATAATAAAATCGATGTTTGCAGTTGATGCCGGTGTGGTGGAGATGGTACTACTGGGCCAACCCGGTGGCTTACACGCTGTACGGTTTCATCGTGTCGCAGTACGGTGACTTGGAGGAGCCGATGACGGACGAGGCGTCGGCAGGGCAGACGGTAAAGCAGTACCTGAGAAGCTACTTCGGGTTCAAAGAAAGCATGCTGGGAGTTACAGCCGGAGTGCTTTTGGGCTTTGTTATCTTCTTCATGTTCATATTTGCCTATGCCATCAGAACATTCAACTTCCAGAGGAGATAGATGACGACGATCAACAACAAACAAGAAAGAAGAAGGATATTACACATCACATATATATTATATTATTATCATTATTTATATCCGTATACCAAATTGTGTAGTAGAGTTTGCGTAGGAGGAAGTTTTTTATGTCATTATAGAATATGCTGCTGACGCTCTGCTTGTTTACACGCTCTAAAATTTGGGAGTTTCCTTTTTCACGTTTTAGGGTTAATTTTCATTTCATTCATATCAATCAAGAATGCAAACATAAAATGACACAATAGTACTATAAATCAAGAGCTAAAGAAACAAACATATGTCATTCATTATTAGTGCTACAATATATCTTTATAACATACGACAATGCCACATTCTATTACTAGTGTGAATCACCACAAAATTTGCAGTTAACAAAGAAGCACTTGCCTCAGAAATAACCAAAGTTAACCTGCTTCTTCCTTTTTGTGAAAAAATTCATACGTCCGGCTCGCGTACTTCACAAGGAAGCTTCAATTCAGGCTCGATTTCACCGAGAGGGGCGAAGAACGAGGCGACCATGTCCTCAGTCACCTCCTCCAACTTTGATGGATTCCACTGAAAAATCAGGAAAGTAGTATCACAATATGTTGTGTTTTTATCTTCTTACGTGAAAACTTTTAGCACATTGATTAGATAGATACCTTTGGAGCAAAATCCTTGTCGATTAATCTTGCACGTACACCCTAAAAACAGAAGATCATATAAGTTTAAGAGTTGAATTTTGGTTTACATGTTGATTAGGTTGAGTAACAAATTGTGGAATTGAAAGCCAGCAAGTACCTCGCAAAAATCATTTGAGACGTGCTTGGATATAAACTTCAGGGATGTTCGATACTCCCTAGTCAGGCACTGATCAATAGTTTGAAATCGACCCTCTCGAATCTTCAATTGGGAAGGGATGGAAAGGTTAGAGAGTGGCAGGAGATAGAAGAAAGTTGAATAGATTTTTGATATGAAGTCTCTGTTGAGCTTACAGACTGCAATGTCACTTTCAAGCTCAGTGGCGAAGCTTCTTTTATTTTGTTCAGCATTCTAGCGTGCCACTTATTTTCGGGTTCGGCTGCTTTTGATTCCTACACGAGTAATTGTATATGCAGTAAGTAAATGAACTAATATATGCCAAATGGGTTGAGTATATGATAGTTTCCTTAACCAGGAAATACGAGTGCAAACAAGAACACACAAATGGGAAACTTACCAAAGCTTCCACAATTTCCTCCAATGTATTGTGGCTGAAAATTGAGTTGACTACATCAATCCTGAATCAACAAGGAGTCGAGCATAATATCTTAGCTTCATGTACACATAATATAAACAATTTTGCTAGAAAATACTGAGAATGGAGAAATCACCTATGAACTATACTCTCATAAGCAGGATAGACTAAACAACCATACTGAGCAAGGGCGTTTTCAATGACAGAGCGGTCATCAGTTATTAAACTACCGAGCCGCTCTTCAATCAGAGGAAGTTTCTGTTGCGGAAAGTTGATTAGTAGAGATAATTAAAAAAGATAAAACTAGACAAATAAACAGTTTGTAGAATGGTTTAAGGACACTAACTTCTTTGAGAGAATAGTGTGTAGCTAGACCGCAAGCCATCATTTCAACGCCATTTAACTTCTCACCCGTAAGAGCTAAGTATTCACCTACAAAGAGATGTGATCTTGACTTTGTTGCATAAAATATACAGATGCTACTATTGGGTTTAGAACAAAATACAATCTCCTAGAAAATGATGGAACGAATTAGCGATTTCATATGATAAGGCCTTCAATTTAACACCAGTATTTTGAATAATAGAATATTCAACAACTTCAGGATGTATGATAGTATCTTAACCTAATCTTGTCAGCTCTACAATACCTAAATATCCAGGAAGACGAGAGAGATAATATGATGCCCCTACATCGGGATGGAAACCTATCTGAACCTCTGGATACGAAAAGACCTGCATTTTTCGGAAAATTTAACAAGTAGGCAGTTTACCATTCCATTCCTCCGGATGGTGAAAGAACGTATCTTTATCACTTTAACAATTCAGGTGATATGACGCAAAAATAAGGTTATATTGAGGGATCAATTTCATACAGTTCTATCAGTTACAACACGAAACATCCCGGGAAGTGAAATGCCTGCCCCACCTCCCATAACAATACCATCCATTATAGCCACCTGGACAATCAAAAAGATGATTTGACATTCAGCTACAACTAATGTTTCACGGTAGAACAGAACATAAATTGTGGTATTGATCTTTCTAATTTAAACGAGAGAAGCAAGCTCACTCACATTTGGCTTAAGATATGTTCCCAAAACATAGGCGAAGTTGTATAAACTCTGAAAAAATTCTTTGCATTCCTCAATTTTCCCTGGAATTAATTTAAGCCACTGAACTGAATATGATAGTAAAAAAAATTCCACAATTACAAAGTCTATGCATCTTGTACCAAGAAACATCAACTTTTCAGCAGAAATTATTATATCGGTTGAAAGTAACACGACTCATACGACCATAGAGTTCACCACAGTACAAGGATTAGCTCACTCTAAGCACCAAAATTAAACATGAAAACATATAACTTTTCATGGAGGCCAACCTTCATTAATGAGATGATATATTGCAACAACATCCGTGCCGGAGCAGAATGCTTTGTGACTGTTACCCTTCAAGAAAACAGCATCTTCAGACAAGGGAATTCGAGGTAGAAGATCAATGATTTTGTTCAATTACCTTCATCATGACAAATCCTATATCCGAGTTTTCCTCCCAAGACTCATATAATCTGCTCAATCGAGTAACCTAGCATCGAGTCAAAGAACTTGCATTCAACACATATCAACATAAAATTCACTAAAATAGTAATTCTGTGGACTCTGCAACGAAAATCTTGAAGCAGCTGCATAATTCTCATACGTAGGACAGAGAGTTTAGCAAAAGAAAAAACGAGCAGTAGCTCAATCAACTCCTAGAAGAGAGTATGGAAACGAACAAAGAATTAAGAGCAATTAACCATGGAAGCAGTGAGAGCATTCAGTGCAGCTGGTCTATTCAGAACGGCCTCTCTGGAATTCGCCCTGCCTTGCACCAACACCTGCAATCAAACGCCATAATTTTCAATCCTACAATAACTTCATATACACGCGCAAAACCAATTTCTCCGTCAAAATAAGCACCAAAACCAATAATAAAAAAAAAAAAAAAAAAAAAAAAAACCCAAATTCAAGTGCAAAACACGCAAAATAAAGCAGGCAAGCATTCAGAAACTAGCCTCTTCTTTCTGGAGATAATCCGGCTGCGCATAGCTGGGGAGAGCAGAAAAGCTTCTTCTCTGTTGAGATACAAAACCAGTCCGGGCGAACGGCAACAGCGATTTCAGTCTCCGCATTGCTGACGAGAAAAATCAACCTCCGCAGTAGCTTGAGCTTACTGAAATCCTCGTGCGGCTGATCAGCGCTTCCGATTCGCACAAGAATTCTAGAGCCAAACCTCCATTGCAGAAAAAGGAAGATTGAAATGGATCCAAAGCCATGGGTGGACGGGTGGGTAGGTTAGGCACTGATCCGGCCCACTTACACGACCCAACTAAAATTTATTACAAAATGTATGCCCTGATAAAATCTGCATTTCTCATTCTATAAATAGTGATACCATTATCATATTGCAATTTGTCTTTTCAATTTTATTTTAAAATTTTCATTAAGAAGTTAATAAAAAATAATAATAATTATGGATTTGCTTCTTTAGTTACCAAACCCAAGTTTCTACTACATTTAAAAATAGAAAATAATTTATTTTTCTTATGATACATCTCCTCATAAATTATTTTAGTATTAAAGCAGAGGTAGGAGTTATTTTAAAATTATTATTATTATTGGACTTGGGCCTCTGAATTATTAATAAAAACCCAATTTCATTGGATAAGAACATAGTTATTATATTTTCTAAAAAAATTGGGCTTTGATTCAACATATATATCATTCAACAAAAGTGGTCATATTAAGGTTTTACTCAAGTTAGAGTGTCTAAATAATGCATTTTTTTTATATGATATTTTTATAAAATAATAATAACATATTTTTACTAAAAATCGTATAAATTAAATAGTAAGAATTTGTCTTTGAAATTTAAGAAAAAAAAAAATTATTGGGCAATAGACTAAGAATTGTGAATAGATAAAAATTATAGTATAACAATGGACTAAGTCATCCATGTATAAATAAATACATGAAAATAATTTTATATATTATTTATACAAATGAAGATATAATTAATTATATGAAAAGACATTATTCTGTATTTGGCAGAAATCATTGATAGCTATAAACTTGCTCATTCATGCAGATAAATACATGGAGGAAGAAGAATCCACCGATTTTTGAACCTCAATCTTTCCAACATCTTCATGATCTTCATCTTCATCCCAAACTTTGTCTTCTTCGCAGCACTTGTAAAACTTGCAGGCAATCAAGTTGAAGTAGATGAAATTGGCGACGCTAAGAATGGTGAGAACCCAATAATAGTAGTCGTAATGTCCCTTGTTCAAATTTGTCGAAACCCAGCTCACTTTCCCTCCACGTTTCGAAGCTGTGTCAATTATGGTGACTATGAGGCTTCCCAATAGGTTTGCCACGCCAAGGCCGAGCGTGAAGAGAGCCACGGCAATGCTCGCCATACTCTTTGGAAATTGAGAATAATAAAGCTCGATTTGGGCTATGGCGTTGAAAGCCTCGCCAAGTCCGACGAGGCAGTGTTGTGGTATTAGCCACATTGCCGACATGTCCACCTGATGAGGAAATTAACTTGTTGGTTGTTATACCGCTTTACTTAATTTTTATTCTTTATAGTAAATCTAAAATTGCTATTGAGTATCTCATTTTAATATGTAACTCAGATTTATGTATAGAGTATATAATAAAAATGCACTAGAAAATATAAATTTAAACACGTATGTATATTAATCATTCAACAACTGTAAATTTATTCAAATTATAATTTCCATCAAAATCATGATATTATTTATTAAATTGACTATTTCACTAAAGACTTCCTCGTATACAAGGTGGTTTTCTTTAAATACATGACATTCCGCTGTGATATTATGTTAAATAATTATTTTATTTAAAAATTTTAAATTTAAAAATAAATTATTACTAATGCATTTAACATATTATTCCGTGTTCGAATCTCACCGTCTTCTTTTAAAAAATAAAAATAAAATAAAAATTATTTATATGCAAAATTCATGTATGTCGTAAATTCACGTTTAACACTACGGATTGCTGTTCAATATTTATATTCTTATTTTTTAGTAAAAAACTATTACTTTTTTACTTTATAAGAATTTTTCTTTTTTAATTTTTACTAATTCTTTTTAATGTTTATGTCAGGTTAAATAGACATAAGTTTAGACAACTAAAATATTAAAAGGTATAGTAATTACCTGTGCCTTAGGGGTATCAGCCAAACCCTGGTGGATTGCCGCCGTCCTCCTCTTCCTCTCCACCAAGGCAGCCGTGGCGGTGGCCAAGCAAGAAATGAAAAGCCCGGTCCCTACACGGGCCTTTACGCCGATGCCTTGCGAATTCTTGGAGAGATATGGCACGACGATGCGATCATATAAGACAACCCAAATGGTGAGCGTCGTGATTCCAAAAAGGCCAAATGATCCCGGAGGAATTTTGAAATCGCCGGCAAGATGGCGGTCCATGGTGGCAGCTTGAAGAACTGGGAAGCCTTGCTGGCTTATGGTCACTCCGATGATTATTCCGGTAGACCACATTGGTATTAGTTCTATCACAGATTTTAGGACTTCTACTTGCTGCACACTGCACAGCCTCCATGGATTTGTTGGCGATCCATCGGGGTTTAGATCCTTTTCCGGGTTTTGTAACATGCAAGCTTTATTCAAGAAACTGAAATGTTCGAAAAATGCAGAGTGATAAGCCACACAACACATTTTTTCGAAAAAAGAATTAATATATTATATATATTCATTATTTTTATATTACTCGTGCAATTTTCTATACCTCACGATGACTTCAAATAAAAACACAAAACAAACAAGGTTCTTTGTTTTTTTCTAATTTGTTGGGAAAATTTGAACTTTGATGAATAGATAAATGTTTGAGTCAAATAAATGGATAACAACACAAATAATATAGGAATCTAACATTCAAATTTACAAAAATTGCAAATTTAATTATGTATTTACGATGGATTATCATTTTTTATAATTGACCGTTAGTATATAGTATATGACTAAATTTGCAATTATCTTCTAAAATTTTGACTACCTCGATGTTTTTTGGTATTAGTGTAGCCGGTTGTTCTACAAAATTAAGATAATTGCAACAACTTTCACCGTAGACAAGAAAAATCAAATGGTGCGGTAGTTATGTAAGAATATTTTAGTTTAAAATTTTATTGAATGAAAAATAAATATTTGATACCATAAAATGCAACTAACTCATCACGGTTCTTCAACATTAGTCCATTCAGACATCCACTTAGTTTCACCTATCATATGAACAAATCGAAAACCTAAATTCCGATCCAAATGCAGTGACAATCACCCTACGAAAAATCACTTTCGCTACAACTCTTTGTTGAAACCCAAAAAAAACACACCCAAATTCCATACAAGTAAATTAAAATGAACAGGGATAATAATTCACCTCAGTTTGTTCGTAGGCACCACATGCTTCGAACCCTTTGTATGGTAATAAAGTTGCCGGTCCGAATCCTCAGGCAGCATAAGCTCACGGCGGCGATTCCTCCATGCCGCCACAACAACCTGCACCAGGCCTGTCAGAAGACTCCTATTGGGCTTAATCTTAACATAAAGCTTGGATCCGAGGAAGAAGGCGATTGTCGAAACGAACATGAGCCCGACAGGCACGCCGAATCCAACGATCCATTTGTATTTGTTCTGGATGTATACTATAATGGTGACTGCAAACATGAGGGAGACACCCACAGAGGCATAATACCAGTTGAAAAAACTGTCGAGAATCCTCTGGTTATTAGGGTTTTTGGGGTTGTTGAATTGGTCTGCCCCGAAAGCCATGGAGCACGGCCTGATTCCGCCGGCGCCGATCGACATGAGGATGAAAGACATGTAAAGAAATGCTAATTGGCCTGCATTTGGGTTCGAACATTTCCCTAATCTTGGATCACATGCTGCTGGTCTTAACTCTTGTATTATGGCTGTTAGCCAAAGGGCAATCAAACCCTACAAGAAAAATATAATAAGGACATCGTGTTTAGGAGTTTGTTAAGGGTTCGATCTCGGCTTATTTTTGGTAAAAGAGTAAAAGACACTAATTGAAAATATTATTTTACCTTGATTCCTTTAAAAAACAAAATAATTTAAACTAAGATTCAAATTTTATAAAAGATTAGAATTTATGTTTGTCTTCAGGTTATTGAAACAAGTTTGAACCTGTTGAACTGGTTTGTTATACTATTCATAAAGCTCCTATGGAGAAGTAATTAGAGCATGTTTCTTTGTGGAAAAATTTAATTTGAGTATGCTATTTAAATACTGTATGATTAAATGTTTTATGAGAGAGAAAATATAATTTTTTTTTTTAAGAAACGCAGAGTCGAAACTTGAGATTTGGAGGCAAAAGAATCAAACCCTAATTTAGTCTCTTATTTACCGAATAGATTATAATATCTATAAACAAAGATCGGTGCGATCACCAGAAGCGTAGTGGGAGTCGCGATAGCAATAACCAAGAATCGGCCCAAGTAGGAGTCGGAAAGAAAAGCTCCAAGAATAGGCAAGAAGTTGGAGATGGCTCCCCAAATGAACATAAGGTTTGTTCCACCAGCAGCACTGAAATTATATGAAGTTATTAGGTACAAAATCATGTTTGGCTGAAGCCCATAAGCTGCAATCTTCTCCAGTGCTTCATTTGCTGTACAGTTTGCAATAATTCAAAAACATTATTAATCAAGAATCAAATGGAAATTAATTAAGGTTATATATTATTTATTTTATACCTATGATGAAAGGCATGGTTTTAAGGCCCCCTTTACGACTGCCAGCCTTCTCCGACATCTTTTTTTCTTCCATCGAAGAATCAATGGCTTCTTGTGATCATGTCTGATTTAAGTATTTAATTTTTCAAACAAGAACCAATAGCCATTCGATTTGTCTGTAGCCCACGTTGTAGTATACAACGGAGGATACTAAGAGTTTATCCATTTTTGTATGTTATGCTTGGCTACATTGCAATAACATAAAATCTAGGGCGGCTGCAAGAATACAAATTTGCTTTAAAGGCAAGGCGATAGGGATGGTTCAACACCGTGTACTGCAAAATTCATATATATATTTATATGTATTGTTGTAAGGTACAATATATATATATATAATGAGCATTTGAAATTTTTGGTATTTCATTCCTCTCTAATTATTTTTTTATTTTTTGATATATATATATATATATATTGTTTGTGATTATTTATACTATAATGTAGCAAGGTATGCATATTCCAAACTGGTAGGAAAAGTCCAGACACATTGAGACAAAGTGAATCAGAAAATGGGATTAGCGTGAGCGACGAGGATACATATAGATTCTATCTGCTCTCTACTTATAAATTGTGTCGAAAATGACATCGTTTTGGTGCCAAAGATGTTGCAGAATTCCATGTCAGCATTTGAAAAATGAGAGATGCCAAAAAAAAATAAATATTACTCTACCATAGATTTTTAAAGATAGTATATATTACTAATGTGTGAGGATTGGAAGTGAGCAAAGGACTTTGATCGAGGGTTTGGACATCGAGATGGACTACGCAATACGTGAGGGCTTTCAACCATGTGGTTCCCGATTTTGGCATCGTTGCGAGCATTATTATATCGGTGTCTTTTGCTTCGAAGTTCTTTTGAGCAGACAATATTGGTCGGAGAATCCTCGCAGGACACCAAAATTGTTCGTATTTAACCAAACGGCGTCCTTCCCAATACATTCGATCTTCGAGTTATTGAAGTAGCTAGTCGAATTCATCGAGCTTTCAATGATTGGAGCTACCCTTGTGTTCCATTTTAACACCACAATATCATCTAAATTTTCTTGCCAAGAATTAGCAATGAAGAATCCCATTTTTACAGAATCTTAGTAGAAATTTTATACATGTATTATTTCTCACAAATGAGGGTGGAACTCGAATCCGGAATTTTTCGCTCTGATACCATATTAAATGAATATATCATCTAAAATTTTAAATTACTGGGATAAAGTTTGTAGCTTTTACTTTCTTTTTTTTTTTTTTGCCTCTTGTTAAAAAAATGGTGTGATTTCTTATTAAAAGAATATTTGTAAATGACAAATAAAAAAAATAAGCATGAATTATATAATCTTCCAACAATGAGGATGGAAAGATAAGTGCAAAATATGGATTTATCTGTAGTAAAGTTGTTACAAGGCAATACATGTGTCTCTCATGCATGCCTTTTTCATGAGATGTGAACAACTATTTCTTAGCCTTCTTGGGTAGTTTTCTAATTCAGTTTTGATTTCTTATGGGGTAATTTTTCATTATTTTTACGTGTACATTTTAATTGTTTATATGTTGAATTTTTTTTAAAAAAAAAATAAAGGATTTTGTGGTTTGAAATTGATTTCAATTGAGACGTTGATTTAAGTTTTTATTTAAGATATAATATTTTATAAGATAAAATAATATATTTTATGAAAAATTATGCCAATAAAAATAAAAATAAATTGAAAAATATCCAACATATGATCGGATTATTTTATAATCTTGAAAATATTTCATTCAAATAAAATAAAATATAAATAAATTTTCGAATTTGAACCACCCAATTTGTATTACCTGACCCCCCCACCCCTAACTTGAGTACGTAGGGTTGCTCATTGCCAATATCATTCATAGATAATAAAATAATTGGTTCTGTTCTCTTTGAAATATATTTTTTATTTACTTATTTATTATGCAATTTTTTTTATAAAATAGTATATTCTTTAAATATAAGTACAAATCAAACATACATAAGTGTAAATCCTATATCTTACATAGGCACACTCATTTAACTGTAATAAATAGTTTGGTAGAGCTAAAACCAACCCCTAAAATGGTACTGTGGTTACAAAATTATATAGTATAATTTTTTATACATTTTTGTAATCGTTATATAGTTTTTATTACAGAAACATTTTACGACACAATTTATTTCACAAGATATATATATATTTTTTTTTTTCCTTTACAGTAGATATATAAATATACATAATATTAAAAAAATCATTTGATGTAGTTTATTTTACAGCAAAAATAATATAAATAACAATTGCAGTCAGTAATTTTAAAAAAAACCCAGAAATTTTGAATTATTTTAAATAAATTAAATCTGACCTGAAATAGGTTTCAAAGTACGGTCTCATAAATTCCGAACCAATTAGAAGAAAAGTCGGCAAACTCTAATTAACGTACATATTAGTTGATCTAGTAGTGTAGCAATGCTAATTTTTACTATACGTATCATTATAATCTTCTATAAAGATTGTTAGTGACAGCTAAAAATATCTTAGAATATAGCTTATTAATAACCAAGATTAAATTAAAGATGTCTAAAAATTTGGAGAAATATACTCTATTTGATGTGGATAGGTTATAAAATCATTCATTATGAATCTATTGCAAATTGAGATGTACATGTGATCGATATAAATAGATATTAAATGTAATGTTTTGAATTAAAAAAAAAAAAAAAAAAAAAAAAAAAAAGAAAAATTATAATAACATCGAAACACACCCAACAATAGTCTATATAAGGGGGAGGCATTTGCACAAATTAAAAGCATCGATATTAAGTGTTTGATCATTGTCACTTTGGGCTATATATATAAGAAATTAAATTTCATGGCTATAAACTTCTCATTTCTTCGCATCGACGATAAAGATCATGAAGAAAAGACGGAAGAAACTTTTTCTGTGGTAGAATCGTTCGAGGATAGAACCGATTGTCTAAAGAAAATAATTTCTGAATTCGAAGAACATCTAGCCAAAAGTGTTGATCATTCTTTAGGTATGTTCAGGACCATATTTTGCTTCTTTAATTTTTTTTTTTCTTCTTAGGGTGTGTTTGTTTGAAGGATTTTGGAGGATTTCCACTATTCATCCAATTTTTTTCCCCCAAAAACATCAAATCAAACACCTATTTTTCATTTTTTATATTATACTAAAAATCAATTTTACATTCAAAACATCACATCAAACCCTATTTATATCACATCATACAACTATTCAAATTCAAAATTTTTACTATTCAAATCCCAATCCAAAATCCAAACCCCCAAACAAACACACCCTTAGTAAACTTTCAAGAAACTTATGGAGTTTTTGAAATAAATAAATCAACTAATACCGTTGGTATGTTTTTTGTCGATTTTAGGCTATCCCTTGAACCTAAATTGCAACCCTTACATTGCGTTGTCTCCGTTGTTTTGTTTCCATATCAATAATTGTGGCGATGCATTCAACGAGAGCAACTTTTCATCTAACTCGAAGAGGTTCGAATTAGGAGTTTTGAATTGGTTTGCGCGGCTATGGGAAATAAGGAAGAATGAATATTGGGGCTACATAACTAATGGAGGGACAGAAGGCAATCTCCATGGAATTCTTCTAGGGTTTGTAATTGCATGTTGATTTCAATTTCTTTAGTATATATCAATTAGATTTTGATTTTGAATTTTATTTTTATTTAAATAGTTATATGAATTGATCTTTTGTAAAAAAAATAATAATAATAAATACAGTTCGAAAAACATTAAAATCTAACAATGAAAAACTTGAAAACTTTCTAAAGAAACTTTTATTTAGATTATATTATTTTGGAAGTGTTTAGCATTTTTTGAGTTGGTTTAGGAACAATAAAAAGACATATTTGATGTGACGTAAATAAATATTGAATATAATATTTTGAATAAAGAATAAATTTTTTGACATCATATTTTAAATGAAAATTTTGATTTTGAATGTAACAAGAATTTTTTCATGAATAGCATAAAAATAAATTTAAAAACATAAGCAAGCAAAATGATTTATTTCTTTTTTTTACTTATAAAAGGTTATTTTGTTTATAGGAGAGAACTTTTACCGGATGGAATTTTATATGTATCTAAAGAGACGCATTATTCAATATTTAAGATAGCAAGAATGTATCGAATGGATTGCAAGGTGATCGACGCTTCGATTAAAGGAGAAATAGACTGTAATGACCTCAAAGAAAAACTAAAACAAAATAAGGACAAGCCCGCCATCATCAATGTTAATATAGGTATTTATATTGTTCGATTCTCTACTATAAAACGCTTCCATATGTCGCGCCTTTATGTTAATATAAGTAATTATCGGTTCCCCATTTCTCTACTATAAAATGCTTCCATATATATGACACAGCTTTATACAACGCATTTAATTTTTTTCGGGCCAAAAACCTTGATCTTGTAGGAACCACTTTTAAAGGAGGCGTAGACAATCTTGATCTTGTCATCGAAACATTATATGAATGTGGCTTCTCAGAGAATCGATTTTATATCCATTGTGATGCAGCTCTATACGGGCTTATGTTGCCTTTACTTGAACAGGTATGTTGCGTATAAAATCCATCGAGGGATTGAAGAAACTAGGAAAATGAGCTAAATGCGTACATAAATATATGTGTGCATATGCATATGAATGATAGTAGTCGATCTCGCGGGGAAGTCACATTTTTATTCGTTTACATAACATTCGTGTTATTTATTTTATGGGAAAGTTACAATAAGTTGTTTGTATAGATATTTGTTAAAACTTTTGGCATTTTCTATCATCAGTAACTTTTTCAAAAAAAAAATTCACAAAATATGATATTTAATGTTAACTTTTTATTACTCTCAAAATTTTCTAAAACTCCACAATTTCTATCTAAATAGAGCCTAAGTTTATGAACCTTATTTTGTATATATATATATATATATGGTCTTATGTCTTGTAAAGATTTGTCATGTTCAGAACAAAATAAGCAATTTTTGTTTGTGAATTCATATGTGGATGGACAAAAACAAAATAAATATAAGTTTAGATAAGAGTTTTGAGTCATTGTGATGTTTTGTAATAAAAAATAGGTATTTGACGTGATATTTTTATTTTTCTTGATACATACGTAGGAGCCAAGCTTAAGTTTCAAAAAGCCAATTGGAAGCATTGCCGTGTCCGCGCACAAACTATTGGGTTCCCCAATGCCTTGTGGCGTGCTTATGACGAGGAAAAAGTATATCTCCCTTTTGGCGACAAGAATCGACTATATAGCTTGTTTAGACACCACAATAAGTGGGAGTCGAAATGGTCATGCAGCGGTCTTCATGTGGTATGGTCTAAACATTAAAGGCCTTATGGGACTTAAAAGAGAAATAAACGCGTGCTTGAAGAATGCTCGCTATTTGAGGGACGGGCTTAGGAATGCCGGCATTAGTACAATGCTAAATGATAATAGCAACATCGTTGTTTTTGAGCGCCCTTTGGAGAAATATTTTAAAAATAATTGGGAGCTCTCTTGTGTCGGGAATATGGCGCATGTCGTTGTTATGCAACATGTTACTACACAAGTGTTGGACGAGTTTCTTGAGGATCTTGTCCGACATAGAAGCTCGTGGTATGGATCATTTGATGACGTTCGACCTCCTTGCATTGCCGAGGAAATAGGAACTTCGAATTGCGCTTGCTTTGAGCATGGAAAAGGGTTCGAAACTTCGATGTTTTAATTTGTTCGACAGGTTACAAGTGTAGTACGTATTTCACGAGATAAGTGTGTTTTTTCTGAAATTTTCTTCTCAACTTTTATTATTTGAACTATGCATGTTTCGTAAAGAATGTATATTTACGATTTGAAACACCAGAATAACACAGTGATAATACAGATGTCAAATGGGGCAGGTTAGTCCCGGACTCGCCCCAGATCCGTTTTTAATGGGGCGGTTTCGGATCTAAAAAATATATTTCAGGATGGATTATGGATTTTAAATTTTAAACTCGGCCAAGTTCGGGACGAGGTACAGATTTTACTAAGCCCGGATATTTTAATAATTATTAAAACTAATATATTTATATAATATAAATTATACTACATCCGTCCGGCTCTAACGGTCCATTTATTTTTTGCATGTTGATCTTCGAATATTATTTATTATACCAAAACGTAGTACAAATTAATAAAAAGATTGCAAAAATACTTTCATTGTCTTATAATACTAAATAGAATGACATTTATAAAAAAAAAAATTATACAAATATAAGAATATTTTTAATGTTAATACAATAACACAAAGTAAATAAACCGTTACAGATGGTAAAATGAAGTATTATATATTCATTTCAAAAAAATAAATATAAAATAGAATTTTTATTTATAGATCAATTTTGTATTCACTCTTGTTCTTCCTAAATTCTCTTCACAATCGAGACTATTGTCTCCTCGCCTACCGCTGACCGCCATCACTGTGAACCGCCTATAATATTTGATTGTTCTTGTTTTTTGAACTAAAATTTTGTATCGCCTGCCGTAATAGTTAGAGTGCTAACCATAATTGTTCTTTTTTATGAACTGAATTTCTTTTTTTCCTTTAACACTTACTTTTTTAATAAGTATTAAATTATTAAAATAAGTTATATTTTATTTTAAAAAAAAAAAAATGTTTGGAGGTTGGCCCAAACCCAAAGGGTTCGGGTCAGGGTGGGTTCTGGAGCCTAATATTTTCTAGCGCGGCAGGTCTCCGAGTCTGTAGAACCCATCCGAACCCGCCCCATTCGCAGCCCTAGTGATGAACTTACTATTATATTCCATGCAATTTTCGCCATTTTCCACAACTTGATCGAAAAGTGAACAGGGAACATATGCTTCAACGGTCGAATAAAAAGTCGAAAAGCATCGAACCTGGAACTGTCTCCGGTCGTATGAATTAAGCATCGACAATCTGTACATTATGCGATACGTACGCACACGACCATCACCACACAGACCCAATGTCCGCACGAACAGCAGCCACCGAGCAACCCGCTGCTTAGCAACAGCCGGCGATCGGGACAAACGGGTCGGCCAGGGGCAACGGCGACTGGCACCCGAGATCGTCGCTCCCTTTCTGACAAAACGCTTTCTGCACGTAAAACATCAAGTAGCACTGCGACGAGCGAACCACCTCGTCATCCACCTCAGCGATCCACGCGTCGTCGCACTTGAACCACCGGTTCCTCAGCCGCAGGTACGTCACGTAATGCCCCGACTCCAGCATTCCCGAGTGGGTCACCACCGCAAAAACCTCGAACTCCGTCGACCCGCCGTCGACTTCCTCGCCCTCGAATGGAAACATTCTGTTCCCGAATCGTTTCTTAACGACCGATGGCGAAAGGTACGGCTGCATGTCCAGCGAGAACGGGAACTGCAAATGTCGGTCGATTTTCCTCGACATCCTCCGGGTAGGAGAGTGCTCGAATCTCTTTATGTGGAAACACAACACGAGCGGGAGATTCTTCACAGACATTTCTTTCAGCGCGTCGTGTTTTCCGTGGCAATTCTCGCAGAAAAGCTTCTGGTCCGATCCCAACTTCTCGGGTCGGGTGAAGTGGTCGAGACAGCCAGCGAGAGACGATGTTGCCACGGCGTCGCTCGTCTTGCTCGCCTTGGGTAGATCGGCCGCAAATGGGATGCTCGTATTCAAGTCGAGTGATATGTCGACGCACGGGTCATAAGTCGAGGACGTGAACCCGCAAGACATGCACGTCACGTCGGATCTCAATAGCCCCGAAAAAACCTGATGTGCAATGCATTGGCAATCCCCGTTTTCTGCACATACATTGCAACGAATTAGTTCCGAGCTCAAAAGCAACCGTTATAACAATTTTATTCTCGCAAAATTGCTTATCCGAATAACGTCATCTTTCAACTACTTATTTAATACCACGACAAGTCGATCTCATTAATTTTGATGACAAAAAACCTCCAGAAAAACATCATTTTTTCAACTACTTATCTAACACTACGACAAGTCGCTCTCATTAATTTTGAGGACAAAAAACCTCCCGAAAAACGTCATCGTTCAACTGCTTATCTAACACCACGACAAGTCGATCTCATTAATTTTGATGACAAAAAACCTCCTGAAAAACGTCATCTTTCAACTACTTATCGAACACCGCGACAAGTCGATCTCATTAATTTTGGCGACATAAAACCTCCTGAAACGGAAGTTTGTGACGCCAAAATAAAATTGATGTAATCTAGCGACAACAAATGCAGATTTTGTACACAATATTTCAATCAGCATTAAAGGAAATGATCAAAAGTCGAAGGGCGTCACCTTTAGTTGCGAGGCCTTTTTCTTTCCCCAATTTCTCATGGATCCTATCAACGATCGAAATAAAAAACTCATGAGCATCTTGCTGCTCATAACTAGCAAGATTTTCCGAATGCTGCCACCAGCTGCAAACAATTTCAACAACAATCAATCAATCAATCCATTCAGCTAACATCAACAACAAAAACAAGAAATGTTCCAACACACAATTCATCTACAAAAACAAATCGAAACCCCTCATTCAATCAAGCACCGCATAAAAGAAGTTCGAATCCCAAATCTAATCAACACAAACAACATTCCAACTCCAATTACCTAAGAATATACAACTATCAAGCACATTATGACATATTAAGATCGAACAAATCGACAAACACTAGCTAAGGTTAGAACTCATTGCAAAAGCAATACATCAAAATCGACGAACCTATAAAGAAACTTGGCGGGACTATACGGCGCCCGTTCGCCAGAGAAAACAGCCTCAAAGACAGTATCCATGTCACAAGGCAGGCACAATCCATTACCACCACCTACAGAAGTAGCTTTCCTGCAGATCTCCTGGCTATGGCCGCCGCCAAGAAAGTAGTTCCTCAGAGGAGGAGCATGGACCAATGCCTGCAACACAGAGTTCATAAAACAAGTGCTCCCAAGATTGTTCAATCCCCTCAATCCCAAAGGCAGAGACGATTTCGACATCTGTTTCCTCCTCGAATCCAAATCCACTCCGAAATCGAATCTCTTCTTCCTCTTCCCCAAAACAGTCTCATTCTGCCCCTTTCTTGAAAACCCCATCATCGCCATTTGTTTGGACACCACAAGCTTATCGAACTCAGGGTCATAAACCTGATCACTGCACGCACAGCAGTAAAGCTCAGCCCTCGCAATGTCCACAGCAATATCGTGACCGGGAAAGGATCGGCTATGGAGGAGGGTGTGATTTGGTAGATCCGGCAAAGTGCAGCAGCAACTGACGGAGGAGCAGATCAAGCACATCAAGAATCGGCCATGGCGGCTTGCTGAACAGGAACTCGATTTAGGGTTTTTTAGTTCTATCATTGCCCTGCCACTTGGGCTGCACTTCAACAAAGCTTGGATCGATTTGTATCCATTTGTACTATGCTGAAGCTTGTAATCCAACAGATGCTTGCACAGCTTAAAGTTCGTCTGCGAATTTCTTGGTGACATTTGATTACCAAAAAATGAAAATGAAAAATCAATCTGAAGTCCTGGATGAGAACCCGAGCAATTACTGGAAGAAAATGAATATGATTGGACCCCCAAAAGAATTAATTCAATGAATTAACGAAAGAATGAAGAAATCAATCAACGCCCAGAATCAACGAAACAATCGGGTTTGATCCGATGGGATTGAGAATTCAATGAAGATAGGAAAGAGATTTGGATTGAATTATCAAGCAGAGAGCGGAGGAGACGAGAGGGGAGAGGTGTTGGAGGCAAAGGGAAAGGGAAAGGGAAAGGAAAAGAGATGACTAATGGAGGCGTAGACCGACTCTGGTTATCGGTGTGCGACTCGATTTTTCCTTTTCTTTGGTGGAAAGATCTCAGCCGTACATCTTGATGAATGATTGATGTGGACCGTCGATTGGAATTATACAAGGGTTCTCTCTTTCTCTCTCCTTGACTATGAAGGACTAGAAAAATAAAAATGTCCAACAAGACGATGAAAAAATTAAAATTTGGTTAACAAAATAAATTAAAATTTAAACATTTACAAGGACTATGCTCATATTGAAATATAATAAAAAAAAAAAAAATTAAAAATACAGTTTTTGCCCCCATTCAATCCGGGGGGGGGGGGTCAATTTATTATAAAAATATGAATTTAATTACTCGATTTTGTAGTAAGCGACGGTATCTAGGAGTGAGTAGATTGACCTTGAAATAACAAAGATTAATTGCTATTGCTATAAAGAAAATTCTTATTTTATTTTTATTACCTTTTTTATTAATAATTAGAAACAATTCGAAAGAACCGGCCAAAAACACATGCATGCTATATCATGAAAAATGCTATGTAGATAAGTCCCGGACCGAAAAAGCGTTTTCAATCTGAAATCAATTGGTATTAGATTAATAGATTAAGCGGCCTTAGACAATATTCAACAATTCCAAACGAGACCTATTCCAAATGGTGAAATTTCAAATGTATCTACAAGTTCTTGATCAATCAATCAAACCCATTTGAGCAATCAAAAAAACACTCACAAAACAACTTGGTACAATTGTAAAAATTGGACAATGCATAAACAATCTCGTATGGTAAGTTGTTACACATGACATGGAACTTGGAAGTTCTAAAAATCGATAATGGATGATGTCCTCCTGTTCTATCCTGTCTTTTCCATGGAAACAAACAGATTCTTGTTTGTAAGGCCAGCAGTAGAGTAGAGAAATTCTTCAAACATAGAGAGGTAATACAAATCAAATAGAAACAAGAACAAACTCGCCTTCTGTTCGACTCAACTATTATCGAATTAGAATAGGATAAATGCCACAGGATGGATCATTCTTTTCTGGCATTCGCCTTCTCCATACATTCAGTAAAATCCGGGGATACCTCCGCCAGAAAACTCGACTTCCTGTAGAGGAGAGCAGATAAAGAAAAGGTTTCAGAAATTGTAAAGGTAATTAATTCTCTTCAGTCCCAATTCTATCCTATCACAATAATCAATTTATCTTCACCAAAAAAACTCCAACAAGTCATTAGCTTATAATGTGTTTGTTCATATGTATGATTCCAGGACTTTGAAGCTATAATCACACACATGCCTAGTATGTGAAACTATGGCAATTAAATGTTTGAGCGAAACTATCATTACTTGTGAAGGCCAAAGAATTTGTGTGATGTAAATGAAATCGAATGAAGTGCAAAATCAAACCTGTGGTGGAGGCAAAGATGAAACCCAATCTGATACATGAGTTGGGAGAAGACCAAGTGTGTTAAGCTGTCAACGCCATATAAAAATCATCACGCTTTCAAACATGCTTCAAAATGATATGCGATAGTAAAAAACTATTTCAACAGATTTAGAAATCGAACCTTCCAGATGCCCATTCCTAGCCCAGCCAAGTTAAGGGCAATGAACACTAATTTAGGAGCCAAAAGATCCACCTTATTGTCTTTGTAAGGCTCAAAAACTACAGAATCAAAGTAACAATTGTTAAGAAAAAACCTCTAGTCATGGTTAAGTCTACCAAATATTTCACAAAAATGTATAAAATTAAACTGCCAAATAATTTTACGAGACAATTCAATCCCTCTTGAATATTTATATTTCCATTTACAACATAAAACATATCTTCTCAACCGAATTAAATTGACATACATGTGAATTACATAGTCAATACTTTCTGTCAAACATCTACAATTAACTTCATTTGGAAGGATTCACACAAATAATTGCGACTCTTACTTTGATAACCAAAACAGAAGAAGTAAAGTCTAAATAGATTAGCTTAAACTGTAAATTAGAAGTCCATATTAAATGACGGCAATGCTACAGCCTCGCCTAAACCAGAACTTATGCAAACTAAAGACATGGAAAATGAGGAGTGGCAACTGAGGTTTTCTATATTGTTGTTTTGTAAAGTGAAATAAGTTCTCAAAATCGTGGTAGGCACAACTACAGAATCACACAAAAAGGAGGCCAAGCAACAAAGAACATCATAATTCAATTCAATAATATAAAATCAAATAAACAACCAAAGCACAGAAATGGATGTCACATCATGCTCACCTTTTCCAACCCCTCGAAGTGCATTAATCGGCTGCATAAGAGCCGACACTGTAATTCCAATGCTAAATAGATGAACAGTGCTTCCAGCCATCCACATCATAAAGCCCATCATGAACAAGTTCTTAAAAGGTGCTTGCGCAACTTCCCATGCTTTCTGTTCAAGTAATTCAATCTTCAATTGACAATCGAGGAAACATGATAGAAACAATTTTGTTTCGTGATTTTGATAATGATCACTCCAATCTACAGCCAAAATGGGAAGACTAGCTACTGCATCATTGATAATAGAACACAATACTACAAATCAACAAACCTAAACAACATATTGAACCACTAACTATAGTAGCTAATGAGATACCAGCAACGCCCCAAGTTCACAGAATTCTTTGAATCTAAGAAATCATTCGGGTTCTAGAGAGACAAAACCTTGTTGAATCTATTCTTCAATCGAAAAGATAAAAATGCTATAATTAACAAAAGTTGAACTTTAAGATAATTAAGTCACCTTCTATTCAAATTCAAATCAAATTTATTCAATCACAAAACCTTATATACTAAGATCTAAAACTGATCCTCCACAATACTGTCATCCAATCATTTAATAGCATATGCTTTATATATTACAAATAAAATTAACCAAATGAAATATAGATTTAAGAGCCCTGATCATTACTACTTAAATAAAACAAACCACACGACCTAACACCCTAAAGCACTCCTAAGATACACGTTTTTAGAACTGAAGTGTTCTTAGGATAAAGGATGCCCAAAACTTATTTAATTGGAGCAAATTTTGGATCACAGGAGTTCCTAATGCTTCCATACATCCAAAGTTGGATACAGAAGAGATTCTATTCCCTTTTTCTCTAATCATCATCGATCCAAAAAAAATAAACTTATAACCAATATTCAAACAAAATTTCAATATATCAAAAACCTTACCATAAACACAAGAAACTCAAATCCACAATACACAATCAAATTAAAGAAAAACACTACGTGAGTTTCACCTGAGCTTTCCAGTTCGCTTCCGCGTCCTTCTTCTGTTTACTGGCAGCCGAGTCATCCTATATCAAAAGGAATCAAAGCTTTCCCGTCAACACCAGTATTAAATCAATTCACTCCCATCGAATCGAATCAAATCAAATACACAGACCTGTTCCTGCGATGCGCGAGTAAAACCAGGAGGATCGGGAATATCGCGGGTCGAATGCGACGTTGAGTTGTCCGTGAGCTCCACAGCCCACCGGCGGCCCGAGCCCATTACTGCTTTACCCTTGTCCATGTAAATCGGCTCACTCCGCCGTATGGAACTTTCTGCAACTGTGCGGCGGCGATTGGGAGAACGGATCTTTTTCGAATCCAACGTTTTTTAAGGCACTGTTTGGGTATGTATTTGAGTGAAATTGTGAAAACAACGATCTTTTCCTCTCTTAATTTAAAAAATAAAATATCTTATATAAGTTTTTCTTTTTTTTTTTTTTTCATGATGAAATTTATAATAAAAATATTTAAAACCATGAAGGTCCACATTATTTCTTTTTAATTTATAGTTTGTTTTTCAAAATTTTCAGCTAATTTTCGTTTATTATTCCCTGTCCTACATATATTATTCTTTGTTATTCATTATCTTATAAATTGAGAACTTCAATATAAACACATTTATGACAATAACCATTTCAATTATTTTTTTCTAAGCAATTCCAAATTTATCTAAATTTCCGACTATCCCTTACAAACAGCAATTTGGTGTGTTTGTTTTGTGTTTTGATTTGGAGTAATATTTTTTATACTAAATATAAAAATAAAATAAAATAAAAATTATATAAATAATATTAAAAAAATGATGAATGTATAATATATTAGATTTTTAGAAAAATGTATTTAAAAATTGTGTAAAAAACACTTGCTTGATTAATAATATCTCCACGTGGCTTTCTTTATTTATTTATTTTTAAAATGTCATTGTATACAACAAAATATCAACTAATTGAAAAATATCCGCTCCCGTTTGTGTGTGTAGGAATGTTTGATGCTACATATGAAACTGATGGGATTCACAGTATCACGGCTCTTTAGCAGCTGAGCAATTGTTCAGGCCTTTTCTCAAAAGGCCCATATTTTTAAATTTTAGTTTTTTATTATTATTATATATATTATTTAATTTTAATTCTAAAATCAAATTATAATTAGAATTTTTTTAAAAATTAATGTCATCTTCTTAGCAATTAGAATTCATAAATATTCTTAATGTCTACTATTATTAGATATATTATAATTTAATTTAAATTTTATTTCATAGTTTTATTTACAATTATTCAATCCAATTCTAATTCTAATAAACTCTAAAGATGTGTTTGTTTGGAGATTGAATTTTAAATACATTATTCTATCCTATTTTTTCCCTAAGAGCATCACATAAATATTTATTTATATCACTACCACTATTAAATTCAAAATTTTTACTATTCAAATTTTAACTCAAAATCCAAACCCCCCAAACAAACACATCACAAGAATTTTTGTAAAATTAATATCAAATCCAATTTCTATTCTAATAAACTTTAATCAGATTTTTTCTAAAATTAATTATATATTTTTGTAATTATTATTATTGAATTATTAGTTTCATAATAGTCCCTATATAATTTTATAATAGTCAAAATATGTATCAAGGACACATATTTCATTTATTTTATATATATATATATATATGTGATGAATATAAATTTATTTTTATGAAATTTATTATTATATTTCTCGTTAGTAGTTTTTTTTAAAAAAATAAAATTATAGGGGTCTATCTTTATTTTTTTCTCAGGGCCCTACAAATATTGAGCCGGCCCTGCACAGTACATTGATGGGAAATTTGAAGTAGCAAATTACGAGCATCCGAACACGTGTGGAGCGTATATTTCCTTAACATTACTCGATTATTAAGAAGAAGAATAATAATAATAATAATCATTCAAGTCTTCAACTTTAATGATATGCTCTCAATTGATGATAGGAAACAGTTGGGAAGAATCATTTAGTGAGTCAGTAAAGAAAATACACTTTTGGCCATTATTCTCCAAAATAATGAAACCAAAATTATTATAAGGAACAATAATGATGAATGATTAACCTAAAATAGTCATAAATAAATAAGGTGCTACAATTCATTCAGCACCTTCCTAACAACACCACCTCAAATATACATGAACAGCACATGAAATATAATCAGTACAAGATTTATGTTGACATATCAACTTATATAACATGATAATACTTCATACGACTATATTATATCTCAGCACAAAAAATATGTTAATACATTGCTACCAATCTATTTTTTATGAGTTGATTAAAGATTGATCACCCCAAACATTCCGTTAAAATACACAGATTTATCATCGTTATAATCCAAAGTATACTACAAACCTAACTAAATCATATTTGTTATTCACATAGTATGAATCAGTATTGTATCTCACAGTTGAATCCTCAACTTCTTATCAATTTTGCTGCCATTTACCATTTGGTTTTGCTATCTCTTGAGGGCCCTCATACATAACCAAACAAAAGACAAGTAGAAACACATGTTGCACAAAGGGCATGCTAAATTTAGACATGAATGATAGATAGATAGATAGATGCACCCCCTAGAAGAAACTAGACATTAACTATTACATACATTCAACGCAATTATGTATCCCCTTTAAACATGGTAATTAAGAGCTGCTTTGTACTCTCTCTCTCTCTCTCTAGGAAGGAGAGAGAACACAATAATGGACAGCCAACAGAGGCAATCAAATAATCTTGCTTTCCTGTGTCACAACTCATATCCAAACAGCAGTGAGGACCAAATAAAGTGCACACTGTACACAGCTCAAGAAAGAACAATCCAACACTGAAATCTTTAAAGCCAACCAACTACAAACAAAGACATGCAATTATTGATCACCCTACTTTTTGGCCAGCAATGTTTATTCTCGTAAGAGAATTTACCCATTTCATTTTATATCCTTTATTTTCCTTTTTTATCCATTTTGGCAGGGTCAGTGATTAGTGATTCGATACACATATTTCACCTTGTCAATAACCATACAGACACTTCCCCAGATAAGGTTTTTAGAACCAACCATAGGTAAAGGAAAAACAACAATGGGAAAGGAGGACCACCACACAGTAGGTTCATATGTGAAATATAAAATCTATTCTAAGTAAAAGATTTTTGGCAAATTTCCAAACTTTTTTGATCAAAGATACTATAACTATTGCTAATGTTCATTCATACGTTCAACCATCTATTTATTTGTTTGTTCATTTCTGTCTAACCATCCAATTTTCAATCTATTGCAACACTGAGTAATCTAGTTTCGGCCCTAGAAATCTAAGCTAACACTTGTTTGGGGATAAACGCAAGGCAAGAAACAAAGTGTGTGGTCCTTTGTGTTTTCAATCCCATTTTTACTATGCAATCTTCATGTCTTTCCCAAAAACTTCTTCATTTTCAAAACTTTAGACTCATAAACAATCACATCCAAATATATTTCCACTCAAATCTTTTCAAATCCAAAGAAAGACAAATTTGATCCTTCTGGATTATTGTAATCTGTATCCAATACAACATTAAAAACAAAAGGACCATCACCGCAGAGCTCTCTAACCTAGAAAAGAACCATCTGGGCACAAAGAACCAAGAAGTTGCAAAGTATGTTACAGACATTTAATGAAGTGCACCCCACACAAGAATGTCATGTCAGCCATCAAATAGTAAATGCCAAACGAAGCATAACTTTCAGCAATCAAAGCAATTTGTCAGCCCTTTTATGTTCAACAGCTGTTTGAGTTTTATGACATACTATCATTGCCCTGAAATATTTTTTGGCCTTTCAATTCATGTCATGTCACAGATGTTGAAGAGCAAGCTGCTCTAGTAATTGAAATGAATGAATTCAGTCTTGAATCTCTTAACAGCAGATTTTTTAACACAGAAATTGAAATACAAATAACAGAGTAGAGAAATGAATGAATTCAGCCTTGAATCTCTTAACAACAGATTTTTTAACACAGAAGTTGAAACACAAATAACAGAGTAGAGATTTTTAATAATTAAGAAGGAGTTTTGAATCAATGCTGCTAAAACAGCCAATATTATCTATCTACACCGATGCATATTTTCTCAATTCCAAGGGACTCCACCATTATCATCACTATGAAAATTCAGAGAGTTACCTGAAAGGAGAAACCAGAAATATCTTGAATATTATCACTGTTCGAGATCCTCATTCTCACTTTCACCACTGCTATTGACAGGCAAAACCTTACTTGTTGGAGTGGCGCTATCAACGTAGGTTGCTGAATTCAATTCCATTTGGCTAATGCGAACCGCACCAAACAACTTCTCCGGTAATTCCTCGTTGGACTGCGCCTCCACCAAAAATCCCATATCCACCGTCACGGCTGATGCACAACCTAAAGCAAGCTTCAAAATAGCCGCAGCGATGGCAGAGCTTCCGATATCAACATCGATTTCAAGATAATTCGGTCCCCGGTGGTAGTAGCAGTTTAACGCCTTGCCCAATAGACACGCGGAGTAATTTCCCACGGCCGTCTTCACAATCCACGGACCTTTCACGATTTTATTCACGAGCTTGAAACGGCTATTACGAAATGCATCTGATCCATTGATGAACTGATACAGCAGAGAATTTGAGTCGATCGGCTCATCTACTTTGCTGGAGAAATAAAAAACCGCGGAGTAATGATCACGACCGGGGACTTGGAGATTCACCGCAATGACAAAATCCTTGAACGATTTCTCGCAATTCCTCGACCTACGCAACGCGTTCATGACGCGATTGTCAGGTCGGGCAAGGACGTGATCGAGTTTCGCATTGGATCGGAGCCAATCAACCCCTGCCGGATTGAGTAGCCACTCGCCGGAAGGAAGCTTGGCCTTCTTCGTTAAGTAATCGGGTCCACGGAGGAAGAATAGCTCGCCCGGCGGCGACGCCCAGCCGTTGGATCCAGTATCAAGGTTCACATGTTTCAAGGATCCTCCATTAATTGCTTCTTCCCTCCAATCCTCTATGGGAACCGCGGAGGAGGTAGAAGAGCAGTGGTGGCGCTTCTGCTTGGCTTTTGAAGGGCACATTTTTTCGATAGAACGGCATAGGAAAGCTCCGCCGTGAGAGAACGACGGTGGAGCGGCACAGGTTGCGTGGGGAATGGGGTTTTGTGGCTTAAATAAAAGAAATGGCGGAAAAGGCCAAACATGTGCTGTTTGTTATCTAAAATGACAAGAAAGTCCCCTATTTCCTTAAATTTAATATTTTCCACCTACATAGAATCATATATCTATTCACCTTGATTTTGGCATGCCCGTCCGTGGCCATTTGTGATATTTCCTTTCCTACTTCTCCTTTTTTTTTTTAATTTTATTTTATTGTGGGTTCAATTTCTACCGGTGCAAATCTTGAATTAAATATATATATATATATATATATATATTAGTTACTCCTCGGCCCACAGCCCCTCAAGGTGTGATCTAAACTTAAAAACTCTAATAGGTTACAAATGACAAGACATTAGATACAAAAGACATACACATACACACCCAACCTTATTGACTTCTCCTACACAATATTATGCTAAACATACTTCAAGCCAAAGACATTAAAGGTAAAAGTTATGAGAAAGACCAACAACCAAACCTCAAGAGTTGGTCTTAGTTTCATTTCTGCTTTCCAAGTATTTTGATTCTCTAATTTATATCCAAGTTACAAGTCAAAATTCAGAAATACAATGTACAGAGATGAAGAAGCATTCATGACACTATTCCTAGTGGCCAAGTATCAAAATACCTTCTGGTTTTAATTCTAAAGTCCAACAGGTGTGCAGAATACCTAAAAGAGATTGAGTGTAAGTTTAATTCGACAGGCCTAAGCAAAACTTCAATCAATGGACTACCAAGTATTCGTGTTAAATTAGTAATGCAGATAAAAGATACAAGATTACCATCAATGCCTTCTTGTAAATCTTCTCATGAGTTTGAATTTAGTCCCACTGAAAGATAGGGGGTGTTGAAGCAACAAAATAATTATCGATTAGGATCCGTTAGTTGCAATTTGAAACTTCTGTCTCATTCAGACAACAAATGGCCATCCAATCATCTAATCAACTAATGTAACTGTTTTGTCGTCGCTGCATGTATAATCACAATTATGAAACACCATTATATTGCGATAATTACAAAATGCCAAACATCCAAGCCACCTAACAGGGTAAACTTCATCTCCATCAAGTAATTAATGAGCAAATCACCAAGAAGACTCCTTAATAGGGAATAAATCAATCATCCAAAATACATATTTGATAACATTATTATTCCAGGCAATAATGATACAAGTTTAACAGACAACTTGGATATTCTTATGCAAGGAACAAAACTTAAGCTCACACAGCCAATAATAGAGTCGGGTAATTTTTCAATTACCCCAGAAGGATTATATAGAGCCCAGTAAGAAAGACATGTGACTTGACAATATAAAACTAACTATATGAGCACGAATTTAAATCCAAGGAGGCATATACAAATTTGGATTTCACATGACACTGTCTACTAAGGAAGAATCACAGTAAGTTGTTTGACATATACAAAACTGTTACAATTGTTGGAAACATCACAAACAAATCAAAGCTGTTCTATATTCATAATAGATACACACTCTAATCCTAAATTTGAAGCCCGTAAGAAAAGATTCAGCACATGAGCTGTTTGAGGGGAACTGCAACATCCTCCAGATGAATAATTTGCATGATACCACGCTAAAATTTTCAACAAGAGAAGGAATATCAGGATAAGAAATAAATTGTATTGTCTGATACTACGACAAAGGCAATCAAAATACTGATTTGTCCCGTAAGGGATGGCCTGATGGTGTAGGGGTTGGACTTGCGACCGTTAGGTCATTGGTTCAAATCCCCGACGCCTCAGGTCACCTGCCACACATGGTTCGCCTAACGTGACTTTCCTGTCGGGCCTGATTTGTAGGGTATTAAGTTCGGTCGGAAATTTACCCAGTACGCACTTTCATGATTTTGTTTCATGATTATTATTATTACTAAAAGGCATAACCAAAGCATGTGAATATGGGATACGAAACCATCTAAACTGTCTCAACACATAATCAAGGCATTGTGCAGCTCTATAGTTACAAGTCCCCAAATTCTTCTTCAATGGTGAAGCAAAACTTAATGAAATGAATTTGAAGAGTGTTATGCTTCTGATTCTACATTCTACACAGTGGATATAGCTAATGAAATCTATTCAGAACTGCTACTTACAATTTACAAAATCAACGGACAATTTCCCAACTCAATGCCATCAGTCGCTCACTCAATCCCTCGTGGATTTGGAAGAAGCTTCATATTAAAGTTTTCTCTCTATTTCTCCTCTGAACCAACTAAAAAGCAGAAACTTCAACTTAGTCACACACTAAGCCATCAATTATAACTACGAAGAACAAAACTATGAAAAAGTGATCACTATCTGGATAAATCAAAAGAAACTGAGGGAAGTATGAACCTAAAAATTACTTTTAAAGATAAAACAAAGTTGCAAATCAAGAGGAACAATAATTAAGGTCTATTCCTTTGTGTTTTAGCTATTATTTACTCACTATGCAGAAAAACATTTAACCCCTATGGGCGTTTGTTCTATGTTTTTTCTATCATGCAGCATATATTTTCCATATGAATCATTACATCTAATTAACAATTTCAACTCTAAAATATGAAAACCAACAACATAAAAGAACACGCTCAAAATATCACATTAATACATATTTCTATTCAAAACTAAACACATATTTTCAAGCCAATTAACAATCCAAAACTCCCATAACACTCCAAGACACACTATAAGAGTTTCTTCAACTTCATCAGCTGCCAAACAATCTGTTAAGCTCAAACCAGACTAGCTAAACTAACAATATCTACATCCAGATTCCAGGGATAAACTCAACGCCATAATAAATTATTGCACCAAATTGTCCTCCGGAATGCTTACCTCTTCTGTACTCCTTCGTCTACTGCCTTTTTGCTCTGCCCGGCTGCTTCTCAGTTGCTAGTCTATAAATCCAGTAAACCTAAAAAAACGCCATAGCATATGCACATCAACAGACGGAGACAATTGCAAGTTGGATGAAACTAAACATACAAAGGACCCAACGACAGAGATACGGCAGGTGCCAACCAACGCGAGGACGTGAGCACCAATGAGGAAAACGACCATCAGAGGAACGAGATCGAGAAACCATGGTCGAATCGATCCTTCCAGGGAATTCACCATTAAATTTGCTCCTGCAGATCAAATCAAAATGTTGCCAACCTCGAGTCCTTGATTTCTACGCCTTGTCGGTGAAGTTATGTTTTCACCCTCGCGGCTCAACACTGGTGTTTGTTTCGTCTGTTAAATTTGAAATATTTTATATATATGTATTTTAGTTACAATTCAAAGTCTTTTTTTTTTATTTATTTATAATAATTTATTAAATATGGGATCTGGCAATATTAAAAAAATATATATAAAACGAAGGTGGATGAATGTATATATATGTATAATTTAAAGTCTTTTTTTTAAAAACGAAGGTGGATGAATGTATGAATGTATAATTTATTATATATATGTATTTTAGTTACAATTCAAAGTCTTTTTTTTTATATATATAATTTTTTTTATTATATAAAACGAAGCCTTGACATTTTATTTGGAAGTACATATGTATTTGTGTAAAGTCCTACTGGTAAAAGCTTCAAGGTGGATGAATGTATGCTTCAACCATTATGGCATGACTAACCCAACTTACACCAACTATTTCCCAAATTTAAATATAATTTGGAAAAAAAAATTATATCTGTTTATTTGAAATCTAGATTTAGTTTTTATATATTCTATAAAAATGTATTTTTTTAAAAAAAATAAATAAAATTGTATTCAAAGTATTGTTGGAAGAAAAATTCAAAACCAAAACAAACAATAACAAAAACAAAAATAATAATAATAATAATAATAATAATAATAATAATAATAATAAAATCCCTATATATTTCAATAATTTACAATTGATCAAAGCTAGTAGCGTCATATTAGAATAATTCACCTAATATATAACTCAATGGTAAAATTGTCTACACCACTACTACTAAAAAAACATTATAATTATGGATAATGAATTATAGACTATTTATTTGAAATTTATTATTATTTTTATTATGTAATGATCATAATTTATCTTACAAAAAAATTATATCTAAAATACTATTTAAATTCAAATACGATTTAAATAAAAAAAATGCAAAGATTAATGAATAATAAATAAAAATAAAAATATATAAATTTATAATCGTGAAGTGAACGCAATTTAAATAAAAATATATAATATTTTTTTATATAAAATATCACAAAGTAATATTTAATTTTAAATTTTAAATTCATATCTAAGCACTGCTACTTTTACTGTAAAAGTACCATCTCCGCCTTTGCTCCCCAATCGTAAAATTTGCATATTTCTTTTGTTTCATGAAAAAAACTATACTCCTGTAATAAAAATAATAGTAATAAATAAAAGAAAGGCAATAATTAATTCCCAACAAACCCCCTCCACCTTCTGCTCTTTCATATTTGTCTTTTCTTCTCAATTTGTGTCTTCTCTCTCGCCCACTTGCTCAATCTTTCAGGTAGTTTTTCTCTCTGATTCTTGCATACATTCGATCACTCTCTGTGTTCGTGTTTTCTATTTTTTGTGTTCATCGTGATTGAACCTTTTTTTCGTGTAGAAATCGATCGAATTATAACTGATTGCCACGAAAGAAATCGAATGAGGAGATGGTTTATTTATCCTGCTAGCTTTTTTTGTTCGGCGTTGCTTGATGAAATGATAGCTTTGTTGTAAAGTCCACAGGAGGAAATGGGATGTTGTGAATTGTTTGAAAATTTTAAGGCATGTTTTGTGTGCATTCGTGTTTGATAGATCTATTGTTGGAGCTGCCTAGTTTGATTTGATTTATTTTAGTTTCTGGTTGATTTTCTATGTTATTCTTCATTTCTGCAGATTGGGTTGGACACTCCGCGGATTGAGGCTACTTTGGGTGCGGTGACGGTGTTGTGATCTTGTCGTTCTAGCGTTTATCCACTCATCTGTCGATATTCTCAACGGAGATACACATAAAGAAGTTAGTTGCCTTTTTTTTTTGGTTATTATTATTATTTCTTAATTATTTGATGAGTTAAAGGTCAATGCATTAAAGCGATTAAGGGATTTATAACAAAGAGTTTGGGACAAATTGGTTGCATGGATTATCTGAATTCAGTGTTTTTGCAATCCACAAGAGAAGTCCATGCTGGTGATGCACTAGTTAGTGGTGGCGGCATCAGGTGATCTTCTTGCCTTATGCAATTTGCAGTAGTCTTGTTGTTCCATGTTTGTTTCTGTTAATTTGATCAATGTATTGTCCAATGGTGGTGTATTTAGGTTTGGATATGTTTGTTTATATGACTATCAATCAAGTCAGCTGCTGGTTTGTTTTATTGTGGCTTCATTTTATCAAGATCATTGAGTGCATATGAACCAAGTAAATGCATGCCTGAACTGATCATCAACCCCCACCCTCCAAACACGCCGTATAATGTTTTTCATTGATGTGTGTGCGTCTGGTGGAAGAATTAAAAAGCTTGTCTATTATAGTTTCCTTAGTTCCTGTAAGAAGTCGTCCTTGATTGGTGGTTGTTTTGATTATCTTATATATGTGATGTGATGTGATTGAAGTTGTTGGTTGGTCATATTAAACGGTGCCGCATTTTATCGGGCTACTTGTGCTTGGATATATCTGGGGAATAGTGCTTGTTTCTATTTAATAAAGAATTGACATTATACATCTGTCACGTGCGCCTATGCTGCGAAATCCAGTTGCTTGCGCATTATAATTCTACTATGACGTGGATTGTGCTTGTGGGTGTGGACCGTAAATGCTTTTGGAAATATTCAATGTCTATGATGTAATGAGCTTCGTGTATTTTCTGGTTGCCGAATTCACCACACGACATGACGTCTTTGGCTTTTTGTTAATAGTGGATTATAATATTTACATAAGGCACCTTTATTTTGGTTTTTGTAGTTTTGTTGGATTACTTAGATTGAATATTTGGCTTAAATTTGTAATTTCAGTTGTTATTTTAGTCTCAACGATCTATCATTATATTTTTATACTTGTGTCCACACAGTGAGAATGGAAAGTTCAGCTATGGATATGCGAGCTCTCCAGGAAAAAGGTCTTCAATGGAGGATTTCTATGAGACAAGGATTGATGGCGTAGATGGAGAAGTGGTTGGTCTCTTTGGTGTCTTTGATGGTCAATCTCCCTCCCTCTCTCCCTCTCTCTCTGTTTATGTGTGTGTGAGTGCATGCAGCTGTGTGCATCTCTTTTTGGGTGTAGCACACATGCCTTTACACGTTGTTCATGAAGGGCTATAAAGAAAACTTATCATAAATTGAGCTATATAAGGCCAGTGCAAAATTGTGAAATTTTCCTTTTTGTCTGGGTTGGTAAGGCATTGGGACAGGTGATCTAAATAAAGTATATTTCCGTCCACTTGTGCCGAGAAAGATAAGTAGAACTTTTCTAACTATAGTAACACATATTGGGGGTATTAGATTCCAATGCTTATTCATGTATGATGGATTAGGAATTTCATTTATATTTGTTTTTCAAAATAAGAGTAGCTCGTGGTGTTTAATTCGAATGTTTTTATCCTTAAAAGAGTGATCGGAGAATATGAAATCCTGTCTCAACATGTGAGCCAGATATCTTAAACTTATTTTTTAAATGTTTTTTGCTCAACTTGAAGTTTGAAATTCTCTTTTCATTAAGTTATCTTGAGTAATGATTTTTCCTATTCCTTAATACGCAATTTTCATTGTCACATTTCAATTTCTAGGTCAAGTATATACTGTGAGTTGACGGTGAGTATATTTAAGAATCCATAAAAGTTATTCCCTCTTAATACCAGAACTATGAACTTGTATGTTATACTTGAGTTGTTTCTGCTTTGTCATGCTCTATTTTGTATTTTGAGTGGTCTATATCTGGCAAGTAGTCACTGTACATCTGTCGTAATTTCAGGTCATGGTGGAGCTCGAGCTGCAGAATATGTCAAACAAAATCTTTTCAGTAACCTTATCGGACACCCAAAGTTTATATCTGATACTAAATCAGCCATAGGTTTGTCTTGTGAATTGTGATATAGATTATTGTGAGGATTTGCTACCACCACATTCTTTCCGTTTCTCTTTAGCATTATATTTTTTCTTACTCTCTAATTTTTATTATTATTTTCTTTTTCAGCTGATGCGTACAACCGTACTGACTCAGAATTCTTGAAATCTGAAGACAGCCAGAATAGGGATGCCGGGTCTACTGCTTCCACTGCTATACTTGTTGGTGACCGCTTGCTGGTGGCAAATGTTGGAGATTCAAGGGCTGTTATTTGCCGGGGTGGTAATGGTAAGTATTGGATACTTTTGTTTTGAATATGTCTATAGTTTGTCACCTGACAACTTCATATTGTTTTCATTCTATCAGTCTCTTTCGTTTGCTTTTCTGATAGATCTTTTGGTATTAGCCCTTTAGAAGTCTTGGGTGATAAAAAAAATAAAAATATACCACCAGCTGTCTTTAAATAACTTGCATTGGTTATGTAATTTACTATTTTAGTTGTGAGTTCCAAAGTATACAAACTCATGGTGAAGAGATGTTTTGAGCTATACCGAAAGATGAATCTGGGATAGAAAACACCAAATCAGGATTGAAATCAGACTGGAAAGCTGTATGGTTAAATTTGAGTGTTAGATTTACACATTCTTAAGTCAGTTAATTTCTAAGTTGTTGTTTGTAATGTATGACTTTTATTGGATGTTTCTCTCACTTGCTGGTTTTATTGTATATGGCAGCTATCGCAGTCTCTCGAGATCACAAACCAGATCAAATAGATGAAAGACAAAGAATCGAAGATGCTGGAGGTTTTGTGATGTGGGCAGGTGAACTGATTGAAGGCTTGTTTTCTGTTTGATTGCTACTATTTAGCAAGGGAGGCAATTTCTGTGTTCCTGTTAGTGTTTGTGTGTATATATATATGGCTTACCCATCATTTTATATTTATCAGGAACTTGGAGGGTTGGGGGAGTGCTTGCAGTATCTCGTGCCTTTGGTGATAGACTTCTAAAACAGTTTGTGGTTGCTGAACCCGATATCCAGGTGTGTGTAAAGTTTATTTTTAAGAAACAGTTTACAGAATGCTGAAAAATTATCATGTCAGTTGGAAAGTGAGATTTCCACTTTCTAGAGAAAGTGGACTTTATTGTCCACCATTCATGTTGTTCCTTATGTGTGCTGTGAGATTCTATTTCTAGCTTCATGATATTTTTATGCTAGATTCATTTTTACCATTTCCAGAGAGGAAGGGACCTTATTTTCTTTCACATGAATATACATAAACTAAAATATTTATATCTAAGGTGGTCCTTGGTAAAGAAACTGAATGGATACTGAAATGTGAGTAATATCAAATGATGCATAAGTATTTGATAATTAATCTGCTGTATGAAAATCTTATATTTAAGGATTGTTTGAGATTATTTTTGTGAAAATTGTTTTATTAGAAAGATTTTATAATTTCAATATTATTACTACATAAAAAAATTACTAGTATTTAATTTTAGTCTATATTCGAATACTTAATACTAAATATTTGTTCTTTAGATATTATGGTTTCTATTATTTCAACTAAGATATTCTATTATTAACTCATTAACAAATCACAAATATTTGATCTTTATTTGACCACAGCCATTATTTCCTTGTCAAACAAGGATTAATCTCTACGATTAAGTGATAAGTCTTTGTCACATCCATAACATGTCGGCATGATGTTTCTAAACCATGTGAGGCAGTCCAGTGCCGGTGGTTTGATAGCACAGTTCATGTGTTTTTTTATGTGTTTTGGGATTGTTTTGTATCGAATATATATATATATATTTTCTAATAATGCAAAAGAATATGTTGAAGATGTAAGTGCACATTCATTTTTATGTTGAAGTGAATTAATTTGAAGAAATACCCTTGACAGATGATGATCTTTCTGTGCCACACTAACCTATCTCGACATGGAATGCAGGAAGAAAAAGTCGATGACACCCTTGAATTTCTTATCCTTGCAAGCGATGGACTTTGGGATGTAGTAAAAAATGAGGTGCCACAACATGCTGTTGTCCCAATCTTTTGCACTTTTTCCATTTTTTGTGAGAACATATAATAATCGTTCTCATTCATACTTTTCCAGGAAGCCGTTTCTATGACAAAGCCGATCCAAAATCCAGAAGAAGCAGCAAAAAGGCTGCTGCAGGAAGCAAATCAGAGAGGCAGCGCAGATAACATAACCATCGTTATAGTCCGGTTTCTGGCAAACCAGGAGGAGGAGCCTTCAAATGCTCGCTCTGGTTAGAAAGCGAGAGTCATGGTCCGTCCGGTTATTTAGGACGAATTGCTGAACGACAAAAATAGAAAAAGGTACTTTTTCCTTAACAAAATTTAGAGTTACAGACATACATTAATATCTATGTGTTGTTGACTTGAGTTGGAAACCTTGCATGCACTTAAGTAACTGTTACTTGACATTTCTGTACTGAATGGTTTATTATATATATGTATGTATGTATTTGAATTGTAAAAAATCTGTGTTTGTTGTTTTCAGTTATAAGGACATAAAATGAGTTTTGTGGGCTGCTTACACTTATGTTTAGGTAAAGTGACTTGTTAAATGTGTCGATGATAAATCAAGGGTAAAATGTTTGATGCTGGTATTGAATTAATGAGTTTACTTGGTCAGGAAAATTCAAATTGAAACAAGATATCTATATTTATTTAAGTGTTTGAAATTACATTTTTTATTAAATTTAACCTGTGTGATACAAGAAAATTTTATAGTGGATTAATTTGTCCAAACAAACTCCCGTTAAAAAATATACATATTAGTTTTTATGCTTATTTTGTATATATAGATGTGTTTTGGGTTGTGGATTTTAGTTAAATTAAATTTGAAGGGCAAGACTGTTGAATCAAACTTAAATAAATAAATAAGAATACACAAAAACCAGCTTCAAAAGAGAATAGAATGAATGGCAAGGAACACTTGAAAGAAGCAGCCATTACAGTGGTGTACGGTACCTGAGTTGAATATATATATATATATATATATATTTATCATCTTCATCATCGTCAGCACAACACTCACCAGGAATGGAATCCAAAATATCATCATGGGAACACGTAAAAGATAGGAAAAACAACTTGGATTCCCAGGCACCGCACCACACCACAACCACAATGTGCTGTTCAAATGAAGATGAGAACGTAAAATAAGCTTAGCTGCCGCCCCTGAGAGCAAGAACCAAATGGAGAACCGAACCACCTTCAATGTTGTAGTCTTTGGCAGTTTTGTCGTCTGCCAGCTGCTTTCCCGCGTATATCAGCCTAAGATCAACAATAAACACCATTCTCACAAATCAATGGAAAAAGGGAAAAGGAAAATGGATAGACTGATCCAGTCCCTCCCACCACAAGAAAAAGTTCGCCATCTAAAATGAAATGTCTAGTTCCTAATGTTCGATATGATATTTAGCAAAGGAAGAAGACGATGAAGATGATAAATGTATACATATGCAACATATGCAGTGTTTAGATACATGAAAAACAGCATATGCAAGAAGAAGAATCAAATCTCTAGGTATGCAAAACGACATAATTTATCGAGGAGAGTTTTAAGCACATTATTAGTCCCAAGAAAATGCTTCAAAAATAAAAACACAAGGGAAAGTAATGTCAAAACGAACCTTTGCTGCACTGGAGGAATGCCTTCTTTCTCCTCAACACGTTCCTTGATCCGGTCAATGGTGTCTGTCGGCTCGATATCAATTTCAATTTCTTTTCCTGTAAGGGTTTTTACTTTGATCATTGTTCCTCCTCTAAGCCCCATAGTAAGGTGTAGTGTTGATGCCTTTTTAATGTTGTAATCTGCCAGAGGTCTCTCATCTTCCAACATTTTACCAGCAAATATGAGCTTCTGCTCCTCCATACATGAGCTCTCTATTTCCTGAGAACATCAGTTCTCTCTCCATCAGATAATCTATGGTTAAATAACAACTGAAAAAAAGACAGGGAAGAGAAAAACTATATATATAATTATATATATCCATTGTTCAGCTCATATAAACTCAACAATAACATGGATGATACGAGACTACCAATCTACTGCAAAAACAGTTTAAGAAAGGTTCATCTGCATCAATCACTGGTTGAAAAGAATTCCACAAGAAATTGCGTTAACATTAACAAATTTGTTGCAGAAATAATCCGCAAATTCAAGGAAGCAAATAAACTACAACATACGATTAGCCATAAGTATAAATGCTTGAATATCAAGCAACTTCTATATTTCAAACACACAGTCGATCAAAATCTAAGCATCTTTACACAATAATAGGCCGTATTTCAATTCCAAGAGCATACATACAGCACAGCACATCTACGGTCTACCACCAGAAACAAATCGATAAGAAATCAGAGAAAGTTCAGCCAAAAGCTCAAGCATAACTCCACAAACAAAATTATCAATAACAACAGCAAGCACAACGAGAAGGATCGGAGCTTACAAAATTCCAGAGACACAATAACTCCACATCACAGCAAAATTATCACCAACAATAACAAACAAACGCCACACATAAACGTGGAAAACCACCATCAAATCAAAAAATCACAACCTGAATTAAAACACACACATGAAAACAAAGTGTAGACACACATTGAGTACACACCTCAATCATCGCCTTCACAGTTTCAGCGGTATCGCTGCACTCGACATCAAGCGCGGTCGTTGTTCCGTTCAACTTTTTGATGAAGATCTGCATCTTTTCACTGGATGATTTCTACGTCGCTCTCTGAGATTCTCGGGTCGACCAACCACCGCTCCTCGATCGGAGAATCTGAGCAGATTGACGACGGAGGAGCGTCGTGAGCTGCGCTATTTATGGGCTGCAAACATGGGCCACATCAGATTTGGGCCTTTCTTTATGGGCCCTACAATTATTCTCCACTCACTGTCACTTTTATTCTCGCTTATATAATATTTCATTGTTCATATTCTTATCTTAAAAAAATATATATATATATATATATATATATAGAATATATTAAAGAATACCACAATTGTTTTTATTTAAAAATATTCAATTTTATAAATTAGTTAAATTTAAATTTTGAATATTCCATTGCCAGTGGAGGAGAATTAGTGAATAATTTTCAAGACAATATATATTTTATATACATATACCAAAAAGATAAAAAGACATTTACAATATAATAATATATTGAATAGGTTCTTGCCCTCTTGGCAATTTGAAGCATCTTACAATTCGGATTCACATAAGTATTTTGAGGGTAAATTATTGTATATGAATTTAACTATATATTATATAATACTAATAAATTTATAATATAATTTGTTTTTATACATATCAACTCAAATGTAAATATATAAAAAACATATATGCCCAAATTTCTTTTTTTTTTTTTTTTTTTTTCATTTTTACTCTATTTCAACGCCCTGCAATATTTTTTTTTATTTGTTTCAAATTTACTGCAACATTATATATATATAAATATACACTTCACTTTATCTCATTACATCACTCAAAAGAAATAATCATTTCTCTATCTAATCTGGTAACTTAATATCCAAATTATCTCAAATTACCATATTTAATAATCTCCATCTAAATTCTTATGACAAACACAAATATTGCACGATGTTTGGGACTAATATTAGTTTACAGAGAATTAAAAAAATATAACTATTATTATGTAAAATAATTTATATAAAAGTTATATAAATAACTTCTTCTTTTTTGTTTTTTTTTTTTTTTTTACCTAATTTTGGAATATTTGGAATGAGTTATGGGTATATGGTCCTATTCCAAATTATACAATTTTATAACGAAAATGATGGGTATTTTTAGGGAAACCGAAATATTATTGTAAAAAAACAAATGTGTTGTTTGTTTGATTTTTAATAGTATGTAGATTTTTCCTTTGGATGTTTTTCAGTAGAATAAATACTAAATATAATATTTTGTATGAAAAAATAATAATAAATATAAGTATATTTCTTTTACTGACTCAATTTATGCCATCACCTTAACTTTATTTATATAGAAGCTGTGCGTACAGCGTATACGTTTAATGGACTTGGGCCCAATTATAATGGGCCTAAACCCAAATATGAAAGTTCGGATTGGGCCGACTTATTCACTAAATAATTTTGTTTGTTTAATGGGATTGATATTGTAGTTAATTTTTTTACTTTGATTTTATTCAGTAAAATATAAATATTGAATAGATCATGAAAACAAAACTAAAGACAACAGAGTTCTATGGTTGGACTTTCCCATCTAACAATAAACTACTCCACTTAATACAACATCCATTTATCTATTAAGAGGGGACACGTGTCACCACTTAAAGAGATGAAGAAGAATCCATGAACCAATCTTCTTTCGCATATTGATACACTATTATCCCAATATTTATTATTCTTCACCGTTTTCCAAGTTTATATTCTTTAAAGGTTTTATCAGTATTTTTTCATGCAATTTGACACAGACTCAATCAAATTAATGGGGTGATTTAGCTATTTATATGATATGCTGATCGATAAAATCAGTATTATCATATTTTCATATTCATATGCCCAATCATTTCATTTCATTTCATTTATAAACACAAATAAACACACCCTAAATCACTTCCCCAAAGTACATTCAAACCTAATGTATTGTCTACACAAAAGATTTAAAATGTCATCACTCAACAAACATTTAGTAATACATTAACATCAAAAAAACATTACCAATAAAACCACTTTGACAATCAAACTTAAGAAGCCAAAAATCCCAAAGAACTATAAAACGAGCCATCCTTATAAATATCAATCAAGCAAAAAGACTAGTATATACACGAATTAGCCGATATACACACACACACACACACGCACGTACATACACACATGCATTAGCTACCAAAATGGTAGCTAAAAACTCGGGACAACGCCGTAAGATGCATCGGCAAAGAGGAGGCCCGAATCAACTTCTAGCTCGGACCGCTTGGCGAACCTACCCTTGATTCTCGGTCGGGTCTCGGCATAGGCTTTTCTCGAGGCATACCTTATGGTTTTCTCGAATCTTCGGTTCTTTCTCTTTTCTCTATACCTCAACACCCGAGCTTCTCGGTCAATCCCGGAGACGGGCATCGGAATGACCTCGGTCTTGACAAAGGAGTTGGATACATCCGCCATAGTGTGGTGGTCCGGGACCACGCCTACGTCCATGGACGAGGAAGACACCTATCACAATATTTGCACGTAGATCATAGTTATTCATCTTTTCGAAATACAGCTGAACTTTTTGATCGATAAGCATTATTCTATTTTTCTTTTGAAAAATTGTAATATAAATCAATTGTAAACGACAAAAATATACTATGAATTGGCATAAATTGAATTCATTTGGACTTAACTTGAGAATTTGATGTATAAGAAAATATTGAACAAGACATGGCAACTCAAAATCAGCCGACAAAATTAATTCTACTCAACCACCATTGACTTTATGGTTGCCCATCATCACATGGAACTGTTTGATCATATTTTATTTTCATAAAATTCACAATCAAATAATAATAAGGTTTTAAGAAAACGTACACTTTGGCTAATGGTCTGTGAAGTGAAGTTGTATAGGAAAGGCTTGGAGCCAGCAGGGTGGTGATAATCCAGGTCATAGCTCGGGTACCCGTCGACCACCGGGCCTGGGTACTGACCCGATCCATATTCATGATCCTTGCTCTGCACGGGCACAACCCCGTCGGCCGAGTATTGCTTCTCCTCCTCCTCCTGCTGCTGCTCCTTTTGGCCACCGGAGATCATCAAATCCAAATCCAGATACGGATCCATATCCGAGAACAAGTATTCGGACTTGTACTCGGGCGATCCGGGTTCATCGTCGTCGGGTTTGGAGTTCGGGTCGGGCAGGAGCCAGGAGGCAGCCTCGGCGGCCTCCTCTTCAGAGAAGTCGGCAGATTTTGACGACGGCGAGACGGCGTCGTAGAAGGGGGCGATTGGGAGGCGCTCGTGGCGGCGGGCCAGGGGGTTGGCGGAGTGGATGTCGCCGTCGCAGGAGTGGCAGAGGACGGCGGCGTCGGCCTTGCAGGTGACGGCGGCCGGAGCCTGCTCGCAGACCTCGCAGAGCACGACGCGGCCGTGGCGGGAGGCGACCTTGTTGGCGGCGTGGATTCTGGCGTCGCAGCCGGAGCAGAGGAAGGCGGAGTCGGCGCCGCAGAAGACCGCCGCCGCCGCCGCCTTGCAGGAGTCGCACCACCTCTCCCCGCCCATTCTTCCTACAGGGATTTCTCTCTCACTCTATATATATATATGTATGTATAACTGTATCTCTCTCTCTCTCTCTATCCAAATTGTTTGGCTGGGAGAGAGAAGCAGTGATTGTTTTCCATTTTTCTAGCTTATGTAGTAGGGAAGCATGAGGATGAGGGTAGGGGTAGGGGAGATCTAGTGAGAAGCCAATGAGGATAAGCCACGTGGCTAAATATTAGCCAACCAAAAAACGACTGCAGAATGAAAGAATATAAATAAAAATAAATAAAATAAGACAGAGAGACAGACTGTTTGGAAGTGTGCGAGTGGGGGCAACAAATCAATATCAATCCATGCCCATGCCCATGCCCGCCCATGCCCAATTACCCATACCCATACCCATAAAGAATGCATTTTAGGGTTAGGGAAGGAAGGATTTATTCCAGAAGCAGGACCAAATCCAGAGTTGGAAAAGGATTGATGGATGATTGATTATTAGTACTAGTAGCATATAGATATAAGATATGATATGCTGTAACCAAACAGTACAAATTTGTGAGGGATGGTGGTGGTCACGTGACAGGATTGTCCTAAATGTTTGTGATCTATCTATCTATCTATGTCGACAAAGAAGGATACTATTACCAATATCATTATGCTAAATTCTCTTTCTTATTCTTACTTCATACTTATCATCATCTATTATCTATCTATCTATTATGCTTAAATTTCCTAAATCAAACTCAGACATTATTATGTACTGTAAAACAAAACATTTACCAATCGTGTAGGGGTAACTATATTTTCAATACCAGAAAAGATCAAGTTAAGATCCCATCACATAATTGAGAGGCATTATCAATTTTCACATCATTTATATAACCGAACATTCAAATAGAGGTAAAAATAAGCACATTATGCAAGAAGAGCTAATGTGTGTGTATATACACGTATATACCGTCTGCCCGCAGCGCTTCTTGTCACCATCTCCTCTTTGATGACAATCACAACATATGCTTCCTGCAACTGCAAAAGAAAATAAGCTATTAGCCATTTCCGAGCAACTTATAATGAGTTGAAGATCTATTGTAAGTAAGCTGGACACATAATTTAACCTTGAGAAAGTTCAACGACTGCGACCGGATAGAGCTCAGCGCACAAATCGACCAGATGTATCAGTCTTGATGACAGACATACAAGAAAAGGGATTTAAGGTACCATTGTTGATTTGCACACCCACATCAAACTTTGAAGCTCTATGTAAGTAAGTGAAGTCGATGTACTGCGCTTTATAAATTGGCCGTGGAAGTTCCATCTTAATTTACAGTAGATCACTGTTTCATTATCAGGAATCCGAGATGCAAACGAGTTAGTCGTCAAACTCTGTAAGCATCAAACGAGACTTGCAACATTCCAATAAGTAAAAATACTCGTACCAAGCGCAGCTATTGGCATGCCGAATAACTGTACTTGCCGCAATGAATTCAAATGCCAATAGCTCGGAAGCACTCTCGACTTCTCTTTGCTTGTGAGATCATTAGGCCAAGATGTTTGATCTCCCCCATCACCTGATTAAATCAAATTTAATGTAAGCTGTACGTTTACAATCAAACAAAAAAAAAAACTTATCAATATCCGAAATGAGTACCTCGAGAAGAAAATCCAGAATCAGCAGCCAATGACATGCTCCAATCTAGATATTTGAGATCGTGCTGCAACGGTTGATGTGTGTTTTCAAGCATAGACATCCAAAGTTCATTTTCTCGACCACATTAGATAAAGCTCAAACACTTTGTCTAGCTCCCCCCTTTTGAAAAACTTCTTCATAAGTACTAAAAACGGCACATGATCAATTGGAAAACCTGACCTCTGCAAGTTGAAAAGAAGCTCCTCTGCCTCCTTCATTTTCCCTTTCGAGCAATAACACCTCAGTAATTCAGTATAAGTTATTATATCTGGATGACACCCTTCCCTCAGCATTTCATCGTGTAACTGGAGTGCGGTACTTAAGTAGCCAAGCCTACAAGCAGCACCAATCATCAAGTTGTATGTGACTAAATCGGGGGAAACACCATTCAGGAACATTTCTTTCTTCATATAGTGAACCTTATCGGCATCTCTATTTCTTATCTGCCCATTGATGAGTGCATTATAAGTGTAGACATTAGGCAGAACCCCAAATCTAATCATTTGATTTCTCAAATATAGAGCCATGTCAAGGTCTCCACATTTCCCATAGGCATCAATAATGGTGTTCCAAATGAGAGGTTCGGGCACAGAAGAGTTCGCCAACATGTGGGAAAGAAAATAAACTGCTCTATTTAAATCCCCATTTAGACATAAACCTTGAATAATCACTTTGTATGTGATGTTATCCGGAGGAATGCATGTCCTTACCATAACCTTGAAAATGTAACAAGCCTCGTCAATCCTACCTGACTTACAAAGCATGTTAACGAGTGTATTATACGTAAAATTATCAGGAAGGTAACCCCTTTTAAACATTTCACAGCAATATTTATACGCAAGGTTTATGTCTCCACTCAGACAAAATCCATGTATAACGACATTGTAAGCAACGACATCCAACTTCAAACCCCTCTTAATTGCATCATTCCAACAAGTGAAAGCTTCAGACACATTGCCAGTCTTGAAATATCCATCCATAAGTATAGTTGAAGTGATTAAATTAGAGGTTCCACAATCATGACCGTCCTTCAATATCTCCTCAAGAAGCTTTCTTGCATCATCTACCAGGCCCTTTTGGCAAATGGCATTTACAAGAATATTGCACGACACTCTATTTGGCCTTACTCCATGGTCAACCATGGTAGAAAAGACATCAAGCGCTTTGTCCACTTCATTGGCAAGGCAATAGCCATGCATTAAAGTGTTGTATGTAGCACAAGTTGCGGAAATCCCCTGACTTAACATCTCCTCGACAAGTTGTCCTGCCTTCTCCAGATTGCCGCGCTTACATAGAGCATTTAAAAGAAAATTGTAAGTAATGACATCAGGTATTCTAAGTTGTCGAACCATTGTCCTCCATAACCATAAAGCTGTCTCCAACTTCCCTTCCAAGCACAAAACTCTTATCATCTTTGTATCACTCCACTGGTTCATTTCCAAAATGGTGTCACCAGTTCCTGTATGCCCCCAAGATAAGCTTTCTCTGCAATTGATTATATTAAAACACCATGGTAACTAATAATTTATCAGTGCCTTGGTGCTAAAAAGGCTCCTAATGAAAATTCAAGCTTGAAAAATGCTTTCAAGATTGCATCACTCGGAGCATTTTGATTTGATCTATTAGTTCAGATACACCATCTCAATTATCATAGGCAACTAAATCCGAGAAGTAACTAACAAAAAAGTGAAGCTGCAATGCATACAAACACAGAGACGGCAAATCCACTAAAATCAATAAAACCAAACCTCGTGGTCTTCAACCGATTCAAACTGCTGATTAAGATAGCATCCAAAGCGTTGAAAACTGCGCCCCTGGGATCGCCCTGACCGCCGGCGTCCTCCTTGACATATTTTTCATCACTGGTACACCTGATAAAATACTTCACATTTTGAATATCAACAATAAGAGAAAAACCAGCAAAATCCTCTTACCTGGAATCACTTAGTTCCATTGAGGATTCGGAACAAAAAATCTGCGAAAGATAGACTGAAGCTTGATTCTTCAGTGACTCAAGGGTTTGCAAGCCTCCATTCAATATTCGGAGAAGAAAATATGATTCCTGAGCCGGTATTAAAATCTGAAAGTCCAGATTACAAACAATGAACAATGATTGGAATTACAATTCTAGCATTCGATACGAAACTGCGCACTTACAGATTGCATCGGAGCCAATGGAGCCAAGCCTACGGGCGACGGCGACGGCGACTGCGACTGCGGCGGCAACAAGACGCAAAGACTAGGAAGAGGAGCCGGATCCTCAGGCGAGCTTCCAATCGCTTTGCAAAATGGACCTCCGGAGGAGGATTGAAAATTGAAGATTGGATGTGGGCTAAGTGGATCAACCCAACCAATAATGGGCCATGGTAGAAACGTAGAAGCTTTCATTTGAATGTGATTTATTTTTATTGTTTTGCCACTACAAGTAAAAGCGTATTTAACTAATTAATCGTCCCGTAACATCTAATTAAAATATGGACTCATAAAATCGGTCTGTTTCTTTGGCATTCTGGGTTTTATTTTTGATTTTTTGCTTGGATTTTAAATAATTAATTGATATCGTGTAAGCAAGAGATAATGTTTTAAATATATTTTTTTATTTTTTATTTTTGTAAAAACTTCACACAAGGCAGCCATATGATATTACTAATTTTTAGGTGTGTTACTTCATGCAGTAGCTAACCTTGATTTAAGGCTTCCATCGCAAATAAAGAGTGCAATAATGATAATAATAGTAATAATATATGTTGATTGGTATTTATAGTTTTATTATCACATTTTAATTAACAAATAATAACTCATTATTTATTTATTTTTTTAATTATTCAACTAGCTTATATTAACTCTTTAATAAATTTTGTGTCAACAATTTAACATGATTTTCTTTTTAATTATTGATGCCAGTTCCACCAAAACTTCCAAAATGTATATAGCTTAAAAGTTTGATAAAATTAAATATATTGTTATTAATAGTATATTATCTATTGAATACAAATTATATATAGTAAGTACTAGTAGTAGTAGTAGTAGTAGTGTTGATAGTGATTTAGATTTGAAGCAATGATGGTATTTGCATGGCCCACGGTCACGTGCCCAATCACTCATACACGCATACAACGTGTCCATATGTATGTATGTATGCATCATCGTTTATCTTCATCTTCATTGTGTTCACCTTTACAACAAATCCATCGTTTTTTTCACGTCCATAACAGAAAGCGGTTACGTTGCGCTTCCTAATTTGGATTGAAACTTTCGAATTTGCATGAAGATATATATATGATATTGTATGGCCTCAAAAGCAGGACAAATTGATTTCCAGATAAACAAAAATGGACAGATTGAATATCCTTAGATCGGATGGAATCGGAAAGCAGGAATCGTCGGACTAATTAAATAAGTTCAGACTGGATTTTCGTTTTATGTAATCAAATTACTCAGAATGTTTGGGGACTGTTACCTCGATTTGATTCTGATCAGATTTAATTAGGTTTCCATCGCCGTAGTCTTTGTACTCGAGGATTTTTCATCACAGAACGGCGCCGCCTTGCGCGTGGCCAGGAATGTTGGCGTCGCTTCGCCGGCCATAATAACCAGAAATTTCTCCTCAGAAGAATCGCCTTTGCTCTCACCTTTACCAGCGGAGGTGCCTTCTTCAAAGTCTCTGTTGTTTCCGTCCTCTCCGACGTGAGCTTCTTCCGAGAGTTTCCAGTAAGAACATGCGAGCATGAGAAGCGCGAAGGCGATTAACCCTAGCATCGCGGCGAGGCCACTGAAGAGAAACGGCACTGGAGAACGCCAATGCGAGCGCTCGATACTTGAGCTTGGGGAAAGCGTCTCCTCTCTGGGGAGCTCAGCCGATTGATAGTTGATTCTGTACTTTGAAACTGTAAATGCTGCGGCGACGGCGGCGGTTCTCATTCTCCCCCAAATCTTTAGTGCAGAATGAAAATGGCGATGATTTAGCTATGGGCTGGAGAAGAAACGTGAATGAGCCGAGTATTTATACCCCCGCGGGTCACGTCACGCGCCATGGTCGTGTCAGTTTAACCAAGGAATTCCGTCAGACAGTTGCCCTGTTTTGTTACTTTTGTGCTTCCTGTTTGTTAAAATATTCTTAAAATATTATCTCAAAATTCTATTTTAAATTTTTTACAATTTATAAAATTCTTTAAAGTGTACAAGAAAGGAATGCCGAATTTACTCTATACCCCTCCGAAACACAATACTCCACTAGCTAGAAACTTGTTACATTTTCAAGAGAAATTGTCCGGTTTAGTTGAGCACTCAAAATTTTGAAGTAATATATAATTAGTAAATAATTAAAAAATATATATTTATAAAAATAATTATGATTTAATAAAAATATTTATATATTAAAATTAAAATAAATAAATAATTTAATTAAAATAAATATATCTTAAAATTTAAAATATATAATTAAATTTTTAAAAAAATAAAAAGACAAATGGGACTGACAGAGAAAAAAAATATAAAATAAATTAAGTAGGACCAAAAAGTACAAAACAAATATAACAAAAATCTTAATTAAAATGAATATTTTGTATTTAACTGATCCAAATAAACCACTATTTAAAATACAAAACACACAACATTAAAAGTTGGGACATTTTGGTGTAATAATGTAGTAGTAAGAACTAACTCTATTTATTCAACTTGCTATTAAGCTGTTGCAGCTCCTCTAACTTCTCCTCCTCTTTCATTTCCAACAAAATCCTCTCCAACATTTGGACAACTCCCTCACTCACACTCCGACCCTTTCCCAACGTTTCCTTACAACATTCCAACGCTTCCTCGACTCTGCCGCGAGCGCACAGCCCCGTTGCAAGAATGTCAAGAGCATGGCTGTGCGGGCATTGCCCCTTCCCCGACAAAAAGTTCCACAAATCGAGCCCGACATCAACCATACCGTTCTCGCAGAAAAACTTCATCAACATAACGACTGTCCGTGCCTTCGGCACAAAATTATTCTCGACCATCTTTGCATAAAGCAGAGATACGCCGTCTGCTCTTCGCGATCTTATTAATCCCCAAAACATCGTATGATATGTTACGTTGTCGGGATCGATGTTTCTCCTCTCCATTTCTTCCATCAACGCCGTTGACGCGGGGAAATCCTTCGATCTGATTATGGAACTTAAAAGAGCGTTATACGCACCGATATCCGGCTGCAGAGATCTTTCGGAAATTTCATCAAAGAATTGCTTAGCTTTTGTTGTATTCCCGACCAACCCAGCTCCGTGGATCAATGTCGTAATTGTTTCCAATGTGGGTGCGCAATTTGCAGATTCCATCGCTTCGTATAGTCTCAAGGCATCACCGAAATTCCCTCTTTTACAAGCTGCATCGATCCGAATATTGTAAGTGACATTATTCGGCTTAAAACCTCTCCGAATCATCTCATGATAGAACAGCTCAACTGCGGTTACGTCGCCCGATTCTTTGAACCCTAATAACAAAATATTCATCGTCTTGGTGTTGGGGAGGAATTGCGAGTACATCTTATTGAATACGGACCGGGCTTCTTTCATCTGGCGCTGGGTACAAAATGCTCGAAGCAGCACATTGAATTCATCTGTGCCGAATTTCTTGTCTGTAAAGATCTTCCCCTGCATCCTGTCAAATGCTTCTATGGTATCTTCATAGGATTGAAATTTTGCTATTCTCGACAACATGATGCTCATAGACTTGAGAGTGAGCAACAACGGGTGTACCTGCTTGATTCTTTCCATTAGCTCCCACGCCTTTTCGAAGTGGCGCATACGTGCGAGGATATGGAGAGTCTTCTCGAAAGCATCTGAACTAGGCACGTAGAGCTCGTGTTTAAGGCAACATTTGAAGAACTCGTATGCCTTGAGGCCATTAGAGTGGGAGGCAAACAATTTACCAAGAACCTGTTCGACGAATGCTGCTGAGATAACCGACTGTTGGACTTGATTTTCGAGGACAGGTAGCAGAGGTTGATCAGGGTAAGGATGGTCATTGATAGTTCTCACAATTCTTTCAATTTCTTTCTCTGCTGTTTTTGACAATGAATGAATCCCCGTAGTTGTGAGGCTTCGATGAATGTGAAAGAGTGGACTGAACCTGTAAACCCTAAGATGAAGCTCGATTTACACAAAATCGATTTGACCTAAATCACCTAATTCAACGCTATCAATCGGAAAAACACATAGATAAACAAAATTTAAGCACAAAAACTCAGGTTTCAATCTCTATGAATGCTCACCTGCAGACATTTACGCAAACGAACAACGGAGAAATGGTTCGCCGACTCGGCCGGTACATATCTGTGTCTGGCGAGCAACGATACGATACAATATCAACAATTTAATAAAGAAAATTAACAATTTCGTATCTGTAACGGCGTTATTCAGCCAAATTCAATCCGGAAAGCCGCTGAAACGACAAAAACTCGGTGTGCGAGGTATTTCAAATCATATCCGAGAAGAAATTGAAAAATGAAATCACGAAACATGCCGAAACTGCTTTGAATGCTGGAAATAATCGTACATTTGTCTTTCCTCTTAGGCACGAAAGAAGGAATGAGATTGAAAGGGCTGTTCTTACAGTATTGTCACTCATTTGCGCCGAGAAGAAGATGCCCGATGAAGAAGACGAACCGCCACTGCTGCTGGAAGATTTTAGGGCTTTGACCGCCGATTTTATTGATTTATTTTTTAACCATTGCTTGCAATTTATTATTATTATTATTTATAAAATAAGGCTAATAAATACGATTAAAATTTAAAAAAGAAAAATTGAGAGAAAAACAGAGAAGATACAGCCTATACATAGACATAAATACATACATGTCAAAACTTGCCTAACTCATCTCCATTTCTATGCTTTTTTATACACAAGATTGATAATACACAGTAAATCATTTTTTACAAGATGAACTCTAAAAAAAACGTCCTTCATGCTAAATACTGTTGCAAGCATTGTTTCAAGTTCTGAAACGTAACGGGCTTCGACACGAACGAGTCCATCCCGTTCGCGTAGCACTCGTCCGCGCTCTCCGACAACGCATTTGCGGTCATCTGTTAGTACCACAAGTTTGGATTCAATATTACATATAAACATGATCAAATATATGTTCGAACAAATTAGGTTTGCTTTTACCGCTATTATAGGGATCTTCTTGCCCGGCTTCTCGGGCTGTCTAAGAGCCGGCATTTCCACCCCGGCCTTCACCGCCTCGTCCCAACTCCCGGTTTCCTCAAACGAACGGATCAAACGTGTCGCTTTCAGACCATCCATCACCGGCATGCATACGTCCTGCCAAATCCCGATCGCTTATTCAACCTCTTCTAACACACGAAAAAGAATTGAAAAAAGCCTTAAAAGTATCGAACTCGAACATATATATACCATTAGGACGAGATCATATCTCGTTTGCTGGATCGCGCGAACGGCGTCCGCCCCATTGTGGACAACATCGATATTGTGTCCTAATTGCTTCATCATCGATCTCGCCACCATCACATTGATCTTGTTGTCGTCGACAAGGAGGATTTTCGGTTTCATCTCGACTTCTTCGGGGCTGTTGCTGGATGAGCACTCCGAGCTTTCATTAGCTTGGCTATGGCGCCGATCCCCCGACATTTGGTCGATATTGTTGCTTGATGTTAAGGAACTCGTTGGGACAACAACATTGGACCGATCCTCAGCTCCATCAGCCCGATCATCTCCGAGTGTGTCTGAAGTCCGGTGTTCGAATGCTGTCTCGATGGAAGGAGGACAGTCACCTAAAACGGTCTCTTCATCCGTCAAGACATTGCTCGTTGGAGTCGAGACATCCTCCAACAATCCATTACATGTAAGAGAACGGTTGAATCCGTACGGGCTAGGGGCGAGCTTTTGTATCCTCCCGGGTGTTTGCGATGAAAACAGAGATCCTAAAGTGCGCGGTTGGAAGAGGAACACGCCCGTGTGTAGATCATCATCGTTGGCGTCGCCTAGGATGCCTCGAGGATCCATGTCTGAAAGCTCGTCCACATCATCCGAGCTCTCCGAGGAGATCGATGAGACCTTGTAAGGAAGCACGAATGTAAAAGTCGAACCCTTATGCTCCACACTAGATACGGTGAGATGTCCCCCCATCAGCTCGACCTGTTTTATACATTCGGACAGCTCTTGTAAGAGTCGAGACAGCGCTCGAATACGATGCAACAACAAGAATAGATCGAGCTCTTACCAGTTGCTTACAAATGGCGAGGCCAAGGCCCGTCCCACCGTATTTCCGAGCGGTGTCTGCCCCGACTTGCATGTACTTCTTGAACAGAGTCGGCATTGCGTTTTCTGCCGTGCACATGGAATCGAGTAAGTTTTGACAACTCGTAAATATATATATGCTTGTATATATATGTGTTATACCGGGTATGCCAATCCCTGTGTCATAGACATCGCATCGAATCCAGACAACCGTCTCTTTGTCTGGATGACTTGTCGTTTCATCTTCATCCATTGCAGCCGCGCCATTTTGTTCGCCGTTGGTATTACATGACCGGTGTTCTGTACCCACGTTTGTCTGAGAATTCGGCTCTGAAACTACGTATAGATTTATCCCGACCTTCCCTTCGTGCGTAAACTTAATTGCGTTGCTAGAAAGCCATCACTATTATGCATAAGTTTCAGATCTTGGAGATTAAGAATCGATGTAATCGAATGCAAGCGTACCTAACGAGGTTCGTAAGAATCTGTCGAATCCTAAGAACATCGCCAACGACCTGAAATCGAAGAAACCTTTTCGTTTACAACGGAGTTGTAAACTAAAGACTTTCGAAACATCGATTACCGTTGAGATTTAGTACCTCAATGGGGACATCATCCGCGATATTGCCTTCCAGGGTCAGTAGCTTCTGCAATGATGCGGCCGCTGTCTGAAGCACATGTTTCACAACCTCCCTCGGTCTGAACTTCGTCGCTTCCAGCTTCATAACTCCTGCAACATTACATCGATCAATCCAAAACTCACTTATCGATAGTATCATACAAAGCCTTAGGACAACAATGTCTCACCCGATTCGACCTTGGAGAGATCGAGGATGTCGTTTATCAACTGGAGGACTAAATCGCCAGAAGACAGCATCACGCTGAGTAGCTGCTTTTGCTCTTTGTCGAGTTTCGTCGTGGACAGGATCTCGGCCATGCTTACGACTCCGGACAGAGGAGACCGTATCTCGTGAGACATGGTCGCCAGCATTTGTTTCGCGCGCATCGATTCCTCTGTTTAAATCAATTGAAATAACCGGACAAGCAACATGTTTTCGATCATATTCGGCTGTAAGAAAGAAGACTTTTTTTTATCCATAACAACATATAGCTATGAGCCAAAGAACCTGTAATGTGGATAGTTTTGTTGAGTTCAGTCTCCTTTGCTTTCTGCACAGCCATTTCCTCCCTAATTTTCGCCATTTTTTCGCGTTTCCTAACCTGCAAAGCTCTCCGTTTACGCTTGGACATCATGTGCGAGAACAACGTAGGAGACGTGAAATGTTTACCTGATCGGTTACTTCCATTCCCATGTAGTTTACGCCGATGGTTTCCCCGTCCTTGCTGAAGACAGGCTCGACATAAATTAAGAATGTCTTGGAGCCAAAAAGCTCGGTTTCAAATGTGATCTCTCTCTTTGCCGGGAGGCCTCGTTCGAGGACCTCCCGTTTAAAGTCTTGCGACTCCTTTACACCCGAACCAGAGAAGATCTCCACGTCGGTCTTGCCTATGATGTCCTGTTACAACTTTCCGATGTAAGAAACCATCATACTCTATCAAATTCAAAACGAAAATTCTCTAGACAACTTCATCTTTGTTAAACGATCATTTCACCTAAAAATTTAAATTTAAACTTTAAAGGGATATGTATGTGTGGCAATGGGACTCAAGCATAGAACGTCCCAGCTCTGAAACCTAAAAGTTTAAGTTTAAATTTTTAGGTGAAATGATAATTTAACAAATACGTATCATTCAAATTTAAACTTTTAAATGAGACGGTCATTCAACAGTATTGTTGAAACTTGGAGAAGAAAACCCAACCTGTTCGCCCAAGCTCGGGAAATGGTTGAATATAAAGCGATACCGGAGATCTTTGTCCTGCGATAAAAGATTGCACATTGATCGATCGCTACAAAATAAACTCTTCACCAATCAACAAAAACCAAATGAAGTATCGACTATACCTGATGGCCTATGACAACGGGCGCATTTTGAAGCACGAAGTGCAAGAAGTTATCGGCTCGTGTAAGAACCTGCGACAGCTCCTCGACGGGAGAGGATTGCCTCTCGAGATTCTCAATGCTCTCCTGCAGCTTCACGAGCAACGCCTGCTCGCGCTGCAGGCTAGCTTCTAGAAGCTTCTCGAGGCATGCAGCGCGCTGCTTCCAATAGACGACGCCGCTGCTGTCGCACTCGGCGGTGTCGAATTCAACCTTGTCTTCCTGCCGGACGATGTCCTCACTCCGGCGGGGGGGCACCTCGTGGTACAAATACTTCAAATTCTCGTCAAGGATGGAGACGGGGCGCTTGTCACCGCCGTATCCGTCCTGCTCGAAGCGGTGCTCCTCGAGGATCTCGAGCTTCTTGAGCTCGACCTCGTGCTGCTGCTTGCTGAGCGTGTCGAGCTCCTCGCGGAGGAGACGGACGGCGTTGGCCTGCCGGAATTCCCAATTTTTGACGAGCTTGGCGAGCTGCCAGTTGCCTTTGTCGCTGTAGTTTGTGAGCTCCATTAGGCGCTTGAAGTCGACAATGTTGGGCTCCTTGTTGATCGTGATCACCTCGTCGAGCTGATTTGATCCTGGCCGTTCGATGTTGAATTGCCGCCCGGCTTCGTTGATGTCCTCCGGCCACATCGACGAGAGGAGGACTTCGTCGGACTGGTCTGTCTCCATCTCCATCTCCATCTCCATCTCCATTTCGCATCCCATTTTTGAGCCAATTTGGGGATTACTGCATCTGGAACAGAGTGCTAAACTAGGATGAACTGAATTGAAGTTTGATTACAGATTTTGGACTTTTGATTTTCAGCTCTGCGGAGGAAGAAGATGGACAGAGGAATCGATCTAATTTGTTAGCTAATTTGGGGAAAACGTTGAATTGAATTGAATTGGATTGGATTGATCTGAAGAAGGAAAGAGTATGAATGGAACAGTACTGGAATTAATCGAAAACGCAGAAGAGGATGAACACGAATAGTTTTCATGGCAGTTGACTCACGATTAGGTAAATATCATTCAAATCAATCAATCAATCAATCAATCAAGTCGCAATCAGAAACTAGTATTTCGTCGAAATCAATTGAAAAGGCTAACCTTAAATGAGAGAGAGCAGCAGCAGAAGCAGCAACAGCAGCAGGTGGTGTGGCGACTCTCCCTATCCATATTTGTTTGGTTTCTCTCTCGCTCTCTCTCTAGATCAGCAAGAACACAGAAGGGCTAAAAACTTTTTCACTGTAGATCTGAAACAAAGAATCTCGTCGGAGTGCTCAGTCAATGGAAATTAAAAACCAACAATGGGCCATTTTTTTTGGAGCATATAGAAAATGCAGAGAGAGAGAGGGAGAGAGAGGAGGGCATGTGCTGGAGGAGATTAAGATTAAAAAAATGGGTGAAATTTTAGGGAACTGAAGAAGAAGCCATGTGCAGTAGAGAGTTAAAAAACACATTAATATTGCTAAAAGGTATATACATACATAGGTACGTACTATGATTGGATTCTTTGCAAAAAATAATAGAAATTTAATTAGAGAGCAGAATTGGTGATTCAGTGTTGTGTTTGTTGGGCGGATTCATTGTTCGATCAGACCTCTCTTCAATGTTAAATAAAGCTCACCCCTTTTTTTTTTTTATGTTTCTTTGCTTCTTCGCGTTGGTTGCTCCATTGCCATGTGTGCTGGCTACACATATACGTATAGCAATGTGTACGTATCTCTTTTATATATATATATAGAGAGAGAGAGAGAGAGAGGGAGATTGAGAGAGAGAATTTAAATGGGGAAGAAAGAGAATTCGCATTTGCAGAGCGTCTGGGTTTTACGAGGTAAATTGTATGGGGACGACGCGTGGTGATGACGCGCGGGGGTTGGGAGTGAGGAATAGGTCGGCGGTTTTTGCATTCCCTTCCAACATCGGAAACAAAAAAACTTTTTTCTCAATGTACTACTTATAATAATAATAATTACTATTATTTTTATGATTGTCAATTAGACAATTTATATATGTTTATATAATTACCTGAGGTGAGATTTTGTTTCAAATTTATGTCTGACAAATTTGTTTATGATAATCATGATGTTCATTATTAAGGGTACGTTAGGATGGATTACTATATTTCTATGTTAAAAAAATTGGTGTTTTTACCGTGAAATTTGAATTTGAATTTTGATTTTGATTTTACTCTTTTATTTTAAATTTTTTAAAATTTTAAATTAAATATTCCATTCGTCCAACAATAAGGGTGCTTTTTTACGTAAATTTTTTAATATTAGTATTATATTGGATTATAGTAAGAAAGACAAAAATACCCCTATTAGTATGGCGTAATATAAAAGTAATGGTATTTGTATAATATATAGTAAGTTGAAAGGGTATTTATTATGTGAAGTAGATAGTACAATTACTGAAATGGTAACCTTGTTTTGTGAAGTAGATAGTACAATTACTAAATTAGGAAATGGTAACCTTGTTTTGGGACGGACGAAAATGAAAAATAGTAACCTTTCAATGGGACGGAGGGAGTATATTTTATTTATTTATTATTATTTTCGTCCGATTCTAAGGGTTTAGTTTATTTTTTAGTTCTCATTTACTTTTTACGTGTTATATTTGAATATTAATTATTATATCAAAAAATAGTACAAATTAAAAAAAATTGTAAATATATTTTCATTAATGTCTTGTAATACTAATAGTACAAACAATTATACAAATATAATGATATTTTTTAATATTAAGTAAAATGACAACAAAAGGAAAGGCGAAGTACTCCCTCCGTCTTTCAAATCTATACTCACTTTCTTTTTTAGTTATAGAAAAATATTCTTATTTTTTTTTTAAATAAAAAATCATTCTTGTACTATTTTTTTATTATAACATGCAAAATTAATAATTATTACTTACTTTTATTAAAATTCGTATCCGATCAAATAAACACATATTTGCATAACAACGAAGGAATTATATTATATTGAAATTAAATTTTACATCACATCAAATAACTATTTAAATTTAAAATTTTAGTTGTCAAAATCAAAACTCAAAATCAATATCCCTAAGCACCATGATTAAATATGTATGGTTCATATATTTGGACGTGTTGTCATTCTAATACATTATTTATTATTTTTTTAAAAAAAATATTTAAATATATACATATATTGATTTAAAAATTATTTTTTCTAATTTTGAGAATGAGTGTTTATAGGAGCGGATATATACCATCAATTTATTTGTAAATAAGCATGTATTTGATATTTCAATCGTATTCAAATTAAAATTTTTAGTTAATCTAAAATATCTATAATGCTTGTAAATAATTCGAATCAAAATAGAATTTTAAAATACATTAAAAATAATTAAATTTTTATTGAATTGGATCGAATATAATATAATTATTGATATAAAATTGAAAATATAATTTTGCTTTTATTTTTATCCATCACTTCTTGGAAAATTATGAGTCTTGTCCTTATAATGTTATCTTCTTCTATTGCTACTTTTGCAAGATCGATCATGCTGACAGAGAATACGCTCTAAAAAAAAAAAAGAAAAAATTATTTATTTTTTTGTATTTAAAAAATAATTTTACTAAAAATAAAAATGTAGGCTAAATAATGTTAGGGCATGGGCATGGGCATGGTATTTATGTTGGCGGATCTATAAATAAATTTGCACTGAATTTGATGTTTGTTAATTGACTGCAAAGTAAGAAAAATAATTAAGCATGTGTCCAATTTTGCTGATTTGTTCCTTAGACCACTTGTCTCCACATGCCACTATTTTGCCAACCTTATAGTATTTATTTATATATACTACAAATTAAATTAAACTAAGGGGTGCATCATGATTGAATTTTATTTTGTTTAATTTAATGAAAATAATTATTGGGTGAAAATAATATATATATATATAATGGTGATTTGAGGTAATGAGCATATGGACAGCATGCAATAAATAATAAATTAAAAATGAGAGATGGATTAGTTGTTGAATTAATGGAATCTGATTAGCCAAAAACTGGAGCGCTAAATAAACAATTAAGAGGAATATGGGGCTGTTGTGTAATAAGAGGAAAGTTCCAATTATGTATGTATGTATGCGCTTAATATTTAATGAAATTATTAACAGTTGTTAAGGACATACATGATCCATTAATATTTATGTACTTATAATGCAATAAATAAATTATTAAAGTTGAATTTGATAATTTAATTAATACACATTGCACAACTAAGCTATGTGTATTCATTCATGACTTTCTTCAACAATTATATATATATATATATTAAAATTTGATCCATGTGACAATCATAAACCCCTCTTGAGATTGCCAACATATACACATTTGAATATAATTCTAGGTTTGTTTATTTTTATTTATTATATTTGTATGGGAAATATGATATCATACCTCTAAGTTCTTATTCGAGGTGTCATATTTAATACTCTTCTTGTCCCGACGATTTTTTTAAATACGAGTAAAAGATTTTTTTGTCTTTGTAAATGTTTAATTTAAATAAAAATATAATGATATTTATGTTATAATAATAAAAAGTAAAATAATTTTAGGTAATATGTTTATTTATGAAAATAGGACTATCGTTTTAAAATAAACAAAAATGATAAAACAAAACTATTTAATTAAGACGATAGGGTATTATTTTATATTAAACGTTTAAAATAAAGTATTGATTTAAAATTTAATTGAATGTGATGTTTTATAGTAAAAAAATTGCATTCTATGAAAAATAATTTATGTTTATTAAAAACTGTGAATATAGTGAATAATAGTATAAGAAAATTACACTTTAGATTGACTGTTTTTTTTTTTTTTTTTATACTATAATTCAATTTATTTCCAATTTTCATAATTGAAAATAGAATGAAATTAAGTATTGAATATGAGTTATTTAGGTTGATTGAAGGATCTAATTATGTCCGCACGCCACTTTTAAGTAATTTTATCACTCGACTTTATTAAATAGTAATAATTAATTATAAGAAATGATCTGTTGATGATGAGTGATCAGCAATTTATGAATTAATAATTATTTAAAGCCAAAAAAATAAATAAATTTAATAATTGGCCAAAAAGGTGTCTTTTTCTGAAAGTGTGAAACATGTATGGCAATGATGACTGACCCACCACTTCTTTTATTTTAATAATAACTGTAACAACAAAATTCATTTTTTTCCAATTGGTTTCGATTTAGGATTTTCAAGATAATAATAGTTTTAATAATAATAACAATAATAATAATAATAATAATAATAATAATAATAGTACATTACTGTAAAGAATAATTTCCATTTTAAAAAATATTAACATAATAAGTATTAAACAAACACTTGCACATATTATTTGCGACTATTCGTTTCACAATCATTTAGCATACATTTAATATTTTCAATAATTGACTTTTATTTAATTTTCTATTTACTTTGATATATTTAAAAAATAATCATTTTCATTTTCTCCTTAAATAATCTTTTTTAAAAAATATAAACTATTGATAATTAATCAATTAATTAATCAACCCACTCTAATCTCCAATTCATTATTAAAAACATATAATATATATGTGGACTATAATTTTAAAAAGGAAATTATTAAATTTTTTATTCTTAACAATATAATAGATGATAGTTAAGAATTGAAATCGTGATTCGGGAGTAAGCTGTCGCAATAAATAGTCAAACGAATAAGTAGTATTTTTTAGTAGACACTGATAAATTAATTTATTATTCGATTATATTTCAACTTGAGGATATCAACCAATCATATTTCAAATATATATATATATATATATTGTTAAGCATTTCTGTTATTATTATTAATAATAATCAATAATGATTCATATGCCATTTTATATAATAATAATTATTATAATTATTAATATTTTTAATAAAAATATGGACACATATTAGTTAACAAATAGTTATCGATCTGAAAAATGAGAAAACATATATTTGAGTTGGACAAAATGGGAAGGTTTTTAATGTGTTTTAATTATTAATATTTTTAATAATAATATATTTAACAGTAAAAATTTAGGCTAAAAAATATATCAACATATTATATAATTTCCTTATACATTTCTGTTTTTAATATTTTTGGGTGGTAAATGATTTAAGGATTTATTTATATAATGTGTTTAAGGATTTATTTATTTGTGCTGGTAAATTATTTACTAAAAAAATTACATCATATACATATAAATTATAAAATTTTGCTTTTGTTTATAAATAAATGAAAAGAAGAAAGAAATAAAATAAAATATTTAGATCATATCTATATATTTTCCCTTTTCGTAAATTTGTGCTTAAGTGGAATAAAAAGATGTGCAAATCCGTACCTAAAAAATTAAAAATAAAAGATAAATTTCTGATTGGGCCGGTTGGGCCACGAAATCACAATATATTAATAATTATTGAATATCACTATTTTACTTAAAATATAATTATTTGATATAATAATTTTTTTTGAATAAAATATATTATAATTGTTTATTTTATACTAAAAAAATATAAAGATTATAGTATAATTTTGGTTATATTTAATCATTTTAAATAAAATGATAAATTGACCAAGTTATATTTTGTTTATTTATTTATTTTCTGACGTGGGAACTCGCAGTCGCTACATGCAAATCAGGTCGAACGGAAAAGTCACACTAGCGAACTATGCGTGACAGGTGACCTGAGACGTCAGGGGTTTGAACCAATGACCGCACGGTATTTTGTTTATTTGATAGTATATGTGGACATTTTTTAATAGAAAGAAAATCCTTAGTTAATTATAGCATTAGTTTATTAAAATCCTATAAAATATGTTGTCTATATTAAAATACAAAACAAAACAAAAATCATGGCTCTACTGTACAACAAATAATAATATCATATCATATCATATAGGTAACTATATATTTCGTAACAATTGAAATCAATGTCATTAGGCTAGCTTATTATTTTATTTTTAAAGAAGACAAATATAATAAAGGGTTTTGCATACTCTAGTGGACAGCACCACTCCGGAATTTAATCCATTTTATCTCTATAATTGCAAAATTTATGGAGAATTTAGTAACATTCATGTCAAATCATATTTGATTTCTCCAACATCACTTATTAAGTTAGTTTTAATAATAATAATAATAATAGTAATAATAAAGCAATGATTTCAAAAATTTTGCAGTTTTATGGTGATTTTTCTTTCTTTGTAATTGAGACGAAAAACTCTCAATAAATGAAAAAATATGTTTAAACCATTGCAAACATTGTATATATATAATACATAAAATTTATTTTGTAATCCAATGAAAGCATATTCAAGGTGATATTTAAATAAATGCCTTTTAAAACTCTCTTTTCTTGTAGGATTTTAATATTAAGAAGTTTAGTTTGAAAAATATATATTTTTATATAATATATGAAAATTTGTGTGAAAATCAAAATTTTGCAAAATCCCGAGTCTTTATACGATTGCGCCATTTTATCGAGCGATTAACGCCGACTAAAGGACAACAACCGGCTCATAGTCAATACAAACATATTTTGACACATACATACAAATATAATGAGATCAACTAATTATGCATGCACACACAATATAAAAACTAATCATAAGCATCCATAGATTTTGTAAGTATACAGACCATGCATTCATAATAAATTATAACTTAAAACTAATCACAACTAATCATTTGTATACATGTAAAAACACATAATTACAAAAAAAGTAGAATACAATCACTTTTGGCAACTAATAGATAAAAATCAAACAAAGGAAAATAAACTAATTAAGAAAATTACAATAGATAAATCCAAACTTCAACCAAGCAAGTCAAAACCAACTAAACAAACACACAAGCATACACAACATTTAATTTGTATGCATGCATGCAAAACAATCACTTGTAAAACATTGCAATAGATAATTCAAACTTTAATCAAAGTCAACTAATCACACACAACATAAAAACCAATCACTTTTCAAGCATGCACAAAAAACATAAAAACCAACTCAATTATATGCAATCACACAGGGAAAGTAAACTAATAATTTATACACACAACATAAAAACTAATCATATACAATACATGCACACAAGTATACAAACCAAACACACAACATAAAAACTACTCATCTATCAAACCATGCACACAAAACAATCACTTGTCAAAACATTGCAATAGATAAATTCAAAAGAGGCAAAGTCAACTAATCACAAGCTCATACAACATAAAAACTAATCATTTACATGCACTAGTTAGTACACAAATACTTGCACACACAACAAAAAAACTAACCATTTATACAAATGGCATAATCTTCTGTATCCTTCTAGACACACCCAACATCTATGTCCCATGCCCTATTTTCTAAACCTTAAATATTATCAGGCTATGTTCTATGCTCAAGCTATGTCCTATGCCGCATACCTTAAAGAACTAAATACTAGATACGATACACCATATCCCAAAGTATGGACAACTAAGTACACTTCTAATGCCCATACCCAATGCCCTAAAACATTCAATACTAGACGCTATACACTATCTTAAATACAAATACTAACAACATTTTTAATGTCTATGCCCTATGCCACGTCCGAAGTCCTAGATCCTAGACACACATTACATCTATGTCCTATGCCCTATTCCTTAAACCATAAATATTAGACTATTTCTTAAATCCTTAAACTCGCTTTGCTTGAAATATGGATCGAGTTCATGTACATTAAGTCCCAAATCTTCCAATTGTGCCACCTACAAAAGAAGAAACAACGAAGAAGAAGATAGTTATTATGTAAAATAAAATAAAAATAAAAATAAAAACATCAATGCAAGTACGGAGATAGAAATAAAATAGATGCTATAAAAAAGAATGTATGTATGCATAAATGCGCAAGAATTTAAACAAAAAAAAAATATTAGTATATATATTGGAAAGAAGTCTTATAAAATCCCAATGAAATGCATCTTCATTGAGCCCCAATTTCCCCTCATTGGCACCACCTACAAATTATATGAATACCAAGTGAGTTATTATGCAAAGTAGAAACAACATTGATGCAAGAATGAAGGTAGAAATAAAATAAATGCTATAAAAAATACAAACCCTTTTTTTTTAATTATAATTTTATATATAATAAGGAAATTGCATGGCAGCAAACACGATTAGAACCAATTCCTAATCCTAATTAAGAAAATAAAACAAATTACAGAGGAGGCCATCCAAACCTCAGCCCATGCAATCAAGCCCAACATACAACAGCCCAATCCTCAGCCCAGATTAAAACAACCAGAAAGAATTCAAACTTGAAAATCAAAACCGATTCTCAGTGATCAATGATTCCACCCAACATAATGAATGAACCAACCACGACCGATTTGCAGTGATCATGCTCTGTCTGTAGACAGACCATTCAACCCCTTCAATAAGAATCCTTCAATTTAACAAGGTTGTTGAAGCAAATGCAGTGTGTGACCAAAAAGATAAGATGTAGGATATATACATAGAAGAAACAAGAAGCAATAGTATGTAAAGCACATTGGCTTAGGTTGATTTCCAATTTCCAAATCCATACCTTTATCATCTGATGGACCATATCAAACAAACATACATCCCCCAACATCAAATAAGGCAAGAAATCCAAGAATTACTTGTTTGATTATTCATAAACATCAAGTTTCATGGTGACAAGGGACAATCAACCGAGCATAACCACAACATAACACATACTCAAATTGCCTTATAAAAAACTACACACCCAAAAAGATTTATTGTTCTTCTATACATGAAAATATATAGATACTAGAAACCGTTAAAATGAGAGATAGAGTATAACACACAATGAGATTATTTTCCATAGAAACCCCTAAAAAAAAGTTCAAATCGAAGTCTAAATACCTGAAATATGCATATCCACTCAAAGGAGTAGGATTGGATTTTAGCTCCTACATAGTCTCCTTGACTCTTACCAATTTGCACTACAAGCTCTACATAGGTGGCGAATTACCAGAAATGCAGCATCATCCCCTTCCGCGACTGTATTGAAAAGAAAGAAGCCTCTGGTGGTTGATTGTCCAAAGCTAGGTGCCTCAAGAAAATGTTCATGAAACGCAAGAACACAAATCAGTTTAGGAAATGAAATTTCAACAATAAAAGTGACAAAAAATAAATAAAGCTATGCCAAAGACATCATGTTAAAAGAAAATGAGTAAATGGAAGGTGAAAGCAAACACTTCAGACTTGAGTAACATAACTTCTAACTTGACAGACATTCTAACAAAAGATGTGAACTTACTTGAACTTGGTAAAAATCAACTTAAGAGCTAGGTTGCAACTGTGAATGGACTTTGTACATAGATTTATGGACAGGAGATCAAACTTAGGCATGTTCGTGTGTTTCCAGGAAATCCCCAATTAAGTATCATTTGACTTTGCTATGTTATTACTAATTAAACAAAAACCATGATCCATATATCTAGGCAAAAATGATTATCAAATATCGAGAATGGTAAGAAACTGGAGTAGCAGCAGCAATGACTGCTCTTTCAATGCGTCTCAAAGTGGGAGTCGCCGCATTACTAGCTGCTAAAGTACTTGCACACCAAGAATTAGTTACAACCTTCAAATTCAAAACAGCAGTATAGCATAATGAAACAAAATATAATCTCAAAAAGAGCATAGTACAAATCTGACAAGACTAAGGTCAGGTATGAACATTATGCTTGTATTATCCAATAACTTGTATTTTCAGATTGGTTCACAATATATAAAACCGAGGTAGATAGCATAGAGGTTATTCAGCAAATATATATATATATAGAGGGTTTTTCAGGAGTAATACTAGCTAAAGTGTGCACATATTTAGGCCAAGTTTCATCTTGAAATCTAATAATAACATAAAGAAACTAGAGCTTACCCCAATAAATAAAATAATATTAGAAAGCTTATAGCTATGGGTGTGCATTTGCCATTTCACCATTTGAAAAGGAAAATTAGTTCATTCCCCGTCCAATTTTACAATTGATTGATAACTGAAAAAACAGCAGCACCAAGCTACACCAACCTGAAGTGACGTCAATATATGTGCAATTGCCTCATCTCTTGCTAAACCTAAAAGTACTCAGCATGTAAGAGCATGAAGAAAATCAAGAGCTGCAGGGGATGTCACCATTCGAGGTTGGACAAGCTGAAAAAGATATACCATGGTTTGCATAAACAACTTCTCTAGCTTGACGATCTCCATCACCTCTATTCACAGAAGTCAGTTCCCCAGTTGATTAATAAACTGAAAAAACAGCAGCACCAAGCTACATCTAAAAGTACTCAGCATGTAAGCGCATGAAGAAAATCAAGAGCTGCAGGAGATGTCACCATTCGAGGTTGGACAAGCTGAAAAAGATATACCTTGGTTTGCACAAACAACTTCTCTAGCTTGACGATCTCCATCACCTCTATCCACAGAAGTCAGTTCCCCAGTTCGGTCCCTTGATTCATTCTGATTTGGAATGCTGGCACCACGCTCTGGGACATATCTCTCTGAATTTCTGTCCCTAGAGTCTATAGCAGATTGATTTCCAGCATGGGTAGAAGAAGCTTGCTGACCTTGCATGAAACTTGGCCTATTGCTTGTTGATGGAGGATGGCAGATGAGGTTTATTAACAAATTAAAAACTGGTTCAACAATCTACAATTTTGACAATGAAAATTTTCAAAGTTAATTGAGGCACAAATACTTCAAAATAAACCATAAGGTTGCTGTGCAACATTACCTCAGGTTCAACATAACCAGCACCATTTGCAGCATCCAAAATGACAGCTATACCCAACCCGACATTGGGCAATGTAGCATGACCGCTCTAAAGACAAAAGTAGCAGCAAAAAATAAGCATTCTATCTGACCTATCTGGCTTGGTTTGGAGAGCCAACTCAACAATCTGATGGACAATATTCCGCGGAAGAGAACAAATACACTCCATCATCACCTGCAAAAGTATAGAGTGAATCAATAATCCTCAACAAATGATACAAAGCTGCAAGAAAATAAAGAGTAAACAACCAAATCTAGCAAAATGTGTATAAAGAATTTAGTGTGAGTGGAAACAACAAAAAATATGGGCAGGACAAACTACCTGAATTGACTCAATAGTAAATAAGAAGGAAGAAAGACCAACATATGTATGGGCATTTCTTGGAGACGGAAGGAGTCTCTGCATGCCACCAGGATCAACAAACAATTGAAGAAAACTTTCTATGAGCAGTCAATGCACATATTAGCTTCAAAGTATCATTCATAAGGAATTTAGTGTAGGGTGTTGTTTCTTTGAGCTTAAGACTTCGAAGCAATAATGCAAGGCATACATCTACTCCCTTCTCACGGAGTACAGGACCAAGAACTTCAACATACTCCCCAAGAAACACAAGACACTGGATACAGAATCTCTCTCTCAACTTCGAGAGGGAATGACCATCTGGAATAGAAAATTCAGCGAAATCAGTTATACTCTCTGGTTCCATAGGCTTTGAATTCTCCAAATCATCATTAGTATTACTTGAACTCCTACAAGTATCAACATATCAAATGAAGATATAGATATATAGTATAAATAAATCATGTCTCAAACACAAAACTATACAAACATATAGGAAAGTGTCATCAGTAAAAGACATCTCATGAAGCATAGGACCACCAACCTTGCAAGAGCAACTGCACTAGCAGCATCCATAACAGTAGATGCAGCAACCACAGCAGCTTCTTCATCATTCGTCTTCTTGTATTCCTGCAGTAAAGAAATGCACGAAGTTCATGAGAAACAACCATTCAACAAGAACCTAGAGAGGTGAGAGAAAGCAATCATCAGTATCATCTCTTTCAAGGATGAAAGAATCACCATTGTTCCTACCTAAACCTTTTCCAGCATCAAAAGCTTTTCTCGGTTCTTGACTTCTCATCAGACTCTTTTCTTTCCCATTTTGTCCCACTCCAGATCTAACATCACACAAGAAAATATATATATATATATATTAGGCTCCAAGTCCTCACCTAGGAAATAAGGAAATAAAATATTAAGCTCGACAAGGTTCAAGCAGTAAAGGATGGCGAGTGAAATAAGCAGTGCAGTCGGAACAAGAGAATGTAAAATCAGACCAAGAGAATCGAAAATGAACAGAAAACCCTTTGCATCAGGAATATACTTAACAGCGGGTGGGCAGAGCAGAACAAAAGCCGGGCAAAGCGGAACAGAGGTGTTTTTCTCTCTTCTTCTTCTCTCTCGGCTCTCTCTTCTCTCCACAGAAGAAAGGCCGTGCAAAGCGGAACAGAGGTTTATCCTCTCTTCTTCTTCTCTCTCGGCTCTCCATCTCTCTCGTCTCCCTTTCTCTGTCGTTCTTTCTTCCCGTTCAACAAGTTTTGTATATATATATATATGCAGTGATTAGCAGTACTTAAAGGAACTCATCAAATTTTAAATTTGGTATGCGACCGTTAAAGAATTTTAAAAATTATGGTTTGTAGTAATTTTAGAAGTAATTTTTCAAACTTTTATAATCTAGATTTTTTTTATATTTATATCTTTATATAATACTAGTACAATTATACAAGATGGAAAGTAATGAGTTTGTTTGTTTTTTATTTTAAACAAAAAATTATTAAACTTTAGATAAAAATATCAAGATATTTTTCCCTTATTCAATTATGTCATTTTTTAAATTAAAAAATCCTAAACAAACATACCTTCAATAAATTCATTTGAATTCATTTAAATTTTTTTGAATGAACAACAAAAAAATTTGACATATTTTAACGGAATATAGTGAGTATTTAGAGTATTCATTCAAAATATGTCATCTGCAAAAAAAAAAAAAAAAATCACACAAATAATTATATTATGAGTATAATATTAGTCCTAACATACAAATCACTATTAAAGTCGATATGTAAGATTGAATAAGAATTGTCAAAATTATATTTTGATTACAACTTCATAAACGAAACAAACTTTGATGTTTTGAATTTCAAGATATTGATAATAGAAATATTTTCAATTTTTTTTTGAAAAACTCCATGATAGTTTATGGGCATGTATTTGTTAACACAAGTAAACAATACAAAAATCATATGCAAAATTAATAATATATATATAGTCCACATAATTTACAAGTAACAAATAAAATTTTTGTAATTATATTTTGAAATAGTACTTTTGTAATATAGTTTTTCAAGATACTTATATATTTGTAAATTTTGTTATAAGACTATGAGTTTGTTTATCTAAGCCAAAACTTTAGGTTTTTATTATTTGATTTTGTTTTTTTTAAAAAAAAATATATATATTTTTCATATAATAAAATTTTATATAATACAAATAAATTATTTGTTTAGTTATAATTAACTTTAAAACTAATTTTATAAAAAATAAGAATTTTAAATATAAATAAAAATATTTATTTATTAAAGACATAAAGTTTTGAGTTGATGTAAAAATTAAAAATTTAATTAAATTAATTCATAATATCTATTAAAAAAAATAGTACCTTTTATGAGATGAATAAAATAAAAACGTAACGACGAAAAGAGTAATATTTTTTAAACTTTTACTTCAAATAGTTTAAAAACTATTCAATTTTAGCAATTTAAAGAGTTTTCAAATTTTTATATTTTTAGATTTTAAAAATTTTGAAAAGTCAAAGGTTTTGTCTTTCTTATCTTTTTTTTTTTTTTCGACGTTTCCAAAAATATTAATATATTATACATATTCAATATTTTTATATTATTCTCTATATTTCACATAAAAAAATTTATTTTTCAACATTTTCACTAAACAAACACATCCCAAGGATTTTAAAGTAATTTTGAATATAAAACAAAATTTGAATTTATTTACTTTATCAACTTTCACTCATTGGATACTATTTATATTTTTAAAAAATATTATATCAAATATATATTTTTTTTCAAACAAAATATCATATAATTTTCAAATATTCAAAAACATAAAAAAATCTGTATCCAAACAAACCTTGTAACTCTTCGGTTAAAATAAATAATTTTTAAAACTATTTTTACATGTAGATTTTGAAAAAATTGTTTCTTATGATATTTATTTAAGAAATTCTCAAATAATCGGTTTGATATATATATATATATATATTTTTTTTTCAAATATTCACACAACAACAATTTTTTAAATCCTAAAAATATTATACTATTATATTTATATATTTATATATTTTTTTATAAATTGAAATAGACGTAAAAAGTACAACGGCCGAAGAGTCCCGAACTCCTTTTACAATTTCCAGAAACCCCAAATCGATTCACTCTCTGTCTACGATTCATCATTCAATAACGGAGTTGTTGGATCGGAGCTCGATTTATAGGCTAGCTGGAGGAAACCGCAAATTGTAAATGCATGTGGCACTGGATCTGAATTGCTTCCTGCAGGTTGTGGTATTGGCATTGGCGGCGGCCGTCGGATTCCTCTATTTGGTACGGAACACTGCGTCTAGGTATTTTGTAGTCGACTCCAATTTCGGTTCCAGCGCGGCTGATTTTTCCTCGGATCGAAACACTAGGGGAAGTATGACGCCGGCGGTTGGAGGAGGAGACAAGGTTCCTGATAAATGTGCGGTATGCGGCGATTCGACGAAGAAACAATGCGCTCGTTGTAAGAAGGTTAAGTATTGGTATGCACGCGCGCCTAATTTTTCACTTTCTGCACGTGTTGTGTTATGAGTGCGTTTAGAGAATGGTAGTGGAAGAAAGTATGGAATTTTGTGCTTCCTGTTTGAATTGATTTACGTGTGTTGTTCTGTTTTTATGTATATTGGACAAGCAGGCGGTATTCTAAGGGTTATACATCTTGATAAGTTTCCAATCCTATTGTTAATTAAGCTGTTGGGCGTATCTTGAACAAGAACATGTGATTTAGAGACGAACGCTTTCAGATATCTTAAGATCTTCATGAAAATTTGGCAATTTCGATATCCTATCTCAAATATTATAATTCATTGTTTTTCATAATGGATGCCTCACCTACTGTAATTTTAGAAATCTGTTGTTGTCATTCACGTAGTTTACAAATTGCGTTTCCTGTTTGCCTGGCTGATGAGGGAGAAAATGGCAACCATTCAACTGTGATCAGTATTAAGGATATATGAAGCATATGCCCATGCTAACCATTGTCTTAAAAATCTTTTATGATATCATCGTCGTCATGAGGAATGTAATACTGATTGTTCACTTCACTTTAGGGTTGTAAAAGTTGGCTTGTATAACAGACTGATAACCTTGTTCTTGGTTAGAGACTTATCTCTGTGTTCTAATTAATTTTCTCTCTAATTGGGATTCCTGTTCTTTAGTCACCCTACTGTACAATGTTTACAAGAATCATTCATAGGGACATAAATGAGAACCATGAATGATTACTAGGGTAAATGTTATGCAGCAGTGTAAAGACAGGGTGATGCATATGTTGTCTAGCGACGGTATTCCTTCTCCTTGCTTTCATAAATTAAACTAGAGGATTCTCCAAAATTACTTTAGATCTTCCATAGTAATGGCTGTCTCTCTGACCTTGTAGTTCTGAAGCTTGTCAAATAACCCACTGGGAGGAGCATAAGCCAAAGTGCAAGGACTCGACATTTATTCAAACCTTCCAAAAAGTATTTAAAAATAAAGTGAAGGATGGGAAAGCTTCCCTAGTTACTGACAATGGAAACTCAAGACCTATTAAAAATCCAAACCAGGTATTATGGTGTCTATTATCCTCGGGTATCAAGGGCTAATAAGCTTTTAGTGTGACATATGTCTGTTATGTTTTCAGATCCTTTTTCCATATGAAGAATTCATAAATTTTTTTGAATGGGACAGACCAGATTATCCTCCTCCCTGCGGACTTTTAAATTGTGGAAATAGGTAAGGGAATCATTTGGTCTTTTCCCTGTATCTGATTATGTGAAATTTCAATCCATCCTTATGGATTCAAGTTGTTTCTGTGCAGCTGCTTCGCTAATGTGGTTCTTCAGTGTCTTGCATATACTAGACCGCTTGTTGCCTATTTGTTGGAGAAAGGCCACAAGACAGAATGTAATGTTACACAATCATGATTATCTCTTTCATTATCTACTCGAGCAAAAGGATTCACTGTTTGTCCTACTGTGGTTATTACTGTCCAATCTTTATGCTTGTATTTGTTTTACAGGTCAAATGGACCATTCGTGCTTTTTCTGTGAATTTCAAACACATGTGGAACGAGCTACTCGGAGTACTGCTCCATTTTCTCCGATCAACATTCTTTCACGTTTGCCTAATATTGGTGGTAATCTTGATTTTGGGCAGCAGGAGGATGCCCATGAGTTTATGAGGTCCTTATCTCACCCAGTTTTTGGTTACGTCTTGTCTTTCTTTATGGAGTTCTGAAGCAGAATTTATGATGCTTATTTTTGCTTTCTTTTAGTCCTCTTTTGCATTATGTTATAAAGTTAGAATCTCATTTGTTTAGGTTTGCCATTGACACAATGCAATCGGTGTGCCTTGATGAATTTGGTGGAGAAAAGGCTGTTCATCCTAGTTATCAACAGACAACCCTTATTCAACATATTTTTGGTGGCCGCCTTCGATCTCAGGTAGATTGCATGGTTGAAGCACACAATTTGATTTCTTATTTGCCAATGTTGTTCTCTTTTGAAACCTGCAATCCTTCATGATGAAAAGTGATTCAGCTAATTTTTTAGAGGTGAAGATTGGATAAGCCTGTGCTATAAATTGCAAAAATAGATTAACAAATGAGAGCAATGTTTGCTTTGAAAGAAATTTTTAGTTTCATATATTTATCAAATTGTGCCTCTGTCTTGTTTCATTGGCACTTTCTCCTTTCAGGTTGTGTGCACTGAATGCAATAATGTATCAAATCAATTTGAGAACATGATGGATCTAACAGTTGAAATCCATGGAGATGCTGAGACTCTGGAGGAGTGTTTGGATCAGTTCACTGCCAAAGAACAGCTTAATGGGGATAATAAGTATAAATGTGATGGGTAAGTGCTGTGTTTTTCGCAGGGTTGGGCTTACCTGCTATTTGCCTTTATTTCAAGTTACATGAATATTCTATGTCTAGGAACAGTGGAACTGTTTCCACTTGCTGCAGTCATGTTCCTTTAGTTCCAGTTACATGAATACCCTATATCTAGGAATATAATACTATATCTGTAATTTATAATATGTGAAGGGTGTGTTTGTTTGGGGGATTGGATTGGATTTACACTATTCATCCAATTTTTTTCCCCCAAAAACATCAAATCAAACACCTATTTTTAATTTTTTATATTATACTAAAAATCAATTTTACATTCAAAACATCACATCAACACCTATTTATATCACATCATACAACTATTCAAATTCAAAATTTTTATTATTCAAATCCCAACTCAAAATCTAAACCCCCAACCAAACACACCCGAAATGTACTTGTTACAGGCAGAGAGTTTATCTTCTAAGTTTTACAGGTTCCCTTTGAAATCATGTTCTCTTCTCTTGCAAACCTCTGCATTATCACATTTATAAAATATGTCTGAAACCCCAACAGGTTTAAAGCATAAAAAAATGCTCCTTGCTTTACATGAAAATGTCATATCTCTTGACCACTTATAATTTGCTTATGCAGTTGCAATGCTTATGTCACGGCATGGAAACGGCTCACTATTCAGCAGGCGCCAAATATCCTTACAATTGCCTTAAAAAGATTTCAGGTCCACTCTTTGTATTGTTGCATTCAATTATTTTATGTAGAATCCATGGCATATATGAACATGCAATGTGCATTGACTCGCAAAGTATGCAAGTAATATGAACTGAAGAGTGTGTGGTAGCTATAACATACTGTAGTGCTAGTTTCATAGCTAACAGCCTGATTAGTAGAGAAACTGAAGCTTTGGAAATAGATAAGGGGTTGTTGAATTTGGAAAACTTGTCTATTTAGGAGGAGCTATTGATTGCTGAAATATATGGCTAACCAAACAACAAAGGTTTCAGTGGGGAGTCCAATGAATGGTGAGTCTGAGCGTTCTTTTCTAACATCACAGATAACATGCAGTTGCACTGCAGCAGTGATCATGATTCTCTCCCATTTTAGGCTTTAAAAGAGGCGAGATTCTGGTTTAGAACACATGCATGATGTCTATATTTCCTTTCAAATACATAAATATGCTGTTACTCCATTGTTGTGATCGTTTAATTTTGGAGCACTGTTTATTTTGTTCCTTTAGTTTTAATAGCATATTTATAACAAATGAAATAAGCTTTGCTATTGGTTATATTTTCTATAATTTCCTTTCCTTGCCTTCTATTCTTTTTCATTTGTTAAAGTATTTTGACATAATTTAACTGTAACCTTTGTTTACGTTATTCCTTGTTTTATATTTATCTTAAGTTTATGATAAGATATCTTAATTTTCTTCAACAGAGTGGAAGGTTTGGAAAACTTAACAAGAGGGTTACTTTTCCCGAGAAGCTGAATCTCACATCTTACATGAGTGAATTAGAATTTGGAAATGATTATGTGTTGTATGCTGTGATTGTCCATTTGGACATGCTGAATGCCTCATTTTTCGGTCACTACATCTGCTATGTTAAGGGCTTCTGTGGAAACTGGTTCAGGATCGATGACTGTGAGGTATTAGTTGCTGTCCATCTATCGATGTGCACTCTGTATTTTCCCATTGAACACTCATTTATGTTACTCGGGTTCATATTGATAGAATTATGTTCATGTACTAATACCTTAAGACCACTATGATTTTGAATTAAATAACAACTCAAAAGATATTTTCTTTCAGTTTTTGCTTGAGTTTGTAATGTCTGTATTTTACTGATGGAAGGGAGTGGCAACTCTATGATACTAAGTTATGTTGTGCAACGTAATTATCAAGACATCAGGCAGAAGCCGTAGAATCATTTTGGTTCGTTCCATTTTCAACAGTATCATTGTCTATTGATTCATTAACTCAACCTTTTTCAGGTTACACGAGTCCATTTGAATGAGGTGGTTTCACAGGGAGCTTATATGCTCTTGTATAAAAGGTACTTTCTCGCAAATTAATTTAAAGAGATAATATAAACATAAGTTGGATATAGAATTAAGTTTGATGCGTCTTCAATATTTACTTTCATAACTATCCAGTTGTCTGAATACCATAGCTGCATTAGTTAATTACCATTTACTAAGTGCCTTCTTTGTTCGATGGGTTTTTGTTGGTTGCAATTGATTTTTTTGTCTCTATTATAGATTGTACAAGTGAAAAACAAGTTTCCATGTCTACATTTTGAGGGCCCTTGTAGAAAGTTTTAATACATACTGATCCATACTAGACATTATTCAGTTTGCTACTGGCCCTTAACAATTCTTATGGATTGCATCTAACAGGGTTCATGCTCGTCCTTCATGTTTGCTTCCTGCTGAAACTTTTAACAAACTAGAAAACGGGGATTCAAAAAAAGCAGTAGATATTTCAGTAAAACAAATTATTCATAGCTCGGCAGCTGGAGCATGCCTTGGTACTCCTGTTGATTCTGAAAACTGTTCTGGACCGTCAGTTAACATTGAGATATCTTCCATAGCCAATATAGAAGATCCAACAAGGGAGGTAAAGATAGGATCTGCTGAAACATGTTCATCCACTGTGAATGGTGGAATTCACAATTTTGAGGCTGCACCGAAAAAGGTCGGCTCTTTGAATGACGCAAGCGAACTGATCCCCGTCAGCACTTCCTTGATTGGTGACAGCTCTATGGAATTAGATGCCAGCAATGTGGCACCCTTTGTGTCTGATACCAAAAATCCAAGTGAGGGTAATAGATGCAAAGCTGATGGAGGATCACACAGAATATTGACAGATGAAATGACTTCTGCTGCGAACTGTAAGATCGGGGAAGGCATGGTATCCTATCTTTCTCCCATGACCACCTGCGAAATTCGAGATGTGAACTCTTCTAATGGCAGCTCTACACCTGGCAATACCGTGAATTCAAATGAAACTTCTGGTATAAAGCTGAAGCCGGTTTTCGTTCCTGGTTTTCTTGGCAAACACCCACAAAGGAGGCCTAAGCAGAAAAAGAAGGTAGTAGTAGAAGCCAAACTTTTACAGGCAGAACATATCAACATGGCCTCAAAACTTGAGGAGATTCGGTTCTTGATGCACAAGAATTGAAGGGTTCCGGCTGACTCTGGTACGACCAACAACCTCAGCAGTGGAGATTCAGAGCCTTCGACCTGTGTTTACTGTAAGTACCCGAACTCACATAACAATAGAGATGGTCTGGCAGCAAAACCATGTTGTTGATGACAGTTATCGTCGACAACACCGGATATGTCCATGATAGATGATCCTTGAGGTTATGATATTTTTCTTTTTCTCTCTTTTTTTGCACCTAACTTGTCAAATGAGAACATGGCAGTAGATTTTGACATAGGGAGTACTAGCATGCATGCATGCATCAAGAAATTTTCATTTTCTTTCTATCATAGTTTTTAGAAAGAGAGAGAGAGAGAGAGAGAGAGTTTTGTTTATGAATGAGCAGCCAGCAGCATTAGAGTAATGTGTGTTTTTTTCCTGGTGATGCACAGAGAAAGATGATTTATGAATTTTAAGCAATTGTTTCTTCTCTTCTTTTCAGTCACTTTACATAAAAATTTTATACATCTCAAATCATCAAATGGTCTCCTCTCAATTTGTGTTGCTTCCATTGATTTATGATATGCATTAATGTGTGTGTGTGTGTGTGTGTGTGAGTGAGAGAGAGAGAGAGAGAGAGAGAGAGAGAGAGAGAGAGAGAGAGAGAGATCTGTTATCAAAATTTGATGTGTACTTTTACACTGCATAACTACAACTGTGATGTTCACTCCATAAGGGGCAATAAATGGTACAGCTACTTTGGACCACTTATTATGAAGCCTTTTTTTTTGGTTTAGCAATAAGAGCTGCTACTGCTGCTGCTCGTTTAACTGTACAGTGCGTTTTGGATGTGATGATCGTTACATTACATGCAATGCTTTGTAATACTATTAAATTTAGATGATATGCACCAATTTTTATTTTTTTACCTGAACATTGTAAACAAAAATGTTGAAAAAAACAAGTTAACCAAGTGATTTCAACAAAATGTTGATTTCATTTTGGTATTATTATTAATAGCATATTAAATAATGTTTGGGGACGCTATGCCTACACACAACTGTATGAACCTAACGTAAATGCGTACGCTCATTCAGTTCTTTTTGTTTGTAGGTTTTCTAACCGACTTTACTTTTACTTTAAATTTTTTTATCAAAAAAAATAATCAAATCAAATGTATATATTTATTTTTATATTATATTAAAAATAATTTTACATTTGAAATATTGCAACAAAAGTGTATTTATCATACATCAAATTACTATTATAATTAAAAATTGTATTATTCAAAACTCAAATACACAAATTATCTTTACATATCGAAATAGGCTAGTGCAATCATGAAACTCAACAAAAAGGAATAATAATAATAATAATAATAATAATAATAATAATGTTTACTAAAAATTCCTCATATTCATGGCATGAAAATACTCACAAACAATCTATTGTTCACTTCACGACATAATTTTGTATTTTTGTTATTTGAAAAAATAAGGATATATTTACCTAACTCGATGCAAATACATAATTAACTAAAGTAGTCCTAGCAGGGTCTATTATATATAGTACTGTATTATTTTTTAATAAGTAGATAGATATTGCACATTATTTATGTATTTATTGTTATTATTATTGTAGTTACCAATGTCGTCACTTTCACGCTCTCCTTCTTACTATTGCATTCCATACTTGCGCTTTCTCAAATTTCTCCGTTCGAAACACACCTCAATTTCCATTTCTTCAATCTGGAGTCATGGAAAAGAGATAAAGCGTTTACTCTGTCGTGATTCTGGATGCCTTGATTTGTTTATAGGTGAGTACCGACTGTTGTTTTCTCGATTTATGCATTGCTTTGATTCTGCTTTGGTTGCAGATCTTGATTCAGTTTGTTCCTCTGTTTCGTTACTCATAGGTCGTTATTCTTCCCTGAAATCAATCGCTGATGGATACGATGAAGTAATTTAATTCAGTTCAATCCACTGTTTGGCGTTTCCAAGTGTTCCTCGGTATCATCGAACGAGTTCGACATTTTGGTTTCTGGAGATTTTGCAGATGGATTTCACTGCAAATCCGACTCCGTATTTGAGGTTAGTTTTTCGTTCTGAGTAGTTTTCCTTTTTAGAAAAACTGAAATCTTCTTAAATTTTAGACAGCAATCATTTAAAGGACCACTGTGTTTCTGACAGATCTGCTTTATTGCGTTATTCCTTCTCCACGGTAGATTTTATGATAGTATGTCTTTTTCATAGAAGGTTCTGATCAGGCATTTAATTTTTCCTGTTCATTCCCCATGGTACATTTCGGTTGTAATTAGACATTCTGAAAGAGTTTTTTCTTATCTGATATATGTTTCTTGTATGTAATGATGCATAATTAAGAACCTAGAAATAATTTATTATGAGAACATTCTATGTTTAAGTTGATTTGCTTCTAGTCCACTAGAATTAGTATTGATTATCTTGTGCAAATGGAAAATGCAGTTTAGTTTCAGCCATTTCGTATGGAGCTGCTTCAATGGCAATGGTTTTTATCAACAAAGCTGTGGTCATGCAGTATGCCTATTCCATGACTCTTTTAACTCTTCAGGTACATTGAAAGTGTATGAATTTCTTGTAAGAGTATCTACAATCTCTCCTTACTGCCGTATTCACTTTTTGATGATTCACTGGAATTTCTTCTTATTGTTTTGAGCTGTTAACAGCAATTGGCCACAGGTTTCCTTATCCACTTAGGTAGAATAACGGGATATACAAAAACCAGAGGATTTAATGTAGAGACAGCCAAGAAACTTTTTCTAGTTTCGTTATTCTACAATGCGAATGTGGCGTTTGCGCTAGCAAGCCTGAAAGGTGTTAATATCCCAATGTATATAGCCATCAAGAGGCTTACGCCACTTGCTGTACTTATAGCAGGATTCTTTTATGGGAAAGGAAGACCAACAACTCAGGTTAGTGTATCGAAAATTTCTGTTACAATATCTGTCTGATGATAAATGGTTGTAAATCCATGTTGTTGAGGAATTGAACTTGATAATCGAGACAAAATGTCTCATGGTGAATAAACAAGGAGTTATGAAGTAAGATATAAATTGAGGCTTTACTACAAGCCCTTAAATTTAAAGTTTTCAGAATTATATTTGATTGAGCTCACTAGTTAACATGCCTGCCAAATAACCATAAAAATCTTAAACATTGGAGGAGGTTTTTCTTTGAATCTTGACTATCGCTCATCTATTGAAAAGGGTGTTGTGTGATAAGATTTTGGGATGTGATTATGTGAATCCCTCCTGCACATTATGGAGGTATCTTAACGAATTAAACTAGACAAAGTGCTTCACATAACTCTTAAGATATGAAGTGGAACTTGACTACAAGCCTTCTAGATTCTAGGTCATTGGAACTATATTGTGTTTGGTGGTTGAACTATTTTGTAGGATTTTATTGTGTCAAATTGAATTAGATTGCTGACTTATGTCTATGATTGCAGTGCTTAATCTGGTAGCCATAATTATCTAGAAAAAAATATGATTCTTGAATGGGTAAATCTGGCCGTGAAGATTAGTTGTGAACATTGCTGGAATTTGTCTTGTTACACACTTGATGTATATGCAACAATACATTCTTCCCAAAACCAAAAGGGACAGTGTGAAAAGAGAGGGTGAGAAAGAAGGAAAGTTGTTAGAGACATTTCTTTCGAAATAAGATAAGTATATACTTAGGGACCTTTATATTGACCTGTTTAATGTTTAGTTAATAATTCCTAGAGAGTTATTGTACTTGAACTTCTATCCACACAAATTGAAGCTCAAAAACAACAAATGCTTTCTTTCGAAGTCCGAACGATCCTGGTTGCTCTTGACTTGTGTGTTTCACTACCTCTAGTGAAACACAGTGTGTTTTGAAGAAAGTTGCAGTCAGTAGATTCTAATGTTTTTTCTTGACCAGCCCTTTTTCCTATATTTTCCTCCAGGTTACACTTTCTGTAATTTTAACAGCTGCTGGAGTTATTATAGCAGCACTTGGAGATTTTTCATTTGATCTTTTCGGATATGCCATGGCGTTTACTTCTGTCTTTTTCCAGGTATTTTTGTACACTATGATACTAATGTTTGAAACTTTTTTGGTTATATAGAGACTTGGTTTCCTAATTTCTCTTGCAGACCATGTACCTGGTGTTGGTAGAAAAATCAGGGGCCGAGGATGGTCTGAGCTCAGTCGAAATCATGTTCTACAACAGCGTTTTGTCACTCCCTTTTCTTGCATTCATCATCATAGCTACCGGAGAATTTCCAAATTCATTGTCGGTAATATTCGAAAAGGTCAGAACCTCTCAAACTCAAGTGTAAATATTCATGGGATTGACTACTACTACCCATATTGTGTTGTGTTAATTGCCTTTGTTGGCTATGAAAAAAATGACTACTATTATGGTTTTTAACATGGGATTGGAATGAATTTGTTGACAGAGTGCGTCGCTATCATTTTTGGTGATTCTGATTCTATCTCTAGTGATGGGTATAATTCTAAACTACACAATGTTCTGGTGCACCATCGTCAATTCGGCTTTAACTACAACAATAGTGGGTGTCCTCAAGGGAGTAGGATCCACGGTATGTATGTATACGCCAAAAATCTTACATTTTTCCATTGCAAATTTTATCGAAGGAGAGATATCAATCAATGATTTAACTTATTAACCTATCCATCTACTTGGGCAGACTCTGGGATTTTTCTTATTGGGAGGGGTGCAAGTGCATGCATTGAATGTGACAGGACTAGTGATCAACACCGCTGGCGGCGTCTGGTACTCAATTGCCAAATATCACCAGAAGAAGAAGAAACAAAAATTGCCAAAAGTAGCAGTAATGCCAGATGTCGAAGAAGGCCATCGGAAGTGAACAACCGCCACACAGATTAAATTTTGCATCGGACGGGCAGGGAAGGGATTGTGTGTATTGATAAGACTGAGATATAGCATATGATTTATTGTCCTCCTTTCTTCGTTATTTATATATCAAATGTACAGCAGCCGAAAAAAAAGGTACGGTGTTTGCTGCTATATTTTATTTATAGGTGCAAAATGCACTACACTACACATATCTTCACAAAAGAGAGGAGAGGTCAAGATGAGATGAGAACGAAGACAACCAAAGACACATTTTTCCAGGTCTATTACAGCATGGACTCCATAAAATAAGCTATTATAGTGGGCTGGGCTGAGGTAAGCTGATATATCTATAAGTGAACCCAGCCCATGGACTGACGTATTGGGCTGGGCTATATTAATTTTGTAAAATTAAATATAATAAAATAGGTCCCAATGCCGGTCCAAATTGATTCAAAAGTAGTCTGGGGTCGAGAGGAGAAATAATATATCGACACATTAACGCACGTACTTTTGGTATACATATACATATGTAAATATATGCAGACATTATTATTTCTTTAACATTTTGAGGGTAAAGCCCAAATAATCTTCATGTGAAGGCCAAAAGAGAAAACACTGTAGATGGGTTTTAGAGTTGCAAAGCAAAAAGATACAAAAGCACAAGCATCATGCTATTTTCTTTGCGTCGAGCAAATCAATAGCTAAATAAATAGTTTGTTAATATGAAACACATTTTCTGGGTTTGGTACAAACAGCATAGTGGCAATAACAAGTACACAACAAAACAAACAAAGGTTAATCACTTACCTCCCGTATAGACAAATTAAACCGCATGACAGAGTAGCAGGGAGGGCAAGTAAGTAAACAAGGTGCAGCAACAATGAAGATACCCTCCCACTGAAGACCAAACGACTGACTGACAGACGACAAGCTTGGACTTAAAAAATACTGTACTACGCAAGGTTGCATTGACTTGGCCAAGAGTGACAAGTACAGATGTACCCTAAACTAAAAAATAAGATCCCCCACCCCACTAAAAAAAAGACATGTTTCCGTAAATGCATGACACGTAATATCAAAAAATAAAGATGGATTAAGAAAAGCCCGCCCCAATTGCCATTGATGAATAAATGAAACAAAATTTTTCTTAGTATTCAATGAGGAGAACTCAGTAAAATATGAAATAAAAATCTTATTTGGGCAAAGAATAATGGCGCATAGAGAGGGGTTATATTTGAAAGAAAATGGCATGCCTTGACTATCCACATATAATGGATTGAATACCTGCCCGTAGCGTGGAACTTGATCATCAGAGAACCTTACATCTAAGGAAATACCATAAATATTTGCGGAGAGGGGGCGCATCATAGCCGCAGAAATGCAATGAAAAGAAGCATCTAGCAGAGAAGCCAGCGGGGATCCACAATCATTGAAATTGAAGATCCCACGGGTGGTGGAGAGGTCGAAACACAAGTAGTGAAGAGTGCAGATGCACGATACCAATGAAGCAGTACCAGGCAAACACCTCGACACAAAAACAAAACCATAACATTTTTAGAAGTGCTCCTCACAATATTCTAATATATCAATATATCAGAGTGATAATAACACATATGAAAAGCTACGAAAATAGTTTATGGGCATAGCAACAAACTTACTACTGAAGTAGTAACGACAACCAAATCCACGAGTAGAAGAAGCTGAGGCGTCACCCCACACTTACACAGTCGTACATAAGTCCAATCACAGTAAACACAATTCAAAAACTTCTTCAGTGGTTCAAGAGCACTAATGGCTTATCCAAGTTCAGCTTCTGCTCCTGCGCCTTTCCCTAACCCCATTTCTGCAAAATCAATACATATGCCACACAAAATAAGAATGCAGACACTCAGACAAAAAATATATATATGAAAAAACAAATATTTTTCCTCCAAACCCTTAATGAGTAAGTGTATTTTAATTAAACTAAATTTACATTTGTATAGCACAACCAAAAGAGGGTATAACCCTGAAACTTTCTGAGAATCCAAATGAAACCTCTACACTAGACAAGTTGCGACAATTTAATTTACTAGCAATTGCTGGTTCATCTGACTGAAGAATTCATAGTACAAACAACAATTATACAAAATTCATCCATCCTTCAAAAGTAAAAGAGAAGGAAGAGAACTTTACCCATTTGCATATGGAACCTCCTCTCGTCCACGATAGGGTGGTGACTTGCTGTAGCTGCGGCCTCTAGGCGACAAACTGCGACGCGGAGGGGATCGTCCACGCGGGGAACGACCACGAGGACTGTAACTCCTTCACACCAGATTAACCAGATGAGAATAGAGTTAATAATACAAGGCCAAACATATATTAAAGGAAGTAACAAAATCACACATTTATCTTCCCCTCCCCAAGATTCAAAGGCTGTTTCTTATTTAATTGAGTTTTACAAATTTTCAAACTTGTTAATTTACCTTCGACCATAACTTGGACTCCTACGATACCTAGGAGGAGTTCGACTCCTACGCCTTCCAGAACCTCCTCGATTTCTGCATTCACGGGCAAAATGACCAGGCTCACCACATTCATAGCATTTCAAATCAGAACCAGATCGTCCACGGCCACCACCACCACCACCACCTCCTCCTCCACCCCTTGAATTGTGTGACATTTCAACTCTCCAGCCATTTTTTCCTGTTCCATTACAATTTAGTAATCTAGATAAAATAAAAATGGTGATCAAACTGAATGGCTGCACAAATAATCATTTAAAGAAACATTCAACCATGATGCTATGCCTTCCACTAGAAATAACCAAAATCATAAGAAACCATTGAAACAAAAAAGAAACAAAAGTGGAAAAATTGTCAGATAGAACAAACGAGGAAACTATCTTCAAAAAAAATGTCTGCAGTTACCATTAATTTAAGTAAGAAATTCTTAACTAACCATCAACCTCCCTGATAGCATCCTGGGCATCCCTACGATCGTCAAAGTCAATAAAAGCATAACCAGGTGGTCTTCTGGCAACCCAAACACTGCAGAAAAAATTCAAGATTTATCCAAGTAATAGGTAAAATAACTGATTAATTATAGTAAGAAGAAACACGTGTTTATATTAACTAAATTAGTGTGAAAAGGTAATAAGATCTATTATCAACCAGGAATGAAAACCATCTATTCTTCAATTATTAAACTTGCATCAATTAGATAAGACATAAGTTTCAACCAACAGAATCCAAATTCAAGTTTTTTTGGTAGAAAACAGAATACACATAGACAGTGAAACAAAAGGATGCAGATAATTGTCTGACAAGAAAAACAAAACCAACTGAACAGAACAATTAAGTTACCAGAGTTATATATACACCGAACCTCACTCTGAAAGATGCAACTCATTTCATAGAAACAAAGTTAAAAATTCAAACACAGAATTTAATATAAATCACCAATTGGTATAACACAATTTTCATTATATATTTATCTTTTCCAATAATACCTTTCAGATCTAATGGGATGATGCTACTTAGCCCAACTCCAAACTTGGATACAAAAAAAAAACCAAAAAAGATAAACCCTAATATAAGAGGGTTATACCTTCTAATCACTCCAAACACGCGAAATTCATCCTCGAGTTCGCGTTCAGTAACCCGTGGATCCAAATTCCCCACGTAAACTCTGGACATCTCGAATCAAAGTTCCTCCGACGAAACTCTGAAAACATAAAATTAGATCAGCAATTCCGTTCCACTACCATCAAATACACACAAAACTCGAAAAAACGTAAAATTTAGGTGTGATTCAAAGAGTCATAGAGGAAGAGAAAAAACTAAGAAATAAAAAATCACAAAAAAAAAAAAAAAAAAAAGATCAAACAAACAAACGTAACATAAGTTAGCCAGAACAGATCGGAAAAAACGATGCAACTAAATTCCATCATACGCATCACCTCCAGGAGACAAACAAAAGGATCAATAGCTTCAAATCTATGCACATATTCAGTAGATCCAAGGAGAATCGATTCACTAATCTACACCAAAAGGCGAAAATCGCGAAGAGAGAAAAACGAAACCTGAAGCCGCAGTTGAAGAAGAAACCCTAGCGCACTGTAGGGTGCAGTGCAGTGGCCTCGCTATTTAAAACAAATGTCCCGTGAAATTACATTAATACCCCTGATTTGTTGGTTAAGCGTAATAAAATAATACTGTATAAATATATTGTGTGAAATTACTATAACACGTGGGAGCCATTGTATGAACAAGCGTCAACGCGCGTGCATACACGCGTTTGTTCTATAATTTGATAAGAACAGAAGTTGGTCGTCGTTTGCTCTCTGATTTTCAACTTTTGTTATTAATAATCAGGCTGCGATTCCAATGAAATCTTCGTCTGGGTAAAGATTTGATTCCACGTTTAGAAGGAAAAGCTAAGGAGATTATCGGCAGAAAAAGAGCAGTTAATTGCTGCTCAGCGATTGATTCCTTGGATTTGAGCTTGCAGGAGTTGTTGGGTAAAAACCAGATTTTGGAGGCAATTTGAATCAACTTATTCGAAAATAACGTACTATTGCTTGACTGAATGATCGCTTATTTGAATTATTGCTATATATTTGCGTTGTGTTCATGAGACTTCCTTTGTTCTCTCGTCATGCTTGTGTTTTTTACCCCACTTCCGTTTTTCTGGTGTTTTCGGCTGAGTTGATTTTCTAGCAAATTAGACAGTTGTTGCCATTTTTTTTGTCTGCAGTCGGAATTAGCTGTGATATTTTGGTGAGGAGACGATGGTTGTTGATTGTTAGGGATCGAAATTTCCTTTGATTCTGAGCTGAAAGGGTTGGAATTTGAGAAATTATGCACAAATTGTTTTGAAGTTTTTGTTTGAATTTTGAACTTACCATTTGGATTGATAAGCTGTTTTTGAATGACTGCTAACAAATGGATAAACGCATAGAAAATTTGATATCTGCTAAGAAGTTGTTAAATTCCAGTTTAAGAAAATCTAGATCATTCGGATCATCCATAGAAAAATCTTGCTCTAGATTAGATGAGATTAACCATAGGCTGTTATCTATAGAACTATCCGTTGGACCGGTGCAAGCTCCGAAAGATACTCTTCTTTCTGTGTCTGCTTGTGTAAATAGATCTGTGGTTCCAGCAGCTTCAGTTCTTAAGGTTTTTGATGCAATCCATGGCCTTGAAAGGTCATTGTCCGATCCCCAATCTGATCTTCCGGGATATCTTAGTGTGCTTAAACGTCTGGAAGAAGCATTGAAGTTCTTGGGGGAGAATTGTGGAATGGCAATTCAATGGTTGTTTGATATAGCCAAGTGTTTGGAGGATCATAAAGTGATGGATGGGGGATTCGTTTTGCGTTTGAACAGGTCTTTGGAGAGTCTCCGAGAACTGGAATCAGGTGAAGAGAATGACTGTCTTGACGGTGGATTGCTTCAAGTTGCATTAGACCGACTGGCGAAAGAGTTCAGACGGCTATTGTCTGAATATAGCATTCCACTACATATGCCATCTCCTGCCTCGACTGGCCACGATGAGCGAGCTTCCATTGAACTGTCGCCTTTGCCTGTGGCTGTGATACAGAAGCTGAAAGCTATTTTGAGGAGATTGATTGCTAACAGAAGACTTGAAAGCTGTATATCCATTTATATTGAGGTTCGGAGTTCTAATGCGCAGGACAGTTTGCAAGGCCTCGATTTGGAGTATCTCAACATGCCAGTCTCCGAATTCAATAGAGCTCCGAACATAGATGTTTACATATCTCAATGGAGCAAGCATTTGGAGTTTGTGGTTCAACATTTGCTTGAAGCTGAGTACAAACTTTGCAGTGATGTGTTCGAAAGAGCTGGATCGAATGTGTGGAAGAACTGTTTTGCTGAAATAGCCGGACAGGCCGGAATTCTCGGATTCTTACAGTTTGGCAGAACTGTTACTGATAGTAAGAAAGACCAGATGAAGCTACTGAAACTGCTGGACATCTTTGCTTCCCTAACTAAACTCAGATCGGATTTCAACCGTCTCTTTAGCGGAGATGCCTGTGCCGAGATCCAAAACCTGACCCGGGATTTGATCAAGAGAGTCATTGAAGGCGCTTGCACGAGTTTCCGGGAGCTTCGGGTTCAAGTCGAACAGCAAAGACACGCCCCACCTCCTCCCGACTGCAGTATTCCGAAAGCTGTAAGTTCCACAACAGATTATTGCAACAAACTTCTTGGAGATGACTACAAGCCGATTCTTACACAAGTTCTGGTCATCGAAAGAAGCTGGAAGCGCGAAAAGTATCGAGAGAGGTTTCTTTTCGATGACATTGTTATCTTGATTAAAGTTGTCGAGCAAAACTTGGAAGCATGGTCCAAAAGCTACGACAACGCCTGGCAAACGTATCTGTTCCTGATGAACAATCACTGGCACTTGTACAAAAATCTGAAGGGCACCGAAGTCGGGAGCCTTCTAGGAGATTCTTGGCTAACCGAGCATGAACAGTACAAGGAGTATTATTTATCCATGTTCGTGCGTGAGAGTTGGGGAAAGCTCCCGGCGCTGTTGAGCCGGGAAGGGCTGATCTTGTTCACGGGAGGGCGTGAAACTGCTCGTGATCTTGTCAAAGAACGGTTGAGACTTTTCAATAAAGCGCTCGATGAAACATATAGGAAACAATCGCATTGGGTTGTTACAGATGAAGATTTACGCGAGAGAATTCGCCATGTTGTAATTCAGACCGTTGTGCCTGTTTATCGCAGCTACATGCAGAGTTACGGGGCGTTGGTAGAACAGGAGATGGATGCCGGGAAATATGTGAAGTACACGGTCCGTTCCCTGGAAAAAATGTTGGGCGCTCTTTTCCATCCGAGCAAGCCGAGTGCCGGATTCAACACAGGCAATGTGGATCGGTGATAGTGGTGACGTTTTCACTGTGGATTCGATTCGATGCTTGCTCTAGTGTAATTTCAATGTTACTGGTAATCTTCTTCAAGTTTAAAAATCTTTGTTTATAATTTTAGAAACATGTTCATATAGCTAAAATCAATGCTTCAGTCTTCGATTGTTGAAGGGATGCATCAAAGGTAATTAAATTCAATAATTAAGAAAGTTTACTTAATTATTGGCTTGTATATTTTGTACCTTGTCGGATGAATTGAGGTTAATACAGCACAATTACCACTTTTTGTTATGTGCTTTTTATTTATTACTTACATATAAAAGGTACAGAATTTATTGAAAACTTCTATAAGTAAATAAGTAAAATCTAATGAACAAATCGGTTATATCTAAATTTATCAGTTAAGACCAAAGGGAAGGCAATTCAACATATTCATATCCACACAGGAAGAGAAAATGTTATTTGGGACTAAGGAGGTCCGGGACCCCAACATCTCCCCAGTGAACCCCTTGTAGATCCATCTGGCGCTGGGAGTCCGCGGAGCTTCATACAATACAATCAACAAATCTAAGACACGTACAATTACTTACAACTAACTATAACTATCGAGTCACTTTCAAAGTAAAGTAGACGCTAACATATTTATTTACACACTGCACAATGTTTTGAAGGAAAGCTAAAGCCCTACAAGACAAAAGACAAACACACATATTCACAAGCAACATTTTTATTTCATTGAGATGAAGATGGTGAAGGCAGCGGTGGCAGTGGCAGTGGCGGTGGTGGAGGAGGAGCTGCAGTAGCCTTGCAAATCGGACACCAGTTCTTCAGCTTCAGCCACTGGTTTATACAGATCGAGTGGTACCCGTGCTGGCACACGCCCAGCTTCCCGATCTCATCCCCCAGTGTGTATTCCTCCTGCAAAACGAATGCGTGCACTTCAGCCATTTCTTATCGTGGAAGAAGAACATTAAGGTACTACCGACTAAAAATTTGTCATCATGATAATGCCAAGAATTGGAAATCCTATCTCTCATGAATTCTCAACAATCTAGAAGATCAAGGTCGAAAAAATTAAGCTCATAACCAGTTTTCTTGCTTCAATTTTGTCTGCGTATCAATGGAGGCTCTATCTTAACTAAGCCATTGGATACTGTAGGTACAGTAAAAAGCTATCTCGGAAAATGAGGGTATCAATTAGTCTAGAAAAAGACAGGCGTGCGTATGGAAATAAAAATAGGTTTTCATAAGGTAGACAAGAAAGAAATGTTATGAATACAAAGCATTTTAACAGTTAAGAACTTGTTTCAAACATAAAGTATTGAGATATTAAAGAAATGATGTCATTCTCGGTGGAATTTTATTTCTTTACCATGGTGGAGAAAGATGATGCACTAAATTTGTAGGCGAAAAATTGAGGATGCAAGAAACAAAGTACCTGACAAATGCAGCATTTGATGTCGTCTCCGTCATCACTTAATCCCACAGCTCTTACATCTGATGGCTTTGCCAGATATACGCTTTTACTAGTGCACATTTGGAGTTGCTCCTCCGAGAGTGCTGTGCTCACTGTACCCATCCTTTCTTCTAGAGCTAATAATTCCTGTGAGGTTCGTATAAAAAAAAGTCAAAGAGATTACGAAATTCTCAGAACAAGTCATGATGAAATTGATGAATCAAATATTTTATCTTTGATCGGATTAAAGCAAAATGCAAATAAAAAGAGCTACCTCGTATGACATGTTGTCGATATCCATTCTCATATCTCGGTGTTGGTCATACAAACTGAGGCCACTGAGGAATAAACTCGTCTCCAGGGCAATCACTTGCTGTAGGAAGAGAAAAACAGTTGAACAAAATTTTCAACCTGGATATGTCGTAGACTATAGCAAAGATTGGATACCTCATTTGTCAGCTCTTCATCCCGTTCAATCCTCCCAAGTGCTATTAACACCTGCAATGTAAACAAGTATATATCATCAAATAACTAATACGTTGGGCCAAAATAAAGTAGCTGCATTAGTAGGAGTGGTGGTGGATCGAGCTAGTAAATAAACCTGAATTATTAGAATGCCAAATTTTCAAAATGAGGTTGCAGAGACATATTTGATTTTTGAGAAAAACAAACTCAAACCTTCATGAGCTTACCTTTTCAAGACAATTTCATTATTTTAGGGAAACTCCCACTCTGCAAACACCATTACTATATGAGTGACAGTTTAAGCATGATTCAGGGCCAGAACAATACCTCAGCTATTCCGTCAATGTTGTATAATGGAAATGCATCCCGATTTATTATATGGGTAAGGCCAAGATCAGTAAAAGTAGATGGATTGTCACCATTACTGCTGGAAAGACTTTGCGGAGTTACAGCACTCGAACGACCACTAGAAGACAAATGCGGTGATAAAAATGGCCCTCCAACATTAACAGGTGTGACAGGATCAGGAGACTGAGGATCCCTTACACCCGATTCCCTATTAGTTGATTCATTTCTTTCAACTTGTCTGTAACAAAGCCTCATCCTGCTCTCATTCACATTTGCTGACATCCGTGACCTAACAGAAGCTGCACCACTGCTACTCTCCCCAGCAGTAAAAGTACTGCGCTTTGAGTCAGAAATGGAGATACCACTATTGGAACCAATTCTGTGCCTATGTGTGAATTCTGGTGCATTTGTCTGCCTGCCTCTACGATATAAACTGCTCTCCCCTTCTGAAATTTTCTTTTTCATTGCATATTTCCCGGAAGACTTTGATTCGGACAAATAATTTGGACTCAGGGCATCTGGTTCTGAATTGCACTTTAGATTCTTCAGACCATACCTACTTTTGTTACTACTGTTAACTGACCCAGAGCTTTCGGAAATGGAAGGGATGAAAGAAGCTGAGAGCATATTTTTGGCATTCGGCTTATGCTGAAATGTTCTTCGAGATCTTGCTTTTGATGGTATGCTGGAAGTCCCAACTTCAGGCAAGCTAACCCCATCAGGCTTGTTTGTTGATTCAGAATGATGCCTAGTTGGGCTCCTACTTGGTGAAGGCGTAAGTTCTTGAGCTTCTGAATCATCCGAGTGACTACTTTCTGATGAATCAAGTTCAGATTGAGTAGGCAACTTTCTCTTAGAATCGATGAAAGAGCTTTTCGTCCTGATCATCACAGAAGTGCTCCTGGAGGAATTTCCAATCATTTCATTCTTCCCATTTGATGAACTAAACGATGGGTTAGAGCATTTTGCTTTGTCATCACAGCGTTTGAATTTTGCTTTCTGATTGTTGTGCTTAACTTTTCCACTACATCCTGTTCGGGTACAATATCGAGCACTTTGATCTCCATCAGTGCTCACATCTTTGAAAGTAGCATTACATCCTTTTCTGCGAGCCATATTGCTGGCTGCATCGCTTTTTTCAGGGCATCCATCCATGAACAGTTGTATCAACTATCTACGCCTGTTTTGAAAACAGTAAGGCATTTCATTTTTATCACTCAATAATGCACATCTAATTTAACTGAAGGAAAACACTGCCCTAATTGAGAAGTTACTCATCGACGAGAGAACATGTTAAGTAAGAACAAAACATAAGAAATGAAGATTTTAGGGGTTTTTTACTATCAACTTTGTGTGGCGACAGTACACAATAATTTGAGGAACTCAGAAAAACAATCGTATATCTGAGCTTGGAAAGAGAGACAAGAGTTCACAAATACAAACTTCACATAATACACCAAGTCCATCATATATAACACTTATAGACTTATAGTATGTATTCACTTAAGTTGAGAGAGTGAAGTTACAGCTAAAAACTCAGTAAGAAAGTCTCGTGTAAAAAAGAAAAGAAAAAAAGAACATAATCTAAGGAGTTCATGAACCAATAGAAACATGTCAAACTTGGACAAAAACACTGACATGCTATAATAAACACTTCATAAGCTTGCTGTAACTGAAGCGTCAATTTTCCAAAATTATTGAATGATATTTGAATGGAATCATCATCATCATAAAACATGGCTAAAAGAAACGAAGATACATATATTTTCAGTGGAGAAATGAAGGGTTCATATGGTCAACTAGAATAGCCATTTACCAGTTCATACTCCTTCAAGAAATGTATGTATGTATGTATCTATCTATATATAAATAATATTCTAAGGCAAGTTCTTTGATGGCTTCACGTTTTTATTTTAATAATGAAGAATCACAATCAGAAAAGATCAAGCAAACATCACAGTATACTTACTCCCTTAGGCAGCAAACTTTATACAAAGGTGTAAGAGAAAGAACGACAATCTTGGATTGCATATAAAATATGCAGAAAATTTCTAAGAAGAAACAATCTCCAAAACCATAGGAAAGGGATCAGGCGACGGAATTAAGCAGAGAAGTCAAAGTTCAAAAACAACCACAAAAGATTTCACCAAAAATCATCCAAACTACCAACAAAAAAGCAAGCATCGCCTGTACAGATTGAAACAGCTCAAGAAATTAGGGCCAAAAAAGAGAGAACCCAAAATACCACAAACACGAAAAACAAATCAACAAATCTCCAATCCAGAGCAACAAACGCAGAAAATGATTCCCAAAAAAAACAATCAGAAAAGAAAAAAAAAAAAAAAAAAAAAGGCTAATCGGTTCAACCAAAGACCCAGCAAAATTGAACTCTCCGTATCAATCAATACCTCAATGGCAGGTGAAAGTCCAAGGCAGAGAGAGAAGCTTTCCGCTCACAGGTCGTCCCCTTTATCCCCACTTTTGAACCATCATTCCTTCCTTTAAAGAAGAACAAAAATTAGAAAAAGAAAGTTCCAACAACTACAGAGAATTGGAATTCGGCCCCTGGCTTTCCCACAACGGTATCATGAAAGCGATAAAAGCGAGGAAAGGGGAGAATTCAATGTAAATACGGAGAGATTTGTGCGCAAAAAAAGGTATCTATGGGCGTGCACTGTATCTAATCTAATCTAATATAATGCCGAATAATAATGGATTCGGATAAAAAGAGCTTTCCATAAACTAATTCCTTAACAAACAACTGCTGAATTGCCGTCCAGCCTTTTGTGTCCCCTTGTTCCATCTCAGCCGTCCGATTCCGTCCCCAATTTTTATACGGTCGAGATCAGGGAATGCTGGCCGCCCCAAATTTCCTAAATCGTCATTACCAATTTCATTGCGTTTTTTGTTACTTCATTATATAAACATATAATAATACTATTTATAACTCTTATTTTTTTAATTTTTTTTTTCTTCAAATCAGCATGTTTCTTTTCAATATTAGGTTTGGTAGTCATGGAAATTAAAAACTTTAATTTAAATAATACTTTATGTAATGTTAATTAGAAATTGAAAGTAACAGATTCTTGATTTATAATTGCCATGATCAAAATGCACATATTGAAAGCATATTCTTATTTTGTCACAATGTTGGCATCAATTTTGAGAGAAATTTGGGGCTAAATTGACTAAGGCTCGGGCTAAAACAATTATATATATATATATATAAAAGATAGATGTTTTTGGGATTGCATTTACGTATTCGAGCAAGGTCTAAGTGCATTTCATCGTAAAATGAGGTCGCATGGAAATACAACAAGAACAATAGAAGGGATTCCACAACAATCAAAATCCATTGAATCAAGTATACAACTCTAAAATGATCTTTTGATGGCAAATAAACAATATACCATATACTATATCTACTTCGATAGGCGATCAAGCCAATGAAAGGCGATAGCAGATGACATTAAATTCAAAGACCATACAAATCTCAGTTATTGAAAACCTAACAAAGAGAAAGAAGGAACGGGCGAAAAATAATAGCAAAAGATTAGACCAATGTAAAAATTTTACAGGTCATTGATGGGACCGGCAAGCATTTCGCTTTCCCCATAGATCGCTGACTTGAGAACGAGCTTTCTTCTATTCTGCAGCTACAGAAATACTCTGTCACACATAGGTTTGTTGTTACATGATCTTCGGAAATGGAAGGATGATACATGAAAGATTGAATCATGAATCTGGTTTGATATTTTGCAGTGATTACTGAATGAGAGGGTCGTAATAAAGTTATACCTGATGTAAAAGAATGGAGAAGATGCGCCGGATCAATTTTATCTAGCTGTTGAAGTTGAGGTTGTGGCGCCTTCGTGAGCTGTCAGACAAAAGGAATAAATAATGTGAGAAATCAATAATGGAGATGCTAAAAGGTTGTAGAAAATGGGTCCAAATTGTAATTCAGAAGACTATCAAGAAAACAACCATCAAATCTGAATGAACTGCCAAAATGACAATAAGCCCTCATTTGGATAGATGAGATTTTCTTGGAAAGAACACATTGATCTTGTGATGGTAAAATATGAGACAACAGGAGGCGAATACAGAAATTTCAAATTCATTAACCGGCAAATCAATACATAGATAATGAGCATCAGTCGAAAAATCTTCTAGTGCATTAAGTGTCACAAACTAAGCATCATTGATGATATGCTTCAAATCTTGACAGGCTTCAATGTTTGGCTTGATAGAATAATGTAATCGGAAGGCAACTTGTTGATCAAGAGAAATGGAGAATGCAGACAAGTTCTCCACAAGATAGAACGTCCTATCCATTCACTATTAGTCATCAACTTATAATCGTTATTATCGACTAAACATGAACCATTTGGAATTATATACATCTTTTACCTTTATCATTCAGAGATCCTCCCTATCACGACATGTTGGAAGAAAAGATACAATATGTTTATCTGCCTAAATTCTAACCTATGCATACACAGATCAAAATCACAAAGTTAATTAAAAAGTCGAGGAGGCATATAAACATAGTTCATTAGTAAGTTAAATAATATTATTGATTGCATAATTGAAAGATCCGCTTATACGCACAAAGACAAGTGGACATGTTATCTTCTTTGACACGTGACAAATAAAATGAGTACCATCAGACAATATTGTCATTCTTTAAGCTGTATATATCTTTACATAATCCAATTACTTTATGATCCACTATTGATATTTGCTTCTGATAGTGATGCATACGCTAAAATGGAACGGAATTATGAAATATTGCAAGATACGGTACTGAACAATAAACTAGGCCTACAATCAGGTATGATGTGTAACTGTTGCACAAAATATATTTACTCACCTGACCATATCAGTTCTGCTCCTACGCAACCCTCGAGCAATAACTCCATCATCATCAAAAGGATTATTATCTGTATATTCTACAGACGGTGCTGAACCCTCATCCAAGTGCGAAGTATCATAAGTCAAACTGCGGTTTCCTCTTCCGGAATCACTAACTCTCGACCTTCTTCTGTTTCTAGAATTCCTAAAGTTTTTAAACACCTGATAAAATATGCAAGATGTCCACCAGTTTCTCCCATCCCCATGGAAGTCATCAAAATCATCTCCAGAGTTATCATCGCCATATTCAATCACATAATCACCTAAGACGACCCCATGTGGAACTTCAGATTGAATGGTGCTCAAAACATCTATGATATCAGAGGATTGCTGGAAATTCTCCCAATCAAGCTTCCGTGCAGGATCAATTTTTGATGGTCGGGCATGAGGATGCTCTAATTGTGCATGTTTTCGAAGCTCCAAAAAGGTCCCAGTAAATTTACACTTTTCTTCTTCACAACAACGATTCATTACATCTAAATGCATACGAGCCCTATCAATAATTACCCATCCAGTAACTTCACCTCTGCACAAGGGGCAGGGCGGCTTGCTATTAGATCCTGATTCCGTACATACATGACTCTCCGATAACCGTAGAGATTGTGAACCAGCTGACATCATGTTTGCTTCTTTGAAGCGATCCAGGCAATTTGAATGTAAATGATCGGTATCACACACAAAAGGCCGGCATCCTTTATCGTAAGACGAGCACTGTAGAAGAACACTGTTGTGAGGGAAGTCCAAGCATATTGGACATATGACATCATCCCAGTTGGTAAAACTTTGGAATTCTTCCAGCAAACATTCATCCAGTTTGGATCCCTTTCCCAACATGGTAAAGCAGATTGAGGGAATCGAAACTTCAAGTCTTCATGACTACCGACATACCTTTAACACTTTTTAGATCCAATGATCAATGTTAGACAAGTGGAAATATATATATATATATATACATGAGTGCATGAAATCATACGAACAGAAAAATCCAATATGATGCGCTGTTGTCTATTATATAATGAATAACAATCACAATGAATGCATAAAAAATAAAGAATGTCTAAACAGCCCAATGTCTTCTTCATTCTTCTTTGTGTGCTAATATAATCACAAAGAATGCATAACAAAAGAAAGTGCCTACCCTATCTTCACACGCGGACATTGATTCTCCAGCTACCCTTCCCGTCGATCTTCAATGATTCCACTCAAGAATTCATGAAAGCAGTAAATTTCAGACGACCTTAAAAACAAGAGAAATCTAGATCACTTTGTTTGTCTAATATTTTAGACAAGGGACTTCCAATCAGTTAAACATGAAAAATCTAACTCATCAGGAAAGGCACTCTGGCAAACTACTCAAATAATTGAGAGGTCAGGGACACCCAAAGTCGAAGAACTTAAACACGATATAAACGAAGAATGGACAGGAAAAGGAAATAGATAAAACGAATTCTCTAGCGTTTAATTCTTATGAAATTCACTACTGAAACAACTTTTCACACCACCAGAAACTGCCTCAGCCTCACAGACATCAAAAGATATCAAATCTGGACAGAACTATTCTTTTCGAACCATTAAAAATGCAAACCCTACATATTAAATCCAAGAATCCTCAATTATCAACGATTCACATCAATCACTCGTAAGGCTCTACAGACGCACATCGCATCAGGACGAACCAGCCAGCAAGAAACGCATTTAAACAGTGTCTGACGTCAAAAGTGTACTTTATCCACTAAATTGCGAATACAATACATACATATATCAGACAACCAATTCACTCAGTACTGCCCTAAAATCAAGTTCTGATTTAAAAAACCATTGCAGAATCACATACCTTGGCAAGAACACCTGGTTAAATGAGGGTCATGGAACTGCAGAGAGAGAGAGAGAGAGAGAGAGAGAGAGAGAATCTGGAAATGGAAAAGTAAACTCGAAATTAGGGGTGTAGATGGAAGACTGATTCGCTTTGAGTATTTATATATATACACGAACGAAACAAATCTATATATAAATATTTTACTCTTATATCTTTATATTTTTTTATAAACGTTATACATTTATATTTAAATATATATATATATATTACGCATATGTTATTGTTATTATTGTTGTTTGTTAATTGGCTCGTTAGATTTGGATGATTTTAACTGACTAAGATATATTTATTTTAAATATTCAATTTAATTTAGAGGAAAAAAAGAAATAACAGTGGATCATGAATTAATATTATTTCTAGATTTATTGCTCGAAAATAAAAACAAGTTTCCAATCATGTAAATGTAGGCAGTAAACGTATTTAAATTTAATAGTGATTAAACGGTAAATAATTATTTTTCTTTTTTATTTGTATACTTGAAAAAAAAATAAAAAATCACATGTGACTCAAGAAAAAATTCCCAATGGTTAAAAATTATTCTCTTTCATCCCAAGTTAATATAGTATTATTTTTTATTATTTTTGTTCATTGTATTTCAATTTTTCTATTATATTAAAAATAATTGTATCTAGATAATAAAATACCTCTAATTTTATAATTTCTTTTTTGTATTTTTAAATGTAAAAATATCATAATTATTTTACATATTTTCATTGATAAATAAAATATTAGTATTTTTAATTTATTATAAAAAAATAAAATAATACATGGAATTGATAAGAATAAAATAGAATTTTAGATTAAGTACTAAATTTTTATGCTTTGCATTTCTTTTTTAAATTTTTTTATTATTAATCCGATTTATTGAATGTTTTGTTAAAAATGTTTGTATTTAAAATATTTTTTATATAAAATATTATATCGAAAAAATATTTATTTCACAATTGTTCATGCAACTATTTCAATAGTAAATTTTACTGGAACACAACTCATAAAATATAAATAATTAATGAAGATTTATATGAAAAAGTCTTGAATTTTCAAAATACATAACAATAATAATAACTTGAAAAGTGTATTAATTGTTCTTCTCATGTGTTTTTTTGGATATGTGTTTTTCTTTATCTTAAACTTCAATTTTCTATTATTTAGACTATATTTTTTTCCATTTTATAGAATATATCTTATCATATGTAAGTATATTATTTTAATATCAAATTAAAATTAAATTTTTTCAAACTCAATAAAAAAAAAAACATTATTTTGGAGAACAATGAATATTAGTACAATATATTTATTTATTTATTTTTTATTTTTTTACTATTTAATTTAAATAATTGTTTTAAAGTTAAATTATTTAAGAGAGTATTTGCTTGGTGAGATTGATGAAAACAATTTTTTTAAGAGCAAAACTAAGTTTTGGTCCAATTCAATATTATAATTATCAATTTTGGTCTCATTAAAAAAAAAATTATCAATTGCGGTCTCAATATGGTTGATTGGGACTGAACACACGGCCTGTGTTGGATGACTCAGAAGGTGGCCAACAAAGTCGTGTTGGTCTCAACATAGCCGTGTTCCTGCTCGTGTTCTTAACACAACCATGTTCTAAGCCATGTTTACAACCATGTTTTCAATATAATCATATTCTAGGTCATATTTATTATCATTTTCACTTTTTAGTTAAAATTATTTGATATATATATATATATTTATAACTATATTGAAAACATGGTTGTGTTGAGAACATGGACATGGACATGTCATAGAATATGGCTGTGTTGAGAACATGGGCAGAACATGACTGTGTTAAGAACAGACGCTCAACAACACAGTCGTGTTCAGTCCCAGTCTACCATATTGAGATTAAAATTGATAAATTTTCATTTGAGTAAGATTAAAATTGATAAATTTTCATTTGAGTAAGATTAAAATTGATAATTTTTTTTTAATATGACCAAAATTGAAATTTTTTTGGATATGATCAAAATTGATAATTATAATATTGAATAAGACCAAAAATTGCAATTATTAATTAATTATTTTTAATCAATATATTATAATAACTGTATTTTTTTTTACATTTTTAAATTAAATTTATTTTTTCCAATTTTATTTTCTATAACAAACTAACCATAAATAATACTACTATTTGTATTTATATAATACTTATAATTTTATTTTACGTACCAAATGAAGCATAAATACTATTTGTATTTACATATGTGTTTAGTTGTGTCTCTTTCCTATGTGTTAGTGTTACCCCCGCCTAGTGAGAAAATATAATTTCAATACATACAATTTATTATCCGATAAGGGATGACTTGGTGTAAGGGTTGAACTTGTGACCGTGAGGTCATGGTTATACCGCACATAGTTCGTCTAGTGTGACCTTCCGTCGAGCCTGGTTTGCAAGGTATTAGATTCGATCGGAGATTTATCCGATTCGCACTTTCAGATAACTGCTGCGAGTTCCACGTCATAAAAAAAAAAAATAAATAAATAAAATAAAATACATACAATTTATTAAAATAATCATTTAGAAAAGTTTTTTGTTTAAAAGAAATATCAGATAAAATAGAAGTATATACTATATACTATATACTATATAGAGTCGTCGTTCCACTTAAACCTAAACCTAAACCTAACCTACCCAAAATTGCTTTATAATTATAATAATACTTCCGAGTCCGATTAACACTACACTAACCTACACTGCACCCAACACCGGTCCGCACCACATCGCCCCACTTTCTCTCTCTACCTCAACAATGGATCCTTTCTCCTCCGCCACGATCGCGCGCCAGACCTGGGAGCTCGAGAACAACATCGTCGCCGCCACCGACGCCGCCGACTCTTCCGCCTCCGACGCAATATTTTACTACGATGAGGCGGCGCAGGCCAAGTTCCAGCAGGAGAAGCCCTGGGCAAACGACCCTCACTACTTCAAGCGCGTCAAAATCTCCGCGCTCGCGCTTCTCAAGATGGTCGTTCACGCGCGCTCCGGCGGAACGATAGAGGTCATGGGGCTTATGCAGGGGAAGACCGACGGGGACGCGATTATCGTGATGGACGCCTTCGCACTCCCCGTCGAAGGTACCGAGACTAGGGTTAATGCGCAGGCCGACGCCTATGAGTACATGGTTGATTACTCGCAGACTAACAAACAGGTGTGCACTAGTTTCTCGATTATTTTTTATATTTTATTGAATTTTTGTTGTTGTTCTTTTGGTGATTTTTGTAGCGAAATTTTGATAGAGTTGGTGAATTATACAGAGATTTCAATGAATTTTTGTGTGTAATCTATGGAGAATATGATGACGCACAATACAAAAACAGTTAGTGCATCACGGTTATTCCTTTGATAGAAGGTAACCATAGGAGTTTTCTAAGAGAATCTGTTTAAAACCATTTGGATAACTGTCTTATAAGAAATTGGTTAGTAATCATCTTATTGGAGCTGTGGAACTTCCTATATATATAAATATATTTCTATATATATATATATATTTGTTGAACCTACAAATGTATATGTTCTTGATAATTATTTGCTTACATTGAATGTTTCTGGCTTTTGATGTGTTGGATGAAGGCTGGTCGCTTGGAGAATGTGGTAGGATGGTATCATTCGCATCCAGGTTACGGATGTTGGCTTTCTGGTATTGATGTTACCACACAAATGCTTAACCAGCAATACCAGGAGCCCTTCCTGGCAGTTGTCATTGATCCAACAAGAACTGTTTCTGCTGGGAAAGTTGATATAGGTGCTTTCAGGACATACCCGGAAGGGTACAAGCCTCCGGATGAGCCTGTCTCCGAGTACCAGACTATCCCATTGAACAAAATTGAGGACTTCGGTGTTCACTGCAAACAGGTGATTACAGTGTGGGGATGTATATGCTTTTGGAAATGCCTCTGAGACTCTTTTCTACAGAATTTCTGATCATGTCGAGCCCTGTTATTTGCAGTATTATGCATTGGATATTACATATTTTAAGTCATCTCTTGATTGTCATCTCTTGGATCTTCTGTGGAATAAGTATTGGGTTAATACCCTTTCTTCTTCTCCTTTACTGGGTAACGGCGACTATGTTGCTGGACAAATATCTGATTTAGGTAATTTCGTCATTTCCATCCAACTGTTGAATCATTTGTGTTATGGGTCATTGATACAAGTCCACCAAATATGTGTCTTTTTTATTCTTTCTGCACGTTGGATGGAGAGTTTTATGATAATTTTTTATACTTGCCTAATTTCTTGCAGCTGAAAAAATTGAGCAAGCTGAGAATCAGTTGTCTCATTCACGCTTTGGGTCCTTGATAACAGCTCCTCAAAGGAAGAAAGAGGTTCGTAAAATAATAAATATTTTCACAATATTTTTGCTTTCTACAGTTTTGAGCCTCCATGATTCTTTATTTCTGGGTTTCCTATTATCTTGTGCATTATAGGATTTAAATAATACCTAGGTTTTCATTAGCATGTCTCTTATGTTGACATTTGAATTGTGTTCATATGATGGGTTATCAAACACCTAATGGTGCTTGCCCATCTCTGTCACCAGCACTTCTTCAAGTCCTTGAACAAAAGTTTCTGGAAACTCGAACATCTTTGTTTACTTATACTAGTCGACATCATTGCACAATCAACCCACTTTTGGTCTAATGCATATGATAATTCTATATTCTTAACAGAGTTAAGATATATATCATCTCTAGATAATTGGGGGATAAAGTCTTTGTACTTCCAGGAGTGGAGAGAAGTTGATTCTTATTTTATGTTTCCTTACAATTATGTCTGCTTTGGTACTTTCTGTTTTTTTTTTTTTTTTTAAAAAAAATTTTCAGTTGTCTACTACCAAAGTAACTTCGTAGTCAATTTTATTGTTTACTGTGGTTTGAGAACATTGATAAGGATGCTAGTTTTATAGTTAATTGGTGGGTATATATGTGTTGATTTTGGCTTTCCTTTTCATTCCCATCTTATTGGAATTTTAGCGTGATATAGTATATCAATGGAATTTCTCATTCTAGCGGTGTATTGGAATATCCACAGTTTAGCTTGTTGCCAAATTTGTGCTAGTTATTGAGAATTACATTGGGATGGCTGAATCATAAAGAAATTTTTTATGAATGCTCCCACTGAGATTTGAGCTTCTTGTGCCATCCAAATGGTTAAGTACTTAAGTTTATTATTACCTGGAGGTTTCTATTCATTTAATATGATGATTGACATCTCGGCTCTATACCATCACCAATAATTCCTAATCCACACTTTTTTCAGGAAGAATCTCAACTCACCAAGATTACTCGTGACAGCGCCAAGATAACTGTCGAGCAAGTTCATGGATTGATGTCACAGGTAAGTGAAGTGGTATCTTTATTTGTGTGGATAGGAAGGGCCTTGAAATTGTAATAGCCAGTGTCGTGTTTACTTTGTTGTTCAGGTCATCAAGGATATTCTTTTCAATTCCGTTAGGCAATCCAGCAAACCTCAGCTCGCTGAGTCATCTGACCCCGAGCCTATGGTTGAAACCTGAGATAGCATGGTAATGAAGACCTTCTATATCTGGCGGCATGGTTATTTGAAATTGCTCTGTCCAGGATGTTGTTGGTTTTCGTGGTACCGGACCAGACTTTGTCGAACAGAGGGTTGAATATCAAGAAAAGTGTGTTTTGAGGGTGGGGGTGGGGGGTGAAGGATGTGTTCCATTCCATGATTGCACTTTCTTTCCATAACTTTGTTATTTGTCCATTCTATTCTGTTATTACCTCTCCCTGTGGATTACTGACTGACCTTTGACAGCAGCAGCATAGTGTGAGGATGGATGAAAAGGCAAATTTATTAGAAGGGGATTATGATTTATGTCTAGAGACAGAGTAGAGTCTATTCATTCCCCTAAAGTCCCAAGCCTGCTGCTGCTGCTTTTCAGTTGTAATTCAGTTTTGTAGATGAGCGGATGCTTGCCCATTCATATTTAGGAGGAACCCTTTGGCTTTGTTTGGTCCACAGACATTTCAAAATCCAATCTTTTTTCCCAAGTTGACTTGTTGATCTCAATTACACATATAATTAATATATAATATATATAGTTAAACTGAACTATGCAATATGCAATAGTAGTAGTAATAATAATAATAATAATAATAATACGAAGTTTACAACTTCATGGAATCGTAACTTGTTTGGATGTGCATATCATTGGATTTCTGAGTTCCAAAAAGGGGTGCACAAATTCTACAAGTCAAATTAAAGGTTGGGGAGTCAATTGGGTTACAGTTTGTCTAGGAAGGCTTGAGATTTGTTCGACTTCCGAGTATTCCAAAAAATTGGGTGTGGTAAAAAAAATTAAAATAAAATTCGAGGTTGGAGATGAAATTTGTGTTTCTAAATACATACATATTAAAGATTTGTTTGCGTGCAAATTCAATCAAGGCGTATGTATGTGTGTATTCGTGTTCATGCAGAGTATAAAATTGAGGTCAAAGAATAAGATCACACACATTTGCAATTTACGATGATGAAACCGCATTTGGTTAAAGGAATATATGCCAAAATCAGACAAAAATATTCAACAAGATGAACATAATTGAAGCAGCAATCGATCCACAGAGAACATAATTCTCTCAACCATCAACATTATTTAAAAACAAAACTCACATTGAAAATCTGGGAAGTTAACTCTCCGTTTGTTTCTGCTCAGGACCACCGATGTCCTCTGCATCCGGGATTCTCTGCGAAATCCGCAATCACGATTACGAAAGGTTAAAAGGATAGTTCACTGAGGCATTTCGTCGAACACTCTCAACTCGTAAGCACATTTAATAGGGAAGTGCAGTGAAGAAATTAAGAAGCATACCAAATCAGGTTTGTAGATATTGTGCACAATCGAAGCTCCGGCGATAAGAGACGCCACGACGACGACGCAGGACCATGCCAGCGACGGCGTTCCGGTAGGTTGCTTACCTCCGCCGAATTTGCGATTCATCTCTCCGATGAAAAAAAATACTTCATCGCAATTGACAGCGCTTTTTATAAGTTATAAAGCGCTGTTTCATCAAATGCGCTTTTACGGTCTCATTTAAAAATGCATATCATTTTTAGAGGGCTCAATGTAAAATATTTTTTAGTGGTATAAATGGGCGTGGTGGTATGGGTGGATTCATTTACATATTTAAAATATTTTATTTCATTTATTTATATAAATACTTATAATTATGCGCGTAACAATATCATTATTTGAATAAAAAAGAATATATATATATATTTTGTACGTATTTAATATCTATAATAATACACCCAATTTAACCTTTATAAAAAAAAACTTGAAATTTCTTTCTTTACTTCCAACGTTCAGTGAATGGACGAACCGGAGGGATCGCACCGCACGCGATCGAAGGCGGCCCCCGACTGGACGGTGCCGGAATCCCTAGTTCTGGTGAACGAGATCAGCGCCGTCGAGGCCGAGTGGGGCGCCACTCTTCCTTCCTTCCAGAAATGGCAGCAGATCGTCGAGAATTGCAACTCCCTAGACGTCAATCGGAGCTTGAATCAGTGCAAGCGTCACTGGGAGGCGCTGCTCAGCAGCTACCGTCGGGCTAGGGATGATGCGACGGGAGATTTTTTGTTCCCAGTCGAGCTGTTCGAGAGCGTTGACAGGTGTGTCAGAGGTAGCGCGAAGAACGCCGGCGGTGGTGCAGAGGAGCGCGAGGAGATGGCGACGGTGGCGATGGATGAGAAGCAAGTAGTTACGGAGACCGACCTCGATTCTGAACTTGAAACGCAGCGACATGCGCCTAAATTATTCCTCGGAACTGGTAATTGTCGTTCTTGTTAAAGATTTAGATTCAATGCTTGAATTATACTTGGTGTTTGTTGATGCTTTTCCAATTTCAGAAAATTGAACACCAATGGAGGATGATGGTAGGTTTCCATTTGCAGTTCAGTTTCTTTAGAAATTTGTCAGTGATGATCATTTCTTTCGGCCTGTGAAAGAACAATTAGGGAAGATTACATGAAGTTTTGGAGCTAAAATTCTGGCCATTTTTCATTAATTTCAAATTCACGCAGTTCCACATATTGGGTCTTATGGCATAGGAAATGTAGTATGAATGGAGTGAAGATCTTGAAATCTTCGAATCTGGAGATCCTGCTTCAATGGTTTAACTTTTGGAATATAGTCTTAAACTGCAGTAAGAATTTGTTTTCATTACTTTGTTATTTGGATTATTTAAGGCCATATCTCATAATTGTCTTGTTTGATAGCCGGATACTGTGAACGGTGTTGTTGATCAATGATGTTAAGAGTTTTGAGTTAGTTCTTCCACATAAGATCGTTGTGTTTATGGCCCTTACTACATTTAGCCATATTGGTTGGCGTCGTACAATTCTCCGAGCATATTTTAACAAATTGGCGGGTTGATCAAATATGGTATTATTAGGGTGTTGTTTGAATGAGATGGAAAACCTTTTGTTAGTGAACAGTTTGCATTTGTCGGATGCTTTTGAAAAGCCATAACCCCAAACTTATGTCGATTAGGATTCTGAGAATCAACGAGTAGGTTGTTTTATTAGACAATAGATTGATGATAATGTGAGTTTCGAGGTTTGCTGCATCAGTTATATGTCTAAGATTTAGTCGTCATCTTTAGAACCTGTTTTTCTTCGAGCCCTTTGAATTAGAGAACAAGTCTTCTTGATTGCATCTCTTGTATATCTCCGAATCTTGGTTTCTGTTGTTGACTCCTTGTAAGGAAAATTACACAGACGAGACATTCAACTTCGGATTTTGCAATGGATGTAAAGAGTATCTACTAAATTTCCTTCTTATGTCAATCAGGATCTAGAAAGCGGAAGACTAGGATGAAGCGCCAAAAGCGCAGCCTTGAAGCCCGGATTCCATGGGGATACTTCACGAGCACAAAAATAAAGCATGAAGAACCGAAGAATGCAGGAAATAGAGATACGATTGTTGGAACTATGGCGGAGGGCACTTCAGAGACCGAAGATCTAAGTATGGCTAAAATTCTACAGGAGAATGCTCTGCAGATTCATGCAATATTGGAAGGAAAACTAAGTAATGACGACGACGCAGACCACAAGAAGAATGGTGAAGCTGTAGGGACTGAATTTGCGAGACGGCAAGGGGATCAGCTCATCGACTGCCTCGGTAAAATTTCGGAGACTCTTAACCAGCTTTGTGATCTGGTGCAGGAATGCAACTGATTTGAGTATTTTAGTGAGCATGGTGGAGAGGATCATTTCATTTCTTGATGTTGTTACATTTTTTTGGTTAGATTTTGTGTAGAATTTATGCAATAGATTTTAAATCTAATACTAAGTGTTTATATCTAACACACACAGTGTAGATTGCTTATCCCAAAAATGATCCTACTGTCAACGAAATGTGGCCTTTTAAAATCTTATTAATTTTTTTTTAATTATTATTTTTTATATATAATTTTTAAAATGTACAAGTGATGTGATATTTAATTAAATTATTAAAATGATAAAAGTATCCTTTGTTGAATCAAAATTTAATTTTCGGTTACAAAAAAAAGCATTTAGTTAATAATAGTATATTAAACAAAGTTGGGTTTCGATCAGACAAGATTAAAAAAAAAAGTCAAATAATTAAAAAATAATATTTAATGTGTGTGTATATATATATTTGATGTGATTTTGAAAATGTCTGTCCAAAGTTTATGATATGACGTAATCAATGTTGAGGTGGGGGTCGTGGCAATTTCAGTAATAAATGAAGGACGTTGGTGGCAAATGTAAGAGCAAAAAACAAGTGGTGATGGATGAGCTTGAAGGCTGAAGGAGAGAAGAAGAAGATAAAACAAGGAAGGATGCCCTGCCCTAATATCATTATATCAATGAATCCTAAATGATCTTCAATACCAATATGGCTCTCAATTTTCCCAGATTATCATTGCTATTATTATTCCCACAAAATTCAAATTCGAATTCAAGTAGGATGATGAGGAGGAGGATTATTATGAGTTTTCATAGAAAGCCCAATCCCAAGCAGAGGCCCCCCCTCAATTGCTGCATCCCACTTCACCAACAGGTATATATATATATATATATATGTATGTAATTAATAGTGTGTATGTATGTATGTATGTATGTATGTATGTTGAGATGAGGTGGTTGTTTCGTGTGTAGCAGCAGGAGGAGGAGGAGGAGGAGGAGGTGGATGTTGGGGTTATGTGTGAATGCTGCAGTGGGAAAGGATGGGTCATTTGTGACTTCTGCAAAGGCCAAAAGATTAATGTCAGAGGAGGAGACCCAAACACTAGTAAAAGGTTTTACAGAAGATGCCCTTCTTGCAGAGCTGTAACATCTCTCTCTACTCTACTCTTCTCTTTTCAATTTGCTGGGAGGATTGGGAATTTGGGACATTATCAATCAATTAATATTATTGAAGCAATGATATGATGATTTCATTGCAGATTGGATTGGTGATTTGCACAGAATGCAAAGTCTACAGATGCGTCACCTTTCCAGATCAAACTGATTGAAATCATCCACCACTCTTATTATTATTATTATTTTGATTCATGGCATGCATAAATGCATTGCTATTTGCTCACTCACCACCCACCAATTGATCAATCTTCTACATTCTATTCTATTCTATTTTCAATTCTAGTTTACTGTATAGTATAGTTTCAATGATACTCGGCCCCTTCACAAACACAAACCAATCCAAACTAATCAAACATTCAAATGAATTAATGTTCCACCCGGTTATGTTTCTTCTTCCAAAAGTTCATAATTCTGCGCACGGTAGCTTTCTAAAAATAATTTAGCAACAACTCTAACAAAGATTCAAATTAGGACATGTGATGAAACTAATTCAAACAAAAAAAAACCTGGCCTATTTCAACCCGGGAGCGATTGTGTCCGGTTTCCAATCCCATATCTCCGGAAGCACGGCTCCATTCGAGGCATTGCTGCTTTGATCAACTCCAATGTTTGGTTCGGGCGCAACAGGAAAGTGAGAATTGTTGTTGTCCACCGAGGCGCAAGGAGCCATAATCGAGGAGATGGTATCGACACGGTTCATGCTGTTGTTGTTGAAGTCGCGGGACGTGTTCAAATAGTTTGTAAGAAGATGGCTCAAACTCGAAGTCAAAGAGCCACGGGTAACCATGTCCTCGGCTAGTTTCACCTAAACACGGTGTATGTATATATCAATGTCAAGATATGCTGATGTATATGACACATATTTGCTTATCGATGGTACCTTGGCTCTTAGGGCTTCAACATCCGATCTAAGGACTCTATTATTCATCGTAGAATCTTTAAATTGTTGAGTAGCTTCTGCAAGTTGTTTGAACAATGTTTCATTCTCCCCTCGCAATAGCTCAACCTATTCGATCACGAACAACACTCAAAATGCATATAATCGAAGAATTCTATTAGCTTATAATTAATCACCTGGCGTTCGAGATCATCTAAATGTGCTTGCTTCCTTCGTCTTGAGCGACGCGCGGACTCCCTATTCGAAACCATCCTAAAACAATATTTACAGCGTTAGATATTAATAATATCCTTGAAATATCGACAAAACCCCTTCATTTTTTTTTTTTTATAGGTAAAAATGTGCACCGCTTCATGCGTTTGATGTAGGCAGGATTTGTGCTTTCTTCGCAAGGGCCAGCTTCAAGCTCTTGCTCGTCTTCATCCGATTCATGTTCGTGTGACGAATCCTTTGAGTTGTTGACGGATATCGGGCTGTCAACTAGAAGATTATAGGAGAGTAGGATATATAGAAGCAAACAACATCAACTCATCATTGAATTAAAACTTAGTATAAAAAGGTTGTTGCAACTTGCATAGTAAAAGAATTTTATGTTACACAAAAACTCTAAATATCTATTGAAGTAAGCATTCCATTTACCATGAAGAATGTTAAAAAAAATACTGTTATAAGCAACTTAAAATTGATATGACTCTCAAACATGACTCATTATTATACAAAATGAGTGAAGTTTGAGCTCTATAAGAAGGGAAATATGGCTTCCTTCTACTCAATATGCAGAATTTATAATAAAAATTAAATTCAAGCTCAATTTCCTATTATATATATGTTTAATTTTGAACCAATTGGTTATATATATATATATTAGTAAAGTTCAAATCAAATTCTAAGTCGAAGTACTTAATCTAGCTCAATCCAATTTGTCTCTACAAATATAGATATAATTATCTAAACACAAGTGTTTTTTTATCAAAAAAAAAAAAAAGTAAAATATTAATACATTTTTCAATTAACATAACAAAATACAATATATATTCACATAAAATATGTAATATATATACTCGATCTATTAAAACAATCAACAATTTAATATTTCATTTACCACAAATTGATGATTGAGAGTCCATCCATGCAGAAGAGGTACAATGATTGAGGTAAAAGATCTTTTGTGAAGGAGATGGATTTTCTATTGATCCTTTATAAATTTTCTGAAATAACAAATCATTGTAAACTAAGTTATTAATAATGTAGATGCAATAAGATCTAAGTTCAACAACAGGATTATAAGCAATGTAAGTTCAAAATTAAAATAAATACAAAAATGACTCATTAGAAAATTTATAATTTGAGCTCAAAATTAAAATTAGATTCAATATTACAAAATAAATATAATTATGCATATAAAAGTACTAATTGAACTATTTATACCATTCATTAGGACACTACAATATTTTCGAGTAAAAAAAGAAAGTAAAGTTTGAGCTCGTCTTAAATATAATGATATAAAATTAAGTTATGTTCGACTTAATTAATGTAATAAATAAATTTTGATCGAATTTAAATGAGCCGATCTGAGTAAGTTATGAACAATCCTTCAATAATTCTCGACAATGTGCTGTAATTTTATCGTGCAATGAGAATTACTAAATTATAAAGCATAAACTATGATAAAAGCTAAGTCTTACTTTAAACGTTGGTTTTGACTGATAAAGCAAGTAAAGAAACGCTTGCTTTATTTGGACATTCAATATTCGACCAGATAAATAAATAATAGGCAGATGTACTACGATACATATGTATGCTGCGTATGCAATATTTTAACAAAATAACAATTCCAAAACTTGAAAAAACAAATGAAATTAAAGTCCTATTGGGTTTTGATCTGGATCTGGATTCTGTCAATTATTCTTCACTAATCTGAACTACAGTTTATTGTGCTCTCCAACTCATCATCACAATTCACAGACCTATTAATAGTATTTTTTGTATATAATAATAAAAGTAGTGTAAGTAAATTGAACCTAATTTAGTTTAAAAAGCAAAATAGATTTATACCTTTGCTTGGATTGGAGCTCGTTACTCCGTTGAAAGATAACGGCTGTGTGGTAAAAAACATAAATACTACTGTACTATAATTAGGAGAGGAATAAATATAATAATAATAATAATAATCATAATCATAATCATAATATTCACAGTTCGCACCAATGATTTCAATTCAGATGAGCACAGCGATGAACAGAACAGTACTAACCGAATTTTGATAATTTGGCGAAAGAAGAAGAAGATGGCGAGAGTCAAAAACCTCTTGGAAGATGTGGTGATCTTCTTCGCTATGACTCTGAATCTGCTTCCTCAGCTCTTCGGATGCTAAGAACTGATCGAGCGCCAAAGCGGATTCGCTTCTCTTCATTTCACTCCAGCTGAAGCTGTTTCTCAAATTTATTTTCCTTTCCATGGATGGATTAATGTGTTGTTCTAGAGACGATTAGAGGAAGGAAGAGCGAAATTAGGCAAAAGCAGAGGGAGAAAGAAGAAGAGAGGGATGGCGATGTGTGAATTATATATATATATATATTGGTAACGTATTTTTGTATTGTATTGTATGCTTTGGTTGCAGCAGAGCAGTAGCAGATGTGCAAATGGTTAGGTGAACTCCGAGTGGTGGGGCACTGACGGTGACTCACTCACTCTCACCTCACTAGGAATATGCCAAACTCGATTTTGTACTTGCTACTATATTTTACACTCAATTACACATATTTTTTATATTTTTTTGTACTTTTCATTAATATTTTAAATTTTTTTACAGTAAATATAATTCTTTCGTAAAATACCACAGCAAATACACAATAAATGACAAATAATATAGTCTCCTCGATCAAATTTATACTTGTTTTTTTTCTTTTTCTTTTTTATTGTCATTTTGCTTTTATTTTAATAAAAAGTTATTACTTTTGTATTTTCTCTATTATTAAGAAATAATTATTATTACACACTTTTATTAATAAAACTACAGAGGGTGTGTCTAAACAAACTTATACATTAAAAATAAATAAATAAATAAAATTACATAATTCGCTATAGTTCATATAATTTTTTTTTCTTTAACAAACACTCCCAAAGTACTATCTAAGCAAACACACCATATTTAGATTTAGCATATATATAATTTATGCAAAACATAAATTTGTAGCGACATATGAATACCTAAACATAACCCAGAGTTTATAAATATAAATCTCAACTCAATATATCCAATTAAAAAGAAACAAACAAAAAGATATCAATACAATATATTACTATTAACAATTATTTATTCAAAACAATAAATTGTAAATGACATCCGTGGTGGTTCGTTGTAAAGTACGTCGTTGTCACACTCACACTCACACTCAGATGATGTACTTGTAAAATTACACTTGTGCCCTTGAGAGTGACTAAAACTCAATTATTTCAATCACCAGTGAGTGCACTGTCTATTGTCTCGTCACTTGTCAGCTTCTCAAAATAGTACTACTAGTATTTCACAATAATATACATATATATATATACTCTCAAACTCGTATACTACTATAAATAGTATATAAGCTCAATGTCTTCTAGAAAAGCCTTTCTGCAAACTGTGTAGCTTAATAACAAACCAAATATATATATATATATAATGTTCTGAGGACCAATAGGATTACAAATCACCAAATTAAAAATTTTACTTCACACCCATTATACATATGTGGAGATGCTAAATAGCTGCAACATGCATCTGTGGAAACTGGAATCCCCAATGCTAAATATATCTTTCAGAGGGTTGTGATCACACGCTCAGTACTACGACTTATTGCCTAATGTGAGAATGAACAAGTATCATGAGAGTTATGACTTACAGAGGGATCATTCTCAGTTCCCTTGTAAAAAGACTCGTACGTTGCAACGCGACTTTTTGAATCGGGAAGCTCCAGTTCTTCCCTGAATTCTGTAGTCATCTTCAAGAATCCCTCCATGTGCAATACTTTCCATTGCTGAATTTAAGTGCAGGATTAGGACAGGGAATGGCTACATCAAAATCTTGCAACCACATTGAAGAAATTGAAGCATTGGGAGGAAATTATTTCGGAACTATTTCTTTTTGCCCTTTTTTCATAGGAAAATTTCAAGAAAGCAATGCACTTGCTTAGTATTTCAGCTCCTCTTGACAAACTTATACCAAGTGTGTAGAAGTAGAATCATTACCTCGAAATCCCACTCGCCGTGTAAGTCTGGATCGTCCTTGTTCATCCAGATATATGCATGAGCTTGCACCTTCTCAGAACCATCCTAAATATAACAACAGAAAGATCAGTCGGTTAGGGTGTAAAAGACATTATATAACTGCCGAAACAATATGAATTCACAGGATTATGCTTCAATTAAGTTGAAACCACTGCAGCTTAAATAAAGACGTCTAAGTTATATATACAGTGTCAGATACAGATTCCTTTCTACAGTTGCCTCCTCAATCCTCATTCAGCTCCAAAAATTGATGGCCAGATTGATTAAATATTAAAAGAACAAAAAAAAAAAAAAAAAAACTGTTGAAAACATAAAAGTTCACATAAATATTGCAACTCATTAGATTATGGAGCACAACCACTAAATTTTAGAGGAATCTCATCAGGCACACCGGCGAGTATCCTAGGTGATGGAGAGAACTTGGGAATTATGCAAATTTACTTGTTTTGGAATTGTTTTGCAATTACTTGTTTTTTTTCTCAACATTTATGTTAATTAACTCGGAAAGGGCAGAAATTTAAAAGATATATGAGGAAACTGAATAGGCATAGATTTGTATGTATGTATATAATATACCTTTAGAAGTACATCAACAGCTGTTCTCTCATACTCAACATCTTCAAATTCATCGAGAATGTGAATTTCAGGAGGAGTGATGCCATGGAGCACCTACATCGACAGTGATAGAATAAATCACTAATTCAAACTCTATGAAACATTCAGAATTGAATGTCCTTTCTGTAATCATAGATTACTAATTTCACATTTTAAAACCGAACCATTACTCCAAGGCCATGCATTTTTCATAATGCCAACAATTACGAACAATTATGTTTCAAATGCAATTAGTAATATCAGTTGTCGAATAAAGGACTAACCCTCCCTGAAACTTTATTATCTTGAACAGGTATAATTGCGGGGTAAACACGTCCCTTGATACTAAATCTTTGGCTGCACAAAGTTAGCAAAAGTTGTGAATTGTTTGACGAAATAACACGATGATTGAGTAAAAGAAAGCACAAAAATGGCGATTCCAACTGATGCTGAATAAGAACAAGAAAAGTATGTGAACACACTGATACTATATGTAAAACACTTAAGAAGCGTATACAAACTTAATGATATGCATAATTCTTGTTTTCATAAAGAAAAGTCAGGAATTCTCAAATCTCAATGGAAACCTGAAAGACAGAAATCCGAAAGGATAGGGGAAACCTCAATCAATAATCAAACAACGAATAAGAAGGATCAGATAATTTGTGCGGACAGCCACACAATCCTCACAGAATGTGTTCATGTGTTGTACATCAAGAATCAGAAGTTGTACGCCCCAATACTTCATAACCACCGCGGAAGTGGGAGCACAGATGAAGCGAAATCGAAGCACAATAAAACAGAAACGTCAAAAACAGAACAGCACAACGAAATGAACACAATTTCTTAACCTGCGTATGTGCAGATACACATGTATATATATATATACATACACACACAAAAGAGAGAGAGAGAGAAGACTGACTGGTGAGGAAGAAGTGCAGGCGAAGAAGGAGGAACGCGGCTGAGGAGGGCGCGAACAACATCGTCGGAGAGGAGACTGCCGTAAACGAAGACATCAAAGACGTGCGGAGTTGAAATCCCCATTGTCGACGACGAACGGATTTTGATTGATTTGTAAAATGAAAACACACTCAATCGGACTATGTAAATAAATATTTAGTAGGGGGCTCCGCCTCTCCCAACCTAATAAGACCATTCGCATTAGAAATAAGTCCAAAGATATCTGTCCAATTACTTGTCATATAATCCCTTTACTCCGTGTCAACCAAAAGAAATACTATCTATGAATTTTAATATACTAGTGTATTTTTTGTTATTTTCTTTTATAATAAAAATGTAAAAAATTGATATAAAAATAAAAAGAAAATTATATAATATTATACTTGAAAAAACAAATAATAAAAAATAAATCTTTTTTTAATTAATATAAATAAAAATATATTATTATGTACGTCGTTATAATTAATAAAATTATAATGAATATATAAAAAGATAATGATTTTATAGAACCCCAAGAGATATTTTTAGTTTGTTTTTATTAGCGGTGAGGCGAAAGAGAGAAGGGATTACTATCGTGGATGTTTAATTTCATTACATTAGTATTAGTATAGAATTTTTTTTTTGATTTAATTTTTTAGAAACAAAATTTAGAGGAACAATTGTTAAGAGTGTTGTTTGGATTATCATCTCCTATCGATCACGTTTTACCATATAAAAAAGGTAAGAATAAGAAAAACGCAGAAAGTAAAAATTGCAATAAATAACCAAAAAGCGTGTGCAAATATTTTTATAGTATGCAATCCTACTTCCACTCTTTTATCGGCCTTTTGGTAAGATCACGAGTACTCAATAATTCATTGTTGTTCCCACACAGCATATTTCATGTTGTTCCAAGTCTTCACAATGTGATGAATAAGTTAAAGAGAATTCAGTGCATACAGTTAAGGAGCTATTCTCTGCGGGTCGCGTGGATAAAGTGATGTCTTGCGAATGTTGTTCAGGGCACAGAATAGCATCACCACGCGCTCCAAGCCCACTCCGAATCCTCCGTGAGGTGGTGCGCCATACCTTCAAATAATGATGAAAAAATTAGATGAAAGCATTGATCGAAGTAAATATAATCAAGATAAGGCTTAGAAGCAGATATTCAAATGGCAGAACTAAGAAACAAATGATTTGTTTCACTTATTTTTGTTGAGACAATCTACAAATCTCCATGTTAACTCATAAGATCATTATGTATCTAAATAATTGTTATACGGAATTCAATTGTCAACCACAAAAGTAGAGTAAAATGCACCAGAATGAAGTGAGATGCTTTCCTTATTTTACAATTTATTGTACCATAAATATTGGCACAATTACTATCGGAAACTACATATATACTTCTGAGAGCATCACGGGAAAATAGCATGGGAAGCATGATTAATAGTAGAAGTTACATCTAAACTATGGCCTTCTATGTCCTCAAATAATTTATTACCATCGGTTAAAAATAATGTTATTCTTCGAATGTTGACAATGGGATAAATGTATTGGATGAACATAGAGAATAGCGGGTAATAGGTTCGTACCTGAAGGAATCAATATATGTTGATATTGTCTTGACATCAATACCACATGCTTGTGCGCGCTCGGTCAAGAATTCAGGCACATGAACACGCTGCGCTCCAGATATGATCTCCTCACCTGACAGATAAAATAGGACAATGTTTGGGAATAAAATACTGAACTTCTGCTCTATTAAGGATGTAATACTGTTGGTATATTTGATGCTTTCGTAGAGCAGAAGTTGTGTTGTTGCATAGTAGTTTGATATGTTTGCCTCTTCTTTTATAAAATCAATGTCACTTCATAATGAATCACAAGTAATATGCATTCTTAAAGGAGGCTATCAATAGAGAAGCAATCATCATCAAGAAAAAGCTGCATGTAAATTTTTGCTGCTGCCAACTCAGAATTCAGACTAAAAAACTTACCTCGAATGAAAACATCAAATGAATTGCTATATTTGGGATTATCGTAGCATGGCATGGTATAGAATGGTCGAACGGCCAGAGGATATCGATGAAGTATGTAGAACTCAGTGTTGTACCTACATCCAAAAATGAAAATATCATAATTATGTATCAAGTGATTAATATAGATAAGATCACATGGCAAGATAAGAGTATCTAGCTTTGGTGATAATGATGCATACTAACAAATCATAAACATGTAAGAAGGTATAATTGGACAATGATAAATGGTACATAATTTCAACTTAGAAGACACACACTCTCCTCCTACCCCTTACACCCTTCTCTACCTTTTTTCATATGGTAAGTTTAGATAAATTTTAGCACAACTCCTTATCATTGCACCTTTTCTAATTTGATCACTTTAACTCCTCTTGAGAATTGAAATTGTGTAATCCCAAAATGCTTTAAAAAAGTGAATTTCTATATATTTGATCACAAATCATATATATATATATATATATATATATGTAATTTCTGAATTTATATTTTCATTCCATTCTATTGAGCAAAAATACTCTTTACATACAATTGTGTCATCCACCTATAGGGCCATTTTATTTTGTTTGTATCACTCATTTACTTCCACACGATTAGTAAAGACACCTACATTTTTAATCCATTCGGGTTAAGTTCACAACTCTATCAATGCACTAGATTCAATTAGAGTATGACATAAGATTTTAAAATGGTATGTATCATATAGATAATGGCATAAATCGGGGACCGTGTCAGATTTAATTGACACTATAAGATAAAAGTGAACATACTTCTCCAGCACAAGCTGGCCAAGCTTTCTCTCAGATTCTGTGTTTAGATCTCCAAAGGGGTCAACTTCGACACCAGCTTCCTACAGAGGGAGTCAATGAGAGAGATAAAATTAATAAGACGACCATTCACGGTGAAAATGCAAACAACAACTAGATCCATATTAAAGGGGCATGATCTGAAGACCACTGAGATTTTGTCTGCATAAAGATATCTCCTCATTGAGAATTACACATAAAGAATTAACTGAACAATCTTATGCAAAGTGAAAAAGTGGTGATATTTAGAACAAAGGAAATATGGCCCATGATATATATCTTGTATATGTTTTTTGTATAGGGATCACCATGCCAAGCTTTTGCTTAAACATAATTAAACTGAGATCATGTGAATCTTCTATAACATGATCTATTAATTAATTTATTTTCAACACAGGCCATATTATTGTGCAAATATCTGTGCAGATAACATATTTATTAAGTAGTTGCTTGTTTTTATCCATTTTCCTAGCTCTGATTTATTTAACTCCTGACTTCTCTAGCCATGTGCTGCATATAATCACAGTTTTACCTTCAACAGGCAGGAAGGTACCGCTTAAGAAGAATTCATATCGTAACTGCAAAAAACTGTTTTTTAGGGTACAAACCAATTAACTTAAGAGATCTCTATATGAAATTTACACTAGCATTTTTATTGAAACTACAGTTCCTTATATCTTGTTCTCTTACCAAGTCAAGGCAGTTATTCACATAATAAATAATTATATCAGTCAATACAGATCTCTTCTTACCTTCAGCATTTGAACCCCTTCTTCAAAGGTAAGGCGTAAGGTCTTTCGCAAGTACTGCAAACATTTAAAGACAATAGTGAGGACTGGCATGAAAATTTCAAATAGGGCTATTGTAGCATAGGTTCATACTGTCTAGAAAGCTTGGTAGCCTTGATTGTATGATTCAGTGCACTGCATCACAGAATAACCTACTGAAAAATATAATATAAAATACCTTCAGTTTCTCAAAAGGGTATTGCCGATTGATGGCTTCAAGCTCCTTCGCACATGTTTCATTCAAATTGTCAAACATTGTTACAAATAACCGATCAACAATGTCCATCACCTGCATGAATAAGCGCTGGTCAATATCCACAAAACCAATTCTAGAAATTTGGTGAATCCAAATTTCACAAACACCTCTGAATAGTGCTCCTTAATTTCCATTTCAACATCAAGTCCAGTAAATTCACATAGATGCCTGTGTGTGAAAGAATCCTCTGCCCGGAAGACTGGACCAATCTCAAACACACGACCGAAATCACCACAAATTGATATTTGTTTATGAAGCTGAGGTGACTGTGCAAGACATGCAGGAGTTCCTTTGTAATCCAATTTAAAAACAGCTGAACCACCTTCACTTGAACCTGCTATTAATTTTGGTGTGTGAATTCCAATGAAACCTTCAGACAGCAAAAACTGCCTAAATATCTGCATGAACATGTAACAGAATTTAAAGATTAACAAGCAGTTTTATAGACAATTATAAAACACCTTGAGAGATAAAAATATCAATCTTGTTCAAAACTTTTCATGCAGAAGCATAAATCACAGCTAAATACACAATATCAAACTTCAGCAAAAAAATTCCTTATAAATTTGTCATGAAACATGCACATACACAGAAAGAGGACTCATGCACATTACATCCAACGAATACTTATGAGTCCAAATGACACAAGAGCACATAAAATCAGAGGACCCTAAGATTGAAAAACAATTAAAAGGTCACAATTCCCAAAACCAATGAGACATGAAATTTAGTTTAACTGACCTGTACAAAAGACATGCTGAAAAATTAGTGTAAAGAGCAAACAAATGAAACGCAAACGCCTACTCACGTTTTCAACTTGACATTGAATTCGGAAAATTCCTTGGTTAGCAGGAGTCCTAATGTCAAGAACTCTGAAATTCAAGCGAGTATCCTGATTCACACGAACAAGCTGCTTGCCTTCCTGCATTTAGAAGCAAAACCATTAAAAAAAAAAACAGATAGAAGGGGTGTGTGTTCTTTACATTAAACAAAAGCACAGATGCAGTAAGATACCTGCAAAGCTTGTTCAATTTCAACGTCACTTCTAGCAGCATCCTCAATGTTAATAGGCAACGTGGGGAGAGCCTTGTTCACACAATAGATTTTCTTTACTTGAATTTCCACCTACAAGCATCAATATAATTCAGTCAAACCAGAAAATTTTAAACAAGAGCAGCATCATGCATAAAGTTATAATCCTGCCAAAGACAATGCCAGCAGAATTGATCAGGAACTGATAAAGAATGTAACTGATAAATAACTTCAGCCAATTTAAGCACAAATCCAAACACAGGATTACAAATCTAGCAAGAGTAATCAGGTAATTATTATTATTATTATTATTATTATTATTATTATTATTATTATTATTATTATTATTATTATTATTATTATTATTATTATTATTTTATTTATTTATTTATTTATTTTGCATTACCATACAAGGCCTGAGTGAACTAGTACTTAGGTCAAACCAATCACTAACATATGCAGTAAAGCTCAAAAATGCTAACAATGGAAGATATAAGTATATTCAACAAACCAGGCTACTCCTAATAATCATAACAACCTAAGTTAAGGCTTTCCATTCTATAAAATGTAACAACATACAAGTCATTTCACAACGTCAACACTATCCGATTATCATCCATTAAATTCAATGTATCAACAATAAATTCGAACGGTTGCAATAGCATATCCTAATTCCAGTAATTCATCTAAATTTTATTGCAGTAAACCACAAGCACACACCTGCTGAGTGGCGCCAGTGATGGCTTGACCAGGCCCCGAAACAACCCCTTCGATATCAACTATACTCTCCCGGCTCAGAGCAGTGGCGAACTTCACCATCTGCGGGCTCACCACACCTTCCGCCACGGTCAGAACACATTGCACCGTGAATCCCCGCTCCCTCACCACGAGAAATGCCATCTTCTTCCCCACGGCGCGGATCGACTGAGCGCGTCCGCGTATTAATACCTCCGCATCCTTCAACTCATTAGTCAAATTCCTAACCTCTGTCCACTTTCTCCCGGAAACTTCCTTCGATTGTAAGTCAGTTAGCGGTACGTCGCCGTAATTAGCCGCCAATGGATCATCTAGGGTTACAGCTGAAACAGCGGCCGCAGCAGATGCGGCAGCCGCTTCTTGGCGCTTGCGCTGCCGCTCTAGCTTTGCGAGCTCCTTCTTGGAGAGCTTCTTCTCGGAGTTCTCTTCCCCAGTGGGATTCTGCGAGGGCTCTTCGGACGCCATTTTTGGAGAAAATTCTGTGGGGCTGATGAGATAGGCAGAGAAATCAACTATCGACTATAGTGAAGAAAACCGCCGCCGAATGAAATGGTTGCGCCCGAGGTTTCAAATTCCGGTTTGGGCTACAAATATTGAGCTTAAGCCCAATTGACCCATTTCCTATAATTTTCTCTTTTTCCTTTTCTTTTTTTATTAAAAAAATTAAACGTACTTTTTTTTAGATTTTAATTATATAATAAAATAATTCTTTATAAAAAATATCATATTTAATAATTATTTTATATAATAAAAAACATAAATAAAATTTTTCAATTAAAAATAAAGATGATCATGTAAAAATAATACTCTCTTTGTTCTTAATATCATGTCTTTTTGTAGAAATGAGAAAATTTACGAGGAATATGATAATTTAAAAGGGTATAATTAATAAATAATTAAAAATATATTAGTGAATTATAATAGAAATAACTATAAATTAAAATTAAAATAATTAATTAGTTTAATTAAAATTATAAATTAAAAAATTTAAAATAATATTAAAATATATAATTTTTTCTTAAAAAAAGTAACAAAATAAATAGACAAAACGAAAATAGAAATATAGACATAGTAAATAAGAATGAGAGAGTAACATAGAATAAAATTAAATCGATAATTGTTGTGTTATACAAAATTTAGAATTGTATTTACAATATGACTTTGTTCTTTCCAATTTTCTTCCCCCAAGTTTTCAAAAAAAATAAAATTAATATATTACACACATTCATTATTTTTATATTATATACACGATTTTTTATAGCTTCCATAATATTTTTTTTTTTTCCAATAATCTCACAAAACAAACTAATCATATATTTACAAACTATGGAAAGATAGATCACAATAGGAAGATCAACATATTAATTATACTAATCTAGCATAAATATAACATATGAACTAAACATATACGTTGTAGCATAGACAATACATTTTATAAAAACAAATATTCCTTTCGTCCCACATAATTTGTCCCTATTTTCTATTTTCGTCCGTCCCACATAACTTGTTCTTTCTATTTTTGAAAATATAATTATGCACTTTAATCGTATTTTAAATTTTAAATTTTATAATTTTTTTAATTTTAATTAAAATATTTACTTATCTTAATCTTAATCTATAATTATTTTTACTAAATAATAATTATTTTTACTAATATATTTCTTAATTACTTACTAATTGTATTTTACCTAAATTCTCGTATCTACGGTAATAGTCCCATATTTTTTTGGGACGAGAGAGTATCGTATAAATTATATTAACATAATATAAATATAATACCTTATTGATAATATATTTATATAGTCATACATAACTCATGATATAAAATAAATAATGCTATGTAAAAATAGATAACATATAAATTATATTATTATAATATAAAAATACTATAGAAATTAACAACACGCATAGTGTCGTATATGGTATACTAAATTCTCTATTTTAGCTAATTTATCCACTTTAATTAATGTACGAAGTTTTAGGTATTATTTTATTAGTAAGTAATTAAAAAGTGTATTATTAAAAATAATTATCAGATAATAATTTAATTAAAATATAAAAAATTATGAATTTTAAAATATGATTAAAATATATAATTATATTTTTAAAAAAAAAAGAAATGAAAATATTATATTGTAAGAGGTGAACAAATTAGGTGGACAAAGTAATTAATTTCAATATAAAAATATATATTCAATACTCAATAAAATATGTTTTTTATTATATAATACTCTTTGATTGCTTTACACCTTTTAACTAAAAAACGTACTATATTTTAAATATATATATATATTGTAATATTGGAGTATTATTATGAGTTATTTATTTTAATAGGTGTCATTTAATTGTATATGTTGCGCAATATTATAATGCCAAGACATTAAAGGTGATGACTAATGCTTTGTACATGGTCTGTAAATAAAGTTATAAGGGATTATATCAAATGAAATTTGGGAGTATTATATATTAGATATAGTATTATTATATTATATATTTATAACAAGTATCATATTATGCAAAAAAGAAAAAATTATTGTAAGATTGAATTTGGTAATTTGTGAATACAATCAACATTTGATAAATAATTTTTGTGCACACGTGTGTTGCCACTGTTAGGACACCACACAAATTTTATAGCATAGGCTTCGTGTTAATAATAATTTTCAATCAACCAGGCAGTAGATCTGAGGACACTTTCGTCTTTTCAGTTTCGCAGACGTGGCGCGCTCGGAGGAAAACGATGCATTGATTGATTGGAATGAAATAGAGAGATAAAGAGAAGACAGTGGTTCCTTACGTGAATTCATGATCATCGGAATTGGATTGCCGGAGCGGTGTAGTTATGGTGGCATTGAAGCTGTTTCTATTCGCCGTGCTATTGTTTCCAATCTTCGCCGGCATCGGAGTCGATTCCGATGCTTCGATTCCGAACGGTGATGAACTGAAGGGGGACGCGAGGGTGGATTCGTCCTTATTGGAGCAGCTCAAGTCGAAGATCCGTAGTCTAGGTAAGCGTTCTGATTGTTTCCGAATTTTGTTGCTAACAATCGTCTGATTAAGAAATGTGATATTGAGCTCACTTTTCTGAGTGCGAATTTTGCTTCAAGCTTCTGGCTGTTTGATTTATGATTTATCACTGTTTGGAATTTAAGTTGTTTCGGTTTTCTGAGAGCATATGTTACGATGTGTTTGCCGACGGAGTAGATTGGACATCTAAATTATAAAATGAGTTATTGTTGAATTGTGGCTGTATTCATGTGAAAAAGCAACGTGCATAAATACAGGTAATGTAATCCAATTTGGTTGTCTGAGAGATTACGCCAGCATGGTTAAATTACTTCTTCTATTCTCTAGGTTAACGAGTTGATAACTGTCGCACAATCCCTGTCATTGCCGAATTCTATAAATATTCGATCTCTGTGTCTACTGGCGGTTGTCTTGGTTAGAAAGTTGGATGAAATTAATAAAGGTTATGTAACGGTGTTGTACAACTGAGGAAAAGAAAATGATTAAAATGATGCAGATAGAGAAATTATATCATCAGACGTTCTGATTTGCGAAGATGTCACCTGTGCTAGAAAAAGTTCTATAAGGCCTAAAGTGTTGTATTAGTATATGGTGCTCGAGATGGAAATGACGACTACTAGTTTTCATTCTCTAGTATTTATGCAGAGAGTACTAAAGATTAGTGAATAGGGTATATGGATTTTCCTCTTGCATTTATAATATGAGAAGTGACAGTCGTATCATATATACTCATTTATTCTTTAGTACTATCTTCCCATCCCATGAGAAAACTGTTATTAATTTAGAATCTCAACTGTCTCAACCGTTTGAACTTAGGCAACAAATGTACCAAACCATTTTTAGAGCAGTGCTTCTGATGTTATGAAGTTTGGAGAATCTGGCTGGAGTACTTTCTGGTTTGCTAGCCAGTACATGAATTTGAAATTATCTTCTTAACTACATCTCTTAATGAGTTTCAAGAAGAAAGTTTTCTTCACTTTATGACTAATTGGTGGTGTGTCTTACAGAATCAAATTATGGCTGACTGTTTATATTTTTTAGTTTTTTGAAGGTAGGGTTGATTTTATCTAAGTAAACTGTTGGATTCTCTCTTTTTCTGGCGATCTTGAAATTGGTTAAATCTGACTGGTTCTTAGTCATTCTATTGGTGATTGATGATTCCTGAATGAGCCTTTGTTAATTTTGTTTTATGCTTTACATGGAGTATGTTGCTTGCAATGAAACAATATGATTTCCTTTTCATAATTTAGTTGCTTCCCCTTCACTCTTTTATGTTTCTTGTTGTTGAATAAAAGAGCGCCAAGTAGAGGAGAAAACTCAAGAACTAAAGGATAAAGACACAACCATTGCCGATAAAGAGAAGATCATCCAAGAGAAGTTAGACAGAATTGTATCATTGGAAAAGCAAGTGGAGCAATTGCATGTGAAAATCAAGGAAACAGAGCAATTGGAAGCCCAAGTAGATAATGTAAGTAGTTTTCATATACAAAGTCTCTATTGTTCTACAACTATAAAAACTGATGTTAAATTTGTTTGTCCTCTAAAAAATGAACATGATGTTTATCACTACTCATGATAAAGATATAATAATGTCAGATGTATCAACTGAGTATGTACTTGATCTTAATTGAGTTACATCTTCTGTCTCTTAGATGAGTTCACGCCATGGTTGATTATTCTGATATATGATGAGAATATTCAAAGGTGACACTTTAAAGAATACAATTTGACTTTGTTGACACAGATCAAATAACTTGATAGATGATAGAGCAATAGGATTTTAAAAGTTAGGTGTGTAGTTTAGAATGCAGAGGTAGTAAGCCCCACTGAAACCTTCAGTCACTGACACAAGAAATAACTATATGACATATGAGTAAAAATGAGAATTAAAACAAGGACAAGAAATAAATTGGTTCAGGATACCTTAATATCTTTAGAATTCTGACCAAGCAAAAACCGAAAGAAAAATGATATGTGATGCAGCCATGTGGTTTTATTTGATTAAATGAATCTGTCTTGTAGTGTTGATAATATGATATATTTCTGTTTACAGCTTCAGAAGATCATTGATGAGCAAGAACAAGCACTAAAACTTGCTGAGGTAAGTAGGAGCATTGGTTTATTATTTATTATATATTTGCTTCATCTCCTGTGACATCCACCACAGGAAGAAATAATGAAGGCAAAGGGAAAGGCTACATCCAACACCAAAGAATTGATTAAGGTACAACTCATGGGACATATTTTTTAAATTCAACATTATATTGATTGTTTAAATACCAATCAATTTGTGAATCACCAGCAAGTAGTTGTAGAATTTTCATGTGAACCCCAAAAGTAGAGCGAGCTGTCAGTGGATTTCTATAAAACGTTGGATTTACATAGGCTTTTCAGTAATTCTGGCATTGATGTGTATACATACTCTGATCTGATTTCTTCTCAACAATTTCTTCCCAGATGTGTCACTTTCTACACCATAAATATTCCGTGACTGACTATATCCTATATCTAGCATGAATTGGTTAATTTGCTTAAAACTAGTAACAGAGTGTGATTGTTCATATCAGTTAGGAGTGTGCGTAGTGGTCTTTGTTATTAGCTGCTGAGATATTTCATTTTTATGACATATTTCAGCTTCATGAAGCTTGGCTCCCACCTTGGCTTGCTGTCTATGTTGCTCGCGGTCAGGTATTCAACTATTCATACATTTTTTGTATTATTGTTATTATTATTACATTTGCTCATGTCTATTTTTTGCAGTCACATGTAGAGCAGCACTGGGAAGTGCATGGGAAGCCTATAGTGCAGCGGTTGACACAGAAGGTTAATGTTCCCATTATACTTGTCTTATAATACATATCTCAGATAAATTTGTTATTTTAGATGCATCAATTATACATTGCTTTCCTAGATATCTTGCTTGATTTCTACCATGCTTTAGGCTATGGAGAAGAAGACTCATGTTGAAGAGTGGGCTGCACCTCACGTGGAAACGATTAAAGTTGTGAGTCATTAGGAAATCTGGGAACAGTTTTTCTTTGTTGGCGTTTGACTAGGGCGTTGAAATTTGTTTCTGAACTATGATCAATTATACATTTTCTGTCCCTTGAATGCTAGTTCTAGTAGATATATTTAGTTGATTTCTATGACATGATTCTCCACAGCCTGAGCCAGCAATTTCCATCAACATTTCTGAATGACAAAGTGAAGTTCATCTAAATTGATTTGTTGCAAGCTAAGGATAGGATCCCTATTTGTGAACCTTTATCTTATTTTTGGGTACTATTTTGTCCTTGTACTTTCTATAGTTCTGATGTTCCTCTTACCTATATCCTCTTTGAAGAAATTGGCACCAATTATAAAGAAACAGTGGGTAGTCATTGAACCACACGTGCAAACAATAACTACCAAAACAGTTGAGATGTATCAAACATCCAAAAAGACCATCTCTCCCCATGTAGTTAAGGTTGTGGAAACTATTACTCCTTATTTTCAGGTGATATGCGAAACAACTCACTTTGTATAGTAATTTTCTTTAACATCGTGTATCACATTAATGCATCTATTTCCTATGCAGGAAGTAAGGAAAGTCAGTGAACCATATATCAATCGTATTGTTGATGCAACAAGGCCTCATGTTGATTCATTACATACTGCTTTGAAGCCCTATACACAGCCAGCAGTTTTTACCTGCGGAAAGTTCCTTGAGTCAGCAACAACGTACCACCACCACGTTTGTATCTGCCCTTTTAGTTCTACTTCTACAATCGATTCTTTCTTTTTCACACTACGCTACTACTTTGATGATTGCTCATACTTAACATAAATATTTGCTAAAACAAATTCAAACTATTTTCTAAATATCCGATGTACTTGATAGGATGGGATTATAATATTTGTGTGTTATATAATCCCATCCTATCTTCCATAGTAAACAAGCCCGTATATGTATAATATTTCTTATTGATATGAGGATGCGTTTTTCTTTTATCTCGAATCAAGATACAAGAGAGAGTCCAAGAGAAACTAGACGGTCATGAGTTGACAAAGCCTTTTGCAACAAAAGAGCTAGTTTGGTTTACGGTAGGTTGCTGACAAATTTAATAGTATTGTGCTTCAATTCTTATGGTAAGACATTGACGATTTATAACTGATTGTTTATTTTATTGTATTTTTTATTTTAGGCCTCTGCACTGCTGGCTCTGCCCATTCTATTTCTCATGAGAATCTGCTCATTTACTTCTCGGTTAGTCTTATTTTTCTCTACTATACTACCACTTCTTTGTATGTAGTGATCTTCATTTTGGCGCAACTATTTATACATTCTTTTCTCTATCAATGTCATATTGCATGCGATATTGTGTTGATCGAAATATTCATTCATAAAATTTCCAACTCATGTCGAATCCTTAGCTTCATCTTCTCACATCTTTCTCTTATCCTTGCCACAACCATGTTATTAAACCTCCATGTTCTTGACAATTTGCAGGCACCCTTAGATCAACCTCCGAGAAAGAAAAGCCCTTTTAAATTGTAGTGAGAATCTAGAAAGAAGCTTTTGTCATGTTGTAAAAGTGTGGGGATAGGTTTCTTGCAGCATAATACATATATCCCGGAGAAGTTCCAAATAGCAATCGACTCGATCATACCTGCCATGGACCTTTTATCCGAGCAGTGCCGGTAAACTTTCTACATACTTTTGGCCTTTGAAAGTGTCCCAAACTACAACAATTGAATTGTTTTGGTGTTTGTTTGTGTATGTAAACTATTTAATTCGTTTGTTGTTCTTTATTTATCCTTTATGAGTTGTTGCTTGAGCTGAATTTATTTGGTTTGTTTTAACAATATGAAAGGTTATAAATGAGATCTCAACACCACTCTTATCGGTATATATATGTATGTACAATTAACATGCATGTCTCTTGCTTTAAGATGTACTGTTATATATAGGGGTGAGAAAGATTAAGGGTACGTTTACAATTTGCTGTTTATACATAAAATTACTATTATTTTTTAAAATATTTAATTTTGTTCATTTTGATTTAAAATTTATGATAATTTTTGTTATTAATTATTGAATATTATAAAATATTTATTTTTATTTTTATTATTTATATTTGAAAAAATTATTTTTACTAAAAAAATAATAATTTTGTATTGAAATTATGTAAAATATAAAATAATAAATCTTTCGTATATATATTTTTATTATGTTAATTATTGTTTTAATATATATAAATAAATTAATAACCTTTGTTTTTTCTATTTGATTTAATTTTTAAAATTTATAAATTTTACAAATAAAATAATTTATATGTAATAATTAATAATAGTAATTATTTTAAATTTACAAAAATAAATATATAATTTAATAAATTAAATATATTAAAAACAATTAATAAATACTGCTATAAAAATATATTTATATGTATAAAATAAATAATTAAGTTTTAAGGGTAAGTAAGGAATAACCAAAATTAAAATAAAAAAACTCTTTCAAAATGCTGGGTACATCAGCTTTTGAAATTAGCTTTTTTGGGTTCAAAAGATTATTTCAAAAAAGTTAATTTACCAAATACCTAATTTTTTGACAGTTTAAACAACTAAAAATTAAAAGCTCTTTAAAAAATTATTTCCCAAATACCCTCTAAATAGGAAAAAATAACAAGATTATTATGAAAGGAGGTAAGAAATGAAAAAGAACAAAAAAATAAAATGAATGCATAAAAAAATGATGTGAACTTATTTCTATTTGTTTAGAGGAAAAAAAAAAACAAAAGAGAGGATATGAGTAGAATTTACAATTTCTTTTATTTTTTAATTATATTTTTTTTTATTTATCAATTTTATTTATTTAAAAATAAGAATATAAAATATCTTCAAAATTAATTATTATTTTCATTATTATATTAATTTATCATAATTTTACATTATTAAGAAATATATATATATATTTATTTCTTTTATATTTTTTTTATATTATTCTTTACAAAATATCATAGTATTATATATATTTAAAATTTTTAAATATTATATAAAAAATAATGTAAATAGTAACTTGTGTAATACTATATTATTCATAAAATTATATTTTTAAATAGTATTTTACGTTAATATTTTTTAAAAAATAATAAATTATATTTTTACAATTAAATAATATAATAATAAAAATTTAAAAATAATTTGAATATAATTAATTTTAAGAAAAAAAATTAATATGTTATAAAAATAGTTTTTTAAAAATATAAAATTTTTAAATCATTGCATATAATCTCTTTCTTTTATTGAGCCTACATCGGCCCAACTTATTTATTTTCTTCACGGTCCATTAACATACACCGCAGATCCCTAATCCTTACGCTGGACATTCTCCTCTCCTCTGAAATCGATTCGTCGGTGTAACGATCTCTTTTCCGTTTCTAGGGATTCATCACCAAAATTCAAGCGTGGTTTGTGACATATCTGTCGATTGAGTTCGGATCTGGGATCCAGAGCTTTTGGTTTGGATAATTTGAAATCCTAACCATGTACAACGGAATAGGGTTACAGACCCCGCGAGGATCTGGCACGAACGGGTACATACAGTCGAATAAGTTTTTCGTGAAGTCGAAGACGAACAAGGTCGTCACTGATTCGAGCAAGGGATTTGAGTCGGGCCAAGGAACAGCCGGCGTTACTCGAAAACCCAATAAGGAGATATTGGAGCACGATCGCAAGCGTCAGATTGAACTCAAGCTTCTCGTGTTGGAGGATAAGCTGATCGATCAGGGATACACCGATGCCGAGATTGCGGAGAAGCTGGATGAGGCGAGGAAGTCACTCGAGGCCAAGGACAACGAAGATGGGGAAAATCTGTTAATTTCAGATAAGTATGTAGCTTAACCATATATCCACATATGTTTATATATCCATTATTTTTATCGGTAGATTTCATTTTTATTCCTTGTATGGATTTAGTGATAGACAGGAGATGAAATCTTTATGCATTTTATGTTGAAGACTGTGATGTAACTAGTTTTTATGGTTAGGAAAGCTGAATTCAAGGTTGCAATCCGTTTTTAGCTGCTGCTACTGTTTGATGCTCAACACTTGACTGTTTGATGGCCTTGATTTATTAATTATATGATTCAAGCAAACTTATGCTGAAGTTTATTTCTTCTGCTAAGTCTGTGACTGAATTTTCTCTTGATATGTTCAGGGTTTCTGAGACGCAGACACATCAGGTAGCTGCATTGAAAGAAAGGCAGATGGAAACACTAAAAGCTGCACTTGGCATAGAATCAGAAGCAGAAAGAGAGAAGAAGCGGCTAGATGCTGAGGCTCGAGCTTTTGGGGAGAATCTTGATGAACTTGAATCTGGGGGCTTCCGCCCAAAGGATGTTGCAGATGGTCAGAAACATCATGGGAAAGATGGAAGAGATGAAAATGAAGATATCCTGAAGGCTGTGAAGAAGAATGATTCTGGTAGAGATAAGTCAAAACGTAGTAGTAAGGAAAAAAACAGGAGAGCTTATGGCGATTCATCAGATTCTGATAGTAGTTTGAAACACGGAAGTAAGAAAAAACATAAAAAGTACAGCAAAGGTAGTAGTAGCAGTGGTGATGATTCTGATATCGATGTTAAGAAGAGAAGAAAGGATTCCCCAAAAATGCACAAGAAAAAGAAAGCTTCAAGACATGATAGCAGTTCTGATTCAGAATCTCTGTCTGATTCTGATTCAAGTTCAGAATCTGATTATGACAGGAAGCGTGGGAAATCTCGTGGAAAGTATGACTCTGATGATGACTCTAAATCTGGTGGAAGCCCGGATAGGAGAAAACAGAAGGTAAAAAGAACTTCAAAAAGCAGGCAATATGACTCTGATGATGACAATTCTGATGAAGGCCGTGCACGTAAGGGTAAACATGTGAAGAGCAGAAGGTATGATTCTTCTGATGATTATAGTTCTGATGACCAAACAAAATACCAGCAGAAAGGGAAGCAGAGGCATCCTTACTCAGATGACGACTATAATTCTGACAAAGGTCCCAAAGACAAGATGCAGAGGGGTAAAGAGCCTTCAAAGGTCAGACGGCATGATTCTGATGATGATTTAGATGCTGATAGATTAGAGAAACATGGAAGAAGTTTATCCAGGAATGAACGACAAACTCACAGATCAAAGGATTCTCCAAAAGATGATGAGTGGAGAATTGGGAGTGAAAGACAAAAAAAAGGTGGTAGAAGGCAGGGCCGAGATGCTGAATACGATTCTGATGAAATAACCAAAAGACGACATGAAAGAGCTGACAAAGATGACTATGAAAAAAATACTGGTTCTGGAAGACAAGAGAAAGATCACATAAAACACCGACCTCGTGATTCTGGTAAGGACATTGATCTCAAGAATGATGATTCTCGAGACCGGGGTAGAATTGAAGGAGTTGAATCTCTTGGGAAGAACAGAAGTGGTCATTATGATGATTTACATGGTAAAGGCAGGGACAGAGGTTACGGATATGAAACTCGTGATAGGGAGAAAGAGAGGGTAAAGGGTGATGATGCACTTGACACTTTTAAAAAATTGGAACAACTCTATAGCGTGAAGGGTGATGAATCTGACAACAGAGATGATGATTTTGCTAGGGGTGAGAGGAAAATCTATGATGGAAATGAGAGTGAACAGTATGAGAGAAGGTCAAGGAGACATGACTCAGCTAGAGAAACAGGGCATGGGCGGACAAAGATTGCATCTGAGATACACAGTAGCAAAGATTTGAAGCCAGCAAGATCTGGTGCAGACACTGCTGATGCTGATGGCCATGAGGATGCAATTCGTAGTGGGGATGCGTCTCGGCACTCAGATAAAAGAGGTGATCGAGACCATGAAGGCTATGAACGCCGTAGAAGTGACAGAGGTGAAGCAGAGGACCGCAGGGAAAGAAAGCGTGAAAGGTATGGAGATGAGGAGGCAGTGTACAAGAAAGATCGTGAATATCGGCGAGATGGACATGGAAGGGATAGGGAAGATGATCGTGAAGATGGAAAAACTGGTAGAGATGAACGCAGCTCAAAGAGAGCTAGGTATGAAGAAGGGCGTTCTAGCGGCCGGAGGTATGATGACGACAAGAATGTGGATAGGCGGTCCCGACACAGATACTAAGTGTTAAGCTGTCCTTATGTTTGAGTATGGTAAGATTACCTGCTTTCATTAAGATTCAATTTAATGTTGAGTAATTTCTCCAAAGTACTATTAATGTCATGCTATTAATCTATGTTTTACTACTTGCATCAGTAGGTTTCAAATGAATATTAGTTATGTCATACGTATTATCCGGGACTGACTGAAAATCGCTTTCTCTGTTGCAGTGAGGTGAAATCTTACATGGTGTATCCATTATATGTTAGAGCTGAAAATCACAAGAGAAAGACTTATTACGGGGTTTGATTGATGTCTACTGCAATGATTTGCTTGCTGTTAAGAGGATTTGGATCGATTGAACGAACTCTTGTAGATGTATGAAATGTTCTTTAGAGATGTAAAACAATGTTCTATTTGCTATGCTGCTAAGATTGTCGAATAACCTTGCATTATCTTTGGAGCTACTTATTTATCTGTCGACTCGAATGAGATTGTGATATTTTGCTGCTCTAAAAATGTTTCTTCCCTTTCTTTCTAGTTGGAATAGTGATTTTGGCTCTTGGTGATGCTTGCGGATACTGCTTGAGTTCCATCAAGATCGACATTTCCTCCAGCACCATGGCAGACGCTAGCACAAATTTCACGGACATCTTTTCAGCTTTGATCCCACAGAACCCCAGCATCTCGACACTTTGGAGACGGGCTAGGGACACGGATGTCTCTTGTTGTTGCAGAAAATTCGCAACAAATCAGACTTTGAGCGAAAAGAGTTCAGAGATTGATTGTCTGTAGAGCAGGAAGGAACTCAATTGTGATCTTGAGCTTCTGCAAATTGGGGCAGCTACGCATGAAGCAAATGGCAGCCGACGCCTGTGTAGGCTTCTGGAAATACATATCGACGAGGTGAAGGCTTCTCAGGTGTTTCATAGACGTGGGGAGCCTCCAATCGATCTCAGCTACAGCTACAGCTACAGCTACAGTTACAATGAGAATTAAAATTACAGAAGGTGAAGAAATTATTAAGGGGAAGGGATAGTAATAGTAATAGTAATAGTAATAGAATGATAGATAATATGGATCGAAAGCAGAATGAAAGTTGAAGTAGACGACCAAGAAAACTGTAGCTGGTAGCTGGATACAAAAATATCTTTCATTTTGTATATAGGAAATTGTATTTGTGTTCAACAAAACTCATTCTATCAATATTATTGTGAATTTGCATGTCATTGGTCACCGCACTTCATTTTCAAATTTTGATTTATTAAATTCTGAAATATACACACTATCATATTTAACTAATTCATGTATTAGTCATCGTCCAACATCATTTAATAACATTATGCTATATATATATATATATATGTAAGAGCAAGTATAAAATTAACATTATTTAATAACACTCCATCTCTCACTCTCTTCATTTTAAGATTCACTTTTTACATTTTCTTATGAACAAAAAATAATAATAATAATAAAAATAGGGGTAGCAGAATCTTAAAGGAAGTTAGACACGTCGGCTGGAAAAAGAGAAAAAATTTGCGCTCAGGTCAGTTGGTTGGTCCTCGGTCGGTTGGTCAAGTCGGTTGGTCTTCGGTCGGATCGGCAGGTCGGAAGGTCTGCGAGTCGGACGGTCTACAGGTCGGACGGTCCATAGGTCGGATAGTCAGCGAGTCGGACGGTCCGCAGGTCAGAAGGTCCGCAGGTCGGATCGGCAGGTAGAAAGGTCTGCGAGTCGGACGGTCGGACGGTCTGCAGGTCAGAAGGTCCGCAGGTCGGATCGGCAGGTCGAAGGGTCTGCGAGTCGGACGGTCTATAGGTCGGACGGTCCGCAGGTCAGAAGGTCCGCAGATTGGATCGGCAGGTCGAAAGGTCTGCGAGTCGGACGGTCTACAGGTCGAACGGTCCGCAGGTCGGAAGGTCCGCAAGTTGGATAGTTAGCGAGTCGGACGGTCTACAGGTCGGACGGTCCGCAGGTCGGATAGTCAGCAAGTTGGATCAATAAGTCGGATGGTTTGTAGTCGGTTGGTTCGCAATCGGTTGGTCCGTGGTCGGACTAAGTAAAGTCGACTGCTACGGAGGTCGGGCTAAGTAAGGTCTGGTAATTGACTGCCTACTTAAGTGAACAGTAGTTTGGTCGCTTGGTGGGGGCGGCCAAGGAGTCTTTTGGTTTAGCGACCAGTTAGTAGCTTGATTAATCGGTTGAGTTATGCAGTTAGCGAGACGGTTGCTGTAACTGACCAGACGATGTTTCAAAACGTTTCTTTTGGGCGGTTGACGGCGGTTGCTGTAACCAACCAGGTTACGGTTCCAAGAGTTTTCTTTAAAGAATATTTAAGGATTTGAATTTTTCTGGAGAAAGACATCTTCAATTGACTTCAACAAAAATAAAGTCAAATTCGGATCACCACTTTAAATTTCCAGCAATTACAGTATTTTTAGAGATTTCTAATCTATTAATCAAATTTGAGGATATCTTTTATACACCATTGCATACGTATAACCAGCTTAGATATGTGTTTTCAACCTCTAGAGTTTGCTTGTTTATGATTTCAAACATAAATTTACATCAACATCAATTTTAAATTATAATCAAACAAATGATTTCTTCCTTTCATTAATAAGTTCCTCATTTAATTTTATAATTGTAAATATTAGTATTTTAAAGATATATATATATATTATAATAAAGTAATGTAATATCAATTTAATTTAAGGGAGACTTGGACTAAAGTCCCTGTCAGTAAAATTCACTTGTAAATCAGTCCCTCTTGAAAATTAATTAGTCTGTAGTCCCAACTTTAGAGATTAAGTTTATTATAGCTCCCCAATTTATTTTTTCTCTTAATTCACCGTTGTAAACACAACAAGTACTCGAAATAGATTAATAAATACTTCTAATGTTGAAATATATACCTACATTACTTTCCGCTCTACCCTTGTTATAATTTTATATACTTCTAGTTAAATGTCGAGTACTTTTTTTTTTGCGAATTAAAAAAAAAAATAGTAAAATAAAGACAGTTACTTACGATTTAACAAGAGTTTAGACAGAAAAACTTCCCATAACTCTCCTCATCCCGATTTTAAACCATACATCTTCCATTTTCAAGTGAACCAGTGTTCTCCAACGCTCGGTGATCAAGTATCGAACGATCGGTGCAAAAATAGTGAAGAAAACAACTGACCCACTCTCATCCCCAAAGACAAGCTCAAAAAAGTAAGACCTTTTTCGATTTTTTATTTTGTCTAACATTAGTATTTTATATCGTAGTTTGTTCGATTGTTTGGGGTATAAGTCTTAGTCCAATATTTGTATGCCTCGATCGGTTCGGTGTTGAGGAGCCCTGGGTGATCAGTGTAGTTGTGTTTGTTAATTGGGTTTGAAATTGTTCGTATGTTTGCCTACGTAGACCGAGTTGGGTTTTTATTTTGACACCAATTTTGGGTGATTTTATTTGTCTAATTTGTGATTTTAGTTAATTTTATAGATATACATTTTGTTTAGTTACCTGGAGTTGCATAATTTAATATTTTTTTGTTTGTTTGATTGATCGATAATTACTTATATTTGTGGGTTGGTAAATGCGATTATGTTAGGTACCCCGAATTGCATTTTTTCAGGTTTAGTTTGATAAGTAATAGACTTTTAAGGGACTACTGTGTACTCGTAATCTATTGTTACATACTCTTGATAGATTCTGACAAACTTTAAAATAAATTCAAGATTTGGATAATGTGTATTAATGATATTTATTTACAGATTGGATAAAGATTACATATCGGTTATCTATCGGTTTGTAGTACTGATTGGTCTGTATGTTCTCCGAGTGTTACATCCATGCGAATCCGGTAGTATCGGCAGCAAGTTTGATAATATGAAGAGCTATCGCGGTAAAATTAAGACCAAAATACTAAAAGGTCCACCGACCAACCGTAGATTTCAATGAACAACACATGGTAAGTGAATGTTGTAATGAATTTGGATGGATATGGGATTTATTTGAGTTTTGTTATTTGTGCTTGATTTGAGTAGTGTGTTATTTCGATTGAATTGTTGGTTGAATTGTTTAATATGCCTCATGTTCAATGATATTATATTAAGATCTATTGAGGGATTAAATTATAGGTTAAATTTGGTGAAACTTAAAGTTTGGAGTAATGCTATAAATTGTGCCGTATGATTAATTCTTCGCATGGTTAAAATTGCAATAATGCACATATTGTACCTCAACAACAGATTGATGTACCCGTCTAACTAGATCGAAATACCTTCAAAAAGCATATATATATATATGCTCATATACATGTTATTCATTAATTATGAAGGTTATCCTTGTATGAAGACAACAATAAACCAAAAAAGTTATGCATATTGCTTTTAAATTGGAATTAACTAATTCATTACAAGACCTTGCAATGATTGAAGTGATGCTTGCAATGAACAGAAGTGCATATATGGATACCTAACTACATTAGTGGTACACCTAAGAAAGAAAATTATATACATGTACTGCGAAAGTTTATGCCCTCATCACATTGATACATACTTCTTGTCAAACACGACAGACCTCGGTTATTTAATGATATACCTATATTAAGCTAGAAAATACTCCAAGTTAAGTTATTTATGTCTGGGGGTTCTAATACTTCATATCTCGAACATTAAGTAAAGTATAACATTATCTTTAACAATATTCGAACATGAGATGTATTCATCTTTAACATAGTCAATTATACCAATTTAGAAAATTAAAAAGTTGTTTATAAAAATTAACAACATGATCCATATAGGTGAATAATAGGCTATGGCGTTAGTTAGTTGTGTTGTTGGTAAGAGTAGTACTTAGTTATGATGCATATGCAATGGTTTTACAAATTAATAATGGAGAGTATTAATAATTGGAGAGTACTCTCTCCAATTAAATTCACAATAATAGATTTCAAACACTATGGGAGCGACATTATATTACAACATCTCATTCATTCACACATGTTAGCATCAACGGGTACCTCAGTCGTTTACCAATATACTCCGGAATTAGTATCTCATATGCTCATATAACTAGTATCTATGCCTGGACACTTGTGCTTGGAAAACAAGCTGTTCTCAATTCAAAATATTCAATTTTTGTCTGTAAACAGGGATAAATTCATCATTATAATATTTTCGTAAATTCTGTAACTGTATGTAAAGCTAAATAACACATATTTATTATGGATGACTGAACAAGTATTAAATAACTTAGATTTAAATTATGTTTTTTTGTTACTCATACATATTTTGTAGTCTTTCCATTGAAAAGTATGGTATGAGCTGTCAAATATAAACGTACAGTACTTAAATTTTTCCAACAATGCTAGGAGATGAAGTACTCTCACCGAGTTTGTGCCCCTCAGGGGATCAACTGAAATCAATCACATTCACGAATACCTTCTACTACAAAGAAAATACCTAAGCAATTATCATTTATACCTTGAATGTCGGTGTGTGTACCCAAAGCGCATACTTACATACCTGCATCAAATACGGACATACCTTGTCACAGATCTTGTGTACCTATAATACTGGTATTATATGCTTCAGTAACGAGTATATATACTCTGATAACATGTGCTTGGAAAACAGACACTTTTTGTTCAAATTATTCACTTGTTGTCGGTAACCAAGGATGAATTCATCGTGATAGTATTTCCGCGGCACCTTAAATTGTTTGAAAAGATAAATAATATATATTTACTATAGATGACTAAATAAGTCAGAAATAACTTCGTTATATTGTGTGGCATATGTACAATTATAGTCCAACCTCCACTTGTAGATGGCTAAACAAGTCATAAATGACTAAGTTAAATTATATTGGTTGTTAAGAGTAAATAATTTCTGCCAGGAATTGAAAATCTTTGGACCAGTTACATAGTAATCTACATCGTAACATACACACAACAACAACATTCAAGTGAAAGCGCGAGTTGTAATCTACTACTAGGACTTCAAGTGTTTTTTGTGTAATAGGACAAACATATTTTTTCTAAAATATTTTGACCCATAACATAATAATCTAAATTTTCACACTCATAAACTCAAATATCAATCAATCAGAAGCTTTTAACAAAATAGTAACTCAGTTGAGTAGGAAAGTACTCCAATAGAGCTCCGATGTACCTCTGTTAAATTTTCAGAAACCTTTGTTGTCAACAAGTCATATATAAAATACTATCTCACATACCCATAATTTCTGTTCATCTACCATAATACATCAAATTTACAAAAGAGCTTCAATGCAACAATTCTCTTATTGTTGTATATTTATATACAACATTATATTATGTTTAGCACGCTAAAAGTAATTACAATGAGAGGATTGATGGACATTCTTTCAAAATAAAAAAAAAATTACACATTTAAATATTACAACAATTGTGTCTGGCTTTAACCAACTATCACGGACCAAATTGAGTACTTCTGCAGCTGCAATTAAGATATCAGCGTCTTGATTTGTTCTGAGTTTTTGGTAAATGGATGAAGAATAGTCACTTTAGCACGATGCTTCTGCCCATAAATAGATAAAATATTAATGTTCAGCAACTTAGGAAAAAATATGTGATTATATAATAAATTGTACAATTAGAGTACATGAATATAATATTTTACACACTAATCTAAACCTACTGGACTATAATAAATTATAATTATATATACCATATATAAATCAATACTTGAAGAAGTAAGGCTGTAGGCAATCCAACAATGTTATTTTACCCATCACTATAACATTGTTTTCTATAATATCAACACCAAACTACAATAGATTATAAATGCACAAAAATAACTAGTGATGACAATATTGAGGATATATTTTTTATTGAAACTCCAAAATAGTGCATATTCATGAAAAGTGAAATTATAACTCAATACTTTGAACAAAAAATTATTAAATTCTCTTACACTAATACATGTAACTTTTTTGAGACATTTTATCGAACATGTGAAGTGCATTAGACATTTACCTTACTACTATTAACATAATGTGTTTTCCAAATGGGAGATAGGAAAAAAGATGAAAAATGCATCAGGGTTGAGATTTGGTATTCATTCACCACACATAATATATCTACAATCAATCAAGAACAGATGTTCTAACCTTTCGAAAACAATAAGGTGGGTCTTCTTCGAAGAGAAATGGATTGTTGTCCAATGGCCGTAACAAATTGGGATAGATGGGTCTTTGTGTTTGTCGGAATCTAGGCCAGTGATCTGTAATTACAATTTCACGTTCACCGGATTATGGGCGAGTAGATTCCCCTTCCAATTTTGTGCGAAATTAACAAGAGATTACAATAGGAAAAAGTGTGAAGACGAAATGAAATAGAAAATGAAGGAGTGTTGCGCTAGTAAGATTTATCACAAAATAATCACCTCATGAAACATAAACTACCCATTTTAAAATAGAGGTCCTAACCTTTGTAAAATTCCGACGTCGCTCTTCGCCGGAGAAGAAGGGCTCGCAGTGGCACGAAAATATCAAACAAGAAAAAAAAATGGTTATTCGCGATTGTTGGCCTATGGGCAACGCGGCTATGGTGGTGATTTTTGATCCAATGATTCTGGACTAACATGTTTTACTCCCAATTCCGCGCGAAGAATAACCAACGTGTGAAAGGGATTTGAGAGCTAAATCAGAAATAAAGAAATGATAGGGAGTGAAGAATGAGTGAAATGGAAAAATAGAGACTGCAGAATAAGAATTTAGTAATGGGGACTGATTATTAATAAATTAGACAAAATAGGGATTTAAAGCTAATTGTGCCTTAATTTAAACAAATTAAAATAATAAAAAGAAATTTACTATTGCATATATAATGCATATACATATTATAATATTATTACTCTAGACAATATTATATTAAATATTTATTTTCATTTATATTACATTTCAATCGTTCAAATTTTAATTCTTTAAAATAATAATAATAATAATAATAAAAATTAAAATCAAAATCAAAATCAAAATCAAAATCAAAATCGAAGCATATCTAAAGATAACATAATTAAAGAGGAATAATCAGCAAGAAACGTGCAAATATATTCAAAATGTAGAGAGCAATGTTGCGAAGAATTTAACATATAAATTTCCCATGGACAAAGAAGGGATCAATCTTCGCAACAAAATCAAAACATCAGAACACTACAACAATAATAGTTACCAAAATAAATAAATAAATAAAGATTAATTAAAAAAATATTTCCCGAAAAACAACCTCATGCTTTAATTTATTCCAACAACACAAAACATAAAATAACACAAACAAACGAACAACATACTAACAGATCTTCAAGACTAACCAGCGCCGCCGCCGCCGGAAAAGTCATTGCCGGGAGCAATCCGCAGGCTGGAAGGTAACCTCCTTGTTCACAAGATCATACCCCACTTTATGATTCATCTGGTGCAGATTCCCAAATATCGCCATGTCCGATCCCCTCAAAATCGTCAAACAAACCACCGATTTCTCGACGTCGGCGAACACGCCGCCGGCCGGAATCACCACGTCCGCCCCACTGAAGTGCATCGTTATCTTCGGCTCCATCACCGGCGGCTTATAGCAGAGCCCGAAGTTCCCGCTTGACTCCCTCACGCGCTGCCCTTTTACAATTTTTTCGACGGCCGCTTCCAGGTGGCCGACGAAATTGTCGTCGAGAAACGTCGCCGTCGTGCCGGAGTCGATTATAATGTTTCCCGGCTGGGTACCGGTGGTCTCCGATTTGTAATATAATTTTTGACCGTCGACGGTAACGGCTTCGAGGGTTAGGTAATAGAACGTGTCGGGGTCTTTTTTGACGATCGGAGTTTTGACAGCGCCGGAGCCACTGAAGACGGCGGCGGCGCCGAAGCTTATCTTGCTGGTGGCGTTGGAGGAGACGGAAGTCAGGCAGTAGGAGAATTTTCCGTTGATCGAGTGGTTTAGCTGATTGATAATCGAAACGGTGCCGCCGCCGAGGCCGACGATCCCCGACCCGACGTCGGCGAAAGTTCCGGTGGTGTCGTGGCCGCAGCCGAAGATGGTTTTAGGGAAAGTGGCGTTTACGAAGGATAATGTGTCTTCCGACAGGTCGCCGGAGCTGGCGGAGTTGTCGCCGTAGAGGATGTTGTAGCGGCAGCGGCGCTTGGCGCCGCAGTTGGTGTCGCCGGCGGCGTTGCAAATGTCGGTTTTGCAGGAGATTTTTTTGTAGGTTTTGGAATTTCTAGGGTTAAAAATTGGGGAAATTTGTTTGTAGCAGCGGGTGCAGGGAAGACACTGCATCCATGTCAGGTCGCTGGCGGTATCGGCGATGCCGTACTGCTCCACCGCCGGCGTTCCGATGCTCACCTTCATTATATATTCGCCGCCGCCGGATTTTAGTGGGGATCCGAATAGTTTCCCTGTCGTTTTTGCCGAAGTCTCCGATTGACGAGATGCTAATGAGAGAATCGATTTGCGGTTTAAAGATCGTTGGATTGCGTGCCGGAGTTTTTCGTAGGGGTCGCCGGAATCGTCCCGGCGGATTAAGTCCAGCGTGAATCCACCATTGTTGGTCACCGGAGTTTCTGCAACTGAAGAAACCCTAAAAACGGAGAGAAATAAAAAAGGGTAAATTAGGAATTGGAAAATGGAAGTTTCAGTGAAGGAAGACATTTCGGTTTAATTTTGGGAGTGGAGATTTTGGGCTGAATTTAATTTATAGGCAAATTTTATGGATTATGAAAATGGGAAATATTTTAAAATTTATTGAGAAGTGTAACAAATAAATGGGAAGTTGGAAGGATTTTTTATTCATTACATTTAAAAGATTTCATATTTGGAAAGTAGATCTGTAAAATTGGGATAGAGATGTTAAATATTTGATAGTAAATATTATTATCATTCATGAATATAATAATAGTAATTCAGGGAAAAAGATGAAGTTTGTAATAATAAATTTATAGAGAGTTTTATTTATTTATTATTATTCTTTTTGATATTTGGGCATTAATTTAATTAAAACAGTACATTCATACTTACGCGTCTATAATGTAATAATGTTTCTACTTTCTACATAATAATACGTTAATTATAAATTGCATTTAATATATTTATTATAAAAATTAAGTGTTAGTTTAGATGCGTAAATTTGAATTCAAAGAAAAATTTTAAATTGTTACCATAATTTAAACGCGTGTTTACTTGTCATATTTTTGTTTTACTATTCCATTTTTTATTTTTTTCAAAATATCAAATTAAATAATTGTTTATATTTATTAATATTACATTGAATAATTATTTTAATTTAAAATTTTATTATTCAAAATTTAAGAAATAAATACACTGTTTATGTATAAAATATATAAAATTATATGAGTACTAAAAAAATAAGCGAATGTATTTAACATATTTTTGTATAAAAGAAATGGATTGGTTTGTTCTCATGGAGCAAACTATTATTAGTTTTTATAATTGTAAGTATTTTGGTTGACATACGGTATAAAGAATTGTAAAATTATTAGAGAGAATGAGATTTTGTATACAAAGTATGTATTTTGCTTTTATTGTTATATAAACATATATTGCTATTTTTTTATTATTCGAACACAATATATTGATTTTTTCTTGTTGTATGTATAAACTCCCATGTATATTATTATACATATTTTCACTTTTATACTTATTTGCATAAATATGTTTATATTAACATGTAAATAGTCTCTATATATATCAAAATTATTATCAATTATTATTAGTATACAATATTTATTAAATTATATAAAAAATAAATTTTTATTTTTTAAATGGACAAATATATATATATACTTTTCTTGTCTATTTGGTTCGCTTTGATTTTTCTTTTAGCCAGACAAAAATCATAAATAATAATGTTTTAGAATATAGAAATAAAATAGTAAAAATTTAAATAAATGTATTATGAAGATTTATTAAAAATTGATAAAAAATAAATGGATAAATTAAAAAAATAAGTGATAAATTAATTGTTATTTATTACTATAAAATTGTAAATGGATCTTTTATTGAGCAATATGAAAATAATATTGAAAATAATGTAAGTTTCGGTTGAATATATCAAATAATACATTTGCCCCAAATAAATAAAATTGTATGCTTAATATTGATTTTATTATGTAAAGTCACTTCAATATTTATATTGCTAATAATTTCAAATGTCTAAATACAATAAAATTATTGAATTATATATTGTTGTTGTAAAAAAATCGGCGAGGACTTAATCGGAATAGGATGTCGGAATTGATTTGTTCAAAAGATTTCCGACCTCTTCAAGAAAGGATCCGAGCTATCTCGCGATGATAAAAAAATAATGTAAAAATAAAGCTAATAAACAAAAAAAAAAAAGAAGGTTGAAAAATAAACTGAAATTAATAAAAAAAAAACCATAAAAATCTTGGAAAAAATTATAGGAATAAAAAATTATAGAGAAAAAATTAAGAAAAAAAAAGAAGAGGATCATGATAGAATGGCGTCTTGTGCTTTGGATCTGATGCTATTTATTTTGAATCTTCTTGAATAAAACTCCTAGCTTCCATCTGCTTCTTTTACCGCTAGGTCAACTTGATCACTGGGGAGATCAGGTCCGCAGGCCCACTTGCCGATCTGGACCTTCTGCTGGCTGCGAACCTTTGAAGGCTTGAGCTGTACTTGTACTGAATCAGCCCAATTAATTTTGGGAATGTACAAATATATATATATTGACAACGTGCAATAAAACAAGATTTTATCGAATCCTATTTTACATTTTGTAAAATCATAAATTGGCTGTTTAAATCGAAATCAAGGTTCGAACAACTTGGACAAGTCTCGCGGGACCAAAACAAAGTCGTGCTAGTTAGAGTGCTGATTAGAACTAGTCAATACAAAATAAGACCTAACAATATCACTAGTTTATGCTCCAACACAAACATTCGGATCTTTAAGTCAACTAGCTTGCATTTTGGCGACAAAAATAAACATATGAATTAAATAGTTCGAGAAAAAGAGATACTATGATCAATGACTACATTGTCTAAAACCTTAGACAGATAGAAATGCCACATCTTAAAAAGAAAGGTAACTCGATCAAGTCTAAACAATGAAACAAACTAAACAAAATGTAATAACCTCATCGAACCAAAGCAGCAAGACAGAACAGATTCATTAAACACTTTCATGTAAATATAATCTGCAATAAAGCCATATAATCTCACCCCCTATATTCATACCACATTGGCATTCTTCTACACTAAATTGAATCATTGGACATAGATTGTGCCATTCTAGTAAAAAACATGAAAATTCGACCATACAAGACTTATGCTTCTCATCATGATCACAGCATTGGATCAACATTGTTCAAGATTTAACATTACTTATGATTCTTACCACACTCAAGAAATCTTTCATCCCCCAAAGATCAACTGAATTTATGATTCTCATCATCATCACTCAAGATATCTTCAATCCCCGAAACTTCCATCCTCGCCGATGCCTGCTTAGCCCACTTCACAATTTTCTCAGCTTCTCTGCAAATTTTCTCCTCTTCTTCCATAGCCCGTCTGCTCATCTTCTTACTATGAACTGAGAAATTACTTAAATCAGTTAGAAGATCATCATCATGCTTCCCCCAATTCAGCCCCAAATCCAACCCCCTGTTCTCCTTCTTCCCTAATTTCCTCGACGATTTCTTAGGGGAGCACAAGAAACAACCACTCTTCACTGGCGGAGAAACAGACCTACTCCTAGTCGAGAAATCCGCCCAGAAATCAGGCGAATTTGATTTCCTCCCATTTCCCCCAATTTCAATTCTAGGGTTTCTGTTCACGCCTGCACTATCACAAGGGGGCGAGTTATTTTTCGAATCGGCGCATTTCGGCTTCGATGTAGGGGAATTTTCCGGAACTGAATCGGAATTTCTCGATGAAATCGGAGAATCGATTTTCTTGACGTCGCCGGGATCGGAGACGTGGAAACTTTTCGTTGAGGGTTTCGTCTTCGCTGCGGCGGATGGGAAGGATTTAAGCCTCGCGAAGCGGGCTTCGAGGTGGCTCGGGAGGCCGCCGGAATCGAATCCAGCGCAGTTAATGGCGGCCACCTGATCGAGAACCGTCGAGTCCATGGCCTGAGACAGCAGCTCGTCCACCGCCTTGTCCTCATCGCTGTCGGAGAAGAAAGCGGCCATTTGGCGGATACAGTCGGAAGGAATTACCGAAGTTTCGTGTGAATTCGGGGATGAAACTGGAGCTCTCCTCTTTGCTTTTTCTTTTGGGTGTATCTTTTGAAGGAATTTTCTTGAGGTGATGACGATGATGATGGTAAGTTCGTCAATGGAGTTCTAACGGCTAGCTCATGAATTCGGCGCTGATCGTCAAAACGTGGGATTTGTGGGACCGTTGCCTTCGCCTCCACTGTTACTGACATTTTTAAAGTTTTGCTGTTTGGTCATTCAAAATCTTGTTCTTTGGACTTTGACCCCTTCCACATTTGTTAATTCTTAACTACTACATACTAAATTATTTAAAATCAATTAGGTCTCATTTAGTTATATTTCTACTGACAAAAACTGACAAGGTCGAAAAGTTGATCCAAATTCAATACGGAGAATTCGTGCTTGAGTCTAAAAAAAAATATTCGAAAAAATTCAAACTGTGCCGAGGCTCGACACGATGATGAATCGGGTCATATCCGGACTTATGAATGTTAGGTCACATAGAGTCCGATCCGACCCAAATTTTGAAATAAATATAATTTTAGAAAACAAATAATTATATATTAAAAATAAATGTGTAATTTAATGGTTTAGTTTGTATAACCTTAGATATAAGGTCATGAGTCCAAAACGCCGGAACTATACTTTATAAATGTAGAAAAAGCTTTGATTTATTTAGGTGGTAAATCATCAAATTTGTATTACAAAGACGATACTTTAGTTTAGGCACAATCCATTGGTTCGAAATATACGATTGATTTTACAAGATCAAATCCAATTCGTACATCTATGGAATGAATATTTCCCAACGTAGAAAACTTTTCCTCCGTTGGTTTGAAAGTGAAACAGAACACTCGATCCTCGACCTCTACGAAATTGTACCTCGGCGGCAACACCAACTCCCTGTTTTCAAACAAGAGCTTTATGGACGGCGATATTAAAGACTTGCGGCGCCTATACTTCTCCCGGAAGCACAAGTTTGAGTAGCTGTTGGAGACACGAGGGCGTTTAATGTGATGTAGCATGGCCTCCTCCAAAGGTACATAGTAGTTGTTTATTATCGTCGAAATTGTTTGGCCCATGTCTAACATCAAAGCGTCTCGGATACGAGGCACGTCCATTTCGCGTGATGTGTTAGCTGATATCTCCATTTCTACGCCATTATAGGCGAGCTTAATTCCGACCAAGCTAGCGAGATAGTGTGGTACATCGGGTACTTGTATCAACGGGGATGAAATTCTTCCCGTTACCACCGCATCTTTGCCAAATTTCAACCTTCCTGTTAAAATTAAATACGAGCATACATAATATTAATTACCATAAATTAATGCCATAGTAACAAAAGTGAAAAAAAACAATGGATGAATGCCTAGCAATGTAGATCTAGAATTCTACGAAATAAATTATAGTGCACACTCCCATGCTACACTCAATTCAAATAATTGAAACTGATCTACATGAAATTTGATCATTAGTTCGATCAAATTGATCTGGATATAAGATCTTGCAAAAGATAATCAAGAATTTTACTACTTGAAATCATAATACACTCTCATGCTACATTCAAATCAAAGTAAAAATATATGTATACATATAGAGAAAATGCTAACTGAAGTACTGTTTTAAAAAAAATTTCTGTTGATGAACGTTCAAAAAATATGTACACAAAATATATATTGTACAATACATACCCGGTTTTCTAGAAGTATGCGGCGTTAGGCAATGCGCGAATTTGCCACCGACGGCATCGGCAAATTGTTGCACGAAGGATTCGCTAGTATATCCAAGGCCAAGCATCCCCGACTCACCGCCATCGACACCGCCTGAATTCCTCGTCCCGCACCCAAAAGCGAAATTATGAAACGTCGCTTTTGGGTCCCCATTACGATAAAATGATATAGAGTCAGATACGACAAATCCTGACGTCGAGGCCCCGTCTTCGTACCCTACCTTGTACGAGCAATCTTGGTCCTTACTCGTACAAGTCACCGTGTCGGGATCAAGTAGCAGGCATTGCGATTGCGGATCGCGACATTTTACCGGCGCAAAAGTGGTGCTGACCTTAGGGTTGTAGAAGGGAGGGTCTTGGCTGTAACAATCAATGCACGAACATTGGACCCAGGTGAGGTCGCTGCCGGTGTCGACAAGGAGCAGCTGCTCAACGGGCGGCGTTCCTAAGTAGACTTTTGTTAAGTAGTCGCCGGCCGAGAATTTGAGCCCGGACTGTACATCACGAGGTTGGATAAGGGAGTCACGTGCGATGGACCTTTTGAATATGTTTTGAGCGCGCTCGAATCGCGACATCGACGCATTGTACAGCGGCGACGACGGCGAGTCGCGGTGGAATATGTCAATGGTGAAGGCATTGATCGAACATGTTGTTAAAAGAATGTAGAAGAAGAAATCTAAGAGGTTCTTATAGGACAAATTCATTGTTCGATCGTACGATTATTGATGTTCTAATTTTATATTTTTTTGTTACATATTTATATTAGGATTTATTTAATGGGTGCACTCAATTTTGGGTTTGGAGAATAGGAAACTTTTGATCTATTTTGTTATTTTGTAATATGTAGTGCGTCTTAGTTGTTATGTCTATATATATAGCCCATTCATTAAATAATAGTATTGAACTAATGTTGAAACGTATAACAATATGGGAAACGTTTTAATACTCTTTTAAGTCATTTTATTAGTTTACCATATTACCATTTACATTGGATCGATTTTTCGATTTCGATTTTGATTTTGATTTTGATTTCTGTTCTTTTATTAAGGTAAGCCAATTTTACAAATTAGTGAGGGTTACAATAATTTTATTACTGCTATCTTTCTATTGTAATGCTTTTTTTTTTTTAGATGTCTTTTATTATTTGGACTCATATTTTTCAAATAATCTTACACAATAAAATTTCAAATTAAATTAAATGATTGTTTAAATCAAAATTCAGAATTACCCCGATCCAAATTCTTTGAACCATATACAAACAATACTCAGATTTCTTGCAAGCCACATGAATTATCTAAAATGTTACATACAAATTAATTTTGTTAAACACATTTCAATGAAAAAATTCATATTATTTTATTAAAAAAAGAGTATTCAATGTTATTTATTAATTATATTTTTTTGTATCTACAAATAAAAATCGTTGTTATATTGTGTTGGTTTGTCTCTGTAAGGTTGATTTAATTACGAAATAAATAATATTATTATGGAAAGTTATCATCAACACACGCAATTAAGTTCCAGCAATTTAGAAATAAACGGAAATTTCTGCATGAAGACAATCCCTATTTGACAAATCAACGTACAAACAAAACCTTATCGAATCGTATAAAACCAAATTTTCAAAAATTAATTAATATATAGCTCACTTAGTTGAGTGGTTGGAGCAGTTAAAGGAAGAATGTTTCTTAATCCTCAACGACACAGGGTTAACACATATTTTTCAAACTTAAAAAATAATTCCAAATGCTTTAATGAAAATATTTTAATTTAATTTAATTTAGTCATAAAAAATAGAGGAAACTATTTCGAGATGAAATAATCGAAGAAGACAAAGGTGATGACCATCAAAGCTGTGTTTCATTTTAGATTATTGCCATTGTAGTATTGAAGAGTTCAAAATAATAACTATTTTGAAAAAAGTACAATAAAATTTAATTTTATATATTTTTATTGTAAATTTTAAAATTTTTAATTCTGTTTAACTATATTTTCAAAAAATTTGATACTATTAACTAGCATTCGTTTTTTCAAAAAATATTATTTGAAATATTTTTTTGATGTAATATTATATCAAATACCAAGTTTTTATTATTTTTATTTTTTAAAAATTTAAAAACTTTTAAAAAATCTATATAAACAAAGCTTTTATTTTTCATGAAATGAAAAAATATATATGTCTACGTATAGATACAACATTTACTCAATCGGATTCAAACTCACTAATTCCTTCCTATGCCGTATTTAACATATTTGGGGGAAAATTTTAAAAAATAAATATTTTATTGAAAAAATAGAAAAAATTAAAACGTAGTTTGAATTTTTTAAAAAAATCTAATTAGTAATTAATAAAAATTAAGAGAAAGTGTTATAAAATTAACGACATTTTTTTAGTTTTCCAAATATAATAATAGAATAAATTCAATTGATCGAATGGAGACAGAAATTGTGAATAAATTTTGTGAATTAAAATGTAGTATTATTTATTTCAAGATGAACTATAGTTACAAGATAAGATTATTTAATCTTCATATACTAATTTAATCTTGGACCACATACACACCATAATCTTTCTATATGTATTCTCAAGAAAGTAACACAACAATCTTATCATTCTTCCAACTCCCCAAAACCCGACAATGAATGATCAAAAACCATCGAAGAAGCCGCAGCAAAAGCCATGGAGGCCCTATACAGCGAAGTGCTGCTCAACCACCGTGCGAAAACTTCCTATTTTAGGAAACCTAAGCCGATGTAAGCTTTCCAAAACAAAGCCAGCTAGGGAAGCAGAAGCTCCGGGGAAGGTGTCAATCTCTGATCTCAGCCGTTCATCTTCCATGAGGATCAACGAGGATCTTGCGCTGTCATTTGGCGCGGAGTTGCATGAGTTCCAGCTTAGTGAATTACGAGGTATCACACAGAATTTCTCGAGCAGTCTCCTTTTAGGAGAGGGTGGATTCGGGAAAGTTTACAAAGGCTACGTAGATGAAAGGTTACGGGAAGGCCTCAAACCGCAGCCGGTAGCCGTCAAGATTCTTGATCTTGAGGGCCTCCAAGGCCACCGGGAATGGCTAGTAAGAATAAAATTATTTACTTTGATATAATTAATAGATGTTGTATTGATATGCTGTTTTAATTTGTATCATATTTGGTTGTATGATTTCATAACATGTAATAACCGTGTATATATATGTTGTGAAGGCAGAGGTAATATTTCTAGGGCAGCTTAGGCACCCAAACCTGGTTAAGCTCATGGGATACTGCTGCGAAGAAGAAGATCGTCTTCTTGTCTACGAGTTCATGCCACGTGGCACCCTGGAAAATCATCTCTTCAGGAGTAATAATAGTATTTATTAATTTACTTATTCAAATTTGGTTTATATATGCAATTTATTAATAATGATATATATATATATATGGGCCAGGATTATCAAATTCATTGTCCTGGAATACCAGACTGAAAATTGCAATAGGTGCAGGCAAGGGCCTTGCATTCCTCCATGGTGCCGAGAAATCCGTCATATATCGTGATTTTAAGACATCAAATATTTTACTGGACTCTGTAAGTATTTTTGCTTAATTTTAATTTATTACATTAGTTGCTAAATAATACTCCATTGATTTATTATCGATTAATTATTCTTGTTAGAATTTCAACCCTAAGTTGTCCGATTTTGGACTCGCCAAATTTGGGCCGGGAGGATCGAACACCCACGTCAGCACTCGGGTAGTCGGCACGTACGGATATGCTGCCCCAGAATACGTAAACACAGGTAACATACGATTCATATACGACAATAAATAACTTGCAATTATTTAAATTATTTTCTTTTGTTAATTAATTTTACTTGTAGGCCACTTGACGACAAAAAGTGATATATATAGTTTCGGGATAGTATTAATAGAGTTGCTAACGGGTCGAAGGGCAGTGGACAAAGGGAGGCCCAAACCCGAGCAATATCTAGTGGATTGGGCCAAGCCTTATTTGACGGGCAATCGGAGCATACAGCACATAATGGATCCAAAGCTAATGGGCCAATATTCCTTGAAGGGAGCTAAAGAAATGGGCCTTTTGGCCCAAAAGTGTGTGAGCTTGAACCCAAAAGATAGGCCCAAAATTTTGACAATTATCAAAACTCTAGAAGGTCTTCGACATTTGAAGGACTTACCTAACAATTCGAGCCACCGGCCCAATTCCGGTAAGTCGGGCCCAAGACGAGGAAAAGAGAAAGGGTTTGGATGTAAAAATATTTCCGTTGAATCGAGTCACAAAAGAAAGTAAATTTGTAAATGATCGAATTTAAAATAACTAAGTGCTTTTTAATATAATGTATATATTCATTTTTCTAATTATTGAGGATCCGATTTTTAATTTGTTTTTAGTACAAGACAACTTATGTTAAAAATATATAGGCCAACATTACGGTGCTGATCGAGATTAATGAAGACCGAATTGATAATATATAAAAATGTATAACTACAACATCTAATATATAAATAAAAAATATATTATTCAGTGCGCATTTTTTTATAGCGACTAGCTTCCTGAATTCCTATGCCATCCAAATATATATATATATATCCTATAAAGATGTGGGGTTGATTTGTGAATATTATGAGTATGAATTGAATCCGTCTGAACCCTGAAGGCGGTGGTACTGAAGGAATTATATTTATCATTATCTTCGTAGTCAGTCAATGCATGTTGGACACGTGGCGGAAGACGTGGCGCTTGCTTCTACCGCCACCGCAAACCCCCCTGACATACAAATACAATACCCATATTATATATTCATCCAATCCAATCTCTATATTACAGCAAATTAAATGATCCAGAAATTGAGAATATTAGTAAAATCGATCAAGAAATTAGATATATAATTAAATAATGTATGCAGCAAAGCAAAAGGCGGCCGACGCCGGCGCCGTCGCCAAGGAGCACGTCGATATCCTCAAGGCCAAAGCCCAAGAAAAGGCATTTATATAATTTGTATAAATTAAATTGATTGATTAATGAATTGGTTGGTTGGTTGGTTGGTGCAGGCAGAGAGAGCTGCGGCGAGGACCAAGGAAGGCAAAGAAATAGCCAAGGAGGTAAGGAAAGCCAAAGAAGCCGAAGCCAAAATGGAGATGCACCAAGCCAAAGCGCAGCACTTGGAGGACAAGCTCCATGGAAAGCACCGCCGCCTCTTCGGCGGCCATCAAGCCGCCGCCGCTGCTCCGCCGACGGGACCGGTGGCTCCTGCCTTTCCTTACGGCGGACAGCCGCCACCACCGCCGATATGATCGCCTAAGTAATTAATTTAGGGTGATCACCAAAGAATTAATGTTATTCGTTAATTGTGCCTTAATTTGTCCGTTTTTGTAACTTGTGGGGTTTAATTATATTCATTGTAATGCATTTCTTTTGTCTGTTTAAAGTTATGTAATTATTATTTTTTTTTTATAATTTATAGAAGCAATTAGTTACAACATATATAAAAGAAATTGATAATTGATGAGTATACGCTGTCCCAAAGTCTTAAGATCTCAATCGTAAGAAAGTACGTTTTTAAATAATAAATAATTTCTACAAGTTTATTGTTTTATGATATTGTCGTCTTTTCCAAAATGAAATAAAACGTAAACAACATATGTATCAATGTTTGTTTACTCTAATTCGAAGGATTCTTCAATTCAAGGCAATTTTATTAAATATATATGTTTTAAGTAACACTACACACACTTTATAAATTATAACTATTGATTTAAATGTGTTAATATTATGGTTACATTAATTTTACTAAGATGAAGTGCAATTTCCTTTTGCAAATCAAATGTAAGCTTCTAAGACATTGATTTTTGTTGGTTTGTAAGACAATTAACTTCTCCTCTCTAGCATTAGTTTAGTCCGGAATACTTCATCATATTGTTAACAAGTATTCATTCCGTCAGTGAATTTAGTAGGTAAAAGAATATAATTACTAATTAATTAAAATTATATCATTCTGTTCTAAAAAATAATAATAGATTAACATTTAAGATAATTAGATAATTTAATTAAAATTTAAAATATAATTATTTTAAAGAAAAATAAATTAGGAGGAATAAACGAAAATTAAAAATAGACATTTTCTCTTCTCATATTAGTCTGGAATACTTCAAATTTTTGTTAACAATTATTTTCTCTTCTAGCATGAGTTTGGAATTTATTTTTGAACACTTACAAATTTACTAGGTGTTGATGTTAGCTAGGTAACAATTCATCACATTTTTCTATTTTGATTGTTCATTTAGTTTATTTCATTATTTTCTATATAGTTTTTTTGCGTTTACTCTCAATGTATTTATTTTAGTAATTTAGTAGGCCATTCTCAACCTATTTGCTTCTTTTATTAATATTTGTATTTCTTGTTGAAATAAAAAATATATGTAAATAAATCGTCTACCATGTTGGATGCAAAACGACCGTTTCACCCAAAAATTCGAATTATTAAAATAGAACATCATTAATATATTTATCCGCAAAACAGGAGTCCTAATAAATTATTAATAATAAAAGAATTATGTGAAAAAATAAGCAGATATATCGGGAGTATAATTTAAATTAACATTTGATTCAACTACGCTTATATATTATATAAATGTTAGAATTAAATTAGGAAAATAGTTATTAATGTTATTGACAAATTTATGCATTTTTTCCCCAATAAAATCATGATTTTATAGCAAGTAGATCTGTAAAATTTTTTACATGTAAATTTATATGAAATAGTATAAATTTAGGCAACGGCATGGATTGGGTGCTGAACCCATGCTGAACCTTATAATATATTATATATAATTACATTATTTAATTATATAAATTAGAGTAATTAAATTTTAAGCAATTCAACACATATGATGAAAATTTCAGCATATGATCCTTCTCCTTTAGGCAATTACTCTCTTGTTATCCAAACTTAATTTCATTTCTTTTTAAGTTATCATTCAAATATATTCTCGTTTCGTTTTTAAGTAAAAAAAAAAATATATATATATTTTTTAACTTTTTTTCTATCATATAAATTTTTTTTCTATTTTTACCGATTCTTTTAAAAACTCAGGCAGGCATAAGTTTACACGAAGGAGGGAGTAGTAATTAAGGCAGAATTAGGTGTTTGGTAATGCTCACTAATACAATAAATTTCTTTAATTTAGTGGATGTATATAAAAAAATCAACGAAATCTATCCAAAAATATTTAATCCAGACATGTTTTTTCAGAAAGGAAATAATAATAACAGCTATAAACATTCGATATCAATTTCTCTCTTTCTTTAAATGTCACTTTCCATTTTTCTGATTTCTGAATTTTGAATTGAGTTGAACAAATCTGTTCAAAAGTTTGATATTTATATGCCAATTTATGAATTAAATAATTATTAGTTAGTGTGGTATCCATATTGAAATCTACTTACTATATATCAATATACATATATATACACACACAGGCTATTGAAAAATAATTTAGTTAGATGTGATATTTAGGTTTTGCGATATTAATATATGTAAGGTTTGAAGATTATTATTTATTTTTTTCCCAATTCTTCGATTGTTTTGTAAATTTTGATTTTAGAAACGTGGGATTTATGCAGAGGAATAATGGATGGGAATTTGGTGCAAATGTTTGTGGTTTTTATTATAATGATTTTGGTGCGATCAGCTGAAAGCTTATTTGTTGAAATTACTATTCTACCAAGTGCTGTGGCCAAAGGAGCAGGTAAAATAGACAATTGTTTGATTGACAATTTAATTGAAAATATATTTTATGTTATGTGATGTGATAAAAAAGATATTCAAAATATTATATCAAATATTTATTAATATTATATAAAAAAAATTACTCACAAAATGCATCCAAAACATATTCTTGATTTATGCGTTTGATTGTTGAATTTTTTTTTTCTCTTTCTTTTGGGATTTCATATAAATTATATTTATTTTTGTACATGCACAGTTTGTTTGGATGGAAGCCCGCCGGCATATAATTTCGACAAGGGATTTGGATCTGGAATCAATAATTGGCTTGTTGATATTGAGGTTATTTTCATATTTTCTCTTTTGATCCCATTTATTAATTACTTGATTCGGTACGAATCTTAAGAAAAATTATACTTTCGGTCCAAACGGGCCTTTGGGGTTTTGTAATATTTCAAAAAAAAAATATTTTATAAGGTATACATACGATTACTTTTATTAAAATAGAAAATTAGAGTAAGACGGACAAAAATGGTAAAATGAATACTTGACAAAGAAAGTATAAACAAAAAAAATAATATTTTTTTACTAAAAAAGAAAAAAAAATTTGAATGACAATAAAAAGAAATGGACATAAATTTGGATGATATAAAGCTAATATTGAAGATCATATTCCCATTGTAGTTTTTATAAGATTAGTAGAGCCGTCAAAATGGGTTGTCGATATTTCCGATTTAATCTTCTTGTTCATAAACAAAATCATAAATCAAATAGATTCAGAGGTGGGAGTTTAACTCCGAAAGAAGCACTTCATGAAGCCTCACCTGAATCGCCCCATGTATCCTCCTGAGGAGAGGTTTGAGCCCGTCAGATTGGCTCGCTCTGCCTTACTTTTAAGGAGAGTTGAGTTGTGATTTTTTAAGCCCGTTAAAATGCGGGCCTAAATGGGCTAACCCGCATGGGCCGTGAGTTGAGGGTGGGTTAGCCCGCAGTGGGACGGGTTAGGCCGGGTCAAGTAAATATAATAATTAGTACTCACTCCTCTAACTAAATGTATTTTTTTACTATTTTTTTACTGTCTTATTAAAAAATTATAATAAAACTAATCAAATATTAATATAATAATATTTTTAATTTTTTTATAAATTACAAACATACCATTATAAATAAGTTAAGACGAATAAAATAAAATTTATATTGTCGTTAGCTTAAATAAATTATCAATATTGTCTACACGTTGTTTTTCTTCTCTAACTATGTTATTCATAATATTGTTATTTGTTTTGATTTTTCGTCATTTTTTTGTTCGTTTTTTATTTTATTATTTTATAATTTTACAAATTTATAAAATTAATTATGATTTATTTTTAAAATGAAGTATTTCTTATTATTAATTTTTTTAAATACACCAATTAATAATATTTAGAATTGAGAATTTTTATATTTTTTATTTATTTTAAAATATTTATTATTTAAATTCTACGATAAAACTATTTTTAGCTATTTTTAAATATTAATTCCGAAACTATTATAAAATTAATATTCTTTTAATATTTTTAAAAAGCCTGTGGGCTAGCCCGCTTAGCTCGCCACCTGCCGGTGGGTTGGGTTGGACTGATAAAATTTTGATTCGCCCTGCCGCCACAGGTTAGCCCGCAAACAACCCGCTTATTTGCAGGTTAGAGTGGATTGTGGGCCAATCCGCCCCACTAACCCATTTTAACATGTCTAAAGATTAGTAACACATTAATTAAATTTTGTAGGGAGGAGGGTGGTGCCATAATCTCACGAGTTGCTTGCAACGAAAGAACACTCGATTGGGTTCATCGAATCTAATGGATAAACAACGTGCATTTTCTGCGATTCTTAGCAATGAACAACAATTTAATCCTGGTACTATTACAATATATAACCTTAAAGATCACTACTTATGTATGTGTGTACTAATCATTTCAATGTTCTCTATAAACTAGCTAGCTAATGACATTGTCTTGATGTTAATTAAAATCAAGACTTCTACAATTGGAATAGAGTAAGTGTTCGATATTGTGATGGATCATCGTTCACCGGTGACATAGAAGCCGTCGATCCTGTAAGACATTTAATTTTACATTTCATCCTAAGATCGTCTATTAACTTTTATAACAACTTTCATGGTAATTTTTAATTCATTTTAAATTGAATGGTACCAGAAAACTAATCTTCATTACAGAGGGGCGAGAGTTTTTGTTGCTATCGTGGAAGATTTAATGGCAAAGGGAATGAAAAATGCCCAAAATGTGTGAACATCTTTTTCAGTGATTTTTCATATAATATTATAATATTTTTTTGTTACTAAACATTTTTGCTACTTAATATGCATGCTCGAATTTTTTCCTAGGTGATTCTATCGGGATGTTCAGCTGGGGGATTGACATCGATGCTTCATTGTGATTATTTCAAATCTCTTTTTCCTGCAAGGACTAAAGTAAAGTGTTTTTCCGATGCTGGTTTTTTCATTAATGCGTAAGAACTTTATCCTCTACTTAATTTATATATTTCGTTCAATTTTACTGATGAATTATATAAGTATAAGAATAATTATTACATCATTATATATTTTTATGTCACTTTGTATAAGTCACCTATTACTTGTCAATGTTGTAATTTAATTTGCTTAAGTTTGTTTTGTCCTAGAATGATTATTATGGGTTATCAAAGTAACAAGTGAACATACGAATGAAATAAAAACTATATCTACACATGACATAGCTTGTCTTATTTGTAAATTTATAGGAAAGACATCTCCGGAGGTCCCCATATCGAAAGATACTTCAATGATGTCGTTACGACTCATGTAAGAAAGCTTTTTTCATTTTTATTTGCAGAATATATATAGTCATTTCTCGACACCTGATGGTTTTGCTTGTTCTATATGATGGTTATAATAAATTCAGGGATCGGCCAAAAATTTGCCTAAGTCATGCACCTCAAAATTGAACCCAAGTCTGGTATAAATACATATCATTCAGTAATCTTGGTGATCGATTAATTATTATGTGTACTTATTTGTTGTGCTGATCGATAGCTTATGCGAAAATGCAGTGCTTCTTCCCACAAAACTTCGCCGGAGGAATTCAGACGCCTCTTTTCATTATAAATGCCGCGTACGATTCATGGCAGGTTTGTAAGTTTTGCGTATTAATTAAGGCATGCTTATTGAATTTACGACCAGAAAATATTGTACCATATAACATCATAGGAGATAAATATTTCTATGTAAGTCTAATAATATAACAAAATTTAATGGCAAGATTTTGTTGATTAAAATCCCTACTATATGTTTATTACACAATTTAATAAGTAATTTATAATATAAAGATAGATTAAACAAGCATAGTAAAAATATTGAATAATCTTTGTGTGTTCAGCGATATGTGTATTTTTCATAAAACCATGAATATTAAGCTTTAATTTGTTATCTATATGAAAACTTTTTAACATTTGCATTATTCATTAACAATATTTTTTTCAAAAAAGATAATAAATGTATTTTTTAAAATAAAATATCATATCAAATACTTAATCTTTTTATTATTTTAAAAGTTCTTCAACACTTTTATGTAAAGGGAGCCTTAGATTCTCTATTACAACGTTACCAACAGGTGAGGAATATCTTGGCACCCGGTGATGTAGATCCACGGGGTACTTGGCAAGCTTGTAGGGATGATATTACCAAATGTTCGCCGGCTCAGCTACAGACATTGCAAGGTTAGTCATAGACACAATTTCTTGGACACTTTTTTAGCAACACTCCTATGATATGCTTAATTATTACATGAACGGAGTTTATGGGATTATTTTTTTAGCTTGGAGATTTATGGGATGATTTTATTTTTTTACTTTTTTGCATTCTTTTTAGGATATAGAAGGGAGTTTATAAATGCATTGAATGGATTAGGGCGATCTATGTCGCGAGGTTACTTCATCAATTCTTGTTATACCCATTGTCAATCTGTCTTTCAAGATACTTGGTTTTCCGGCAATTCTTCCTCTTTAGATGGCAAGGTAATTATGCAAAATATTATTTATATATATATATATATATATATAACATGTAAAATTTTGTATGCAGACAATTGCCAAAGCGGCCGCGGACTGGTTCTATGATACAAGTCCATTTCAAAAAATTGATTGTCCTTATCCTTGTGATAAAACCTGTCACAATCGTATTTAGTGAGGCCAAGTGTAATCGACACATATGCATGCCGAGAAAATAAATTGATATCATTTCGATCAATTTGAAAGAAAGGGTTGAGATGTGTTTTTGTTGAAATATTGTCAAAAGTGTTGATGTTCTATAATTTACTAGATTATCAATTCAAATGGCTTCATTGATGGTGTTCATATTCAACATAGGTGAATTTTTTTTTTCAAAATTCTCCTCAATAAATATTCATGTTAATAGTCTAACTTACAAGTAAAATACTAAATATATAAATTTTTGAAAATAATTTTTTGTGCACATTATTAGAAAATTTCTAAAATTTTTAATCGGCAATCTTATTTAATTAATTGTAATGAAATTACTCTTATAATATCCACGCAGTGTTTACATAATAAAATTATGGATTTCTAATGCCCATTGACACACAATGTGGGTTCATTCAATAAGTTTTTTAATATTTTTTATAATATTATAATATACTATATATAAAAGATGTACTTGTAAAAAGAAAAATCAACAGTTACTTTTTATATTATGGACATATTTTTTGTACTTTAATTTAAACCATGAAATATCATCATGTATATAATTATATACATATAATCTAAACATACTTCGTGATAGCTAATTACTCTTTCTCTCTCTCTCTCTCTCTCTCTCTCTCTCTCTATATATATATATATATCTATATAGACACAGATTTACAGTCACTTGCAAGGTAGGTTAACTGTCTTGGGATTGCTTTTGTTACATGTGTAAGGATTGTTTGTTTTGTGCACTAATGTCGTATATATGTTGTGCAGAATAATGAAAATGCAATGGTTGCAAATGACTCTGGTTTACATGGTGATTCTGGTCAGGCCATCTCAAAGTTTATTTGTTGAAACTACCATTCTACATTCTGCTGTGGCCAAAGGAGCAGGCAAATAATCATTTTTATTTCTTATTTTTATCCCCAAAATTTGTGTTCATTTATATATGTAAATTCTACTACTTAAAACTATTTTATATCTTTGATGCAAATTCTAGATAAGGGAGGGACTAAATATATATTCATTAACAATAATTTTTTAAAAAATTGCAAAATATTTAAATTAAAATCGTTGTCTAAACGGAGGCTTAATTTGTACAGTTTGTTTGGATGGAAGTCCGCCGGCATATAATTTGGATAAAGGATCAGGCACAGGAGCCAGCAATTGGCTAATCGATATTGAGGTGTATTTAATTATTTTGGAACTTTTGCCAAACTAAATAAACATTATCATATGAGCTTAATTAAATTAGTTAGCTATGTGTTTTGTGGATTAAATCAATTAGTTGAATGTCATTTTCATATATATAGGGAGGAGGATGGTGTAATAATGTGACAAGTTGCCTTGCTCGAAAGGGGACCCGATTGGGTTCCTCGAACCAAATGGTTAAGCAGCTTGCTTTTTCTGCAATTCTTGGCAATGAACAACGATTTAATCCCGGTATATATATATATATATGTGGTTTATATCGATCGATGTTTCTTTCAACTAATGACACTGTCTTGATTTTATAAAAATCTAGACTTCTACAATTGGAATAGAGTCCGTGTTCGATATTGTGATGGATCATCGTTCACCGGCGACATAGAAGCCGTCAATCCTGTAAGACCTCTTAGTACGTTAATTTCAAACATACGGAGATCTACATAAATTAAACAATACAATTTATTTAATATGTGGGTTTTATTTATTTATTTTGTTGTCTTAATTAATTCATGTGTCTAAATCTCGCAGAAAACTAAACTTTACCACAGAGGGGCGAGGATCTTTGTTGCCATCATGGAAGACTTATTGGCCAAAGGAATGAAAAGTGCTAAAAATGTAAAAACTAGATTATCATAACCTTATATATATATATATATATGTATGTATATAGTAATTTTCTTGCAATAATTTTAGATTTATTTATTTTTATTGTACATAGTTGCTAGTCGACATTACTCGAAATTTGTCTGTAGGCAATTCTAACCGGATGCTCTGCCGGTGGATTAGCATCGATGCTTCATTGCGATAACTTCAAGTCTCTTTTCACCACACACACCAAAGTGAAGTGCCTTTCCGATGCTGGTTTTTTTATTAATGCGTAAGTTTTTCATCCTTGATCGATGATATCAAGTTCGATAAATTATGTTGTATAATGTTAGAAAATATTCTTAAAAGTGAGAAAAGAAAATGTATATGTTACGCTAAGATGTCCATAAGTACTATTAGCCTTATTAATACAATATATAATCTTAAGAATGTAATAGCTTCATGGAAGCTACATTCACTTGGCATAAATTAAGACTTGTGTTCTTTATAATTTGTCTAGGAAAGATATTTCAGGGGCACCTCACATTGAAAGATACTTCCAAGATATTGTTACTACACATGTAAGATATTACTATATTTTTTTTCGAATAAAATATATAAATTTGATTATAAATACATGTTCGTCATATAATTTTGAATCATTTTAAAATATAAATAAACGAGTATAATAATTTACAATTTTTTCTTGTACAAAAAATATTATAGTAGTATTAAGTATTTAAATTTTTGTACTGTTTTTTTTTCTTTTCAAAACTTTTTCCATATTTATTTTGAAGACATTGATGATAGTTTGTGTGGTTCTAATGTAATAATTTCAGGGCTCATGGAAGAATTTGCCCAAATTATGTACCTCAAGATTGAAGCCGAATTTGGTAATAAATTCGGAGCATTTTCTTTTGTAGTATTTCTTCCCTATATATAACTGATAGATTTAAAACATTATATGTTTTTGCCGATCATTCAGTGCTTTTTTCCACAAAACTTCGCCGGAGGAATACGCACTCCACTTTTCATTATAAATGCTGCCTACGATTCATGGCAGGTTAGTACAAAAATTAGTCCGAATTGGCTTTCTCATTGCACAAAAAACAATTGCATCCGCTTACATCTAACATTTTTTGATGTTATAATGTGGTAGGTGAGGAATACTTTGGTGCCCGTCGATGCAGATTTGCATGGTGCTTGGCGCATTTGCCGGGGAGACATTACCAAATGCTCGCCGGCTCAGCTTCGGACATTACAAGGTGAGGTGGGGTTAGTCGTGGAAAAATATGTCGAGCTTATATCTTGGGGCGGGGCATAATTTATCGGAGCCACTTTTGGGGGCTACACTTAGTTCTAACATGATCCCAAGATTCATGGGATGATGATTTGGTCGAATGAATGTTTCAGGGTTCAGGTCGGAGTTTATAAATGCAGTGAATGGATTAGGGCATTCTACTTCGAGAGGCTACTTCATCAATTCTTGTTTTACTCATTGTCAATCCGTCTTCCAAGATTCTTGGTTTACCAACAATTCCCCGTCTTTAGATGGCAAGGTACTTACGCAAATATCTTATCTTTCGGGTGCGGGTGGGCACACATATATTTTTATATATTTTGGATGGGATGCAGACAATTGCCAAAGCAGCTGGGGATTGGTTTTACGACACAAGTTCATTTCAGAAGATTGACTGTCCCTATCCTTGTGATAAAAACTGCCACAACCGGATTTGAAATTGATCCTTGCAAAACAGAATGATGAAACAATAAATATAACGTATGTATGAAGGGTTGTTTGCTTTTTCAAGGGGTTTATTTCAATAAAACAGCATGGGAAAGAGAATCTTGAACAGATAGATATCAGAAGGTTACCATAGGAGCTAAGGTAAAATGTAATTCTAGCCTGAAATTTGCCATAAATAAAGCTATGATCATTTCAATGTATCTGTATAATCAAACAAAGCAACCACAATGATGAATGAAAGACAACAGATAATTAGCCCGGGCCATATATTTTCATGGAAGAAGAGACGATGAGAGCAAACAGCCTCTCATCTAAAGTAGCCAATTCCCCAGAAGCAGAGCCATCCATATTCGTCTCTAGTAGTTAATATCTTAAGGCTGGTCGAGAGTTTTTGCCATGTAGTTGAGTTTGAGCCAAAGCCTTGATTGCAAAATTTAATCAATTAGGATGAAGAAATCCATATAAAAAGTAAAGAATGATGCCAAAAGCTCAGGAACATAAGCCATAGAGAAATAATCAAATTCAAAGTGTATAACATATCTTAGCTTTGATATTCAGTTGCTACCCCCAGTTCAATTTCCAATTCTAATTTTGGATAAGATGTATGTATTATGCATTATCACACCCAACAAATTAGATCAGGAAGCATATGCCCCAAATTAGTTTATCTTATGTGAATATTAACAAAATGGGATACTATGTTGTCTACCTTTTTTGTTCCAGTTTCGTGGAATTGGTTCACGTATGCATTCATCGCAGCTTCCCCGACATAAAAAGCATGTTTTCCATACTTTTCACCAGTAATTCAGTGCCTGGAGAGCACAACCAAATTTAGGGAGCATGCAAGTTTAAGAAGCGCAGATATCGAGAAAAAAGATATTTCTTAAACGAGATGAGAGCACACGTGTTCCGTAAGGGAGTAAGATCCAAATACGAACAAGGCCATAAATGCATCAAACAGCAGCAGCAAGTCAATCAGGATATTACGAATCAAATTTCATAGACATAACAAATCCTTATAACTCATTACAACTACAACTGTTCTGACTTTAAGCAAAAAACTTCACCCTCACATTTATGGCAATGCAACGAAATAACATCCAACAAATCCACTTTTCAGAAGGCAGTTTCCATTACATGACACAAGAAGTAAAGTAGGAAACAGGATCCCGTAAAGGGATTCCGACAAGAAGAAGACAGTTTGATTCAGTTAACATTTGAATTTTCCAGTAGACTAGGAGATGAGACACAGACAAGATAAAGCCACGAAAGACATCAACAAGATCTTAAATTCATATATACCTTATAACTTAAATTAGTTTTATTTCTCAATCGAATAAAACAAAAATAATACCAACTGAGATCAGCAGAAAGACATCATTAATGCATTAAAGCACACTTATTTTCTTCTTACTAAGCTGATCAAGACATGCATATAAAAATTGCTGCAATTATCTGTTATGTTGTGAAGCCAAGTGAAGCCTAGAGGAGTATTGTACATCCAAAATCTATACCGCTGTTCGACCGGTCTGTACAGTTTTCATAGCCACAAACTTCCTATGGTTTTACTTTAACATACTTGTGACAATAAGTGGTTTGGCCACCTTAGACGTAGATTCACCAATGTGACCAGAAAATTCTTTCATGTGTCTGTGTTCATTTTAATTTTACTTAATTTCGTTAGATTCTCTACCTAGAAGTATAAAAATCTGAACATGAATATTTCATGCAACAAATTTGAGCTAGAAAGCAATTTTGCTGATTCCCATAACAAGTTAACATAATTATAAGAAAGCCAAATTATCTCCTATAGAGCAAGCTGACTCAACCTCTTAAACTAGATAGACAAACACAAAGAACTCATCATTTCACATGTGTCACAACCAAGATTCTTTTCTAATAATCGTCCAAAGACATATAGCCATAAAACAAATTATTGAGAAACAAATGACGACATAATCACTAAAATAAACAGGCCAGTAGTGTTAAGAAGAAAAGAAATTGACATCACTGGCACTTTCAACAGCAGTCAACATCGATAAACTTTAACAAAGTGACAAATAGAAAAACGCACTAAAACAGAAAATTTGAGAAATCTTTATCGGTTCAAAAAAATCTCTTGAGATCCAGAAACAACAGGGTGCCACTAAACAAGGTAACTATCATAAATCATTCAATTTTATCTATTAAATCATGCTTGTACTTTCATAACCACAAATTTGGCCTATCTATCCGGACACACCTCCCTACTCTTCACAGGGCATAAGCAATAATCTGTGCCTGTTTTGGAAAAAACCAATATAACCGTATCTGCTAGAAAACTATAAATCGGATGTCTCATGGTGTGATTTTGAAGGCGGGGAGAAAGGGTGAAGATAATTCAATCATTCCTGAGCTCAAAGATGTCAGATCCATGAATATTACAACAGATATAACAAATCGAATGCACAATTACGCATCGAAATCAATAAATCACCATCGGAATCTCGCATAACACTGCATCTTATACCATCACCATCGCCGCGGTCTCCAATTCAGTTGATGCAAGGCGGGAACCTTATTTTCGACACAAGGCCATCAACAAACAGCCCAACGCATACACGTACGCATCGGGGCTGCGTTCCTTGACAGCATGCTTGGAATTTTCATTGCTCAAAATCAGCGATGGCGAAAAATGTTCCCGACCTGCACCAAGCGAATCAGAAACCGCCGCAACATAAACAAAAAGCAGCACCGATCGAAGAGCAGCTCTGGCGAATATGTGGAAAGAATTCACAGCGACAGATAGATCTAGAGACAACAAGAGACCCAGAAATCTGACTGAGAATCCAAAGAGGGTTTGCAGCGAGGAGATAATAGCCCACAGAGGAGTAGGGCTTTTATAGCGAAAATGGACGCTGAAGATTTTGACACGTGTCATGACCTAACCGCCTTGATGATCGAAAGTGCGATACATGCGCCGTGACCAAAAAGTGATATATTCGTCCCCGGATTTGGAGCAAATTACGGGAGGCGTCCCTGACTTAATCACACACAACTTGTCGGCGTCTTGCGTAAACTTCACGCGCCACTGTTTAATTTCTTTCTGGAAAGTTTTATATAATTTTTTATTATTAAATAATAATTAAAAAAAATATATTTCGTTATGATTTAAAATTAACTAAATTAATGAAGTTATTATTATTGTTGTTTAGGTAAATTTTTTAATATAATAAAATATACTTATGTGTATAAAAAATCATTTTAAATATTACTCAATGATGAATTTCTTTAATATAAATATCTAAGATATTTATTTTGACGGAACTTTTTTTTTTTTAATTTTTTTGGTGGGCATGAAAGTGTAAGTAGGTAGAGATTAACATCTCCAAAGTCCAAAAGATTGATTTCTAAATCAAAGAATCAAATCCCATTGCATCACAAAGCAATCATATTGTAAAGCAAATAAAGTAAATATTGAAATATATATATATATATTATAAAAGTTGTCAACTTTTTTATGATAAGAAGAAGACAAGTTATATGAGTTGGATTAGGTGATCCATATTTAATTATCTCACTAAATATAATTTGTCAATATATATATATATATTATTGTTCATTTTTGGATTTGTTTGGTTAAAAGGTTTTGCCTAATTATCAAATACTAAATCAATGGTGACATAAGTATTATTAAATCGTCTTGTAATTTATTTTGATTTTGTTATTGTTTGTAAATTGATGCAAAGATTCTTATGAATATTGATTAAAATTTTGCAGGCGTTCAATGGTGTCAATTTTCTAACTAAACATTGTTGTTTTACTTATAAGATAATAAAAATTTAAATACCATGAGAGAACAAATTAAGAAACCCCCTAGTAAAAATCATAATTAGAAAACAAATGAATTTGACAATTCAATAAGCAAAATACTAAAATTTCGACTAGGTATGCCTATATTGTTTTAAAACTACATATATAATTAAATATAAAGAAATAAATAAATCAATCAAATAATTAATTTATATCTCTATATGTTAAAGAAGAGGCTTATTAATTGTTGGTAGAAGGGCAATGTGGATATACCCTTGTTCCATTGACGGGCAGCTCTAGCCGACAATCCAAGTGCAGCCAGAAGCTAGCCGAGCCGACAACCCACACTCTCCAGCGCGCCTTTGTCTTCCCTTTCAGCTCGAACGCCATGGCTCCGCCCCTGGCTCCCAGCGATCGGCTCACTTCTTCGGCTTCGTCGGGGCTCAGCGGGATGGGGCTCGACTCCGCCACGTAGTTGAATTCCACCAAGCTGTTCGGCTCCACGGCGAACGGCGCCGCCAGCAGAGTCGCGATCCTCCGGCCGCCGAAGCTTAGCCCGAAGTTGGTTTCGGAGAAGCCGGCGCGGGTCTTGGCGTTGCGGTTCTCGGCTCGGACGGCGGCGGCGACCTGCACCGTCAGGAGGTTGCTCTGGTCGAAGTAGACGGCGTGGAGCTGGGCGGCGGCGACGCCAATTCTGGGGACTTTGGGCTTTGTGACGAGGTAGGAGATGAAGACGATCACGGCGGCGATGATGGTGGCGACGGCGGCGATGGAGCAGAAGATGGCGGCGCACCAGATCAAAGGGTGCGTCCGGCGGTGGCGGGGGCTGAAGATCGGGCGTTGCATTGGCGGTTGGAGGAAGTTGGGTTCTTGAATGGCCAGGATTGAATTGGGAGAGAAGGACGGTGGAGATTGATTCTTGGATGTAGTAGAGAGCCAAGGGTTTCGTATCTTCTTTCCCTGGAGCTAATCTATGAAGAAGCCATTCCATTTCCATGTTAAGGAATCTCTTATTCCTAGGGTTACTTGCCCCCAAACTATATACGATATGTGTTTCCAATGTTTGGAATTTTAATATGATAAGAAAATAATATTGGATATATATATATATGATTTTTGTGAGACCAAAATATATGTATATTTTTAATTTGATATTTTTTAAAAATTAATACTACATTTATGTTTTATAATATATTTTTCAAAAGTGAATAATATCAAATTTTCAAAACTTTTCGTATAAACATAGCCTAAGGGTCTGTTTAATATATAAGGTTTTTGGGATTTAAAATTTTTTGAGAAATGTAAAAAATTGAGTATCGAATATAGTGTTTTTTTCTTTTTGTTTAAGAAGAAAAAAGGTACTGTACTTAATAGTATAAAAATTCAAAAGATTATATATATATATATATACACGTAAAGCCTAATATATTTCAAAATGTAACGGCCCGTTGCAAAGATTCAAATGTAAGCATGCCCGGTTCCTTAAGTGGCAGGCCCATCCATTTGTAAAAGTCTGGCCCAACCCATAATTATCGAATTTTAAAATATTATATATTATTGAATGGAAAAAAATACAAATCCTTAAAAATGTCTTAGTTGTTGATGTGATCGATCGTTAAGCGATTTACACGTGACTGATAATTACATGTACAATTAGGATTACTTATAGATAATTTAAATTTATAAAATCAAATTCCTATGGTATATATAATGAAATCTGGAAGATGATTACAGGGTAAACGTGATTTGAAGCACGTAAACATTTCAAATGAAAAATTAAATTTATATATGTCAAATAGAAGTAAAGTAAAATTAAATTAAATAATATAATATAATAGGAGAATAGATATTATTACCGCACATTATATATAATGAATTGATGATCTATAAAATAAACAGCAAGATTAAGATGTAGTTGACTTTAATAAAATAATATATACTCATCTTCGTTAGCAATCAACTCTCACAAGTCACAACTAAATAATGATGTGTAACAATTATTTGAATATTCCAAATAGCCCCAAATGACATATTTAAGCAATAATAACAACACCAATTTAAAACATATAATAAAATAAAAATTCCCTAAATTTAAAGATAATTTAGTAAACAAATTACTATACATGATGAAATATTTACAAAATTTAGCGTCAACATTGATTTAAAAGTGTATTTAATAAGATGTAAAATTCATATATATTAATATATTTAGATAACATACACACGCATATATATATTATTTAGTTAAATAATATTTACCACATGCATGAAGTATGCAAGATATCACAATAAATCAAGATCCTTTATTATTATAATAATAATAATAATAATTAGTTAAGCTACTATATGTTTAAATTATGTATATATTGGTTTTCATTATGACATAATTGCAGATGCAATTCAGTTACACATTCAATCAAAAAATTAATAAATTGACCCGCTTCGAATTCGAATTAAATAATGGGACCAAATTATGCAATTTTCAAAATATATTTCCAATGTTCAAATTAATTTAATGAAAGGTATGCATTGTAACGCACCTGCATGACATTAATTTAATTACTTAGCTGTTAGTTGTTTTGTTTATATTGGTGACCATAATATCTTGTGATACGTGTCACTTTTCATTGAAAAATATAAAAATTATTTCTTTAAGGATTTGACTTTAATTATGTAAACAAGATGATTATGACTTGTTTGGGACACCTACAATTTCATTACCAACACGTGGCAGATAATATTCTTGTTACCGAGAGGGATACTTGTCATAATTTTTTGTAATTTTTTCTTTAAACTAATATTTTTATAATAAGAACTTTTTTTTAAAAATAAAAAATAAAAAAAAATGATACAACCAAAATGTCAAATCAAATAAATAAAATTGATAAATGGGGATTCAAAGGCTGAATGAGCACTTCACCATAAATGTAAACCACCCACTTTGGTCATAATCTGTTTATTATTGCTTTTGAAAAGTCAATTTTGACTAAAATAAATAAATAATAATAATTTTGCATAACCCCATTATTTGATTGTGAATGTATGAACATGTGAAAATTATTATATATTTCTTCCTGTGTCAATAATTATTATGTTATTTTTTTTTGTTTTGTTTTGTTTTTATTTTTTATTTTTATAGTTTATTTATAATATTTCATTTTAAATTTATTTATTTTATCATTTTAATTTCCATATTTTCAATGTATTTGTTTACTTCTTATTAGTAATTGTATACTATTAAACAATAAATAAATTATTACCTTTTTTCGGTAATAGAAGAGTTAATTATATCTATATATGAAATGTTATGGTAATATATTAGCCAAAATTATAGAATACAGATATATTTTCATATACGCGGGTGGCAATTATTCGTTTGTGAGTCATAAAAGTTTAATAATTGACTAGAAAATCAAATTGAATTTGGACTTTGAACGATCAATTCGTAACGAGTCAATTGATTGACCTAAATCCAAACGTTTTAGATATGCGGATTCATTCGTATTCGTATTCATAATCAAAATCAAAATCAAAATCAAAATCAAAATTATTGATGTTACGATCAGAAGAAACTAATACACGAAGAAAAATGAAAAAATTGCAACACATCATGTGGGCAACGTTGCAACGAAAATTGTATTTATCCTCCACCCTATTTTTTAAAATATGTATATATATATTCTAATATTCCCAACATGAAAATTAAGTATATAAATTAATTATTATTATTATTATTGTTGATGTTGTTGTTATTACTTCTTCCTCAGCTGATGAGCGAACTCCTGTACAACTTTCCTGTAACACTGTTGCATTGCAGTTGTCTCTTTCATAGTTTCTACGCTTTTAAAGAGACGCCAGGACTGGAGCTCCAGAGCGACGACTGAACCGCACCTCGATCGTTTCCGGAGTCGGAATCCCGGGAGCATGTAGTACTATTCCCTGAGGTAGAGTTTGATGGGCAGACCGTTCTGGGGAAGAGCAAAGGGACCATACTGTATACCATTTTGTGTGCTCTCCATAGACCACCTGCAAAATATAATTATTTCAAAATTGAAAAGAACATTTCCATAAGAGATTGGAATTGAATGTGCTGAATCACACAAGTTGTTGTTTTTATCCAAATGGAAAAACTATTTTATTGTTATCAAGTAAGTGGCAAAACCAAAAGTGAAGTAAATTGAGAGAGAGAGACCTGTACTTGGTGGTGAGATGGTGCAGGAGGACCAGGATCTCCAATTTGGCGAGCTCATTCCCCGGACACGAGTGGATCCCGCTGCCGAATGGCAGGAAACTATTGGGTTTTGGAGCCACCTGTCAGATCAACTCAATTCATTATTAATAATTTCATCATGTTCATATAAGAGCAGTTAATTTAAATTTGATGAATACATATATACCTGGAATCTTGAAGGGTCGAATTTTTGGGGGTCGGGGAAATGCTCGGGATTGTGGTGAATGTTTCTGAAGAGGGGCAGCACTTTCCAGCCTTTGGGAATCAAATATCCTGCGCATCATATATATATATATATAATAATTAAATTGGAATTAATGGATGATGTCTAAAAATAAAAGAGGCAGATGAATGAATGAAAGTAAGGTTATCCACCATTGAATTGGACGTCCTGCACAGCCTCCCTGAAGGTGAAGGACAGAATAGAGGCGGCCCTGAGCGTCTCCTGGATCACCCGTTGGCTCACGCTCATCTTCTTCATGTCGTCCCATTCCAGTTCCTGCTTTGATTTCATGATCGCCTCTTGCTCTTCCTGGTAGTATTTAGTAGTAGTATATATGTATGTATATCAATGTCATAATGTAACAATTAATTAATTAAGACTGGCCTGTGTCTGTGTCTGTGTCTGTGTGGCTGGCTGTCAGTCTGTATGCCTGTCGTCAGGCTTTGCTATTTGTGTTTTGACTTGCCTTACTTAATGGATCGACTGATTTGTAAAATATACTAGCCATGAATGAATGAATGGGTAGTATTAGTATTAGTATTAGTATACGTACGGTGACAGAGCGCAGGACGGCGGGGTTCTCGGCGAGGTATTTGAGGAGCCAGGTGAGGACGCTGGCCGTCGTGTCACGTGCCGCGAACATCACCCCGATTATGTTGTCCACGATTTGCTCCTCGCTCAGCCTCAGCTTCTCCCACGCCGACTCTGACTCTGGCTCCAATTCCAATTCCATGAACGACCCCAGCAGGTCCGTGTACTTGCGCTTCTGCTGCCGGCGGGAGGAGAGTATTCCGGCGACGATTTCCGAGAGCCGGCGGCGGGCGGCCATGGCCTGGCGGAAGAGGGTGCCGGGGAGGTTGAGGGGCATGGAGTTGTAGCCCTTCTCCATCATGTAATAACACCGCTTCAGGTCTTCCTTGTACAGGCTCATCTCCTCCCTCCCGAATATCGACACCAGCGCCACGTTGAACGCGTACTAGGAATTCAATTCAATTACAGTAATTCAAATCAGGAATTCAATTCATGGACTATATTAATTCTTACAGTTTTCATCTCATGGAAGGCGGTGATGGTGGCTTTGCGGTGGCAGGACTGGAGGGTTTGGAGGGCTATGGAGTGGAGGTCCGGGACGAAGTGGCGGATGGCGTCCGGGAGGAAGGCCCGGAGCAGGATCTTCCGGAGCTTGGCGTGGTAGGGGCCCTGGTGGAAGAAGACGGCCTGCTTGCCGAGAATGCGTTCCTTGGTGGCCGGGAATGTGGGCTTGAAGAGGTGGGCCTTCGACACCAGGACCAGCTTCGCCGCTTCGGGGCTCGCCACCATCACGCACGGACATCCCAGGATGTGGCTCTTGAACACCCCCCCGTACCTACACATATATTCAGATTCTGATTCCGATTCTGACAGCAAATTAGCAAAAGATTCAGATATATATGGTTGATTAAAATTACTTTTTGATTTTGGAAGCGAAGAAAGTGTTGGGGTTCTGGGAGTAGAGTTGGAAGGTTTCCCCGATGTACGGCCACCCCATGGACCCCGGCGGGAGGGGCAGCCTCCGGCTACCCAATTGCCGCCGGCGCCGGAATATTTTTATTACATTAAAGATAAAGAAGATTGACGACGCTGCTGCTGCAGCTATTAGAGCCGCCAAACATACAGACATAAATTCCATCTCTTCCTCTGTTGGATTGATAGATTGTTGGGGAAGACAATTGGGAATGAACTGAACTACATATCAACTAGTAGAGATGACACGCATGTATGTATATATCCATATCTATATATAGAGGGAGATGTACGTACGTCGTATGTATGTATGTAGGAGACGGGACACCAGGTGGGAAGAAGGTCCCGTGCCGGTTGGGAGAGCGGTCAGAAGGGCACGTGTCGGTTGCTGGCAGGGTGAGGGTGATATCCGAAATGGTTGACCTGATTAAGAAATATTTAGACAAAAAGGGAAAAATCTCATTATACTTACCTTAATTATTATAATATTACCCGTAAAGTTAAACTCTTTGGAAGAATTCTAAAAAATTGAGTACACTTACCACAATTAATATAATTTTATACGTACAATTATACTTATTCAGATAAGTCTAACAAAATATATTGTAGTTATCATAACTATGATAATAGTAATACATAAATCTAAACTTAATCGGATAAGTCTAACAAAATATATTATAGTTATCATAATTATGACAATATTATACATAAAACTAAACATAATCAGATAAGTCTAGCAAAATGTATTATAGTTATCATAATTATTATAATACTAATTTGAAATAAGTCTACAAAAAGAAAATGTATTAATATACTTGCCATAAATTTTGAAATATTATTGGTAGAATTAAAACTTTTTTGAAGACCCACAAAGGGCTAATTAATTTAAAATATAATAATAAAGAAAATCTACGCATATTTATATATATATAAAAGATATTAAATGAATTTTCATTTAAACCATTATAATTCACTCTAAAAAATATTTCAAAACTATTCATTCTGTCAGAAAAACCTCTACTGCGCACGCACTTGGCAGACCTATGGCCTTTTATTTATTTATTTATTTATATATATGAATAGTAATAATAATAAAAGGAATAAATTGATACTGATTTCCAAAAATAGAAAAGCAATGAATATGAATGGGGAAGTGAAGAAAGTGGATGCAGATGCAGAAATAGGAATGGGAGAGCGACGTGACGTGACGTGACGTCATCGAAAAAGGGAACAAATGGCTGATCAGCTGCGCATTATTGAAGTGCGATTTCTGCATTTATCCATTTCAAAAAGCGCTTTTTCCAATTTCCAGTGAGAGAGAATCGAGATGCATGCATGCATGACACTCGTACGGCCTTTCCGTTACCCAATTCAATTCAGTCGCTCTTCTATTTTTAGAGTATGTATCTCGCTGGCGTCACCTCGTCCCTATAGTAATAGTAATACTAATACTAATACTAATAAATAAATGAACTATCTGATGGAAATTCTGTAGAGAAAGCGTATGCTGCATGCACTGTATGTACTGTATTCTCACTCACTCCAAATAATACTAATAAATAATTCTAATATATAAATCATCTTCCATGCGTGAACATGAATATGGATACAACTACAAAGACAAACACATCCAACATATGTCAAAAAGCATAACTGTTGAACAAATATGCAAATTTCAACTTCATTAGACTTGATAGATAGAAAAATTGAATAAAGATGTGCACTGCACTCGTATGCAAGCCAAAGAAAGTTCGAGTCATTGCCCTTTGTTTTATTAACAAGTCGGGCATGGCATAATAAACACAAGAAATTTAAATAAATTATGGTGATTGATGAACCAACTAAACCTTTCAAGAGTTATTATTATTATTGATGTTGCCCAGAATTTTATCCGCAATTGGGAACTCCGGCAATATATCCACTGGAACCTGCAATCCACAAACATAAATTATTTGATAAAACTCTCATATAATATTCCACAAAATAATGTATTTATATCAAATTACAAATTATTAATTATTATTGCCAGAAACTCAACACAACACATATTATAGGCTTTTCATTAAATGACTATAGTTTCCCTCATCCAATCATCACATTATGTTTATATATCATTCAAATATAATACTAAAATAAAGCAAATATAACAAAATCATATACACTATACAATCTAAGCTACATTATCAAATCACTATATAATATTTTATAGATTTACCAACATCAAATAGATGCATCATTCCCAATTTTTTTCATTATTTATAACGTACATTTCACAGAGTTAAAACTCTTTAACCAAATCAGCATCGACAATTCTTGCATCAATAGCACATGGAGATCGTACCTGAATCTTTTCTAGTTTTTCGAGTGCATTTTTCAGCGGTTGAGTCATTGTGCCATGCTTGGAAAGAAGAGTTTTTGCAGCCCCTTTGTCGCCTCTTCCTTGTATGGTCAGAATTTCGCGACTCAAGCTTTCTACAGCATCTTCAACCTAAATGAATGCAGGTGCAGCAGATCACTTCGCCTGAAAAGACGTAAATGCAGAAACTTAAATCAGATATGGTATTACCTTGTCAAAGTCAACTGAAAATGTTCCATCAGGGTGCAAGACAAAGGATCCTTTCTCAAATAAGTAGTTAAACTGCAGTGCTTGCCCTTTCCTGACATGGGACAGAATACAGAGAGATCGGAATGTTAGTGCATCCCTGCAGGCAGCAAATTATGGTAGGAAAAACAAATGGGTGTACCCGTGAGCTTCCTCTAAGCCAAAGCGTACAGAACGGATACAGCCAGCAAGGAATGAGACATACATGGATTTGAGTAAGGTCCTTGGGAGTAAATTCTGTGTGCTCACAGGAAAAAATAAATAAATAAAATTGAACAATTCAGCAAGAGAGAACTATGTATAACTTTGATGACAATTTGACAACTTCGTTCATTCAGCAACAACTTCCATTTATTAAATGACAGGAAATGATTTGAATGAGACTCGCCCCTGATGCTGATCGGTCTTTAGGACAGCTAAAGTTTACTTAAAGACGAACGAGGAGGAAGTGATGATGATGACAAAAATGAAGAATTGGATTTATTAGGATCCAACCTACTATAATTCAACATCATTGACACATTCAATAAGGAGTTCAGAAAAACATAATCTTCAAGCCACAGACATGGTAATTGGAAACTTCATGAACAGAGGGAAAGGGGAGAATGGAGATTTCACTTGATAGCATACCTGGTTGACTAGAAATCTTAGGGCCCAAAGTCCAACAATGTCAGCTTTAGCTTCTTCAAGAGCTGAGTGAAGTTCTTGCAACTCCTGCATTGTACAAGCAAATAATCGACTTGAATGTTGGGAACGCATTGCTTCTAAAGACAATGATCACAAGAAAGAGTGATTTGGCCAATGACTACTTAGAATAAAAATGACAACATGAAGATATAACCACAAAACAAACACTCAAATCAATGTCAAGTAAGGGTATTAGACTCACCACAAATATCTCCAAACATAAAATTTACTTTTTCTTATCTCAATTGAATAATGTTGAAGTATTAAAACAAATGAGAAATATAAAATACTATGCCTCTCAATTAACTCAAATTTTAAGGTGGGTGGTCATTCAATAATTTTAACATAGTGATAGTAAGGCGTCAGTGTCGCCAATGACTTTGAAAAGAACACTATTGGCATGTGAGGAAACAAGTTTGATGAATTGAATATACACAATATAAGTATACACATGTGAATGATATACCTCCCTATTAGATGAACATTTTCATTTGATAGGTGAAGTCGTCATTGAATAATCGTAACAGAAAACAAGGACAAAGATAATGAACATCCCATCATTTAAACAAGATAGAAATGAGAAGTGATTCTTCAATATCTTGGAGCTAAATGTACAAGGAAATGAAGAAATATGAATTAATGTTAACTTTGAGCTTTTGAAGGAAAATGACCAAAGCATCACTTTTGGCATTTGGATACAGAATTGGGGAACACAGTGTTACTTTATAGCTATGGATTGCAATTTCGGCACAAAGAAGATCAGTGTAACACAGCGATCTTTACGTTTTTATCATGTTGACAATAGCACCATGATGTACCATAAATTCACTGAAATAGTCAACCAAGACTCCTACCATTATAAAGAAATCAAATGAACATAAGAGAATAGTCAAGAGTTATAGTATAACAATGCAGCTTACCAATCTCACAGTAGATTTGTTACCATTAGGTAGTGTTATTGAATGAGGTCCAATACCATGGCAGCACTCATGACAAATTGTGTGTGTGAAGAATGAGTCAAAGTCTACATATTCACGTTGCTCCTCTACTATGCATACATTTGCAATCGGCTCAAGGATAAGTTTGAACCTGAACAAACGAAGACGTAATTGATGAATTACAGCTAAAGTAAAATGCATCGGCAAAGATCTCTAAGAATCAATACATACTTTGCTTCAGAGACGTTTTTGAGCATGACCATAGACGTTCCTCTGTCCTTTACTATGCGTTCGTCATTTGGAAGGTTAAATGCAACAGTTTGTGGACCCTTCACATCCTACAGTAAGATGCATCAAAAGAGATTTAGTGTTACCACACATATCAGACCTACTACACAGCTTTGCTGCAAAACATGGGCAGCTTCTTTGGAACAGAGTGCACAGTAGAGAAAAGTATTTGATCCTATGTCAGATAAAACTAAAGTGAGTTAATTGAAAAAAGTCAGTTTAGAAACATCTTATCACTCCACGAATCCATCAGAACATGGATGGGAAAACTGCTGGACAAACATCACTAATTGCCGTGCCTCTAAATAAAAACTCACCCCAGAATTATAAATAAGCTGGACAACTCGAATTGGGGCTGCACTGACATCCTCAGATTTATAGGCATCATCCATAGGAAGATTCTTCTCCAAAACCTAAGGAGGGTCCTTTGAGAATAATTATCAAATTATAAAATTATAAACAAAGCTTTAAATACACACACCTGTAAATTATCACCAAATAGTTTAAGTTGAGCTGTTGCCTCATCATCCCGAATTCCAATGAAAGCTTCAAACGTGGCCTAGGGAGCAATACAGAAATCATGAACAAATATATACCATATCGAAAGAAGAGAACAATAGAGATGTAAAACATAACAAAGTATCTAAGACATGCAAAACTCAAATAGGTATTTTTAAACATCTACTTTATATCATACTTCTCAGTTATATTAAAAAATGCTGCAGAAAAGAGATTTAATTAACTAAATCATAAATCAAGCTAAGTGGGGTCAGAATACCTTGTATCCAAAAATTGAATCTTCATAAGTCTCGTAAGGGCCAATGGTCACATCTAGCTTTGAGTCCTAGAAGATAAGCATAGAAACAATACAAATATTCAGCTCAGAAGTATGTTAAAGAATATGTTCTAGATATCTCGACTTCCGTAAAATATAACACACAACAATCATGATGCTTCACCTTTCAACTCATTTATAACTCATCTACTTTTTTAAGAGGATCTTTCTTAAAATTGTTGAAATGATGTATTTCGAAGGCAGATTATTTCATTCACACTCAAGTATGTTGTTAAAATAGCTGCTTTGTGATTTATTCATCAGTGCAGACCAAACCAAAATAATCTCTGTGTGATCTTAGAAAGTAAACATATAACTGTATAAGAAAACTTAAAACTACATTTTTCACTGGAAAAAATAGATTGAACTAACCAATTCCATCCAGGCGATATCTGAATCATAGTATTCATTTGACAAGAATGCATCAGCCTTGCTGTGCAACAGCTTCTTCAAGCTGCACCAAAAAGATTCACATTCTTGAGTTTTCTTTGTTTGCTTCTTTCACCCACCTGAATCTAATGTCCTCTTACCTAGGTGAACTGGCCAAGTCTCCAGCTTTGTGCAGTAGATCAGCAGATTTTGAAAGGTAATCATTGTACTCCTTAGAATAAGGGACAATATATAGATCAGGCACATGAATACTGCAGCTAGCTGATGTGGGTGACAGTGACTCATCCAATATTCTTTCACTTTCCCTCCTTATAACATTGAAAAACCCAGTTGCCTCGTTCTTCTTGTCTTCTGATAGATTATTTTTCCACAACTCAAACTCCTATAGAGAATAAAACTTCATATAAACCTTTGGATGTTGAATCAAGAGGCCTACTGCAAATAAAAGATGACATATTCTATACCGTTTTGTCCATATCTGAAGGATAAAAATTTGCACCTGGCGGTTTCACACTGGGAAATGCCGCCCTATATTCAAGTCCTTTCCACCCGGTCACTGGCTTTGTAGCTTGGGGAAGCAGCTTCACAGCTGAGTCAGCAGTTGTCAAAAAGGCTTCATTTTCATCCAGACAAGACCTTCAAAGGGCGAAATAGTGTGAAGCTTAGAATTTAAATGAAGTTAACAAGAATGCAGAAAGGATAAAAGTTTAGAGTGAAGATATCCTCAAAAGTTCCAAATCTACATTGCTGGGACCAGCAACCTAATGTAAGATGTTTGGTGATAAATTTCAATTATGTATGAATTCTACAAGAGAAATCATCTTAGAAGAGTTAGGTTATTTACATCCTCACAATATGGTAGCAAACAAATGGACCAAAGTCACCTCAGAAAGCAGCATATGCCTGTAACTTTATCAAGGCGTTTAAAGCTTGAATAAGAACTCTTGATAGAAAGTGTCTACTAAGACAACTTATACAAAACAAATAGATGAAAAACCAAGACAGAAAGGGCAAGCAGAGAATCGGTATTTGGTTAAGATAATATACCACGGACTTTTGTTGATGCAGTAACACATCCATTTTAATTTGCTCAGTTGGGATTCATCAGCATGCTGCTCTAACCAATCTCTTAAAGATGGATTGCTGCACCAAACCTGTTTGTTCAAATTCGACAAAACACAAAAGAAACTTATGAATTGTCAGGTTCCAAATGAAAAGAAAAACTAACGGACAATATGTTCAATGTATTCAGAAGTCTGAACTAAGAAGAAAAATCAATAGATTATTTAAGGCGAAGCATGATTCTGTACTGAGAAAAAACCACACACGTGGCAAAAATAAAATTAAACTTATATAACATACGCAGATGAAGTGATCTCTAGGGTTGAAAGAATATATATATATATATATATCAAGTGCATACCCCCTCATTGTCAATATAATAAGAAGGCAAAAGGAAAGGTTTGATTTAAGGAATTCATGCATAAATATGGCTATGGCAAGGAATACAACCTGCAGAAAGAAAATTTGATCCATTATTTTTGCAGCTTCAACAATTAGAGATAAAGCTTCCTTGTCTGCACTGCTAAGCCCAGTTAACTGTTAGACATAAGGAGAACAGTGTTAATATAGCATAGCAACTGCATCAGCATATTTGATAATTCCTCCGATCCCTGAACCAAAAAATTTATTTTCCATTCTAGAGGATAAACTCCCATCTAAGCACTATCGTTTGAAGACAACAAGAGAACTATCAGACAATTTAATGTGAGCTTACAAACTCGTCCTCAAAGAAACCACAAGATCGAGTACAACATTCATAGGGTATAAATGACCATAGAATAAAAAATCAAACACATGGCTCGTTAAAAGTATCAGAAGATTATTAAACAGTAGCCCACAACATAGTTTGCTACCTTTCCTATCCCCGAAATTACAACTATGGGGCACACATTTAATTACAATTATAGATCACATATGCTATCCCTGTCTCATTCATAGAATCCAGCATGTAGGGAACAGTTACATCAATTCAATAAGCTTATGCCTTATAACTACTGATAGCTGAAGTGGCCAATTGATTTGGAACACTGTTAGCATTTCATTTAACCAGCAATGTTTTTCCACAATTCTATCAAATGAAATATGAATATCTAAAAGGTATCAGGGACTGGTGGCTTTCAGCCAGTAGCAATCTCTTCGATAGTTTATGACATCCCATAAAGTTTTATTTACACACTGAAAACTCAATGAAGAAAGTGGTACAATTTATAAAACACTGAAGATTTTGCCATCACAAATTCTACTGATGTTAGAATGTCAATTCTTGAACCATATAAATACATTACTAGAAAACAAAATGTATAGAAGTTAAAACCTTTGCATCAAGAGAAACATGAGCATAACAGTTCAGCTTTTTCTGTAGATTCAATGAACGTGCTTCAGCATTTTGTTTGTACCTGGAAAAACATAACCTAGGTTATCAGCCAAAAAAAAAAAGTTTAGGTCATTAACTAGAACTCTTAATAAAAAATGCATGAGGAAAAGTAAAATACACACGCATTGCAGGTATTGGCACAACATCAGTTGTAGGTATTATACCAAGCAAGGTTTTACAATGGGATATCAATGGGGAAGGAGATATGAGCAAAAAGGAGATCGGAAGATAAAGAATTGAAAATGAAACGACAATATACTCATTACCAAAAAGAAATAGAAAGTAATCAGAACAATTTGCCGCATACCTTTTGGCCAAGATTTCAAAGAGTTGGCCATATTGATCATTCACATCATAAGACACATAATGAGGATCTTCATTCACAAGCAGCCTCCTATACTCCTCTACAGATATATATTTAACGGCTGAAACTTCAGATTCCTTAAAATGGCAAGTGTCAATCGAAGGGGGTGAGAATTTGCCAATAAAATAGCATATAATAAGTTATCAAGGATTCATACAAGAAGAACCCACAAATATGTCTTCTTTCCTTCGAAGAAAATTGTTAAATCAGTTGGGTTTTTATTGATCTTCAACTATACAAGGAATTATGGAATAGGATGATTGCCATCATGGAGGTTCTCAAGGTATTAGTCTACTTCACATATCAAAAACATTCTTGTCAAGGATTGAAAGAAACAACATGGAGCACCCCAACAATGCAAATCACGAAAATTGTACGTCTAATGTGAGTCTAATTAGCAGCATTATAAATCACTCAGTAATGGCAATGTTCTAGCAATGTAAATTAACTTATAATGACAATAGGAAAGATATAAGTGGCAATACGAATAAATTCAGAAGATAGTGTGAGGGAAATGATGCTAAACACTCAAGCAAGATCAACCGCCTCTAGTATAACATGGCAGGGAAGCTCCATAGAATGTCATAAATAAGAAATTGGAGACATAAATAACCTAAAGCAATCCATATTAGACTCCTTTGGATGCTTAGAACAGATCAGAAACTCAGGTCCACGGTTGAGTAAGACCTCATCTTACTGTGTGACTTTTGGTGGCAATTACCCATTTTCATTATAAAAATATCACCAGCAACAGAAAAAAAAAAAAAAAAAAAAAAAAAACCTCAGTTAGCATGAAAGCAATGAGAATAAAAGAAATGGTCAATAGACCAAAATGCAACAAACTAATAATGAATTAATGGTAACATCAAAAGTACTTTTAAAAACAGATAGAGAACCCTCAGACCTGAAGAGTAAAGGCCTCCAATGGAATCGGATCTATCATTGTGACAAGGTAGACATCATTGTATTCGTTGTTAATGAACTTTCCATCATTTATGACACTACAAGAAGGTGCATAATATTAAAGAGATGGCAGAGAAATGATACTCATAGATAAATAAATAATTTGGTTAGCTCATCACAAAAAAACAATTAACAAAAATTTCATTTAAATGAAAATTCAAGGAGATCATTGTGGCACAATCTAGAAATAATAGTACATCAGCATTACCAACACAGTCAAAACATTCCAATATCCATTTCTTTATTCTAAGAACGTCCATTTAGATGCTCAAAACAGTTGACATATGAATGCACTACAGCCAAATAATTAAATAAATCGAGGAACTAAAGTTCTACACAAAGTACTTAAGTCAAAATAATTTCATCTAAGGGTAAGACACAAGTTTCCACATAACTTCTCAATGCTACATGCCCAATCACCAGGCAGGGGGTCTGCTCAATAACTAGAAAAATTTCTATAGAAGTTTTATCATTATGACGACTTCTCATTAACGCAGTCTAACCATCTAACCCACTATCTGTAGCCAAAAGACATGTTTGACTGTATTCAATCAAGACATATTCTCATCTAGATATAAATGTAATTATGTAAATCTCTTCTTATGGTTTCAATTTCAATACTTGTTAATAACTTCCATCAGAAAATGCTTACACATGAAGGCCCCACACACATTGAAGAAAGCTAATAGCTGGTAACTACAAAAGGAAAACAAAGCAAACAGAAATTTTAAAACTGCTATCTGCCCACTAACCACTCTTGAAGAAAAACAAATAGCAGTTCAAATGCATCCTTTGGGAGTTTAATACCAAGCTCTTCTTGAAGCTCCTTCCTGCAAATATGAAAAGTTTTTTTTAAGGCCTAAGCAATCCTACACAACCAAGTCATCAAGAGTGTCCCGATAGAGCTAAATGCATTAGGAATGGTAAGGAGTTATCATAAATTGGAAACGGTTGTGTTTCATGCATTTAAGAAATCAAACCCACATAGATTAGATAGGCACCATGAGAGCTATCTTGTCTTTACAAGATCACATTTCAGCCTACAACATGCTGCTCAACTGTAAAATTAAAAAAATACATGAACTATACCGAGCTGTGACAAGGGATGAATCCCCAGCAGATATGTGACCAGCACTAGAGATGTCCCAAAGCCCAGCCCAAGAATCTTTGCAATCAGAACGTTTTTGAAGCAGAAGTTCTTGTGTGCTTTCAGCAAATATCCACACATGAACAGCTCGATGGTAGTCACCATCTCTATGGACATCTCCCCTATGAAAGAAAAGAAAAGAAAAATATATATAGGTCTCACTCTCACATAAGTACTACCAATACAATATGATTTTATGTTACTTCAAAGGTAAAATTAAGCATTAACACGAGTTGCGTTCAAGAGATGAAATAAAGATAACGTCTTGACTAATAAATCTAGAGGTCCCAAGCCTTAAAACTATAACTGATTGCCATTCAGTAAAAGTGCACAATTCTACATATATAGACACTATATAGACACCAAAGTAGAATGGAAAACAAGTTTTATCCAGCTTAGTTCAAGAAACCTATCCAATAGTCAGCGGATAGCAAATGTAACTACCATAAGTTGACCCATAGTCAGAAGTCTTTTGGAAGAAAATATAATACAGTATCTACAAATATTAAAGCAGGCAAACTGAATATGAATGAAGTAAACCATGCCTTTTTGAATGACACACGCACGTATCAAATTATACTGTATAATGGTATATCTACGAAATACTACAAGGAATCAAATCAAATATATTTAAAAGAACTTCACTGTCTATACAACATAAGTTAACCGAAAAAAAACAATTTTTTTTTCTTTCCCAAACTTTTAAATACAGAAAAACAAATCGATTATATCAAACTTTAAGATTAGAATTACGTAAACCTTGATGCCACCCTAATGATCAGCCTTTAAAAATAAAATAATAAGTGAAATAACAAACAGCCAGCCCACGCACAGAATTGTTTTCTTAATTGTCTTGACTTCGCCGCAGCAAAATCCAGGAAGAAAAACAAAACAAAAAGACGTGGTCCACGCAAATCATCCCAACCACGAAGAAAATCACACGTATTAATTGAAATACGGTTATAAACTTATAATCAATCACTAAAAGAACCAAAAAATTAAAAGTCGGCAAATTTCTTTCATGTGTTGAAGGTTTTGAAGGGGAAGAAGGGAAGTCCAACCTGGGCTTAGAGACGCCGGTTTTGTCCCCAGCTTTGGTGAGAACGTCAAGATACTCTTCGTGCGGCTGCTCATTCACATGATCGGCCATTTTCTCTCGATTCAATCTGAGAAGGCGAAAATCAAGGACTGAGAGAGGTCTTCAACTCAACTGGCACAATGGTCAATTGCTTAAATACTAGGCTCTATTTATTTTACCTTACGATTATTTATAAATCACATATCACATCATTTATTTTATTATTATTATAATAATAATAATACAATAAATTGTATAATACTTTATTTTAGCATAATATATATATAAAAAAAAATTATTTATTGCATAAAGTTTATTAATTAAAAAATATATACAAAATACTATTTTTGTTTAAATTGATATTTGTTGTAAACACTTATATGTTTTTTTCTAAAATTAGGTAGTTCATCTAATAAAATTATTAAATAAAGAACAATATTTTATTTATAGATGTGCTAGGTAGTAAAGGTGAATAGTAAATATATTGAAATAAATAAAAATATACTTGCATGTTCTGTTTTACAGAGCAACGGCAGTATAATTAAGTACGTCCAAGTTGTTTGCCATGCTTATGCTTATGCCTATGCTGGCTCGACTCCTCCCTCGGCTTATTACAACAAAACATCGACGAAAATAGCAATAACGCGGACAAAATAAAAAATACATCCAATCCAAGATTATCCTTTCAAGACCTATATTTGTTCTTGCCCAGAATTTTATCTGCAATTGGAAACTCTGGCAATATATCCACTGGAACCTGCAATCAAATACATGTAGAAATTATAAGCATTTCTATACAAAACATTTTGATTTAATACATAGGACAAAGTCCCAAGTTTTATTAGCCAGAATTTACTCTAAATAAAATTTCTTTTAGCTGAATTTTTAGAATAGAAAACCCGGCCGCCATGATATTTTTTCATGATTAATGGAGTGAAATAATAGGCAAAGATCATACCTGAATCTTGTTAAGTTTCTCAGTGGCAGTTTTTAATGGCTGTGTGATCATACAGTGCTTTGCAAAAAGTGTTTCTGCGCCCCCTTTGTCTCCTCTTCCTTGTATTGTCAGAATTTCGCGACTCAAGCTTTCTATTGCATCTTCAACCTAATATACTTCTGTAAATCACTTCATCTTGAATCAAAGATTTTGATAAGTTATTGTTACCTTGTCAAAGTCTACAGAAAATGTGCCATTTCGGTGCAAGATGAAGGATCCTTTCTCCAATAAATAGTTAAACTGCAATGCTTGCCCTTTCCTGGATGTATTCAACAACATAAAATTATTGATATTTAGATGCGCCTATTAGTCATTTCTTACAATTTTGTCTCTTAGTTAACAAAAACAGTACAATCATCCAAAGTCATCTTTCAAACTTGTTAATTATGCTAAGGAGTAAGGACATTTTGTATAAATGTGCTTCAAAAGTATGGATGACAACGCCAAGAAAACCACTGATCCAACAAAGCAAAAGCATCATTATTGCCGTCAAGCAAAAAGAATTACGGTAGCAAGGCAAAGCAGGCATACCCATGAGCTTCCTCCAAGCCAAATCGTGCAGACCGGAAGCAAACGACGAGGAACAAGACATATATAGATTTGAGTAAGGCTTTCGGGAGTAAATTCTGCGAAGCACAAGAAAAAATGCACTTTAAAACCAAGAATCAAATGGAATGAACCATGTCTAGCATAGTTCATGTAAAGATTCGACACCTGTCATGATGAAGCCAATAACAGGAAATAACTGATAATAAAATGGGATTGAATCAACAAATAGGCAATTATTGAAAACTTTAAAAGATGGTAGGATAAAATGATGAGAAATAAAGAAAGCAATCGATCAAGATCCAAATTATCAAAACTCAGGCCGAGCCAAGGGGAGATAACAGAAACCATGAATTTTCAATGGAGATACTGAAAGCTTTTGATAGACAGGAAAAATCTCCAACAGCACAATCACTGGAAACATAGAGAACAAAGAGGTGTGGAAAATGGGAATATCAAACAATTATTCACCTTGCTGACTAAAAATTTTATGGCCCAAAGTCCCACAATGTCTGCTTTAGCTTCTTCTAGAGCTGAGTGAAGTTCTTGCAACTCCTGTGGCACACCAAAAAAAAAAAGTATGTCATCTTGCAGATTACAATTTACACAGAAAAAAAGATGTATCAACATATAGAGGACCAAAGAATTACTTTGCCAAGCGACTCGTATTGCTATTCAATAATTATAATACAACACAGCTTACCAATCTCACAGTAGATTCTTTCCCATTAGGAAGTGTTATTGAATGAGGTCCGATACCATGGCAACACTCGTGACAAATTATGAATGTGAAGTAAGAGTCAAAATCTGCATATTTTTGTTGTTCCTTCACTATGCATGCGTTGACAATAGGCTGAATAATAAGTTGAAACCTGGACAAAAAAGAGGACGACTGGATGTATTACAGCTCAACAAAAATGCATTGAAAAACTATATCTAAGAAAATTAAAATATTTCATTCCCTGATTAACTTAAAGAGGCAACCCTGGATCATTTAGTCCAGAACACAAATTGCCATCTTAAGGAAGAAATATACTTTGCTTGTGAGACATTCTTGAGCATGACCATGCATGATCCTCTGTCTTTAACAAACTGCTCGTCAGTCGGAAGGTTAAATGCAACAGGTTGGGGACCCTTCAAATCCTGCCAATAAGATGCATTAACAACAAATACTTCACTTTATGGGGCAATAATGGAACAAAGCTTAAGATCAGACAGATAGAACTAAGATATATGGTAAAGAAACTCCAGTTTAAAATCATGAAGTCAGTTCACAAACCCATCCCATGTGAAACTATTTTATTATGACAACATAGTGTATCAGATTAAGCATAGCCGTTACTACAGCTGCAGGGATAGAAGAACTGGAGGAGAGAAGCTTTGTTCTGAAAACATTCTTGTATGAAACCTCTCTATTAGCCAAAGCTTTACATAAAGTAGTCATCTAACATGAAATCAAAGTGGGAGATTGTTCAAATTTCAAATTTGACAGCATATCATTATGAAAAAGTGCTCACTACAATGCCACAAAAAAAAAACTGTTTGCACGTGATGAGGGGATCCATAGGAAAATAAAGTATAAAATGAAAGCTGCAGATAAGGAATAACATTATAATCTATCTCACACTTTCAAAACTAAATTTGATTTAGAACCACAGCTACCAAACCAGTAGACAATTGCATTCATTTGCTTTTTCGATCTAATTTGAGGGAGATCATAACACAATTCAACATTACTAGTGGATATTGCTCTATAAAAGCACTCACCCCAGAATTATAAATAAGGTTGATGACTCGGATTGGGTAAGCTCTCACATTCTCGTTCTTATAGGCATCATCCATCGGAAGATTCTTCTCTAAAAACTAGGAGCACGTGGTCACCAAATAATATAACTAATAAGGTTGAGAAGAATGAATCCAATTATGAAATAACTACCAAAGATTTAAATGCAACACCTGCAACTGATCCCCAAATAATTTAACTTGAGTTGTTGCGTCATCATCCCGAACTCCAATGAATGCATCAAATGTTGCCTAGCGAGCACAATGACAATCATTAAGAGAAAGATGTATATGTACACATGTAAAGGTATTTAAACAACATAAGCCAAATTTCTAAATAGTTCTCTCTCCATTTTTATTTTTTCTTCAACTTCTCAATTATGTTTGTACATGCCGATGCCAGAAGATTAATTTAACTTAACCATACCATAAAACGTAGCCAGCAGAGTAGGAATACCTTGTATCCAAAAAGTACATCTTCATATGTTTCATAAGGACCAATGGAAACATCTAGCTTTGAATCCTTGAAGATTACCATCAAAACAATACAGATTTTCAGTTCAGATGTAAACAGAGAATAATAAACATTTAATTTTCCGGTAAAATTTCTTAAAGAATGCTTTCTGAAACTATATTAAGAAGAAGCTGGAAAAATTGAATATCATAACTCACTATCACACACCCCTCACCCACCCCAACCCCCAAAAGATGGTGCAACTTTTAACTTCAGAATCAACCACCTAATTCAAGAACAAATTACATGTAGAGAAGGGGATCAGTTGCAGGTGTTAAAAAATGTAAGTTTGTAGTTACTCCAAAACAAGTATACCTGAAGGGGAAATCACCCAGATTAAATAATAGCTTCTTACAATTTACCATTGGGGCATAGATGTAATATATATTTAGGGAACTTATATAACTCCACTTAATGCAACCGAACAGCTACATTTTAGCCGGTTTCAACACATCCAAATATTTTTAATATGAACATTAACTACAATTATTGAACCATTTAAAATAAAAATAGCGAGCTATTGTATCATGCAAGAATGATTGAATCCTAATAAATATACCGAAGTCCTCATGTCTATTTTTACTGGAACCCAATCCTCTTCACAAATGGAATGCAAATTTTCCTTCACAATTAGGGCCGGCCCTGGCCCGGACGACAATCCAAATAGGACCCATTATATATTTATGTTATATATAAAATATTTATATATACATATTATTTGATTTTTATGTACTAATTGAGGAATATAACTTGATAATTACATGTTACATGAATTACTTATCTAAATATATATATATGGACTTTATTTTATTCCGACACACGCGTGTTTAAATTTTTTGAATTTTTTACACTTTTAATTAATTTGTTATATTTTGTTTTTAAACATATTGCTGAGATTTTGGGTTCAAATCCATGTATCCTCAAAATTTGAAAGTATTTTTGTATGCATTAGACAAAGTTAATATTAATTAATATTATTATTAATATTTTACATATAAAAATGTTAGAAATTTTATTTTATTCAATTGTTTGCATTTTATTATAAATAAAAAATATATTATTTATAAATATGTTTAGACAAAATTAATATTAATACTGTTATTGATGTTTTATCTAAAAATTACTAGAAAAAATTATTTTATCTAATTATTTATATTCTTTTATAGGTAAAAAATATATATATACTTCATTGTCCCTTATTTATTATGTGTTTGCTTTTTGCGGTAATACATTTGTGTAATATATTGTAAGTTGTATAGGTATTTTTAATATTAGTAGAAAGTACCGTTACTTAAAAAAAAAATTGATACTTTGTTACGGAACGGATCAAAATAAAAAAATTGATAAATTGTTAAGAGACGGAGGGAGTATATCATTTATAAGGGGTCTTTTATTTTTATTTTATTTTATTTTTTTGCATTAAGAAGAAAATAAGTATTAGGGAAAATTGTCAATAACACTCTTGTTATTTTGAAATTTAGTATAAATCCTCTCTATAATTTATAAATTGCATGACGCCCTTTTATACTTACAAAATTGTTAAATAAACTCCTTTTTATATTTTTTGGATGATGAGAAGATGATTTCTTCCTCTATATTTTTTTGTATGGTGTGAGTTCCATATAACATTTGTTAAAGTATAAAGGACGCCACACAATTTTTTAAAGTACATGAAAATTTTATGCTAAGTTTCAACATTACATGAAAATTATTTACAATTTTGCCTTATTATTATTATTGATATTTTTGCATAAAAATACTAAAAAAAAATAAAAATTTATTATTTATATTTTATTATAGGTAAAAAGATATTATATATATATATATATTTAAGGGCTCCTAATTTTTATTTCGCCTTGGGCTCTTCGAAAGTCAGGACCGCCCTGTTCACAATGCCATAGTATATTGTTAAAGAAGCTGTCTTGTAATATAGTTGTCAGTGTCACCATTGAATATAAGAAGTTTGTAGTTACATGCATGCAGACGAAAGGCATAATAAACGATGTCCAAATTTAAAAAATAAACAGCCATTAACTAAATATAAGGGGAAAGGAGTTAGAACTAACCAATTCCATCCAGGCAATATCTGAATCATAGTATTCATCTGACAGGAAAGCATCAGCCTTGCTGTGCAAGAGCTTCTTCAAGCTGCACCAGTAGAATTCACTTCCTCAGTTCCCTTCTTGAGATTCTTTTCATAAACTTCAAATTCTCATCTACTCTAAAAAGCATCTTACCTTGATGAGCTGACCAAGTCTCCAGCTTTGTGCAGTAGATCAGAAGCTTTTGAAAGGTAAGCATAGTATTCTTTAGAGAAAGGGACAATACATAGAGCAGGCACAGGAATCCTGCTGCTAGCTGTGGTGGGTGATAGTGATTCATCTAAAAAAATTTCACTTCCCCTCCTAATAACACTGAAAAAGCCCGTTGCTTCTTTTTTCTTGTCCTCTGGAAGGCTATTTTTCCACAACTCAAATTCCTATAAAAATGAATGCTTTAAAGGAACCATTGATTATTGCACAAAGAGATGTATCACACACAAGGCATGAGACGTTTTTTTACCAATTTGTCCATATCCGAAGGGTAAAAGCTTGCACCCGGTGGTTTCACAATAGGAAATGCCACCCTATATTCAAGTCCTTTCCACCCAGCCAGGTGCTTTGTCGCTTCAGGAAGCAGCTTCACAGCTGAGTCTGCAGTTGTCAGAAATGGCTCATTTTCATCCAAACAGGACCTTCAATGGGAAAAGGACATTGTGGAGTTTAGGTGAACTAAATGAGCATGCAAAAATGAAAAAGTTAACTTAGAGCTACTTTCAAAAGTTAAAAATCACACTGAGTTCAGCAACCTAGTTGTGTTTGATATATGATTGCAATCAATAATAATGTAATACATTTACACTGTAAAACCACTTTACAAAAATTTGGAAAATTCTTTGCATGATATAAATGTTTGTGATTAGGTGGTAGAGAAATCAGACAAAGTCACAGCACAGTGATGCTTACATCTCTACCTTTAGAAAGGCATGTAGAACTCAAACACATACTCATGAGAGAAGATGTTTTATAAGTTCATGGAGATAACATATGTAAAAAAAACAAAGGGAAAAATCAAGCAGTAAGATCATGCCGAGAAACCAATATTTGGCTAAGACAATATACCATGGGCTTTTGTTGACAAGATAATACATCCATTTTAATTTGCTCAGTTGGGATTCACCAGCATGCTGCTCTAGCCAATCTCTTAAAGAAGGATTACTATGCCAGACCTGTTTGTATGATGTTTTAATGAGGAAATATAGAAAGAAACTTATGAGTCATCACACTCAAAAAATAGACCTAAAATTTATAATGAGGCATAGGAGAAACCTCAGGTTCGGGAGGGGAAGAAATAATCAGGCACATGTCCCATTCCATTGTAAAATAGATAGATAAGAACACCAAAAAAATAATAATAAAAAAATGTATGCTGTATGGTAAAGCAGTGAAAAATGGCCAGGAATACAACCTGCAAAAAGAAAATTTGATCCATGAAGCTTGCAGCTTCAACTATTAGAGACAGAGCTTCCTTGTCTGATTTGTTAAGCCCTGTTAACTGCTAGGCAAAAGGGGAAGAATGTTAGAATAGAAAAATAACTGTGTCACACGTCCTTAAAAAACACAGATTGTAATTATCTGTCAGCTTAAGTAGTGCCAGTGCCACAATGCATGAACACATGCATCAGAGTAGGTTAGAGACAATGAAAGTCAGAAAGGAGTAAAAGTACTACTAATCTGCTTAACAAGCAAAGTAAGCATTCCCCATGCTAAGACACCATGGAGATTTGTTGTCTCCCATACTGAAGATTTCTGAAAGCATGTTCACACATTGACTCCCAAACGTTATTCTATCAATCATGATATAACTAGAAAACATAATGCAAATGTGTTAAAACCTCCGTCTCAACAGAAACACGAGCATAGCAATTCAGCTTCTTCTGTAGACTCAGATATCGTTCTTCAGTATTTTGTTTGTACCTGGAGAAACACAACCCGAGCTTATAACCTTGAATCTGTTTAAAAAATAGCACATTAGGAAAAACTAAATGCACAACTGTTGCAGGAATTGGCCCAACATCAGCTTTGATGACAAAAGTATTATTATTATAAAGGAATGAGAATAGAAAAGGAAAACTAGCCTTAAAATTCAGAATTTGTTTAAAACTACCACATATACTTCAACGTGGCACAACATAAATCTACAAAGATTCTAAGGTACAAGACATGTATTCCACATATACCTACATGCAAACAAGGAGTTTTCAAAAACTTCTACTTTCAACTTCAAGATAAAACCAGAATTAGAAGTTAAAATGAGAATAAAAGGTAATAATCAAAAAAATTTGGCAAATAAAATCAGAACATGGGGAGAAAAAGTTGGATGTTTGTGAAAAAAAGACTAATGTATAACTATTTTTAATGTTAAAGGCCATTTTAAATCTGATTGTAAAAAATAAACTTTTTAATGATATCCCCTTGGAAATTCAATCAAATATATTATTACTACTTGGTATTAAATTGTCTAAATGAAATTATTGTATTTTCAAAGAAATCAGGAAGCTGACTGGCTTCTAGCAGAGAACTACTTTATTTAAGTGGTAAAAGGCATTTAGGAACTTTCAAACACCCTCCAACTGATTTTTTCTAGTTGAAACATTATAATGCTTTTAACAATAATTTTGAAGAAAGAAGAGACGGAACTTTGTGACATACCTTTTGGACAGAATTTCGAAGAATTGACCATATTGATCATTCACATCATAAGGCACATATTGAGGATCTTCTATCCTAAGCATGTTCCTGTACTCTTCTAAAGCTATATATCTCACATCTGAAACTTCAGAGTCCTTCAAACAGTAAATGCCAAACCAAGGTTAGCAAGCATTGCAATGGAGTAGCATAGAATAAATAATGAGGCCGCAATCAAGAAGGATTCTCAAAAACCATATACTTTTTCTTGGAAGTGGCGTTGAATTTACGAAGGAGAAATCTGAGACATGAGATGATGCAAGGTATGTGTAAGAATACCTTGGATGCTTAAATCAGGTCTCAAACTCAGGTTCAAAGGTGAGTAACTCGTCTTTATTTCTTAGCTTTTGTGGCAAATTCCCATTTTCATTAATTAGCAAGTTAACAACAGATATAAATATACTAAAAGAAAGATCTTTGTCAGAGCATGAAAGTTTCGAGAACACGGAATAACTGAATTGCAACTATTTAACCAAATGTAGTGCCAAAATACAAAAATACTTCTAAAAATAGATAAAGACATACAGACCTGAAGAATAAAGACCTCCAACGGAATTGGGTCAGTTGTCGTGATCAGGTAGACATCACGGTATTCATTGTTAATGAATTTTCCATCATTCATGACACTACAAGAAGATACATACAAATTACCATGCATCAATATAAAAAGCCGGAAAAGATACTAAGGAACAACCCGCATGCATCTTTTCTTTTACGATAACGTTAATTAACACAAGGAAAGAGAATAGAACTAGGGTAATATGCAACCTACTGTACTCCATTTCAATTAGGTCCAGAGCTAACTAATCAAATAAATATATATCAAAATGTATTACAGTTTCTCAAAACTAAAAAAATTGATGAGTTAAGAATCAGTTTTGCAGGTTGGCCTGGAGTTTATTGCATTTATTATGGATAAGTGTGAGAATATTGTTGGCAATAGTAATAAACAAAAACGATGCCTTTTGTTTGGGTTGGTCATTGAACCTAGTAGTGAGGCAAGGAGGTCCAAAATTAACTACATGTACGGGTGTGTTTGTTTGGGGGATTGAATTTTAAATACACTATTCATCTCATTTTTTTCCCCCAAAAACATCAAATCAAACACCTATTTTTCATTTTTTATATTATACTAAAAATCAAATTTACATTCAAAACATCACATCAACATCTATTTATATCACATCATACAACTATTCAAATTCAAAATTTTTACTATTCAAATCCCAACTCAAAATCCAAACCCCCAAACAAACACACCCGTAGCGTATAACAGTAAAGCATGGACTTTACTAACATAACATCCAGGTTGGACCTAGCCACATACAAGAAAAAAGTAAATATCAAAACTCATTGAAAAGACTAATAATTAGTAACCGTAAAAGGAAAGGAAGGTAGAGAGAGAGAGGTTGAAACTTGTGGCGTCCCTTACCGCTCCTCAAGGGAAACAAATAGCAGTTCAAATGCATCCTCTGGAAGCTTGATACCAAGTTCTTCATGAAGCTCCCTCCTGCAAACATGAAAGATATTATTTTCTAGCATATGAAATCTTAAACAACCAAATCTGCATCAGTGTGATGGTTGAGTTAAGTACATTAAAAAGAAAGGGCTACTAACACAACTATGTTGCAGAAGAAGTGGAAGATTTAGTCTCAAGCATTTAAGAAGTCAAATACGTATAGATAGGCATGACATGAAGAATATTAGCATACCCAGGTATAAATGGAACTACAATAACAGTAGAAATTTTTTAAGGAGCAGTATAACTGCAGGCCATCAGGCCATGTCTTGCACTCATATGATGAAGTGTGGTGCGATCTTCTTTTTTTTTTTTTCGGGGGGGTGGGGGGGAGGGTGTTATTAGTATGTTGGAATACATAATTGCAGGGCACTCACATGTATGAGTCCTAATGGAATTACCATCCAAGATAAACAATCATAAACCCATATCTATAGGCATCAATAGGATGGAATTACAGCTAAATCCATGCGGAAAAACCATAAGACAAACACAAGTTTACACACAGAGGCATGTTCCGTCTCCAACATCTCAATCAAGAGGAATATAAAAGAAATGCATGAATAGTACCGAGCAGTGAGGAGAGAAGAATCCCCAGCAGAGATGTGACCAGCACTGGAGATGTCCCAAAGCCCAGCCCAGGAATCTTTGCAATCGGAGCGTTTTTGAAGCAGAAGTTCTTGTGTGCTCTCAGCAAATATCCACACATGAACAGCTCGATGGTAATCACCATCTCTATGGACTTCCCCCCTACGAAAATATATATATATATATATGTAAGTGACACGTAACACTAACCTATAATAAATGCCAATTCATTTATTTTTGCTCCATAAAACTAGGGTATAGTAACAATGAATATATAATAAAAGCCATAGCATAACAATATGCAGCATACCAAGAACAAAAAAGACAAATTGTTGACTATTAAAATCATGTGTCCCATCAGCTAAAATGTACAACTGGATGGTATGCAGTAAAAGTGAATGGGTAACATTATCCAGCAGTCATTCCAGAAAATTTATAGACATTAACAATAAAATACAGCAAAAAATTGGTTCAAAGGCAAAAGCTGATTCAAGAACTTGTAGAATGTTTAATATCACATTTGACCATAAATTACAGATAATAAATAAATGATAAGCTCTTTCTGCACAGACAAACACCAAGCACAAGCTTCTGTAGATTCCATGTCTATTAACATCAAAGCAAGCAGACTGCTTAAAGAGAAAAACGCTGTGAACCAGGAAAAAACAGAGAAAGGGAAAGCATGCCTTTGAATCAAAATAATCAGATAATTAATTATATGAGTTGGCAGAGCAACATATGAAAAGCATTATATTCGGTTGAATGCTCTCTATCCACATCTCCCCAAAAGTACTTGGAATTTTTTGACTTTATAACTAGAGAAACTTTCACACGAAAAGCTCATTGAGCTCATCCAATCAAGGTCAAACTTAACTAAGCTTGTGGAATTTCACTCTTCACACTTCATTATTCAACAAATATCCCAAGTACAAAGACATGACAACGTAGTAGCTAGGTATTGTGGGATAAATCTAAGATTTTGGAATGTTTAGAAGAATCGAAAGCATTCTCCAATCAGCAAGGTTGCAAAGCAAAGGACATGAAGCACGCCCAATCCAAACGCAGTTCAATGTCGTGACGGTGAGCTTTGTCACTGTTGTATCAAATTGACCAATTGTCTTGGACTTGCATATAAAGGTGTGCTCCCTCATTTGTAAAGCATCCAGAAGCCTTGAGCGATACTACTCTCTAACTTCTCACTACTTTCTCTCTATAATTATTGCAAGGTTCTTACATGGGTGATCATGGAGAAGGCCTGATTCAGTGTCCACAGATTTGAGTGTACCATGGCACATGGCATCAGAGCCATCAACATTTGAAACATTATTGTCATGGCAGATTCAAATACCAGCAACACTTCTGGAGTTGAGAACGTCCATGTGCAAGAGGCCAAAAGGAAGAAGAGAAGAAATGCCTGAGGCAAATCGGTGACGAGGGAGGCATCACCTTTTGAGGCAAGACTTACCAGTTGGAAATGTCATTGGGAGAGTCCTTAGAGAAGCTCGACACCTAGACGGATTGGGTTTTTATTGGGTGCAGACTTGGTTAAATTTCCCCATACACTAAATTCCAAATGTACATAGGACATGACATGAGAGTGCAGAAAACAAATCTGGGTTTTGCCAATCGAGGTGAAGGGATTATATATTCTTCAAGAAGACAGAAAACCTCAGCGTCTCTTAATGTTAGAACTAGACTTGCCCGTAAACATCAAAACCTGTTATGCTATAAGAACTCCATTTACCAGAAGAAATCCAAAAAGGAACAACAAAAATAGACCAGTTTCCTCTTCCTAATTCCCTTCAAGGCTTCAAACCCAACAAAAATGATGAAAATTGAGATATACATATATATAAAGGCTCCTCACGCAATACGACCATCACCAAGAAAACTACATGCATAAAACAAAATCCCATCATAAAATTTACTTGAGGTAAAAGAGTCTGTAAGTTGAATTCAATAAGGAGAGAGATTCCAACCTGGGCTTAGAGACGCCGGTCTTCACCCCAGCTTTGGTGAGAACATCAAGGTATTCTTCCTGCATGGCCTGTGGCTGCTCATTTACACGATCCGCCATCTCTCTCAGAAATTGCTGCTTCAAGCTGTGTCAAGGCTAAAATCTGGAGAGAGTGCACCTGTTTATTCAATTTTGGTTGGCAGAAGAGTCAAATAAACATTTTCAAACAGGAAAGCGAAAAATAACTACTCTGGACCATTTGTACATGTGTTTTTATCATTAATTATATTTATATCTCAAAGACAATATACATTGGAAAACGTCTCAGTCTTCGCTGGTCAAAGAAAAAAAATATGTCCTTTCACAAGTTCAAAATATAAAATACATCTTCCTTTCCCAATTAAATGTTCCCGTTGGGTAAACCCCCACTTTTTTTTTTTTTTTTTTTGATCGGAAGGTAAACCCCCACTTTTGATTCAGTGTAAAATGGTCCTTGATGAATCTGATGATTATGTGCGACGGTGGCGATGGCGATGATGTCGTTCCCTAGATCGATGACGACGGCGGTGTCGACTTCCATGTTCCTTGTCGGAATCTGAAGCCTCAGAGGAACTTGATCGGCGACTATGCTTGTGTCTGCTTCTCTTCTTTCTTCTTATCCTTCGTCTACTGTCGTCCTCTGAACTTTCTGATGAGCTGGATTCTGTATCATAAAGCCTTGGCTTCTTTTTCTTGTGTCCTTTGGTCAATTTTCTCCTCCTATCATCGTCAGACAACTTATCACTCTCCTGTCGATGGTCTCTCATTTCATTGCTTGTAGGAGAAGACATTCCTGTGTGCTTGTTCTTTCTGGACTTTTTGGTAGATGAATTGTTTGTTAGCAGCTCTGGTATGATTGTTTCTCCAAGGAAACCTGCACTTGCAGTTAAGAGAGCATTTGGGTTTTTATTCTTGGTAAGTATGTGGATGCTAATGTGCAGAATATTGAGCTCTAACCTCCGTATTCATCGAATATGTCCTCTGCAACAATCTGTTGGTTGGGGTCATCAAGGTCGAACCCTCCACGAGGAGGGCTCATTCCTGGTTTTTGCTTCAGCTCCCACTTCAGTGGCTGCAAAAGATAGTTATCCAGGATTTTTTTAAAAAAAAAATCCTTAAGAGTTAAGGTAATAAACATTGGCAGCAGGAGGTTCCGCCAGCAGAATTAACTTAATCACATAATTGAAGCTTCGACGGATTCCATTGTTTTTTGACATGCGAACAGATAGGAATATATCTTCTCCTTTTTTCCTTTTTTATTTTTATTTTTTGTTTTCTTTTTTTTCCCTATTATGCTGATAGATGATCTCAAGAAATAATTTAAATTAATCGATATAACACCACTGAGGCTTCGGGAAATATTACCTAAAACGGTATCACCTTTGATTCTTTATTACCTGTGTAAAGGCAAACTAGAAAAGGTATCATGGTGCCCTTTATCTACCACCTTTGATTCTTTATTCTTATATGATTTCCCAAAAAGTACTATTTCTATGATATTGACAGTATATCACCTACAACATTTTTCAAATGAAGAAACAGGTCAACCACATTATTCATGCCAATACACCTAGACAAGAGAAAGGGTTTAAATCAACCTATAACAGGAAATCAGAAGGCATACAAATGAATACCTCACTGGAATCAGTTTGAGCCTGGATGGCTGTTAAGGGGTCATCCCGTTTCAATCGACTTTCCTCATTGGGCATTATAGCATCTTTCATAGGGCATTCACGGTCACCGCTTTGGTGTCCGAAGTTACCACATCTGAGGCATTTCACGTTGCGAATCTCAACACCAAATGGTTTTGACCTGCCAGCAACTCCAGTCTCTAACCTGGAAAAGAAAGTCACTATTGTAAACATCAAACTATAAATTAAGAAACAGAACATGAGAGATTGTTCATCACGCAAGTTAGCATTCTAGAAGCCTAGAACCATAACTTCGCTTCATTCCATCCAAAACCCACCTCAACCTCATATCTACTTCAACAAAAGGTAAAGAGCTTAAAAAATCCAACCCCTAAATGGATCCTTCACAAGATGAAAATGATCAGCAATTCCATACTATGATGCCTACACAGCCAGTCAGCCATATTTGAGAGAGAGAATAACTTGCAAAACAAACCTTGGAGCATTTTTGAGGACTTCAAATTGTTCTTCTGTTGGCAAAGCACGGCCAAAAACATCTTTAGGCCTTCCCTTCTTTTTATCAACTGCAGAAGGCACAGTGCCCGCTTTCCTAGAACAGATAAAGATAATTTAGTCTTATAGCTATAGAAACAGAAATTTAAAAATGCATTTCATTGAGAGACAAAAAAACAATGGAAATTTATGTTTTCGCTAAAAAATTAACTGGATATCTTATGAGCCACCATCAGAAATGATATACATGCATCAGGCATAAGATGTAAACCATTACAATGAAGATGAAGCACCATCTAAAGAAGGATCTTGAAGATTTTTCTCATCGTCTTTCTTTATCTCATCAGCCATTTCAGCAGCTTTAGCACTTTCTGGATTGTAACCCGGAGGTTTCACGTACATGAAGCTAACAGCTTTCATCATTTCTAACTGGGAATCAAAGGCAATAAAAATCACAGCAAATTCACTCAGTCCTTGCACATATATAAGAAATGCAAGGCAATAAGATTATATTGTGCAGCTAGCCCGAGTAACCCACAACCACACAAGCATAAAAGATGCATGATATGAAGTGTGACATACTGGCTTAAGCTTTTATATATATATATAAAGTCTGCCACAAAACATCCTGCCCCAAGACGAAGTTGTCCGAACTCCTAATGCTGGCAGGATGAAGATCCCTTTTATAGACTAAGAGTTTATCAGCAAATAGGAAACCTAGTGGAGTTAGGAAGCTAGCAGAAGTAGTGAAACTAATAGGAGCCCTAAACTAACTGGGAAACTGGATACCAATAGTGGACTCTCTCATATCTTGTATCAGCTCCTTCTATTAATATAAATTTCTTCTACTTCCATATCACTCCCCAAATCTACATCATGCTTTTATTGAGTAAATGGATGTGTAGACAGAATTGTTCCTCAAAAGCAAATGCGGGGCTCATTTGTAAGCACCAAGACTTCCTTTCCAAGTTCATTTAAAATTACCTTTTCTTTCTCCTTTTTGGATACGAGAGCAGTCTGCTTGAGAAAATCCTGTTCCTGCGCATACTGTTAACAACACCAAAAAGGGGCAGAACCGTGAGCGTATAGTTCAATTGCTGCTAACCAAAGGATTATCAAAAACAAGAACCACTTCAAGAATAAAGGGATAAAATCAAGATCTGGCGTACATACGAACTCTGAGATAGATCATCAAAAGGCATACAAAAACATAAAAAGGCAGTATTGAAATTTTCATTACAATTAAGTTTCAGAAATAATAACAATGCACTGCCCTGGCATGGACGAAGAAAATAAAATAAAATAAAATAAAACAAATAGTGAACTTCAAGAACCTAAGCTAATGAACTTTCAGAAAGTAGAAGCAATATAGAACTAATGCCAGAATGGAGGCTCCTCAATGATACAAAATAATTTCATTTCTCGAAGAGAAAAAGACGAATAATCGCGCAATCGGAAAGTAACTAAAATCAAATGAAGCGAGGAAAGGACCTCTCGAGATATCTCCTCGGCGCGGCGCTGCTTCTGCGCGTCGGTCTGCTCGGCGATCCACTTGCGGCGTTGGTTGGGGTAGGAGAGTGGATGCCAGGGCTTCTGGTTGAGGAAGGAATGCGACCAGGCGGTGCCGGCCTTGGTCTTGTAATCGACTTCGCCGTCTTTCTCCCATGGCTTCTTTTTGAGTGGGAATCGTCCTCCTTCCTCCTCCTCCATGCTCTGAGTTGGAATTGGAATTGCTTGCTGTCTGATGTCACGACTCGACCTCTGCTCCAATTTCTTGCCCTATATTTTTTATTTTTACACAAAAAAAAAAAAAAACAAGAAAAAAAAAAGGCCTGAGCCGGCTCCGGGTTGAGGCAGGCTCGGGTGGGTCGGTCTTCGACCGGCTCAGTTCAAGTTGGGTTGTCTAATATTTGCAATTATTAGGCCCGAAATAAATTTCAGTTTTGGGCTGAAGCCCAAATTTCTACCTCGGCCTCAAACGGATAGAGTTTATTGGACTAATTTTTTCGATGTTACCGTGCATTTTGGTAACTCAAAATTTTTATTTTTTTTGTGTTTACCACTTTTTTCCGTCTCAAAACAATAGTTTTATTTCTATAAATAATCATATTACCATAAAATTACTTCTATTTTTTCATTTTTATTACACAATTTACACTACTTTTTACACTACTACACTCATAAGGCAAAAAAAATTTGTATTCATACTTTTTACGTACTACCAATATAATATCAATATTTCTTAAATCTCGTACTCAACCCAATTACGAAAGGAGTATTTTTTAAGTATTGTATTAAATACTATATATATATATATTGAAAAATAATTAAGTTTTTTTTTTTTTATTGAAAATAAATGTAAATATTAAAAGACTATAAATTTTAATATGCAAAGTTACAATCTTGTATCCATAATAGTTACTAAATTATACTTTAAAATTTTGGATCTAAGTGAATATATAATTTTTTTTTCATGAACAAATAAAAGGATAGTTCAATTTGTATTTTATATTATTTTCGTTACTACTGAATTATTTTTCTCTTAGATTAGATTCAAATATATTGAAATAAAATAAATGTTAAGATGATATATAAATGCAGCCTTTATTAATGGTAGGAACTGTACTGACTAAACAACACATTAATAGCCGCACAAAACAAATAATTCTTCCTATGTCATTGAAATGTTTGACAATTTGATCATATATGAATTTTAAGAAAAATATATAAATATAAATAATTTTTTTTATAAAAAAATAAAAAATAACATTTATTTACTAAATAAAAAAATAGAAATAATTTTCGATAACAAAAATAAATAAATTTAAATTTAAATGATGGAAATAATATGTACATATGGCCCTGTTTCTTTACAATAGTTTGGGGAAAAATTAATATTTCGTCACGGTTGGTCTGGATTTTGGAGTCAGACTGCAAGCACTATAAATCTTCTGACCTATTAACTGCTACGGTTACTTTTTCTTTTCTTTTTTTTATTTTTTTTTTAAATTAAAATATTATTTAATATTTATTATAATTAAATAGAAAAAATATATATACAATATATATGTTATTTTATAGAGAATAAAATTTTTTATAATACAAATAAATGAAAATTTAAATATATATATGTTGGATGTAATATAAATTCATAATCAAATCATACAATATAAATTTTATCAATTAAATTTAATATATATTTATATTATTTTATTCATTGTCCATCGAATCAATACATATCAAAACTCCTCAAATCCCAACCAAATACAAATATAAATACAAATACAAATACAAATACAAATGAAACAATAAAATTCAAACTCATCCAAAACTCAAATAAAAATGGAACTGAAACTCAATTTTCTCTAAAGACTCTTGCAAAGAAACACACCCATAATTGTAGTTTGAATGTAAAAAGTCCTACCCTATTCTGTGGGGTAGAATGGGAATGGCACGGTACCCTAGGCTTCTACTATTTTGCACTGCCCTTCAAACTCAAACTACTATTAATTGAGGCCTATCACAAAGATGACCATTCCGCTAAAGTACTACCTGTTATAAAATATAACAAAATAATACTCCCACACAATATATAAATAAATAGGTAGACATCTGATTATATAATATAGATATTATAGATATTGTTGAGTTACTTTTTTAACAAATAAAAATAAAATTCAAAGATATAGAAAATATCTTTAAATTTGATTAATTGATTATGAATCCTACACTGTACATAAGAAAATTAACTGGAAATAAAAATGCTGAAAATTTAAAGTGGTGATCCCCGAATCTGACTTTGCTTTGTTGAAGTTGATTGAAGATACCTTCTCCAGAAAAATCTAAATCCTTAAATATTCTTTGAAGAAAACGCTTGGAACCGTCGCCTGGTCGGTTACAGCAACCGCCGTCAACCGTCGAAAAGAAACGTTTTGAAACGTCGCTTGGTCAGATACGGCGACCGTCTCGCCAACTGCCTAATCCAACCGACTAATCCAACGACTAACTAGTCGATGGACCAAAAGACTCCTGCCCCTACCAAGCGACCAAACTACTATTCACTTAAGTAGGCAATCAATTACCAGACCTTACTTCGCCCGACCTCCGTAGCAGCCGACTTGCAGACTTTCCGACCTATGGACCATCCGACCCACTAACAAACCAACCGCAGACCTTCCGACCTATGGACCATCCCACCCGCTAACCAACCGACCTGACTATCCGACCGCAAACCTTCCGACCTGCCTATCCGACTGAGGACCTACCGACCTGCCTATCCGACCGCAGACCTTCCGACCGAGAACCTACCGACATGCCTATCCGACTACAGACCTTCCGACCTGCCTATCCGACCGAGGACCAACCGACCAGACCAACCGACCGAGGACCAACCGACCTAACCAACCGACCTGAGCTCAAATTTTTCTTCTTTTCCGCGTGACTTCGTGTCCAGTGATGTTTTAGGAGTTTGCAGGCCGTCATCCGAGGCCGCGTCAGCCTCAGATTCGGCCTCCATCTTTCGAGGCTACGTTGGACCCGACCTCCATTGATCATAGACTGGCGGTGGCCTGCGCGTTGTTCGACCTTGCACTTCTATTTCGTCAACACCTCTTCTCTGACAGAAACCGTGATCATTTTCTTTAAAAAGGGATTCTAATCTCACTGCCTTGGACACTAAACTGACCAGATCTTGAACGTCGTGAGCCGTCAAAGCCTCCCGTAATGGTGCATGCATATTCCTGACCACCAAATTGGTCATTTCTTTTTCATTGATTATAGTAAGACAACGTCCTTTCATCAATCGCACCCTTTCGATAAACTGTGATGCTGACTCTTCTGGATATTGTTTCAATTCCAATAAATCGGTAAGAGAAACAGTCGGCAAAGGAGTGAAGAATCTAGCATGAAAAGCCATCTCCAAACCCTCCCACGTTTGTATTTGCCCAGGTGGCAGATTTACAAACCATGAAAATGTTGTCCTGGTGAGAGACAATCCAAACAGTTGTAATTTGTAAAAAGGATTGTTACCGATTTCCCCTAACTGTGCAATGAACCGACCCACATGCTCTATGGTGGAGGATCCGTCTTCTTCTGAGAAAGCATGGAAGTCTGGCGGTCGATAATTCCTCGGGAGAGGATAATCGTTGACGATCCTTTCCGGAAATGGCCTCTGATACACCGGTTGGTTTACCGTTTGCGGATTCATTCCGAACTGTACCCGCAAGGCTCGAGCGATGTCCTATGGATCTACCCTGGGTGTAACAAAATCTTCCCTAGAGAAGGCTGGCTCGTCTAGGATGGGATTATGAATCTGATCTCCCAATCTTTCTTCTCTAGGGACGGTTGGCTCGGTTGGGTGTTATAACCCTCGGTCCCAAAGGAACATTATCTGGGAAAGTTAGAGTAGTCTTCCCCATATCTGTTCAGTTGAAAGTTGTGACGCTTGGAAATGTACTGTCAACGTACATTGGCCCTGGAAAAGTCACCTGAAAACGAGAAGGTGACACGGCTGGAAGCATGTTTGGATACAGGGTGAATCTGGAGAACGCCTGATCCAATATGTTCTGCATTTGTTCACACAACATGTTCTGTTGCTCGCGCAACATATTCTGCATAGTCAAAGTTTGCTGATTGTTCAATTGTTGAACATAAGACAACCAATCGGTAGGTGGTTGGGGAATCTCCCCTGGATTTGGCATGACTGGTGGTGAAATATTTTCTCCCACAAGTACTGATGATGATTGAGGTTGTGTGCCTGCCATATTGATTTTTCTGATGATTCGTCCGGACCTCAGTCGTATGAAATTCTCTGGTAATGTAGGATCAGCAAGACCAATTTGTTAAGTTATTTTTTCAACAAACAAAAAGTAAAATTCAAAGATATGGAAAATATCTTTATCTCTAAACACTCTACAGTACATAAGAAAATTAACTGGAAATAAAAATGCTAAAAATTTAAAGTGGTGATCCCCGAATCTGACTTTGCTTTATTGAAGTTGATTGAAAATACTTTCTCCAGAAAAATCCAAATCCTTAAATATTCCTTGAAGAAAACGCTTGGAACCGTCGCCTGGTCGGTTACAGCAACCGCCGTCAACCGCCCAAAAGAAACGTTTTGAAACGTCGCCTGGTCAGTTACAGCGACCGTCTCGCCAACTGCATAACCCAACCGACTAATCCAGCGAAGCGACCAAACTACTGTTCACTTAAGTGGGCAATCAATTACCAGACCTTACTTCGCCCGACCTCCGTAGCAGCCGACTTGCAGACTTTCCTACTTATGGACCATCCGACCCGCTAACCAACTGATCTGACTATCCCACCGCAGAACTTTCGACCTATGGACCATCCGACCCGCTAACCAACCGACCTGATTATCCGACCGCAAACCTTCCGATCTGCCTATCCGACCGAGGACCTACCGACTTGCCTATCCAACCGCAGACCTTCCGACCGAGGACCTACCGACCTGCCTATCCGACCGCAGACCTTCCGACCTGCCTATCCGACCGAGGACTAATCGATCAGAAACTTCGTGTCTAACTTCCTTTAAAATCTTGTTATCCTTATTATTATTTTTTGTGCGTAACATATATATATTGTATAGGAATACAATATGTATATGTATGTAGTAATAAATATGTTAGTTTCTTTTACCATCAAATTCATATTTGTACTACTTCATTATAAACAAAATTTTTCACAAATCCATCAAAAAACAACATACTCATATATTAATAACCCTGTGGATTTGTTCATATTATTAGCGAATGCGGTAATGAGAAATTCATATCATATCATTAAATCATTCTATTTATACATATTCTACATAACAATTAGTCACCCAACTTTGGCCACATGTCATGATACTTATACGACACCTAATATAAAAGTTTTTTAATTATTTATCAATTTAATTACATTTGTCATATCTCTCTCTCTCTCTAAATATCAATTATAAATACAATATACACGATATACATCAGCATTCTTCTACTCTCTTACAATATATCTATCATCATATTGTGCAAGTAAGTGAAATATATACAAGTATTAGTATTGTGTTCTCCTCAAGAAAATGAACACTCTCCCTTCTTCACATCTTCTTTCGAATATTCCTCAATTATTCAATATTACTTCAAAAAATTCATTTCCTAATCCTAATGTAAACAGAAGGAATATCATTTCTACGGATATAATAATCTCCTCTCCATCGTTTCCTCGCAAGCTCCTAAAATGCAACGTTCAAAGGTTTAATCTCGTCACCATATTGAATGCCTTAGATGAATTCATATGCAAATTTCTTGACTCCCCTCTTCCAACTTGTGTCGATCCTGGCCACGTCCTCGCCGGAAACTTCGCGCCGACGGACGAGCTTCCGCCGACCTTATGCGACACTATCGAAGGCTCCATCCCGAGCTGCTTAGAGGGCGGAGCGTACATCCGTAATGGCCCCAATCCTCAATTCATCCCTAGAGGACCTTACCATTTCTTCGATGGCGATGGGATGCTTCACATGATCAAATTCTCGAAAGGTAACGAGGCTACGTTTTGTAGCCGCTATGTCGAGACGTACAAGTATTTAGCCGAGCGTGAGGTCGGGTACCCTTTCGTCCCGAGCATTTTTGCTTCCTTCAATGGCGTTCCGGCCACTGTTGCTCGATTAGGTCTAAACATGGCGAGGGTGATTCTAGGGCAATTCGACCCGATGAATCGTGGATTTGGCGTGGCGAACACGAGTTTGTCGGTAATTGGGAATCGACTCTACGCGCTGTGTGAGTCGGATCTTCCGTATGAAGTGAAACTGACGTCGGAAGGGGATATTTTAACGGTTGGGCGAAGTGATTTTTGTAGTGTGGAACCGTTGTTGAGGATGACGGCGCATCCGAAAGTCGATCGTGAAACAGGGGAGGTTTGTGCATATAAATATGATGTAGTACCTCCGTATATTACGTTTTTTTGTATCGACTCGGATGGGAGGAAGCAACGGGAGTTGCCGATATATTCGATGAAGGAGATGACGATCATCCATGACTTTGCGGTGACCAAGAGTTATGTGGTGTTTCCCGATCTCCAGCTTGTGGTGAATCCTTGGAAGATTTTGCGGGGAAAGTCTCCGGTGGGGGTGGATGCTTGCAAAGTGCCGCGGCTTGGGATTGTTCCCAAGGATGCGACGGATGAGTTTGGGTTGTGGTGGATTGATTGTCCGGGGTTGAATTTGTTGCATTGTTTTAATGCTTGGGAAGAAGATGACGGCGACACTATAGTGATGATCGTGTCTAATAGTGCATCGGTGGAGCACGTTCTTGAGAAGATACAGTCTTCGCCGGAGTTGACGATGGAGAAGGTCACAATAAGTGTGAGGAGGAAGACGATGGAAAGGCGCAGATTGTGTAGTAGGTCGCTTGACTTTGCAACCATCAACCCGGCGTATGCTACAAAGAAGACGCGGTGAGCTATTATCGATTGACTTCATAATATACAAATAGATAGTGAGTATTCATTTTAAGTTTAGATTTTGATGTGAGATGGTCCTTGAACAGAATTAATGATGTTATTACAAGTCAAGGCACGAAATGAACAAGCTAAGCTCGCTCAATTATGGATGGATTCATTCCATTAATGATTAATTGAGACAATGAATTAATGTAGGTATGTTTATGCCGGGATGGTAGGAGAAATGAGGTGGGAGGGGGTGGTGAAGCTAGACTTATTATTATCTGGTGATGGTGATGAATGCACGGTGGCTAGCCGGGTGTACGAGCCAGGGTGGTGCGGAGGCGAGCCATTCTTCGTGGCGAGCAACAGATCTACAACGACAGACGAAGAGGAAGAGGAAGATGAAGACGAAGACGAAGACGACGGTTACTTGGTAACGTATGTGCACGACGACAAGTGTAATGAGTCGATGTTTCTGGTAATGGATGCACAATCGCCGACGCTGGAGACGGTGGCCGCCGTGAAGCTGCCGCATCGGGTTCCCAACGGCATCCACGCCATCTTTTTACTCCCAACGCAACTTGATGCCTTGCATTGATCAATGCCACTCATCCCTACTGGCTAATTAATTAATTAATTAAGCTGCAGTACTGAAGGCGCATGCAGCCATGAAATGAAATAACTATATACACATATTCAGACCATACTGTAGTCTGTGGATATATACGGTACTATATACGTTCTTCAAATTATTTCCAAAACAAAATTAATAATGTCCTCTCATCATCATTTAACAGTTTTGGACAAGTGTGGGGTGGGGTTGTGGTCAGTTTCCACATAGGCAACTGCACCCCACGCCACGATTCATTCATTCATCACAGATAACAACATGTATGTGTCAAAATAATTGAACTTAGCTACAGATATTTATTACTCCTATATTATACTAGTATTTTATTAAAACACAAGCAATTGTATAATACTTATACACTAAGCACAGCCATAACACAACTTCGATCCTAATTTTTATTATTAGTTTTAAAATAAAATAAAAAAAAGTACACAAGATAACATAACAAAGCAAACCTTTAATCTCACTCGTAGTCTTATATATATATTTATCTGTTAATGTTAATGTTAATGTCAGTCAATTATCCACAGCTACTTGAACGTTTAATATACTTTTAAAATACTAAAAAATGTATGCATGAATGCTAGTAACTGATAAAGAATTTTGAGTGAGCAGTTAATTACCCGCATAGCGTTGACCTAAGCACCGACAGCTCATCTTCTCCCTTTCAATCTCTTTCTGCGACTCACTCAATGGCCAACGCCCTTTCTTCCTCCTTCCTCCTCGGAAGCTTTTCTTCAATTCCCCCTTCACTCTTACCAATACCATCACCATTGCCACCGCTACTCACATTCCATCATCCAAAAAGACCAATACAGTCCTCGCTTACCTCCATCGACGATTTGATTTGCAGGTTCTTGGACCCTCCACTGCGACCCTCCATCGACCCCAAATTCATCCTCGCCGGAAACTTTGCTCCTGTCGCCGAGCTTCCACCCACCGCCTGCGAAGTCGAAGGCTTCCTTCCGGCTTGCCTGGACGGCGCCTACATCCGCAACGGCCCCAACCCCCAGTTCGTCCCCCGCGGGCCGTACCACGCCTTCGACGGCGATGGGATGCTTCACTCTGTCAGAATCTCCGGCGGACAGGCGGTATTCTGCAGCCGCTTCGTGAACACATACAAATATAAAGTTGAGAAGGAAATTGGCGCTGCGGTTGTTCTCAATAGCTTCTCGTCCTTCACCGGCGTCGCAGCTTCTCTGGCGCGCTCCGCCGTTGCTATTAGCAGGATGTTGTCGGGGCAATACGACCTACGGCGAGGAACCGGCACGGTGAACACTAGCTTAGCGCACTTCGGCGGGAAGCTCTTCGCTATTGGTGAATCTGATCTTCCTTATTCGATTAAGGTATTGCCGGACGGAGATATAGTCACTTTGGGCCGCCACGAAGCTTTCGGCGACGAGTTGATGACAATGACAGCTCATCCGAAGGTCGATTGGGAATCCGGCGAGGCCTTCGCGTTCAGGCACGGCGTCACGCGGCCGTTCCTGTCGTACTTCAGGATCAACTCCGCCGGAATTAAGCAGCCGGAAGTGCCGATATTCTCGAAGCCACAAGCCTCGATGGTGCACGACCTTGCCGTTACCCAAAATTACGTCGTCTTCCCCGATACACAAATCGCCATCAGTCTGACGGAGATACTCAAGGGGAATCCGATGGTGAGAGCAGATCCGGCGAAAATCCCTAGATTGGGGATCCTTCCACGGTACGCGGTGGACGAGACTGGGATGCAGTGGATCGTTGTGCCGGGATTCAATATGCTTCACGCGTTCAACGCGTGGGAGGAAGACGGCGACACCATAGTTATGGTGGCGTCGAATATGTTGCCGGTGGAGAATTTTCTGGAGAACGTGGAATCGCTTCACACATCAATCGAACGAATCGAGATCAACTTAACTACAAAAACCGTCAGAAGAACGCCAATTTCGGATCAGTGCCTGGAATTAGGAAACATCAATCAAGCATACGTCGGGAAGAAGAACAGGTACATTAAATCAATTCATCAGAATCATTGACGACAATGCAGCTCTAGATCTATTATATTCTATTCTTCCTAACTTGGAATTAATTTTCGCGAACACATGCCAGATATCTCTACGCGGCAATCGAATCGCCCATGCCGAAGGTAGCAGGAGTGGTGAAGCTCGACCTGTCGCGGTACAACTCCGGAGACTGCACGGTGGCTACTCGTCTATTCGAGCCTGGATGCTACGGCGGCGAGCCGTGCTTCGTGGCTAGGGATGCTGATAATCCGGCGGCGGCGGAGGAGGACGACGGATATCTGGTGAGCTACGTGCACGACGAGAGGATCAACGTATCAAAGTTGATAGTGATGGACGCGAAATCCGCAAGTCTGGAAATCGTGGCGGCCGTGAAGCTGCCGCAGAGAGTGCCGTATGGCTTCCATGGAATCTTCGTGAGCCAAAATGACCTCCATAAGCTACTACTCTCTACAAATTAATTACTCGGTTTTGAACTCCATTTATATATCTGTTCAACGTAATGATAAATTTAAATGTAAATGGTATAACAACTATCACTGAAATAAATTGCAATTATATTATTTGCATATCATTTATTACTATTCATATTAAGCATATATGGATATTATAATTTACTATTTACTGTATTAATTTTCATAAACTACTGTACGGCTCTTGCTAATTAAAAAATATTTCTGTTCAATTTTTTCTTACTGGGCCGTGATGATTCCATTTTAACAGGCTCAAAAAGTCCATATCCGAATTTTTGGGCCAAACATGTAACTGGTCCAAATTTAATTGGATTGCTTAATATGGCCCACATAAATAATGGTATGAGATTTTTTTGAAAGATTCGACTTATCTTACACAAATTTAGTCTAGCAGTTTCTTTCCATACTTGTGTAGCGTAGCCTCAGAAGCGTGTTCTCCCTAACCCAAAAAGAGGTTGGTGTGACTCTGACTTGTTTATTATAGATTATTAGGTTTAGTCGGGAAAGAAATTAATACAGTAGAATGAATGGAAGAATTTAATAATACAATATTGTTTGCTTGTAATTTAAAATTAATTTGAATTTTATTTTAAATTATTTTATAAGAAGAAAATATTTTTATTGAGAATCTGAATTGAATGGTAGTATTCCCACGTTAACTAAGCAATAAATCATTCCCAAAGTTCGGAACTAAATAATGGACACGAAAGTAGATAGGATTCTTTATTCCTAGCACATACTTGTACATACTACCGTATCACGTGACAATTTCTTATCTAAAATGTGAAGAAAAGAAAAAGAACATTCAATCACTTCAAGGGCAAGTAATGCAAGTCATTTTCCTTTTCCATGAGAGAGAGAGAGAGAGAGAGAGAGAGAGAGAGAGAGAGAGAGAGAGATTCTTTCTTGCGGGATTGAGGGACCCCTAAACCCACCCTACCCTACCCACACCCGCACCCACACCCACACCCACACCCACCGTTGAAACCTTATCCACTTTTATGTCCAAATCTCCAATTATTGAAGAAGCCATTAAAATATACTACTATTACATAACGTGCAGCAGGTCCATAATCAATTCAAAACACCCCACTGATTGAGAGGAGATGAGATGAAATGCTCACCCTCTCCTTCATCCTTATGCATATCATATCATATCATATCATGTTTTAATTTAACCCCGCTTCTTGGAAGCTCCAGGGATCCCAACACCAATGAACACATTTCACACATTCAAGAACACAACATGAAAACCAGATATGCCATTGTTAAACTGCTCTATCTCATATGTATGTATATTGATTGTTTGAGGTTTAAATATTCAAGGACTGGATAATATATACAACTCACTTTGGCTAAGATCTTGTAAGAGGAGATAATATGTAAGCTGACAGTTAAAGAAGGCAATAATAGATTTGAAGGAATTCATTCAATTCAAGTTCAAGGGAAGGTTAACTGTGCCTTTCGGTTCGAAGGATTTCCATGATGCTTCCAGTCGCATCAAGTGCAACTTCTCGACGAAAGGCTCTAGAACCTCAGCCTCCTCTTCGGGTGCAAAGGCCATACAGATGCTGAGCTCTTGGACTGCAGCCTCGTACTCCCTGAAATAAGTGGAATTTAGTTGCACAGGAACATCAAGTAGAAATGGGCGGGTAGTCGGTACCTGTTATAGTATAGCATCATGCCATGATCGCGTCTCATGGTCCAATCATGTGGCTGAAGGATTAGAAACCGCTCTGAAGCCATTATCGCAAGCCTGAAACATAATGTGACATTATAAGATTGACTTTGCTAGGGGAAAAAAATGTCTTTTTTTCAACAATGCAACCATGTTTTGATTTTTAAAGAGCCATGAATGAAGATCTTGATACCCATTTAGACTTTGTAATTATAAAACCAATTAATAATGATGAACAGAATCTATAATGACGGGGTCTAAAAGGATAAAAAACTACTATTAAGTGAATCTCAGTATGACCCCCAACACATCAAATGAATTGGGATTGTAATATACTGAAATTTTCTTTTTCAGATCAAACATATATATATATATATATGCAGATATTAATGAGTCCGGATTCACAATTTCTGCACTCATGCCATTCTTGGAATATAAGCATCTCAAACCTGTATGACAGACAAATAGGCACCTATCGAATCAGAGGAAAGCAACGAGAGCAATAATCTATCCAGAAAGAGAGTAAAATAACAACCTTAGCTCCTGGGACCTTAACAAAGGAAGGCATGCACTATTGCTGCTGTTGAATTTTCCATCATTGTAAGTGGACCTAAGCGGAGAAGTCAGCATCAACCCATAATGTTTTCTTGAGGCTCGTTTCCAGTAAAGCCTCTGCATTATATGTTCACATTTTTACAAGTTAGATATTCCCAAGAAAAAATTGCAAAAGCAACGTCTACAGATAATTTCGTGATTCCAGGATGCATAGCAGAAAGGTGTCGGTAAAATTTAACTCACAACTAAATTAGCCAATGCAATCCCAATGATATCTCTATTTGTTGCAATATCTAGCCCTAAAAGTGAGTTGCTGGTTATGTCCGAAGCCCTACATCGAGGATCATCAACACACTTTCCATTGACCACCCCAAACAAGCTGTGTCCGGATGTTACTTTGAATAACTCCTATGTTGCACAAAAAGTGTAGAAGTAATACAATGGGAAGTTACAAACTATAACAATAGCATGAATTGGTACATGAACTAAGATACGAGATTATACCTCGGGATTCCCGGTTTGAGGCCATATCAAAAAATCTTCCCCAACGCGAGACCCCACAATGACGAGATTAAGCCTTTGGCAAACTTCAATGTAAATCACGCTAAGCAAAATTCCTGTTTAAGGTTAAGTCATGAAATCAGCGAACATCTTGTAAAGTTAACTAACAAAAATTAAAAGTAAAATAAAATATCACGAATCAAGTAACTATAATGTATTCAACTTAAAAAAACCATACCGCTGGCACATCCAGAGCTTAACGCAGAGTGTAGATATGAATACTTTGAATCAACGAGCACAGGTAACCTTTTAAAACCTCTAAACTCAAAGAGGACTCTGTTTACAGCCTCCACAACTTCTACGAAATGACATCCTATCTCTCGAGAAACTAATTCAGCTGCAACTTCCTTTGCTATAACGTCAAGCTCAGCCAACCACTTATTCAGATTCTTTCCGCTGATTGGCATATCCTCCACACCCTGCCACTCTTGGAAGTCAGACAGTGGTAACGCATTCTCCCTCTCGATATGCATTGAATGTGCGTCTACCTCTCGATTGTATGCCAAAAATGCCTCGTCTTCAGCAGCAACATAAAGCAAAGCCTGGAGGTGGTCTCCCAACAAAATTATTAAGACAGTGGCGACAAAAAGGAAACAATGCTAAGGCAGTGGCGACAAAATGGAAACAATGCCCGAAAAATATATCTATTAATGTATGCTGCTTTTGGTATGCTAACAACTAATCATTTCAGTACTCGTGGCAACTCAGCACCATACACCACAAAGTTGGAAAGTAATAAATTAAGATAAGGTAATCTAAGCCAATCATCAAGAACAACAAAATCTACACATAGTTTGATGATAAAATATTACCTTTGCGAGAGATATATCTTTATCCTTAGACTGGAAAGAAATCTCCTGGGTAAATTTATCTCTAGCATCCTCGAGCACCTTACATATAATAGCAATAGAGATCAAATACTCACATGGTTGTATTGATCATAAGAAACATGCTCTAGTAAGCTCTAATAGAAGTACTAAATGCTAGTAAAAAATGGTTGAAAATCAATAGCTAGATCTCAAACATGTAAAAATTGAAAGATCACAGAATAAATTCCAACCTTCTTATAAATCTCAGCTTTAGCAACACTGGGGGACTTGGTCACACCAGAAGCCATAGGGGAAACCCCAAAGCTCATCCTCTTTGCTGCAGAATTTCTAATTGTTGCACCGATCATACAATTCAACTTTACTTGTCCATAACCACTCCTAAATCCACCACGACCATCTAAATCATACCTGATGATCGTAAAGAAGAAGAAAGGGATATTGGGGATTTCCATGTAGTAGTAGTAGCACATATGCTTCTCCAATAACTTTACATCAACAAGTAAATCAAATTCGTTTCATCAAATCTCCAATCCACAAGAACAATCAAATGCACATAACAGCAGACCAAGTATCAATTAAACCTACTGAGATTACCTTAAGCTACTCCCGAGAGAGTTGATGGCTAAGGTAGATGCACCGCTTCCTGCAGCACTCACCATCCTCATCGCCGTCTGCTGATTACCTAAACCAGGCAACAAGACACAACTCATTTCTCTCAAAAGATGAAGAAATAGAGCTCCTCGCCGCAATCGCACACTGTCTGTTGAAAGTGAGTAAATGCTCCCAGCTTTTTCAGAAAACAACAAAACGGTTGCTGAAATTGTGTCAATACGCGACAACGAACATCAATCAATTTCTCCCGAAATCAGCACCCAAAAAAAAAAAAAAAAGAAGGGTCTTAAGCGAAATAATCGAGAAAACCAACAAAAACTAGGGCAATCCAGGGAATTTAACAATCAAGCAATCTCATCATCGTGATCGCGTGAAGAAACAAAAACTTCGGGGATTAAATAACTCAAAGGATGATTAATTGAGGGATTAGAGGACGCCATTTGAGCAGACGCGGACAATGTTGCTGATGTTGAGCAGCAAATGCAAACACAAGAGTTATAGTGGAAGCTGACACTGCCACGAATTTCAAGATCCATAGAATCTGAAGGATTCAATTCTAGCATCAACTCTCCACCCTCTGTCTTTGTCTCTTTGTATATACTCACAGAGGTTTGTATGTATTGCTGAATTCTGGGTGATCGCGGAGCAATGGCATGCTTTGAAGGTTCAAGCACCTCTACTCTACTCTCCCATAGCCTACTCTATTATCTCTAAATTAATTAATTATATATATATATACATTGTATATTTGTATGTATATGTGAGGCGGTATTTTGGGTTTTTGTTAATATTTTTAATTTAAAGTATTTTTCTTTTAAAAAAAATTAATATAGAAAGCTTATTGGAGTATAATTATTTGTTTATATAAATAAATAGAATATATATATATATAAATATGTAGTGTTATAGTCCTTCCGTGTTACCTATTTTTTATTTTGAAAATATAGAAAGCTTATTGGTAATATAATTATTTGTTTATATAAATAAATAGAATATATATATAAATATGTAGTGTTATACTTCCGACGTGTCACTTATTTTTTATTTTGAAAATATGATTTATACGCTTTATCATATTTTAAATTTAAATTTTATAATTTTTTTAAAATTTTAATTAAATTATTTAATTATCTTAATTTTAATATATAATTATTTTTATTATATAATAATTATTTTTACTAATACATTTATTTATTAATTATATTTTACCTAAATTTTTAGGTAAATTCATATTACAGGGGAGGGAGGGAATAATTTATTATAACATTAATAAAAAATATTTTAAAAGTTTTTATCAAGTAACATAAATTTAGGTTTTAGAAAATTTTTGATTATTTTGTATTTTGGTATGAAGTAAAAAAAAAAAATTGTGTGAATATAGAAAATTATATATATAATATAAATAAAATGAATATGTATGGGTGTGCTTGTTTATAGGGTTTGGATTTTAAGTTGGGATTTGAACACTAAAAATTTTGAATTTGAATAGTTGTATGATATGATATAAATAGATATGCGATGTTTTTTAATGTAAAATTGATTTTTAGTATAATATAAAAAATAAAAAATAGGTGTTTGATTTGGTGTTTTTTGTTGGAAAAAAATTAAATGAACAGTGTAAATCCAATTCAATCCCCCAATAAAATTATTTTAAATAAATTATTAAAATTATACTCCCGTCCACAAACTAATATTCTACTTTCTTATTTGGGATGTCCAACAACTATTATCCTTTTTAAACGCAAATTTTACATTTTTACATTTCATTCATTTATTACTTTTAATTTCTATAAAGTACACCTAACACATCTTTTAAATAAATAGTAATACATAATAATTTTGTTACCAAATATTTTTAAATATTATTATAAATTATATATCATAAAATATTATCTTATTGTCTGACATATTTAAAATATCTAACTTGATAAACAAGAGTGTTAGAATAAGAAACTGAAATCGTTTGTTCAATCATACAAATCTGTAAACAAATGCAAGAATTTACAAATATCTTCGAAGACAACTGTCATAAATATAATATATTCTCTCTAAATATATATATTTTTTTAAGAACGAACTTCATATTGCAAATTAGCCCAAATAATTTCGAACTTTATTGTAATTTTTTAAGAACGAACTCCATATAAAAAGATTATCTAAATAAATTGAGAATCCAACATTAGTTCACTAATCTAATGAAAAAAAAATTATAATTACTCGTTGAAGAAGCTATGATTTTCATGTTGGGACTGGAATTTAAGCATAAGCCCGTGTTGAGATAACTGAGATATGAGATAAAATAAAGCAATTAAATCTAACCTTATAAGAATAAAACAATTAAATCTAACTTTATTCGGATCCGCAAATAATGGAGAATTTTGTTTTGTGTTCTTCAAGCCTATAAGCAACCCTTTCTCATAAAACTTCTACGATCACAACCTTAATTTATATATGCGATTATTAATGGATCTCTACTGTCAGTACTTACTAAATACAGTTAACCCCCAATAAAATTAATAGGTTACTTGATGTAGATATAAATTTAATCGAACTAATAACCCAAACAGTTACTTTTAATCTATTTTTAATCCAACATTTTAGGCACAATTAATAATATGATATAATTAAAGGGTTAACTATTTTGAATTTAAACAATGTGATAGTCATAACAATATTGAGATATATTTATATACTTGATGTTTGGAGATGCAATATATGTTAATTGATCTGAACTAAACTAAAGTAATTTTTGTATGTAAACAAACCATCAATTTAATTATTTGTAACAATATTAAAATTTGAATCCCAACTAAAAAATAATAATCTTCAAAAGTGATTTTTATTTATTTAAACACATATCAACACTATTTATCAAAACCAAACACGCCCTATAAATTAACATTTATTAATTTTTGTTTCTAAGAATTGACTTAATTGGATGAGATACTATATATATATATATATATACACTAGTGCCCGATGACGCGCTACGCTGCGTCGGATTGGATGATATATTTTGTAATATAAAATTTGATGTATATTGGTATTGTAAAATTTAATTATTAAGATTCTATGTATACTAATTAATTTAATAATAAATATTGTTACGATAAAATATCAATAATTATGTGTTTGTTCTTTCAATAATTTTATATGATTATCAATATAATATATATATATATTTATTATCTCATAAAAAATTAATATTTCATAAAAAAATATTTTCTCCGTACGGCTCTAAAGTTCTCATTTATCTTTTGTGTTATTGTATTTAATATTAAAAATATTTTTATATTTGTATAATTTTTGTGCAAATATCATTATAATAATATTATAAGACACGAATAGACGTATTTTTGTCATTTTTCTTTATTTATATTACATTTTGATATAATAATTAATATTTAAAGATCAACACGCAAAAAGTAAATGAAATCTTTAAAATAGGATGAAGGTAGTATTATTTTTATATTACTTACGCAACTTTCATACTTCATATAAATATATATATATATACAACAAACAAATCCTATATATTTCTATTATTACTAAAAATCGATTTATTTATGATTAATGAGACTTAATCTATGTAAGAAAGAAAAAAAGAAATATAGTTAGTGGACAAAATTTAAATTAGACACTTATGAAATCGTACAAGAATAATAATATTAATCAAAAAAATGCTTATGTTCTTGATAATCATAATAAATTGTTGCTTAAATTTATTAAATATTTTAAATAATTGGCGCAAAGATCACAAAAATAAAGGTGTGTTTGTTTGGGGGTTTGGATTTTGAGTTGAAATTTGAATAATAAAAATTTTGAATTTAGATAGTCGTATGATGTGATATAAATAGGTGTTGATGTGATATTTTGAATGTAAAATTGATTTTTAGTATAACATAAAAAATAAAAAATAAGTGTTTGATTTGATATTTTTGGGGAGAAAAATGAGATGAACAGTGTAAATCAAATCCAATCCCCCAAATAAACACACCATAAGGGGCTGTTTGGTTCAAGGATTTGATGGAATTCCATAGGATTTGGATTTTAAAATTCTATTAAATCCATGTTTGGTTAAGAAAAAGAAGTTGGAATTTAAAATGATGGTATTTGAAAAATGGTCTAAAATCTTACAAATAAGGGATTTTTTGTAATGGGATAATCCTGTTACTTTTAAATCTCATTCTTGAAATTTTAATTTTTACATTTATATCCTCTTATAAAAAAAATAATATTTTATTTATATGAAAAATTAAATAATTTTAACATTAATTATTATTTGAATTATATACTTGATTGTACAATATTTTTTAAATAAATTAATAAATTCATTGTTTAAATTATTATTTATTACAAATTTTATTTGAATTATAAAATTATATGGACGACCATAAGTCGGGTTCAGTCGGAACTGATATTCATCCCAAATATATATTGTTAAATCCGATATTCAAATTGGATCCGATTATACTAGATCCGACCGAGACTATACCCGGTAAGACTTGATGGATCCGAAAAATCCATTTTTTATACAATTCTTAAATTTTAATTTAAAATTACATATGTACTGGATCCAATGTATATTAAAATTTATGTATTTTATTAGAAAAATATTATAATAAAATATTGAATACGTTAAACTCAAAAAATATTTTTAATATAATTATATTATTCGAAATTATTTTTTGATATGTATGGTTGATATATTATTATATTACCCTAATCATAATCCGTATCCAGGCCTAATACTCAAATAATTGGACTCAACTTCAAATAAATAGGTCGGGTCTCGAGTTTACTCGAATCTATTGTCTTCCTATAAAATTATTGATATCTTTTCAATTTATATTAATAATGAATTAGGGGTTTAATTTGTCAAAATAAATAAAATTCATAAGAGGACAATTATATCATTTAAAATATAAAAAATCCAAATCGACTAAATATAGTTCCCACCACATTTTACCAACCAATCATAATATGGGATTCCAAATCCTAAATACAATAAATCTCATCCCATATAAATACCTTACTGTGAAATCCCAATCCCAGAAAAAAAAATAAAAAGTCCATAACCAAACAACCCCTAAATACATTTTTTCTTGTTAAGGAATATCATAATAATTTTATTAAAAGTATAATTAAATATAAGCAAAATAGGAGATGGTGGGTTGTTAAGTGGAGAATGAGTAATTAAATTTTTTATTTTTTATTTCTATAAAAAATAATTCACCATATTTTTTAAAACAAAAATCTTTTTTGTACTTCATATATAAAATATATATTCAAACTATTTCACAAAGCAAACACATAGTTGCTTATAAAGCAAAGATATTGTTAGTGCAATATCTAAAATATTAGTGCAATATTTGATATGTCTATATTATTAATGACAACAAATATGGGTGTGTATGTTCGGAATTTGGATTTTGATTTGAAATTTGAATAGTAAATTTTTGAATTTAAATAAATGTACGATGTGATATAAATAGTTATTGATGTAATATTTTAAATGTAAAAATAATTTTTAATGTAATATAAGGAATAACAATGAAGTACTTGATTTGATATTTTTTTAAAAAAATATTAATGAATAATAAAATTTTATAAACGAATAACAGAAATTCAAGAACCAAATAAGCGACAATAGGATAGTGTAGAAAGAAAAATGGAAACAAAGATACAAATGGAATAGAAAAGCAATGCTAAGTTGCAAATAATAAATAAAAATAAAAGTATTAGAGTCATTTCAAGTGTCAAAAAAAAAGATGATAGGTATATATTAGTATTAATATATATAAACTCTTTGGTAAGTATTCTAACTAAAATGATCATTATTCAAATTCATATTCCCAACAATCGGTTAGTTTATATATATATATATATAATTGTTATTTGAATAATGTTAAAAAAAATACGCAAAATATTACTATAAAGCAAACAATTTTATATATTTGATTATATTTTAATATTTAAAAAATTATTATTTAATCTTAACATTAATAGTTATTTAAAATAATATTTAAATAAAAATCAAATTAAGCATAGAGATTTCATATATAACCATAGCGAGAGGCGGGTGGGCCATGAAATAAATAAAGAGGTGGGCCCACACTCGAACCCGATCGACCGGCTGGCTCAACCCGGTCTGAGCCGGCCGGGTACGCCTTGATATCCGTGACAAGTGATTGATACACAGCCAATCATTGAGAATCACTTTCCACTTATTAGTTTAATAGTTTAGTTGATGTGATGTATTCTATTTCTCCCACCACCGATGCATTTATGCAGAGAGTTGGACGTATTCCATAGGCAACACTTACTTTGCCACTCCGCCGCTGCTTCTTGCATCAATTCCGTTCCATTAACCTTCCATGCTTCACCCAGAAACCTCCTCAATTCTCTGCTGATCTTCAATCCTGCGTCCCGTTGCAGCGCCAAAGCTGTTGCAAGGGGTGCTCTACTTCACTCGATCAGGTCAATTTGATGCGCAATTTCAAAGGATTCTCAAGTTATATATATATATATATATATTTGCTGAAACTCGAGGGGGTAGAAGCTTTGTTAACTTTGTCGACATTTTTTTTCCCTCGGGAATAGAGCTGCGTTTGTATGATTTTACTAAAGAAAGAGGTGCCTAGAAATATCTTCCAGGCTTGATTAATATTTTTTCATTTGTTATTTTGGAGTTTCTTGACTGCTTAATAGCTTTTTGTGGTTGTAAATGGTACTTTACTAAACAATGATTTGTGAACACGCACACAAAAATTTGGTGTTTTTTTCTTTCTTTCTTTGATTTGTTTTTTCATCTGTATATTTTAGTACTCACTTCGTACTTTTGCCATTGAAGATGGTAGACTTTCATTTCTATGTTAATTTTTTGACTGTTGCTGATCAACAATGGCTATTGTTGAATATGTCCTACATTGAGAAAAATGTGGGTGGGAACTCATTGGCTAGGGCAAAGGACCACTCCACCTAGTAACTATTGGTTTTAAGCTATTGGTTTTAAGTTAGAAGCCCAAATCATTTCTTAATATGGAATCAGAGCCATTGTGTAGTGCCCATATTTGGGTATTGATCTTGTATGGATTTTTGGTCCATATTGGGTATTGATCTTGTATGTATTTTTGCTAGTATTGGGTATTGATCTTGTATGAATTTTTGAGATTATTATCTCGAGAAGGAGTGTTGAATATGTCTCACATTGAAGAAAATATGGGAGGGCCAATCCACCTAGTACCAATTGGTTTTAGGTTGGAAGCTCGGATCTCTTCTTAACATCAATTTGGAGGAGTTTTTGATATGTTGCTTTGCATGCAGGAAGACAGCAGCTAAAAGGAAGTTGGTTGATCGAAGACCAATAGTATTATCGATGATGGCTGGGCATGAGGGGACACCATCAAGTTCTGAGGTGCGATCTGGCAAGATGATCTTTGAGCCAATTCTCGAGGAGGGGGTTTTCCGGTTTGATTGTTCTGCAGATGACAGAAATGCTGCGTTTCCAAGCTTCTCTTTTAAAAACCCAAATGTTAGGGACACGCCCCTTATGAATGTCCATAAGATTCCAACCTACACTCCCAATTTTGAATGTGCAATGGGACAACAGGTTGTCACTTTTGAGGTAATGTAGCATATGAGCGGGCTGTTAGCACAAAAGTACAATTTATATATCTTTGTTTGCTTGGAAACTAACATGCTGGATTCAAATTTTAGAAAATTATGGAATATTAAGATTAAATCTGCATGTATTCAGTTTCCACCAAATACCTCGTTTTATGGGACTGGAGAAGTAAGTGGGCAGCTTGAGCGAACAGGGAAGAGGGTGAGCCCATAAAATCTACTATTGTATACATGCCTTTTTTCAGAAAAAAAAAGGTAGTTCAATTTGCTGTGATTAACTTGTAATAGATTTTTACCTGGAACACTGATGCTTGGGGATATGGCGCTGGAACAACTTCATTGTATCAATCACATCCTTGGGTTCTAGCGGTTCTTCCAGATGGTCAGTCGATAGGTGTTCTTGCAGAGACAACTCGACGCTGTGAGGTATTTGTGATCTCGATTTTTTATTTTTTATGATGTTAGTTATACAAATTTGACAGTTGATGATTGTCTGAGCAGATTGATTTGCGGAAAGAATCAAATGTAAAGATCACATCTTCATCAGCCTATCCTGTCATCACATTTGGTCCATTTGCTTCACCAACAGAACTTTTTATCTGTTTCTCACGAGCAATTGGTAATATATTAAACTTAATTACTAATTTATTTTGTTTACAAAGGCTAGCATGCTCATGCCTTCCTTGTATCTCATACTTCTCTACGTGGACCTTCAGTGAATTATTTGCTTATATTTTCAAAGAAATTTATTTTGACACTCAACAAAGAAATTGTTCATATGATTTGGATGTAGTCCAAGGGAAACAATTAGTAGCAATTAGAAACCATGCAATTTGACAGTCCTTGGAATTATCTAGTTAATCTTATGTGGCATTGAAAATCTCTTGCTCTTGAAAATTTGCTGAAAAATTCATTTGTTTCCAATCAACCTTGGATCTTGTACGGTTGCTTGGTAATATATACTGTGTATTTTCGGTCTCCTCATTTGTGGTTGTCATTTGATGGTTGTTCTTTCGGGGGTTGTCAACAGGAACTGTTTTTATGCCGCCCAAGTGGTCCTTGGGGTATCATCAATGTCGTTGGAGTTATGATTCTGATGCTCGAGTTCGCGAGGTTCAATATATATATTTTGTGATTTATTTTATGTTCCTCCTGCATCAATTCATATGTCTTTTGGTTGCACAGTAAGCGTTAGTCTTACCTATATTTACAGCCTATGATAATTGGCAATCCATCATCCACTTCCCAAGACGAGTCCTTAAAATGTTCTTACTACTTATTTGAGAGGTACAATAGGCTTCAAAAATAAAATGAGGAAGGCGGCGAAAGAGAAGAGATAACTTCATCATAGACAGTACAAACTAAACTAGTTAAAAGACTCCACTTCCATCTCTATTGTGGTGTCATTCAATCAAGGTATCCAATTGGATGGAAGGAGCTTATGCATGCATGATGCATATATTTCTCTCATCCATATTTTTCCCAGCAGGAGCAACAAATTGTTCTTTTTATATGTCATATGCATTTAATTATTATAATTATGTGAGCTTACAAGTGTATCAGTAAGCTTTTTTACTGCTCTTTTCTTATCATTGATATCATGTAGTCTCAAGCTTGTGATATTTAATATTTGGCTTTGCCTTTACTTGGCCATTTTGTTTCAGATTGCAAGGACATTTCGTGAAAAAAGTATACCTTGTGATGTTGTATGGATGGACATAGATTACATGGATGGCTTCCGCTGCTTCACCTTTGATAAGGCATGTTTTCTTCACATAATTCTAAAAAAGGCAATAACCTTTAGTATTATCATAATTCTGTTCCTTTCCCTGCTCCCCTGTTGTTTTCAAAAGCAATAACACTAATTTTTCATTTTGTAAGTTTTGAGCTTTTGATGGGTGTATGAATTGGGTTTTAAATTGTCCAATTAATCTGGAGCCAGAAGGGAACTTTGAATGATGTCTAACTGCTTCTTTTTTAGAATTTGTTAGAAGGCTTGCTTGCCACCATGTTTTTGTTTTGTTTTTCTCAAATGATCAAACAAGCTCTTGTTCTTGCTTTTAGGAGCGGTTTCCAGATCCTAAATCTCTGGCAGATGATCTTCACCAAATTGGGTTCAAAGCAATCTGGATGCTTGACCCTGGAATTAAAAATGAAGAGGGCTATTTTGTTTATGATAGTGGCTCCAAAGAAGATGTCTGGATCCAAACTGCAGATGGAAAACCTTTTGTTGGTATGTAATATATTCATACTGGTCTTCTTTATCTTATACAGAAAAAAAAAAATTACAAGCATTACATATACTTATAATGAACCCACATATTAATCAATGTGGACAATATTCAACACTCTCCCTCTTGAGATGATAATTTCAAAAATCCATATAAGATCCAAATCCAATACGGACACCATGGCTATGGTATATTAAGAAGGGATCCGGGCTTCCAACTTAAAACCAATTGGTGATAGGTGGAGTGGCCTTTCACCATTATATAGTAGGGGAGTTCCCACATATTAACCAATGTGGGACAATATTCAATAATAACAATGTAGCTTAGTCCAGCTTATGTTGAAACATTTTCTTTTCTCATTACAAATAGGCGATGTATGGCCTGGGCCATGTGTGTTCCCGGATTTCACACAAGCAAGTACCCGCTCATGGTGGACTAATCTGGTTAAAGACTTTTGCTCTAATGGTGTAGATGGCATATGGAATGATATGAATGAACCTGCTGTCTTCAAGGTGGAGTCAGACCCATTTATATGTAAAAACTTTATATTCTTCATTCTAACTGTCTATTGTTGCAGACTGTGACAAAGACAATGCCTGAGAGCAATATTCATAGGGGAGATCCAGAACTTGGAGGTCATCAGAACCATTCACACTATCACAATGTACTACTTGTTGGCCTTGCCATTGATCTGATTATTTTATTGTGTATTGAGTTTCTTACAACCTTACAAGACTGTTAAAAATTTACACAGGCAAATAGTTTCTTTCCTTGTAAGCAAACTAAAAATATTTCAGTGATGTAAGTCCTTTTTCTACACTAGGTTTATGGCATGCTGATGGCCAGATCTACATTTGAAGGAATGAAGCTAGCAAATGAACAAAAACGTCCATTTGTTCTGACTCGAGCTGGGTTTGTGGGGAGCCAAAGGTATGCTGCAACATGGACTGGAGACAATATTTCTACTTGGGAGCACCTCCACATGAGCATATCCATGGTTATTCAATTGGTAAGGGCAGCAGAGAATAAAAACTAAATTTGATTATCCATTTTTCAATTCTATTTCTTCTGTCATCATCTTTGCTTTTAGTCATTCTTTAGGTTTTTGAAAAACAGAGAAACAATGTACTTTGGGAAACAATGGAAGAAGAAAAATAATAATAATAAAAATAAAATAAAATAAAATAAAAAAGAAGAAAACCTTTTGCCTATTAGCATGCTAATTCGCTTAACCTGTGTACCACTTGTTTGTATGCTGCTCTATCAGCACACTGCAATCATAAAAATCTCTGCTGTATAACATGCATGTATACACTTCGAGCAAAAATTTGCATATGCCTCAAGTTTATCTTGTACTAACCAAGGACTGTTTCGGTATTACATTTATCTTCCCTGGTGCCGTGAAGATTGTAACAACTGCAAGTGTGCTATCTTAGGGATTTTCAGTACAACATGATACTTTGATAAAGGATGATCTTGTTTATAGGGACTGAGTGGCCAACCACTCTCTGGACCAGATATTGGTGGTTTTGCTGGTAATGCGACACCAAGGCTGTTTGGAAGGTGGCTTGGGGTTGGTTCCATGTTTCCTTTTTGCCGTGGACATTCTGAGACAGACACTATTGATCATGAGCCATGGTCTTTTGGGGAAGAGGTTTTCTTTTTGGCATTCTATTATGATGTTTCATAAATGTTGTCTTGAATTTTAGGCATACAATTATCATAGCATACGCCAAATATATGCTTTTCATTGCAATTTGAAGTTCATTGATAGGTTAAGCTGGGATGATTTATGAGTGCTCCGCTGGGGACTAAAAAGGAAAATCAGTTTTTGGAAACAGGATTCACACATTTTCTTTTTATTTTTAATATGTGATCTAAGTATGCTGATCAAGTGGTAGATTTTGAATTTTCTGACACATTTTGCCACCATATTGGTCTTCTTTGTGTGAGTTTCCTTTCCATTGTGTGTCTGTGTGTGGGGGGCTTCTCAAATATCTTCCTCAGCACTCTGAAAGGTAGCATCAAGTATAACTCAGCTATCTCAGTCTGGTTATAAGCTTCAGTCAGATCAAGTGTTTCATTTGTTCAATTTATTTCTAGTCTTCCCGGAACCTACCAGTCAATTCTATGTTAGAGACCCGATGCTTTCTTCGCTGTAACTCGCTATCTTTCGCTATTTATAAAATACCCTTTTCTTTTCATGTATAAATATATATTACATAGTATGCCAGTGCCTAATGATGTCAAAGATGGATCTTGGTAGCAAAATCACGTGAGATCGTATTGATAATTGAATCGTCATAAAATCGTAGTGGTGCAAAATAGAAGTCTAAAAGCATTTTCTAATAAAAAAACGTTTATCAACGAATATATATGTATATTTTCTCTTTCAGAAGTTCTGTGGTATTTAATCATTGTACTTTATTTCATTCCCTAATCTCCTGCACTGCTGTTTTCATAACTTATTTTGGTGAAAACTGATCAATAATTTTAGCAGTAGTCTCAGAGTTTGTACTTGATTTTTAATTTTTTTTTTTTTTTAGTGTGAAGAAGTTTGTCGACTAGCATTGAGGAGGCGATATCGACTATTGCCCCATATATACTCTCTCTTTTACATGGCACATACATTGGGTGTTCCAGTGGCGACTCCCACATTTTTTGCTGGTATGTTCTTTTGATCATTTCGATGGCATTGGTGTATAGAAGATTCTTCTATGTTCCACAGGTTATAAAACTTTTAAATTTCCTCAGATCCCACGGATTTGGAGTTACGAACTCAAGAAAATGCATTTCTCTTGGGATCACTTCTCATATACACAAGGTTGTAAGTTTCTTATAAAGATAAACTGATGAATGTCTTTATTATCAATTTTCTAATGCAATACATTCAACAATTGTAAAGACTATACCCACAAATTGTATCAAGCTCCTTTCCCTTTAATTTGCACGCAGGATTAAAGTCAGATTTCTAAATTATACTGGTTTCATATATGTCGTCTTGTAGCACGGGAGAAAATCAGGAGTTATACCAAGAGCAGCACAAGTTACCAAAAGGCATCTGGTCCAGTTTTGACTTTGACGACACTCACCCAGTATTCCCCCACAAAATCTCCATATAACTTTATTTGCCTTTATAAATTGCATCATCACCAATTGTGCCTTCACTCTGCCAATTAGGATTTGCCTGCATTATATCTTAACGGTGGATCCATTATTCCCGTGGGCCTTCCCTATCAGCATGTTGGAGAAGCTAATCCGACGGATGATTTAACCCTTTTGGTGGCTTTGGATGAATATGGTAACATTTCTAAGTTCTACCTCCTCCTTTTGCTGTTTCCAATGGATAATTAATAGCATTAGCCTGATGTTGTGGGGTGACAATTTTTGTAAATGAAACTTGATCAGCATGTTTGATTAAAATTCCTTTGTTTTTCAAAAATAACACTTATCCTCCGAGCTAAAATTTTACTGGTCTTAATCCTTTGCTGAACCTGTAACATTTTATTGACATTGAGTATTAAAAATTGTTTCAAGTTAATAAGATAATTTAACTTCTTGATTTAATCATTTTTATTTTACTTCTATGTTGTAGTAAAAGAAGACACAACTTTGAAATAGTATTCAATAGTATGTTCGATAATTTTCTTGTCGTATCCAGAAGTATCTAGAATATGAGAATACAATTTGGAAATCTTTTTAATTCTCCTAGAATAAATTCACTTACAAATGCCTCCGAAGTTAAAGGGTGTTCGAATTAAGTCGCCTACATTTTCCATATATCTCGAGGCTATCATGCATCTGCCACAATGTTTAACGGCACTCTTGTAATCTCCTAATTACAGGTAAAGCTGAAGGTATTCTGTTTGAGGATGACGGTGATGGGTATGAGTACACAAGAGGAGGATATCTGCTAACAACATATGCTGCCGAAAAGCAGTCCTCTGCTGTCATTTTGAAGATTTCAAAAACTGAGGGATCTCTGAGGAGGCCAAACCGTCGCCTACATGTGCAACTACTGCTTGGCAATGGTGCAATGGTGCGTAATTTCCATTTGATGAGCTCTGCTGTGTGTAATATAAACTCCATTTGACTAGTTTATTTTGATAGCGAGATTTGTGTTGCTTATATTGTCTAGGTTGATGTGTGGGGTAATGATGGAGAGATTGTGAAAATTCCACTTCCTTCAGAAAGTGAAGTATCAGATTTATTGATATCCAGTGAAAAGCGACTCAAGGCTCGTCTAGGTGATCTGCCCTTCTGCTATAATGCAGTTTTTGCTTGGTCTATCATAATGAAGTTGCATAATAAGAATATTCTGGATTTACTTTTGTGTTGCCTTTAAGTACATTATGGTTTGTTACAGAATCCCTCTCTTCATCGCATGTAGTGTTTTGTAAGAATAAACGTGCGTTCCAACATTGACTGCAGAGAGTGCTAAACGAATTCCCACATTGGACAATGTTTCTGGACATAAGGGAACAGAGCTATCAAGGACACCTGTAGAAATAAAATCTGGGGAATGGGTTCTTAAAGTTGTTCCATGGATCGGTGGTAGGATTCTTTCCATGGCGCATCTTCCTTCAGGTAATGTGATATTTTGTGAGAGAAAAAATGTATTTGATATGATGTTTTTGAAAGAATAGTACCAAAATTCCGATATATATATATTGTATAAACAAAACCCAAGGTCATTCAAATTTCATACCCTACCAATTCCCTAGCTAAATTATTCTGTGGAATTTGAAATCGCTTGATTGGGACCACAAAACATTGTGTCATGTTGTGTTCTTCTTTCATCTATCTAAGTATTGATCCTTTTTCTGCGTCTTAGCGTCAGAAAACTTTAGTGTGTTACTCGTTTATTGCTCTTACTCATGATAGTTGCTCCTACTTTCTTCCAACTCAATTTGGACGATCAACAGGCAGGCAGTGGCTTCATAGTCGAGTCGATATTGATGGCTATGAAGAGTACAGTGGCATTGAGTACAGATCAGCCGGATGCACAGAGGAGTATTCTGTGGTTGAGTAAGCAAATAGATGATGATTTTATAACATAGCAATAAACATTGCTGGAAATTGTTATATCATTCAGTTGTCAATTGCATTTTAAACATTTAAGGAGTAAAAAAAAAATATTACAGGTGAATTTACTTGTTCTCTTATTAACCTGTGTGCGCTAATATTTTTCTGGATCTAAATGCTTTATTTATTGTCAGAACAAATTTCACTTGTCATATTATATTTGAGCTCTGAATAGTGAAAATATGTGCAAGGTAGTCTTGAACAACACTTTTGCAATTGTAGCTTTAAGGCCATTTGAGCGCTGATGAATCTCTAAAGTAGGACTATTTTTGTCTTTTATTCTCAGGAGGGATCTTGAGCAGGCAGGAGAAGTGGAATCACTGCAGTTAGAAGGTGATATTGGTGGCGGCATAATTCTTGAACGCCGAATTTCCATCCCGAAAGACAACCCAAAAATTTTCCGGATTGACTCCGGCATTGTAGCTCGAAAAGTTGGTGCTGGATCTGGAGGATATTCAAGGTTGTGATTTTTAGGCTTCTCTCATTATGTGGTTTGTTTTTAGTTACTATTCTGTGGTTTACAGTTACACTTTGTTCTTTGTCAGGCTGGTGTGTTTGCGAGTGCACCCGACATTCAGTTTGCTGCACCCTACAGAGACATGTGTTAGGTTCACTGCCATTGATGGATCCAAACATGAGTTTTGGCCAGAATCGGGTGACCAGGTGTTTCAAGGGGACAGTCGACCCAATGGTAAGTTAGTTAATGGTATATTTATCTATTCTATCTAGAATCAGTGACAAGTGACAATGACAGTAGCTCTGAGCTTTATGTGTTTCTCAAGATTGGTTGGATCAAGTTGCTAGTGAGTGAAGTCAGTGTTGTACTAATAATTAATTTGTTCCTTTGGTTTTTTCCAGGGGAATGGATTCTTGTGGACAAATGTGTAGGCTTAGGACTGGTGAACAGGTTTGATGCGAGGGAGGTGTTCAAATGCAGGATCCATTGGGGGACGGGAACAGTGAACCTGGAGCTCTGGTCGGAAGAGAGACCGGTATCCAAGGAATCCCCGCTCAAAGTGTCCCATCACTACCAGGTAATAACCACCGCTGCCTAAAATGATGGCTGATGAATGATAATACACTCATACATACTAAGACTGCATGGTGTTTGGTGTTCCAATGTAGTAATAAACAATACTAATACTCTATACTAATACTTGATGTGTGCGGGTATGGTATAATGTGGTGTTTTGTTGTTGGACATTTCCATTGAATAAAATGCGTATGTGTAATAAATTATTAAATAAATGTATTTTTGACGTATTGCATGTTGCGCTAGCTATTATTGGTTCTAGTATATCCCCGTGCATGCAAGGTTGCTGTTATCTTTTGAATATTTTGAGGTCAAAAATTTTGTATAAATGTTGGATCTTTACCGGTGGTTCTTCAAATTTACTGATTGAGTTGGTCATGATCTGGAAGTAAATGTGAGAATAAGGTAGTAAGAAAATCAATCCAATTGGAGAAGCATGGTTTCATCCTCACTTTGGGCAAGTTTGTCTTTTTTTTTTCTTTTTTTTTTTAAGTTGGGACTAATTCCTAGGAAGAAAAAGGATAGAAAGAGGGGAATGAATTGAAAGGGGCATCCAATCACACTCCCAAAAATTAGTTATTTTTCCCTTCCCCTCTCCCCTTTTTTTTTTTGTTGCTTTATTTTTTGTGATTTTCAATTCCATATTTGATCATCATAATCGACATAGTTCTTTTTTTTTTTTTTTTTGTTTAGTTTCTATTGCACACTATATTCGACATTGCTACAATTCAATTATTATTATTTAAAATGTTTTCATTCGGTTTGAGTTAGTTTTTTGATATGACACAGTTCTAGATTTTTACTTAAGCAAATTGCAAAACTTATTTAATTGTTTAGTTTGCGAAGTTATAAAGTTATAAAACAACAACAACAAAAATAATAATAAATAATAATAATAATAATAATAATGTTATAAGTATATCTATATATTTGTAATGTTCAATAGGAGTATAAGAATATATACATGTTTTTAAAATTACTATATCCAATCATTCTACCATAATTATGTCATTTCTTTGTAGGGAGTTTTTTAATATTTTTTATACTCCTATAATTTTATTGGAACTATGACATTTTTAAATGGAACCAATCACCATAAATATAGGTTTGATTTTTTATTTTTTTTTATTTTATGTGAATTAAAGTGAATTACATAGGTAATATATGCTAGATTTTTTCCCAAAAAAATACACAAATAATACAATATATATTTTATTAACTTACAAAAAATTAAAGATACTGGTTTTCATATTACTAATACTATTGCTTTTGCTTAATATGGTATCTGAAAACATAAATGTTGTGTTTGTTATAAATAGAAGTTAATACAATATTTTGAATATAAATAAATTTGTAATATAATAAAAAAAAATAAAAATTGATGTGATATTTTTGAAGATAAAAAGAATCTAAATAATAAAAATATATCGGAAAACGAACACAACCATAGTTTTTATACTTCATTTGACAAAAATTAACCCATAATTTTGCAACAAAATCTTAGACGAGTCGCGCTGGATTCAGTGGGAATTGGGAATAGTGAGTCCAACGACTTTTAAATACGGTACAATCTCCATTGCACTTCGTACAACCGTCGATTAGCAGGCCCGATTTAAAAACTTTTGAAACGGCTGCTCACTCTCAAATTCAATTACGTACAGATAAAATTCAAAATAAAACTATGTGGATGGAGTTCTGAAACGACGTCGCTCGCCGCCAATTGCCGCTGGAGCACCTCAAGCCGCCGCCTAGTCGCCGGAGTTTCCGGCTCTTCCCTTTACACTGGTGCTGCCGTATTTGCTTGGTCAGTTTAATTCCCAACCTGAATAGGATTGAAATCAGTGACTATCCATGGGGTTTTAGGTTTTGGAGTCATTTAACGCACAACATTTTTCGCATTCCTTTTTCTAACTAATCTATGGGTAGAGGGGTTAGATGAGTTTTACCCCATCGATTCGTATTTAATGTTCTGTGGAATTGGGGAGCGAGAGCATGTGAATTTAGTCAATGTAAGTCAAATTGATCTTTGTTCTCCGTTTCCAGGTGTAGCTTAAATTGGACAGCGTCGAGATCATGTTGCTGAGTAGATTCTTTTACAAAAGGCCTCCGGATGGTTTGCTAGAGCTTTCTGATAGAGTATATGGTAATATGTATTATCAATTGACCTATTGAAATTGAAATTATCAAATCAGGTCATGCTCTGGGTTTTATGCCTGTGCATACTTACGAAAATAAATGCTAATTTATGCAGTTTTTGATTCATGTTTCTCGACTGAGGCGTTGCCTGAGGGAATATACCAACTTTACTTGCATGAAATCATCACCGAGTTACATGAAGAGTTTCCGGAAGCCTCATTTCTTGCATTTAATTTCCGAGAAGGTGAGAAAAAGAGCCAATTTGCTGAAATATTGTGTGAATATGATGTCACCGTTATGGATTATCCTAGGCAGTACGAGGGCTGCCCTTTATTGCCATTATCTTTAATTCATCATTTCCTTCACGTTAGTGAGCGATGGCTCTCTCTTGGAGATTGCCAGAATGTGGTGTTGCTTCACTGTGAAAGAGGGGGCTGGCCACTCCTAGCATTTGTATTAGCAGGCTTCCTGATTTTCAGGAAGTTGCACAGTGGAGAGAAGAAAACTCTTGAAATTGTTTATCGGGAAGGTCCCAGAGGCTTGATGCAATTGCTGTCACCGTTAAATCCCTTCCCATCTCAGCTTCGATACCTCCAATATGTATCTAGAAGAAATATATCCCCGGAGTGGCCGCCCCCTGAGAGGCCTCTTTCATTAGATTGTCTTATTCTTAGGGCAATTCCAAGGTTTGATAGCCAAAAAGGTTGCAGACCTATTGTCCGTGTTTTTGGAAGAAATCTCCTTAGCAAGGATGGATTGTCAACGCAGATGCTTTACTCCATGCATAAGAAGGGCAGACATGTCCGCCATTATTGTCATGTAAGAAAAATTTTCTTTTTCCTTTTCTTCTTGAACAATTTTCTACTGGGGTTGATACATTAGCTGTATTGCTGGAAATTTTCATGCAGAAGGAAAGTGATGTGATCAAGATTGACATACAATGTTTGGTACAAGGAGATGTAGTGTTGGAATGTGTTCATTTGGACTTGGATCCAGATAGGGAAGTCATGATGTTCCGGATAATGTTCAACACTGCTTTTATTCGGTCCAACATTTTGATGCTCAACTGTGATAACTTGGATACTCTTTGGGACTCGAAGTCAAGGTTTCCTAAAGGTTTCCGAGCTGAGGTAATCTTTTAAAAAGTTGATACCATGAAGTATTGTTACTCTGCGATAGTACTATTATGCAGTATATATGTTTTTTTTGTAAAACAGGTTTTGTTTGGAGATGTTGAGAACAGATCTCCTGCCAAATCCAATACCCTAATGTTAAACAGTGAGGAGAAAGGAGGACTTCCTATTGAAGCTTTCTCCAGGGTCCAAGAACTTTTCAGTGGTGTAGATTGGGTTGATACCAATGATGATGCTGCTTTATGGGTTATCAAGCAATTGTCCGTGTTGAATGATGTCAAAGATTTGTCCATGCTGCGTAGGATGAGTGGTTATTCATCACCTCTTGATTCCGAGGAAGAAAACAACACTTCCAGTATTTCTGACAGTCTGGATTATCTGGATTCTGATAAAGTCAGTGCACCAGAGCTCAATATGCTGGATGATCATTCATCCCTAGATTCTACTTCAGATGAGATTTCTGAGCTCAGACAGTCTGATGATCTTGGGAAGCTGGTGTTATCAAATGGTCCACATCATTCCACAACTTATAGTGATAAGCAGTTTGATCCTCATGATGTATCTGAGTCTTCAAAGGACATGGTAATTTCAGGTTCTGAAGTTTCAACTAATGCTTTCTCAGCATTGCAGGCTTCATTGCAGAGCTCATCTGTTTCCAGCCAAGGTTCTTCTCAAGCACCTCTTGTTCATAATGGGGAAGAAGGTCCTCCATCTTCTCCCACTGACTTGATTAGAGAACCATCATTGCAAGCTCCTCTTCCTCCTGTTTCGAGTAAAATTCCTCCTCCTCCTCCTCTAGCTTTCATAAGAAGTCCTCAATCGCCTCCCTTGCCACCTCCGCCACCCCCACCCCCACCTGTTCCCTTGCCTTCCACCAACAATTGCTCTAGTGAAGAAAGCCCTAACCTTTCAATTGCTATGAGCTCTAATAAGTCAATACCCCCTCCTCCTCCTCCTCCTCCTCCCCCTCCCTCTAGTTCAAACGAAGAATTTACCCCAACTCATCCACTGCCTGCCAAGGGCAATCTTCCTATACCTACCCCACCTCCACCTTCAAATAATATTTCAAAAGCACCTCTACCCCCACCCCCACCCCCACCCCCTCCGCCTCCTACTAGCGGTACACTGGTTTCTGTTCCACCCTCGGTATCAACTAGTGGTTCAACATCAATTCCATCACCTCCACTGCTGCCACCTCCATCAATTAGTAGTTTATCACCAGTTCCACCACCACCACCACCGCCACCACATCCACCGCTGCCACCACCATTGGTTCCACCTCCATCCCAAGCCCCACCTCCACCTCCACCTCCACCTCCACCACGCCCAGTTAGTTCAGCCTCAGTCCCATCACCACCTCCACCACCGCCACCACCATTGGTTCCACCTCCATCCCAAGCCCCATCTCCACCTCTACCTCCACCACGTCCAGTTAGTTCAGCCTCTGTCCCATCACCACCGCCACCTCCTCCAATTCGTAGTTCAGCTCCTATCCCTCCTCCACCACCACCTCCACTTGGTCAACGGTTGGCTCCTGCTGCCCCTCCACCTCCACCTCCACCTCCACCTGGTCAAAGGTTGGCTCCTGCTGCCCCTCCACCTCCACCTCCACCTGGTCAACGGTTGGCTCCTGCTGCTGCTCCTCCTCCTCCTCCTCTACCATCACTTGGTCAGGTGTCAGCTCCTGTTGCACCACCACCACCTGGTCAAGGATCAGCTTCTGCTGCACCTCCACCTCCACCACCACCTGGTCGAGGGTCAACTCCTTCTACACCTCCACCTCCACCGCCACCTGGTCGAGGGTCAGCTCCTGCTGCACCTCCACCACCACAACCACCTGGTCGTGGCTCAGCTCCTGCTGCACCCCTACCGCCGCCTGGTCAAGGTTCAGCTCCTACTCCACCACCTCTTGATCATGGTTCAGGCCCAGCTCCACCTCCCCCTCCTGGTGGAAAAAGCTCTAATGTTCCTCCACCTCCATCAATTGGAAGAGGAAGAGGTTTGCCCTCTAGAGGAAGAAGCTCTGCTGGTTCTTCAATCCCCCCTAAAAAATCATCACTGAAGCCTTTGCACTGGGTAAAAGTCACTCGAGCAATGCAAGGGAGTTTGTGGGCTGATACTCAGAAAGAAGATAATGAATCAAGGTGGGTAAAGTGGGACTCTCATGTTTGATATATTAAGTAAATGTGTAACCTTAGTAGCTGTTTGACTCTCATGCTTTTGGCAGGGCACCTGAAATTGATATATCTGAGCTTGAGAGTCTTTTCTCGGTGGCTTCTGCTTCCGATGGTGCCAATAAGGGTGGGGCTCCACGTGGTCCTAAAATTAACAAGCCAGAAAAAGTGCAGTTGGTAAGTGATATATTAGTATATTTGGAGATTTAGCAGCTAGAAAGTGCAATTTTTGTCTGAAATGCAATTGATAACTCTGGGTTTGCTTTGGAGGTGGTTTGATGTTTTGTAAATAATAAAAATTTGAATTGAAATAGATTTATGATGTGATTTGAACAGATGTTTTAGGTGATGAAAACTATGTATTTGATGTTTATTTTTTATTTTTTTAATTACTTTTTTAATAATGCTCCTAATGGTCCTAATGCTAGAAACACGTAAAAATGTGTATAGCTTAGTGGTAAAAGTGTGATGTAATCACCGATTCACCATTCATTTGATAAAAAGATTTCTATGTTACTCACTGTGCAAATATAAATGAGCAACCTTCTTACGACCATAAATACAAGATTCGAAGACTTGGTTGCTTTTTTGACAGGTGGGAGATTAAAGACCTAGGAATGTGTTACACTATTTTAGAATGCAAGTCACCTCCTGAACTTTAGAACTTCAAATTAGAGGGCCTTAATGTCTAACATTAGTGTCTACTGAATTGGGTTTAGATTAATGCATTTGATATTTGTATGTAATTTCAAATAGACAAATATTAAGTTTATGATCAAGGTCATTACAAAGTGAGATGTCAACAAGTATGAGTGTTTATGAGAGTCATCTTCTGGGGGCAGAGTTCTTCAAATTTTTTGTTGCATTTGATTTACCACTGACTGGGGTTATTGATATATATATACATATAATATTGTTTATCAATGCAAAAGTCTGTTTTACCTATCTCTATCTTTACAGTAATTATTTCTTATTCCTAAACGATGTTTTCTTCCGGCAGATTGAGTTGCGGCGAGCATATAATTGTGAAATTATGCTCACAAAAATTAAGATACCTCTGCCAGATATGGTGGTACGTTCTTTTAATGCATATCTCTTCGTTGTACTTGAGTTATGAGAAGCATGCTGATGAGTTTGGCAAATTTCCTTCCAGTATAAGTAGGGAAAAACCTGGTATTTGAAGTATATTGTTTCATGTTCAAATGTCTTCCAGATGTAAATGTTCTTCCTTTAAATTTCATCAACAATTTTCAACTTTATGTTCTTGCTTCTGTGTTAAATCTATATATTACCAGATTTTTATTGTCTGGAGGTTCTCTACCTAAATAGACTATTTCCCAGAGCTAATCTCTTAATCTTTGCATTTTTCTAACTTTTAGAATGCCATCCTGGCTTTGGATTCTTCTGCCCTCGACATTGATCAAGTGGAGAATCTTATAAAATTTTGTCCCACTAAAGAAGAAATGGAGTCATTGAAGGTATCCTTTTCCCTGTCCTTTTTGCTTCCCTCTTTGTAGAATAATTGGCAATGCAAACACTTTGGGTACTGGGTTGTTGCTTTGTGTCCTCTGTACCTTATTTCATGTTAATTCTACAATCAAGAGTCCCTTCTCATAAATGTTTTATTTTAAGTCTTGTATTGTGGTTTTACTTGGAGTCTTATGTGCCCATCGCATTTATTATCATTCTCTACCAAAATCTATTATCTTCCTCTTTTATTTTTGTGTTTATGTTCCATTATGTCCATATCAATTTTGTCCTTTTGCAGAATTACAATGGGGACAAAAGTATGCTGGGAAAGTGTGAACAGGTTTTTTGAAGTTTTGTTATTTATTTGAAAATTGCATAATATTAATATTTCGTAACATTTGAGCTTCAAATGTTTCAGTTTTTCCTGGAACTAATGAAAGTGCCAAGAGTGGAATCCAAATTAAGGGTGTTTGCATTTACAATAACATTTACTACCCAGGTTCATATTTATGCATTCAATAAGTAATTGTTGGATTGTGTCTATTGTTGAATATAGTGTTTATTATCAGCTTTGATCTTCAGGTGGCTGACCTGAAACGTAATCTGAACATGATTAATAATTCTTCTAAAGAGGTACCCTCCCTATTGGTTTGAGCAATTTCACCTATTATGGCACCGTTCAAATCAATCTTTCTTGTTTACTGAACTTATAGGTTAAGGAATCCTTGAAATTACGCCAAATTATGCAGACAATTCTTACGCTGGGCAATGCATTAAATCAGGGCACTGCTCGAGGTATAATCCGTTGAATGAACAGTACGGTCTTATTACTGTTTGCTTTTTCTATGATTTTGAATTTTAAATTGGTTTCTCTCTTGACTTCCATTGCAGGGTCTGCTGTTGGATTCAAGTTGGATAGTCTTCTCAGAATTTCAGATACACGCGCTAGAAACAACAAAATGACCTTAATGCACTACCTATGTAAGGTAGGTTCATCAACCTGTAAATTATTGATATCAACATATGCTGTCATTTACCATTTTAATCAGTGATGCCATTATATGCTGTTACGTACAGCGCACATTACAACAGATGGATTTGTTCAAGGTTTTCAGAAAACTGTTGGGTTACGTGTTTTCTTCTGTTTACATATGCAGTTATGTATTAGCACTGCTATTGTTCATCTCCGCTATCTTTTTGTTGGCCCTGCTTGATTCTGCTAATAAAGGTTTTAGACTTCAAAATCTACTTAATGACTGGATCATTTATTTTGTTTTTATTATATGTTTTCATTATACTTTGTTATGGCCCTAGGGAGCCTTGCGCCATGCATCCCTCCAATATTCTAAGCCAATAGGAGAAACGCTTTGTCACTAATTGATATCTAACTGTTTTTACTTCTTCTGCAAACTTCACCACTGTCATTGACTCTTTGCTCTAGATTCTAGCTGAGAAAATGCCAGAGCTGTTAGATTTCAGCAAGGATCTCGTACATTTGGAACCAGCCTCCAAGGTTTGTCCTTTTCCTTGTCGTGTATGGTCTTTGGGAACAATGCCTTACTCGACTGCAGAGGATGTCTCTAACTTTTTGGTGCTTGTTTATCTACTATGAGTTCACCAGATACAACTGAAGTCATTGGCTGAAGAAATGCAAGCAGTCACCAGAGGGCTTGAGAAGGTTGAGCAGGAACTCACTGCAGCAGAGAGTGATGGTGCTATATCATTAGGCTTTCGAAAGGTGTGAAAAGTATTTTAACTTCTTCTAGCTTCCCTCTTACTTTGTTCATCCTCTCTAAGTAGTGAAAACTTGGGTGTTAAGCTAACCTAATATTTGTAGTACGGTCATAATGTCTTTCACCTTGACATTTAAATCTACTATCATATAGACCTTACCTGTCCTCTATGAAATCGTTTTTCTTAAGGCTGATAATGATGGATAATGAACTTTTGTGTCAAAGATCAGTTTAACATTCAGCAGGAGATGTGATTATGCTGCCTTATCAAAGAGGTTCTATTATTGCTGCAAAAGCTAGTGTTATAACTAAACCTCATGAATTGATAAATGCATAACCAACCACTGACCTGAATTTTAACAGGCTTTGAAGAGTTTCCTTGACACTGCTGAGGCTGAAGTTAGGTCCCTTTCCACCCTCTACTCGGAAGTGGTAAGCTTGATTGTTAATCTATTAAACTCTCTCCTCACCGCATTTTGATAATAATTGCGTAACAAATGTAAAATACAGGGGAGAAATGCCGACACATTATCACAATATTTTGGTGAAGATCCCGCCAAATGCCCCTTTGAGCAAGGTTCTGATTGCTTCAAGTATTTCTTATTTCCACGTTCCGTATCCATTTTATCCTTGGTTGCATTCAAATGCTCTTGTTAGAAAGATTGGCGTTGTACTACATTTGCATATTCCTTTGGATTTTTCTTCTTGTGTGCAGTGACGCAAACTCTGGTTGTCTTCATGAAGCTCTTCAACAAATCTCATATAGAAAATGAGCAGCAAGCTGAAGCAGAAAAGAAGAAACTGGAAAAGGAAGCTCTCAAGGAACAGGCAGCAGCTGCTGCCAGTTCCCCTGCACGCAAGGAAGGCATCGATGCCCTTCGTGCAAAACTCCACACACGTAACCAGAAGCAGGCTTCATGAAAGTTCTACCTCAGAACATACTCCGGGGGCTCTCATATCATGTGTGCACAGAAACAACAATCACCACAATGTAATTCCAACAAATGTTTCCACTGCTGAATCTGAATCAGAATCGACCGGGACCTGATCGCCTGGCTATATAGCATGGATCTGAAGATGTGCGATGAGCAAACTGAAGATGATGTCGGCTGAGGAAGGAGTTGTGGAGGCTATCAATCCAATCCAAGGTACGGCCAATCTTCACTCCATCCTTGTCCATGTAAGAAATGTGATAAAATGCATGAAACTCTCTGTTTATGTATATATACATTTCCTTCTCTATTATCACAAGATGGCTTCTTCAGTGATTTTTGTGCAATATTCGACTCTAAGTTGGCAATTTTTCTTACCCAATTTTTTTTTTTAAGAAAATATTTATAGACAATACAATAACAACAAAAATTATTATTACTTTATTTTATATAATTTGTTCATATTTTATATTTTTGTTCCGTGTCATATAATATTTTTTTTAAAATAATTATATATTTTAATTATATTTTAAATTTTATAATTTATAATTATTTTAATTTTAATTTAATTAAATTAGTTGTTTTAATTTTAAAATATAATTATTTATATTATAAATTGATTATACCATTGCTTAAATAATCCTATTTATAAGAAATCCAACAATTAAGTTTGGACGGAGGCTGTATAAATATGCATTTTATTATTTCATTTGTGTTCATATTATATTTAGTAAAAAAATATAAATTTATTTAAATATTTACTTGTTCTTCATGTGTTTATAATACTATCTTAAAATGATGTTCACTTTGTTTCTCTTAATTATTTTTTTTCATTTTAAAAAAATATATTTATTTTAAACTAAGTATTCCATGGGTAGTATGTCTTTTTAACATTGAATTGAGGAGTGGTAAAATTAGTAAATTAGAAAAAAAATTACAGTATATAAATTAAAATTATGATAATGGATTATTATTATTTTTAAAATTTATAATTTAAAATTATTTATTAATGATATTTTTTGAATTCCGTATCTACCTTAATTCAAAATTTAAAACGTTAATGTGGAGCGAGACGGAGAGTAGTCATATATTGGATAGAATGATTTGTTGTGGATATTTTTGTGTAAAAAAATCATAAATTTGATGGAAGAGTAATGAATTAATAATAATAATAATAATAATAATAATAATCCGGGGCGGGTCCTCCGTCCGGCCACGGACACAAATGTAAAGTGTCACAAAAGGTCGTCGTCGTCACATGCACTCTCCATCTTCTTCTTCTTCTCCAGCAACATTTTGTCTCACAGTCACAGCCATGTCGGAGAACCAAAATCCAAGCCTTCACCCCCGAGACGAGGACGGCTGCACTGGCCTCCTCTCCTCTTATCTCGGCCTCAGCTTTGCACTCTTTCTCGGGACATTCCCCAACCGCACAATCCCACTACTCCAAACCCTCCAAACCCAGAACAAGGCTCTGGCCTTCCGCCTCCTACGGGCCGAGGAAGAGCTCCGCCAGCTCCACTCGCGGCGAAAGGAGGACTCCAAGGCCAACGCCAGGGTCGTTGAGATCTTCGCTTCCCACAGGCACGCCTGGCAACAGGAAGAGAAGCGGCTGCTGCAGCAGATCGACGATTGCAGCGACGAGATCGCCTATCTCAAGGCCAAAATCGAGGGTCTCGAAGGGGAGGAGGCTGACCTCAACTCCAGAATTGACGATTTGAAGCGGGAAATTGGCGAGCGGGATGAGATGCTGAGTTTTGTGAGTAGCAGCAATTGCGAGATGGAAACCAGGGTTCCCGATGCCTGCTGCTACGCCGATTTGGGGCTCAGATTCGGCAAACAGGCTAGGATTTCGGATTTGGATTTGGCCACCGAGGATTGCTATGATGAAAATGGAGTCGATGATTTGGGGCATCTATTTCAGCACAACAACAATGGAGGATATCCCTCAGATTTCTTGAGCTCTGCTGCTGCTGCTGCTGCTCCTAATTTCTGGTCGGAGAAAGCATCTCTTTGGCAGGTAAAGATTTCTCAATCCTTTCTGGCTTTCTGCTTATGGATTTGTGATCTGAAAATGGCTGTGTTTTCCATGCTCATCATCAATATTTGTCTTAATGATCTTCAAGGGCACACACACACATCTCATATATCTTAATGGATTCTTGTAAAGTATGAACAGTCCTGTAGGGCAATGTAGTTGAAATTATATCTCTACATGATTGTGGATTTTGTTTTGTCATTTTGTGTCATTCTACTGGTTTTGAACTTGGTACCAATTTTGGGCGGGGCCTTTGATTTTGTGACATTATGGTGCTTACACTATCAGACAAGATGATCTAGTTGGCGGTCTAATTTGAATTTAACTTCTTTTTACCTTACATTATTGAAGTTTGTTCTTGTGGAGTGCCACAGTTTTGTCTTGTTTCTATGCTCATTTGTCCTCAGTTTTTTCAATTGATTGATAGAACTCTCTGTCCTTGAATGCTGCTGGACTTCGGCGCGTCTATTTTCCTTCCCATCAATAGCTAGTTGGACATTTATTTTCTTTGATTGGCCTTGCATTTAGGCATATGCTCGGTGGTCTGCAAACACTCTTTTGTCACATGAGATCACATGCTTTCTTTCTTTGATGCGACCCCCCACCTTTAAAATATAGTGGTCTGCAAACACTCTTTTGTCTTCTTATTTGGATGCTCGAATCAATTCAAATATCGGCTAGGTCTCTTGGTTTTGTTACAACCTAAAAAGGGTTTAAAAACCCCTATAACCTCAATGGAGATTAGGGGCTTGGCCCAGCTCCATTGTTGCAATGTGTGTGTGTGCGTGTACTAACTCGAAATAATTTAATAACATCTGTTAGTAAGATCGTCTCTTATCAATTTTGACAATATTCGGTGCCTTCACTACTGTACTTAGTGTGTCATACTTAACGTTGTGAAATAGTCATCAGAAGCAGGTGTGTGGTAATTCTTCGGCTTCCACAGGTTTTATTGGATATTGATTTTACATTATGCAGGATATGCAATATGAACCTGTGGAACCACTTTACCACATGAAGCATTTTACGTCTAGGTAAGTAAAATAACCATTAGCTGTTGTATTGCCCGGTGCCAAACATACTGTGTGCCTAATACGAATGTTGTGGCTGTTTCTTCTTCAGAAGGGAATCCCCTTGGAAGGTTGATGGCGACTCAACTGGGGTTTCTACTAAATTGAAATTGCTTGAGCAAGAACTGATGAATTTAGAACGGGTTGGGAAAGCGGATTTGTCGAAGCTTCCATCACAAATGCGGAAACAAGCGAAACGGTACCAAGCATTGGCTGGAAAAATTGATGATCTTTGCCGGAGAATGGTAATTGCTTTATTTGAACCCTTCTTTCGATTTTACATGTTATAATTAGGGATGTTCATCCCGATAATCAACTTTGCTAACAAAAATGATGCATGATTGAGTGATAATTATATATAGTAAGCTTGTATTTTTCCATTGAAAAATTTCACAAATATATACTTGTCGTCATTTTTTTCCCTATATGACACTGCACTTGGTTGAACTCAATTTAATCATGTAATCTTTCATGCTAGCTCAATTGCTCATCTGATTCTTTTCCTTTTTTGTTTTTTTTTTTTCACTTAAAGCAAGCTAGCGATCCATGTGAGTCCACCCTCAGCTCAGAGTTCCGAACACAAAGACAAACCGAGTTCTTGCTGGAAGCCTTTCGACTGCAGCAGCGAGCGTCCGAGACCAATCAGAAGCTGATGTCGTTACAAGCTGAGAGCACAAAGAATTACCATGGAGGGGAGGTGGAATGCCATGCCAAGCTAGCCACGCGGCGATCACTTGACTCCATCAGGAACAACTTTAAAGAAATCCAAAGGAACTTGGAGATTTGGTTGGCAAGAATCATAGGTGACCTTGAAGGCATCCTGGCACGGGATGGTGCTTCCCGTGTCAGGGAGTATTATCTCTCCAGGTTCCCATTGGTTCAGTAGCATCAAATTACTGATCTGCTTGATGATGTTGGTGGTTCGTCTTCTTGCCGCTGGAGAAGCAGAAAGAATGCCCCCGTCTGACGCTTGGTGGACCTTACCAGCAGCAACTTTCTTTATGTACACACATAATACGCAAGGTTCGGGCATATGCCATGTGAGTATGCCCGCATTTGGACAGGACTGGGATGCGATAAAATTGGGAAAGTTTGGAGGAGGAAGAAGAAAATTGGAAGGTGTTTATGAAGGTGAAGAAAAGGACCAGAAAGTGGAGGTTTGTCTGGTTCTGGAGATGAGAATGATGATGCTGGAATGACACAATTGAAGATGTTGATAGACTGACAGAGAGTAAGAGTCGAGACGAGACGAGACACTCACCTCACTAGTGGTTATTGTCCAAAGTGAGGTTTGATTCTTATTTGATATTTGGATTGGTTGGTTGGTGGGTAGTACTTAGATTTTAATTATTGGAATTATTAAATTCAAGAGAAGTTACTTGAGCATTTTTAATTAATCATTATGAAAGATATTGTATGAAAATGATGATCTCATCCATATCTTTGTTCTTCTAATAGAGCTAGTATGTAGTATATAGGTAGGTATTTGTGTGTTAATACTTTTACTATGTGTGCTGTGACTGTGATGTGTCATCAAACGTCCATTGTAGACCTTACCCTTGTGCGTTTTACTTACTTGTACAATGGATGAGATGTATAATAATAATAATAATAATTACTCTATTTTGTATTGAATTTACTTAAATTATATATCATCTCTGGTTTCTTGTTTTTTGTTTGAACACCTGAAGTGAATGGTTTGACGAGGGGGAGAGCTATCTATCTATCTACTTTAGCCATTCAATGGTTTTGTATAGAAACGAAATGAAATGAAATAATGGAGAGATAAGCATGGTGATATGCAATAATATTCTGATGTGAAAAAAGCAAGGTTGGTTAATAATAATAATAATAATAATAATAATAATAATTACTATTATAACAAAGGGGGTTAGGGAAGTAGTCTTTCTTCCTTTTTTGAAATAATGAGAATCGATTTTCAACACGCGTGCAGTGCTAGTGCTGCTGCTTCCTTTTGCAATATTAACTTGGTACTACTAGTTTCTTTTTTTTTTTTTAATTTATAAACAACAATCACAATTTTACATTTTACATTTTAGACCACACCACCCTGTTTATTGATTTATGTTTGATTGTTGCAATTTGCGGAACCCACCCTTTAATCAACACACTTCCACTACAGTCTCTACCCACGCACACGCATACGCATACGCATACTTATTTCATTGAATCATTTCACTTCAATTGTTGCCCATCACTTACTTTATATATATATATATATATATATGTAAAACAACATGATTTTAACCAAAAAAACAGATCCAATGTAATTGACAGTATGAGTGCAGAAAATACCATCAGCTCCACAACTTTGTGAATAAATGAAAGTCCAAATTTGACTTTAAGGCATGCAAAAATTGACTCACACAAATTAAATAAATAATTAATTAGTATATAATTAATCATTCTACGCACTCACTCGCATCGCACACATGTTCTCTTTTCCATTCGCTACTCATTCTGCATCATTTCTTCTTCTTCTTCTTCTTCTTTAATTTACATGTCTCTCTCTACTCTCTACTCTACTCTATGTCAGTATAACTTAACTACATATAACATCATATCATTTCAGTATTCTTTTTTCTGTGTTTTTAATTCGGAGAGGCGATTAATAGCCTAGTTTGGCGCGACTTCTTCTCACTTCCTAAACTACTATTCTGCTTTCACTTCTTCTTCTCACTTCCTAAACTACTGTTCTGCTTTCACTTCTTCTTCTGCGTCTGATAAGCGATAATAACAATAATAGATGGAAAGTGCAGGCGCTAAAATGATGCCAATTGCAGAGAAAACTACCAAGAGCGAGCCGGCGGCGTCCATAGAGATCTCCGCCGCCGATGCAACAGTGCAATCGGCCGGTGCGGTTCCTGCAGTTACTGATGCTTCGAAACCGCCGCAGCTGACGTCTCCTCCGCCACACTCTCACACTCACCCCCAACAGCAACAGGTATTAATCATTAACTAACTCCTTTCATTCATTCATTCATTACAATTCCACGAGGCAGGGCTGTAGCTAGATAAATCATTCCTTCATTAATTATTTATTTGAATTCCATGCCGCTTGGCCTGTTTGTCCGTCCCGCTCATTTTTACCAACATTTTTTCTAGTATATATTATATTCCTTCACATAAGTTATGGTGGGCTTGTATTTTTTTATTTTTATTTTTATTATTTTTTATATAAAATGTAATAGATAATATAAAAATAATAAATATTTTTGATATTTTAATTTTTTTTTAAAAAAAATATGTTAAGATTTCTTGAGTAAAATAACAAAGTAATATTAATATAAAAAAGTGTTTTTTCGTACTTCATATACAAATACTTCAAATTAAGAGACAAATAGTGAATTTGTAAATACCACCATAATATTACACTACATTGTGTGTGTGATGAATATATATCATATAATATGATTTTATTATTTTAATAATGTAAAGATGGATTTTATTCATCATTAGTAGAAGCTGCTTAATCTTTTTATTATTATTTATTCTAATAATTATCACGTGAATATTATACTATTATTATATTATATATAATGCCAGCGTGTATATACGAAAATATGCATATGATGTTGAATTTGTCGTTTTTAGTTGGATATAATATTTTTTTTATATCTTTTTATTGAGAACAATTATATATTTTTTGTAAATTTGTCTGACTTTTGTATATTTATATTATTGCATACTTATATGTATAGTATATTACTATATATATATTTTTTTGGAACAATAAAATACTTACATAATGCAATTAAACTAAAATATAGTATATCATAAATTTAAATTATCCAAAATAAAATGATTAGCAATGTTTGGTGATGGTCATACTAATGAATCGAAGAATGGCCACTTTTGTCTCTCTGTCTCATTTTTCTTAACTAATGAATGTCCTCACAATCATTGAATCCTAAAGTACTTCTGCTACAACTACTACTGATATTAATATTGTTTTCCTTTATAATTATAAATCTCAAACTGTAAATATCGGGTGTTAACTTTTATGTAAAAATAAATATTGGATTAGTGTATTTTCAATAATTAAATAAATAGTGAAAGAACAAAAGGACATGGTTTAAATGATATACTACACCAATAAAAAATATTTTCGTATTATTTTTGTTTATTCCACGCGAATTTGATAAAAAAAAATACTTGTTGTTGATTAATATATATTTAATTCTACTTACATTACTATTATTTGTAATTTTTTTTAAAGAAAAGCAGTATTAAATTGGCGCTCATAATTCTTGGATGTCATGCGCATCATTTCCAAAGGCAAACCGCGCGTGAATACCACCATTCATTATGGGCCTTTATTTGGGCCCATCAACTATTATTATTATTATAAAATAATATGAAAATTATAATTAATAATAGTGATTTAGAAGTAAAGATTTATTACTGCTATAAATTAAACCAGAAATATATATGGTATGGGAGAGCATATTTAATTCAATCAGTTAAGTCGCGGTGCGCTGCGCCTAATTCTTTGTTAATAAATCATTATTAAAATTGCGTAGTGAGTGAATGAAATCTGAATGGGCTTGTAGAATACAAGTCCATTCGGAGAATCCCCAATTTCCGTGGAGCTTCCGCTCCGTGGAGGAATGGCTCTTCGTGGAGCCCAGAGCCTCGGCAGCTTGATTCCTTCAATTTCATGGTCTATCTCTGTCTCCACGATCTCCGTTTCTTTGCGTGTTGCGCTCTCTCTCTCTCTCTCTCTCTATATATATATATATTGGTGTATTTTGATCTTAGAGTTCTGGATCTTAGCTGTAGTTTATTTGGTTGACCGACAACTTGTCATGGATGATAATGGATTGGGTCTTGAGGTTTTGGGTTTACCAGTTGCATAGCCTTTTGTGATCTGTGAAGGTTTGATTCTCTTACAGATTCGGATAGTGATGATTAATTAATACGAAGCAGATAAAAGTTTCTACATTACAAAAACGCTTGACTTTTGGGTCATTAGATGGTTATCTCATACAGTCATACTATGTTGAATTCCTCAGTCAGGACTGATGCTTTAATCACAATCATAACATGTTTTTCCCTCTTTATAGAATAATTAACTAAATCAATGCTGCATCATATACTGTTTGTTTGTTGTTCAATTTTTGTATCTCAACTGTGGATGAAATGCAGAAATTGAGGGGACCAGCAAGTAGGCAAACTTCCATAGCAATGGGGGAGTACAATGGCTCCGAGTATATTGGGATTAGGGAAGCTCCTACGCCTAGCACAAATCATGGTAAGAAAATCTCGGTGTTGCCCCTCATCTTCCTCATTTTTTATGAGGTGTCAGGGGGGCCGTTTGGCGTTGAGGACAGCGTCAAGGCTGCTGGTCCTCTTCTTGCTCTGGCCGGATTTCTGCTGTTCCCATTGATATGGAGTATACCTGAGGCCTTAATAACTGCTGAGATGGGGACGATGTTTCCTGAGAATGGTGGTTACGTGGTTTGGGTCTCGTCGGCATTGGGGCCTTTCTGGGGGTTTCAGCAGGGTTGGATGAAGTGGCTGAGTGGAGTCATCGACAACGCCCTGTATCCGGTGCTATTTTTGGACTATTTAAAATCAGGCATTCCTGCTTTAGGTGGCGGTCTGCCGAGGGTCATTGCTGTGCTTGCTTTAACAATTGTCCTGACCTACATGAATTACAGAGGGTTGACAATTGTGGGGTGGGTAGCTGTGCTTCTTGGCGTTTTCTCCATTCTCCCTTTCATTGTCATGGGATTCATTTCAATCCCCAAGCTGAGGCCTGAGAGGTGGTTGGCATCGGACCTTCACAATATAGATTGGAATTTGTATTTGAACACACTCTTTTGGAACCTTAATTATTGGGACTCGATAAGTACTTTGGCGGGAGAAGTGGATAACCCAAAGAAAACTCTTCCCAAGGCATTGTTCTATGCATTGATCCTTGTGGTCCTTGGGTACTTCTTCCCCCTTTTAACAGGGACTGGAGCAATTCCCCTGCACCGTGACCTGTGGACTGATGGATACTTTTCGGACGTGGCGAAAATCCTTGGTGGGGTTTGGCTAAGGTGGTGGATTCAGGGTGCTGCTGCCATGTCCAACATGGGAATGTTTGTGGCAGAAATGAGCAGCGACTCATTTCAGCTTCTTGGCATGGCAGAACGGGGGATGCTCCCAGAATTTTTCGCAAGGAGATCACGCCATGGAACGCCTCTTGTTGGGATCCTATTCTCAGCATCGGGTGTGCTTTTGCTTTCATGGCTTAGCTTCCAAGAGATTGTTGCTGCTGAAAATTTTCTGTACTGCTTCGGAATGATACTTGAATTTGTGGCATTTATCCGCCTCAGGATCATAGCCCCTGAAGTCCCAAGGCCTTACAAGATTCCAATGGGGACAATTGGGGTGACCTTAATGTGTGTCCCCCCGACAATATTGATCTGCGTTGTCCTGGCATTGTCATCCCTGAAAGTGATGGTAGTAAGCCTCGTCGCTGTAATGATGGGCTTTGTCCTGCACCCCTGCATCGTACACTGTGAGAAGAAGAGATGGCTGAGGTTTGTGGTTAGTTCTGATCTTCCGGTCATCAATCAGGCATCTCGAGAGGGTGAAACTTTGATCGATGGATGAAAATGATTGGGTTGGGTGCTTGATTGGATCTCTTATCTAGGGAAAGGTCAGTTTGTGTTCTAATTTATAGCCTTGTTTGACTGCTGCTTTGTGTACTTACTTGTTAGCTTTGTTAAGCAGAGTAGCTTTCATCTTATTGATCCCATCCAAGTGTGTGTAGAGTTTGTGAAAAAATGTGTGCTGCTGCTGCTGCTTCTTTTTAACTGGTCATTGTCTGAAGCAGGCTCTCTCTCTCTCTCTCTCTCTCTCAATATGTTTATTCTAATGGCAATCTCCTGTGCTGTGCTGCTGTTTGATTTTGCAGAGAATTACGACTCGAAATGATTCTCATCTCTGTGGGGTTTGATTTTAATTAATTAATTAATGTCACTATAATCATCAAAATTCTCTCTTCAGCATTAAGATTAGGTGCTGAATCATAATTTAAAATTCAACAAAGATGCACTTGAGATATGGTAGAAGCAGGCAGGTTCCAAAATAGAAGCAATTTCAAAATCAAACCCTACACTTTTGGTAGAATATGGTATACGGACGGATATGATATTTAATGATATATTAATAGAATATAATAAATAGTAACATTATTAGTGCTACCGTGTTGTTTACTATGATCCCACTAGATTGCTGCTGCTGCTGCTAATTGATTGATATCTGAATTAGTTAGTTAGTTAGTTAGTTAGTATGTATTGATTATTCAAACCACCTTGGATGAGATTGCTGGAAGCCACTCACCAAAACGGGTTACAAGTTCATGTGTCCTTTCTTACTCAAACACATTCCAACTTGGCTGGGTACAATTAATTTGGTTGTATTTCATTTGATAAAATCATTCGGGTATTGATTTTGGGATTTGGACATTCAACCATTCCCGGGGTATAAGAGAAAGATCTGTTTGCAAAATTTTTGAAATTAAAATTAATAGTAAAAGATTTCGAAATTTGGAGTATAATATGGAAAAATAAAGTTTTGATTGGGTTTGATTTGAGATTTGTGAGTGAAAGAATTGGATATATAGTACAAACAATATCATCTCAAAGCAAAAGAGCCTTGCAAGTGACACTGACAATGCCCAGCTATTTATTCATATTAGATGGGCCAATTCTGGGCTGGACTTTGCCATGCCGACGCCGTCCTACAAAAGCGTCAATTCTATTTGAAATCGTTGGAAACACACATGCGACTCATGTTCTTTCAGTAAAAAGGAAATCCCCGATTCTGCCTCCTCGCGATATTTACCGCAGTGGTGTGGCCTGTGGAAGGACTATCACTGCACTCTCAACTGCTCCAACTCGGAATGGGGAAGAAGCCGTCAGCAGCGAGCGCCAATTCCGTAAGCGAACAACTTCACACCGCGGCGAGATCCGGCGACCTGAAGGCGGTGCAGGCCATATGCGCCGCCAATCCACTCGCCGTCAACTCACGCGACAGGCACTCTCGCACTCCGTATCCTCTCTACTTATAATTATTCCCCCAATTTGACTGGTACAAAGTGTGCTAGTCCTTTTATTATTATTGTTGCTGTTGTTATTTGGAGGTTTGATTTCGTATTTGGTTTTAGGTTTTGATTTCTAGATCAGCTCAAACCAATAATTGAAATACATGGAGATATTTTCCGCTGTTTTACGAAGCTCTTTAAGTTTTTATGTAGCATCTTTTTTACCGGAAATTTTTGCGTAGGATAAAGAATGATGAACAAGTTAGCGGTGTCAACATGTGCTTTTACATATGTTTTCTGGAGCTTTGGTAGTAGTAAAAAAGTTAGTTATTTTGTATTTGATTTTTGAATAGAAAATAGTGCTTGAGAAATAGGTATTGGATTTATTTAGAGAGAGTTTGTATGACTAAAAAAAGTTGAAAACGTAAGTAAAGAGAGACGTTGTTGAGGAGATATTCTTCATTATTAGTAGCATTTATCTGGTAATAACATGTGTATATATTTCATTGACAGTTTTGACGCCTTACTTCTGAAAAGGTCATGGTATCTTTCCTACGATTATGATACATCTTGTCCTTGAAATTGTCTTTTTGCACTATAGGGTATGAGCTTGAATGCAATTCATCTTGAATTTTTTGGCATAAGCCAGGTTAATTTATTGTTGCCTCGAGTCGGTTCTTGAAGAACTTGAGAGTTATATGGCTAACAATACAATAAGATATACTCCCTCCGTCCCACATAATTTGTCCCTATTTTCTATTTTCGTCCGTCCCACATAATTTGTCCTTTCCTTTTTTGGAAAATTAATTATACACTTTAATCATATTTTAAAATTTAAAATTTAAATTTTTTTTAATCTTAATTAAACTATTTAGTTATCTTAATCTTAATCTATAATTATTTTTACTAATACATTTCTTAATTGCTTATTGATTATATTTTACCTAAATTCTCGTGTCTACGGTAATAGACCCATGTTACATGGGACGGAGGGAGTATATGGTTAAAGATAGGATATACTTCTATCTGCGCCAATGTTGTATGTGTGAAGAGCATGTCATTCTTGAAGCCCGCGACATACATTATTATATAATAAATGTAATGTTTGTATCATTTAGAATGTTTACTAAGAGGAGTGTGCACAAGTTCTATACAGTAACAATAATTTTATGTTTCTTTAATAAAATCTAACATGTGTGTAAGCAATTCGAATATTTCTACATTAGGACTCAGTGGCAGTGGATTGGTGCTTGTGGGGATCATGACATGCCCCATAGAGAACTATGTTCAAAGCTGGTTTCACAGCTCTCTTCTACTTCAAGTCTTTATGGTATATTATTTCCTTAAGCGTCATTGAATTATAGACTGCATCTAGCAGCATGGTCAGGGCACGCAGAAGTGGCAAACTATCTGTGCAAGAACAAGGCTGAAGCCAGCGCTGCTGCAATGGATGACATGGGCGCAATCCACTTTGCTGCTCAAAAGGGTCATCTAGAAGTTATCCAGATCCTCGTGGCGGCAGGAGTCTCCATCAAGTCCACCAACCGGAAGGGCATGACTGCCCTTCACTATGCTGCACAAGGATCCAACCAAGAACTCATCAAGTATTTACTAAGGAAAGGTGCTAGTGGGGATTCTCAGAACAAGGCGGGGAAAAGCGCCGTTGATCTTGCCAGCAGTGAAGACATCCGTAAGCTGTTAGCTGAATACAAGTCAGTGTCAGACAAGGTCGTTGAAAATGGTAATGAGAAAAGCGAGAAGAGTGAAGAAGAAGGGTTGAAGATGGAAGATAATGAGAGTTTGCAGGGACACGAGGAAGGGAAGGATGAACCAGGAAGCGTGAAGAGACGGGGTGCAGAGGAGGATGCTGAAGAAAGCCAGAGGGAAACTAAGAAGTCGAGGGTTGCTCTGAGTCATCTTCTAGCTGCGGACGATGCTGACGACGAAAATGAAGAAGGTTAGTGTAAACTCTAGTGTATGCTTGTTTTTAACAGCAGTTGGATTATTATTATTAGGGTGATTTTGATATATTGATGTGCGCTAGCTAGTGTTGTAGGGATGAGCTAACGCATATTATATCTATATATATATATATACATTTGTCTTTGTTCCCCAAATTTGTAATTACTGTTTAATTATCATTACTCGTTAATAGAATGATACCTTTTATGCAAAATCAATCTAATCTAAATATAATAACAATAAATCTGCGGCTTGGTTTACTGAGTGTACACTCTCGGATAACGGCTGCGGGTTCATGTTATAAAAAAAAAAAAAAAAACAATAAAGGTTGCTGCTTGTTCTGCTATAGAATAATTCATTACAAATGGTCTCTGCTAAAATTTATTTATCTAATTAAATATTACCAAACTATTTTAGTCATTCATAATTTCAATGCATTATATGTATATATATACTCAACATATAATATAACCAATTAATGATTTTTAAAAGCAACTAATTTAATAGTTATTAAATAATACAGTATATTTTTAAAAAGTAGCCAATAAATATATGTATAAAGAAATCAAATGATATTGGAATTTAAATATTTTAAAAAGTAGCTAATCAATAGTATTATATTCATTACCTTCCGATATTTATTTGTGTTTGCAAAGCAAAAGCCCAATACATTGGGCTTCAAATTTGCTGTGCAACAACATATATGTTTTCTTTGTCGCCTAATCTTCCCACAGTTCCTCCGTCGACTCGCCATGGATACTCTTACCTTCTCTGCGCCTCTCAGCCACCGCTCTTCCCCTGCTGTCCGCCGCCCCTCCGTCCTCAAACCTTCATCTCCCTCCTGCCTCTTTCTTAACAGTAAGAAAAACCTAGCTTCTACGTTCAATTGCTCCGTCAATTCCGTCGACGGCCCTACTATTTCCTCCCCGAAATTGGCTGAATCCCTACTTTTCCACCTCTCCGCTTCTTCGCCGCAGACGCCTGCCACGGCTATGCGTGGAGCCGAGGCCGATGTCATGGGATTATTGCTCAAGGAGAGGATTGTGTTTTTGGGGAATAGCATCGATGATTTTGTTGCTGATGCCATTATTAGTCAGTTGCTTTTGTTGGATGCGCAGGACTCCACTAAAGATATTCGCCTCTTCGTCAATTCTCCGGGAGGCTCACTTAGGTGCGTTCGTGTCATATGAATTGATTTTAACTTAAATTCAAATTTGAATCTTAGTTCCATCATCTGCAAGTTTTCATAGTTGCTTGGGATACATGGCAAAGTAATGTGAAGCAATTTTAATTTAATTGTATAAAACCCAAACAAATAATTCTTTTTGGGTGTGTATAGATAATGTCCAAACCTCAGTTTGGCTATTGGATGTTTCCTTTCAACACAGAAGGAATGAAATCATGTCGCAAAAATTAGTATCTTGGCTATGATAAGCATGTGTGAACAAAATTAAAGTTGAGCTCAACCAACGCAGATGGTAAAAATGGTTACTTGGAAATCATGGTCAACTTAAATGCTTAATTGAGTGGTTAACGACTATGCTACTTCTCTTTCTATTGAAAACAGATGCATAATTTCGATCTTAAGAACATTAGTGTATTTGAATTGAATTTTGCAGGGGTTATTGCTCATATTCGACTCAATGATACTCTGTGAACAGTGTTAGTGAACATGGGCCTTATATGGTGTGCAGTGTTGAAGCTTGAATGCTTAATTGGTTATATTTTTGCCCTAACCTGTTTGGTTTAAATCCTTTGGCTAATTACCTTCGCTGTTAGTTATTGTGAAACGAGAAAGAAAGGTGGACATGGAAACAACAGTCTTTATACATCTTTTCTACGTTGTAAATTTTCTTCATCATGATAGTGGTTATAAGGATTTTTATTTATTTTTTCCTTTTTTGGGCTTTTAAGTGCTACGATGGCCATCTTTGATGTTGTGCGGCTAGTGAGGGCTGATGTCTCGACAGTTGCACTGGGCATATCAGCATCTACAGCATCCATCATTCTTGGCGGTGGTGCCAAGGGAAAACGCCTTGCGATGCCTAATACTCGAATTATGATTCACCAACCACTTGGGGGTGCTAGTGGACAGGCTATAGATGTGGAAATTCAGGCACGAGAAGTCATGCATAACAAAACAAATGTCACCAAAATTATATCCGATTTCACGGGAAGACCGTTTGAACAGGTTGAGAAAGATATTGATAGAGATCGGTACATGTCCCCAATGGAAGCAGTTGAGTATGGCATTATTGATGCCGTCATTGATGGAGATAGCATTATCCCACTCATACCAGTTCCTGAAAAGGTTAAGTCATCAATGTTTGATTATGTGGAGATCAGTAAGGATCCCAAAAAGTTCTTGACGCCAGATATCCCAGATGATGAGATATATTGATCAAAGCCATACAGGTGCGCAGCATTTTCTCATGATATTTCATTTTTGTGTACTTGGCACGAACCTGCTTCCATCTCTTTGAAGTAAGACCATTTCAGATGTCATACCAATTGCCGATTTATTTAAAAAGAACATGTAAATGGAGAAAAGTTTCCGTAGGCTCTCTCTTTTCAAGTATACTGTTCCTTGATCTTCGCGTAAACTGATTGCTTTAGATGGCAGCCCAATCACTTTTTAACAATTAGAGATGTATCTTTGAGAACTCTCTCTACTCTGTATCCTGAAACAACAGATGGTGCAATTTTAATTCTTTGTCACAAGTATCAGTTTTTGAACGATGAATGAAGTAAAGTAGAAGAATTCAACGAAGTATTCGATTGATATCTCTGTTAACCATTGTTTTACTATACAGTTATCTGACAATGTGTTGGCTTTCGCCATGTTTAAGTTTTTCTACAATGGTCTCTACTTGTTTCCTGAGCATACACTGTCAGTATATTTCAGACGCAGAAGAGGGATTCAGGATAGGTTTGATCCCGGCAACAGCCCCAGCCCCAACACGGCCATTTTTATCTGCTTTTAGGTTTTACGTGCGGCCAAATTGTTGGGTCGCATCGGTAATAGACTGAGATTCATTTTAGCTTATCAAGGAGTGACAAAATACATTTACGTCTTTTGGCTGAATTGTCTTGTAAAGATTATTGCTATATTTGATTCTTACAATTGCTTTGCCTTCTTTTACTTGGAATTGTTTTGCAACCCAACGGGGGCTGTGCTTTTAATGGTTAGATTGGACCCTCCTTTCTTTAAATTCAAATTCACTCTTGATTCCTCTAATTAATACTCTAATTCTAATATATATATATATATATATTTGTAAAAAAAATAATACTAATAATAATGAATGAATGAACAATGATTAAAGTGATGATTAATAGATATAAATGGTTGCCGATGAACATTTATCAGATAGTTCAATCTAGCCTTTTGTTTGTGACCAAAAGAGCACACCCGAAGAAGTGGGACTAATGGCAATTGGAGAAATTAAAAAGACATCTCATTTTTTTTTATTATATGATTGATGGAAGATGAAATTGTTGCTGTGGTTGGACTTCCGTTTTTTTTTTTTTTTTTTCTTCCTAATCCAATCCCACAGCCACAGCCACAGCCACAGCCACAGCCACGTACGTACCAATACCATTGATATTTTTTTATAGATTGAATTGTGACTTTGCCGGTCCAGTCCGGTCCAATTCAAAAGGCTCTTTCCAGGCTTTTGCCGATTATATTTTGATTAAAATTAAAATAGTAATCGTTTCCCTTTCGGCTTCCCCCAAACGCAAGAGTCCACAGACACTCTGACGCCGGGATGGATCTCCGGTGACGGGGACTCGGCGGCCGAATAATCGCAATATTCTGTAGGGAGGAGCAGACTCCCATGGATTCCCCGGAGATCAACGAGCCGAGAAATAAGGGCAATAGGAATAGTCTTCGTCGCATGCTTTTCCGTTCCTGTTTTGCCGTCCTCTCCTCTCTATTAGTTTTCCTTTTAATTTTCTTTGCGACGCTGTATACAGCTCTTTTGGTTGGAAATTTATCGTTTTGGAGCCCGATTTCTGTTCACTCGCGTTGCCGAATAGTTTCAAGCAGTGAGTCTTCCGGTGTGATTGTATTCGTCTGAGGTGTAGAGTACTTGGCTTTTGCTTGTATGTATGCGATTTCCTTGATGATTCGAAACTGAGATGAATTTTTCTGGTGGTTATCGAGTCATGGTAGAGGAAATATGAAAGCTTCGGTTTCGAACTTTGAATGTGGGTTTGAGGAATTTGTATCTGTGGCTAATAAATTGGTTCTAGAAAGCTTTAACCTTGTTTGAACCAGCAGAATTATCCCAATCTGTAGCTTTGTTTTTAGAACTTGTGATGTATAATCCATTTTTTTTTGTGAAATGATGAATTGATATTTATCATTAATTTTCTGTTTAATGAATGAATGCAAAATTTTTGTGCATGCTTGGATGGTTTTGGTGATTTTAAATTTTCGTTATTTGGTTACTTAACAAGTCTTTTCCCCATAAAGCATAGACATATTTATTTAATGCAATTTATGAAATCTTAATTTGAAACCAACTTGACAAATGATTGAATGTTGTGACATTTTATCCTCATGTTTGAAATTTCTCTGAATCAACCATTTTGGCCAGATTTTAAGCAAATATAGCTATAGATGATGTTGTATAATCGCCAAACTAGTGGTTCATATCAACAAAAGGTATCTGTTATCTCTAGCAATGAGTTATTGTACTACCCTGGCTAACGGTACTATAATTGATGTTTTTGCAGGTGTTGATTTAAGGTCATCCAAGGTCTGTGAATTAGGCCTTCTAAATTACAAAGCCAAGAATGTGTTCTATCCATTGGACAGGAAAAGATATCGATGCCATTACGACTATTACTGGGCATCTGTATTTAAGGTGATTCCTGCACTTCTTTTTAATAGAAAATAGAAAATAATCCTTTATATGGCCTGGTTTTTACTGAATTCTTGCTTGGGATTACATTTTTACGGAATTGTGGAAGATTATTTACTACAAGATTCTTATGTATATTTTAAAATTGGCTGTTGGTATGAACATGAAGAATTTCACACTGAAACAAGCATTCGTTTTTGATGTTCGCAACTTCAAGTAACTTGACTATAAATGCATTCGGATGCCCTTCCTAGTCACTACATTTAACTATTACTAAAATTTGTACCCGGAATGAATTGTTTGTGGAAATATTTTTATGACAATAAAGCGGTAATCCTGATCCGGTATGACAGAAGACTTCTGTCTTATCATGTAGAACTTACCTTTTTCATCTATAACATCCTGCAAAACTACATCACCAATCAATAGTGCTTTTAACTGCTGATTGCATGTTCTTGTTGGGCTTATAAACATACATTCTATATTATCTAGATGTCCTTTGTAATTTTTAAGGTTTCTTCAAATTTTGGGTTGCACAAATAATTTGATTTCAGCTGGCAGGTTGAATACATAGATCATGCGGGCCAGGCAAGGTTTGCACATGCTGAGGCCCCAGATGAAGCCCTTCCGAACAACTGTCGACCCAGTTTTGGTGTTGCATGGTTAGCCAAAGATAAATTTAAGGTGGTCACTGTAGGCATGATCTTTGGCATTGAGACAGGAATTTCATTTGATCTTGCTGTTTACTGACTTTAGGAGACTATCCTTCTTCTAAATGTGTTACACATCCTTTTTGTGTTTGCCTACCCAGGTAAATGAAACATATGAGTGTTGGTACACACTAGGAACTTCTAAAGTAAACATAAACTACAAAGGTTTGTTTAATTGCCAAGCTGAGAATCCTTCTACTGCTGAAATGCTCAAGCGATGTTCTATCCTGTGAGTAGTATGAATTTTTATTTTATTTTATGTTACTTTTCTTTTATTCTACTTATTTTTTCTTTCCTGTTTTTTTTTTTTTCTTGATGATCATAAATTCATTTAGAATCAATAAATTTGTAGTGAAAAATTGTTGTGATACTCAAAGGTTGTGGTTAATTGAATTTCAATGATTTGGATATAAGATTACTTGGTGCCTCCTGCCTTATCATTTTATGTATTTTATTTTGATATATTGACTAGAGTCTTAACTGAAGTTTCAGCAGGCAGTTGTTCTGGTTCAGCAATTTGTGACTTTACATGCTGAAGCTTCTTATAGACTATTTCTCACTCCACCAAGGCTTTTACTCGTTTATATGCTAAAGGAAGCAGTTTTGCAAATGATTTTATATTTGAATTCTTTATAACTCAGATATTCGTTAAAATGAAAGATTGTCATCAGTTTCATGCATGATGATTAGAATGCGTTCAATTATTCCCAGTTAACAATCTCTTTAGTTCCTAAGTAGGGCTGTTACATTGTAAACCAAGAGAATTTTTAGGCAAGACTCCAGCACTGTTATGCATATTTTCTGTTTTCTTTCCTTTTATTTCCATTTGCTGCATAAGTAAGTTTTCCAACCGGAACTAATTTGTGCATGTAGTTGCTGGACAGGAGATGAATAATTAATGCCAATTTTTATTGCACATCATATCTTTAATCGTGTCAAAGATGAACTTGATATTCTTGACCCAAATAGCGTGTCTGATTCTTCCCTTTTGTTTGGCTACTTTACCTTAATCAGATGCATGGATGATTATTACAGATATTTACAGAAACACTTCATAGTTGGATGTGATTTTAGAATAATTCATTTACCTTTCTTTCTCTGTACTCAAATGATTTATTTTGCCATGCCAGGTTTACTAGGATATTGAAGTCCTCATTTTTTAGTTCGGGATCAGTAACACTGTGGAGGTGGGATTTATTAGCTGGACTCATAAGTGGCTATATAACGGCGTTGTTATCCGTCACCGTGATTGGATTTCTCCCGTCCCTAGCATCTGTTATTCGCAGACGCATTAAATATTGGATGTCCTCTCTTCATCCAAGTATGATTTTTCTAAAGCGCACTTGTTTCTTTGTAATGTATTTTTCCTTTATGAGTTGGGTCACCATTCAATATGTCAAACGACTTGGCCTTTCATAGGCACATCATTGATATAGGGTGCACTCAATTTTCCTGGAGTCCTACTCATGGGTGCAAATCTGCATCACCAAGGGATTTAATTATGTATACCTTAATGTACCGGTATAAGTGATTGTGAGCAAATTGGTTCGCTTGTGCTGTTGTAGGTAGACTTGTCCCGAAGGACAGTACTTTTTGTACAGATGTAAAGTATTATGTTATGAGAGTATAATATTGAGAATTTTGTGCAAGTAGATTTAAGGGACTACTTGATTTTATCTTTGCTTAATTATTTAGACAGTGCACTATAGCACAATGGAAATACTTATGAAAAATATTGTTTTTTCAGACAATGAGAAACATATGCTAGAAGTGCTATAGCAGTGAACGGTTGTGATGATGATTAACAGTCACATGTTTCCAGTATCTGCAATAATCCTCTCAATTTCTTCTAGAAGTCGTTCCTTCTCATCTGACAACTCCTGGTTCTGTTTCTGAAGTTCTTCTATCTGCTTAGTCTGCTCAGAATCCTTTCTGAAATTCATAATCATGAAAAGCAAAGAACATGCTTGCGTTAGAAAGTAAGAATGATCTAATTTAGAGAAGCACAGATAGTTGGGAGATGGTTTTGTTTATTTCTTTCTTTCCTCTTACCTATTCATAAATGACAAGTTCAGTTTAAGTGATCGGACTTCCTTCTCAAGATTCTCACATCTCTTCAAAATGGATTGCATGTCTGTGGGGACTGCAGGTGTCGAACTCCTTTCCTTTGCTTCTGCCATCCTTAATTATCCAAAAGTACATACACACATATGTGTGTATATATATGTGTTTATTAGTGCAAAATTGACTTGAGTTTTGAAAGCATAACAATGCGAAAACATGGAAACTCTTACAACAAGGGGGTTAACGTATGGTGATGTTAGGAAATTGAATGCTATTTATTGTTTTTGTTTGGATTGACACCAAGTGATTGGAGGAGTTATTTTGATCCCAATTGACATCATGTTGATTTCAATCTTTATATTGGAACTAACTGCTTACTAAGATAATTAATATTGAAATCATTAATAATAGTTTAAGAATACTACTCAAGTGCTTCAGGAAGCATATGTGTGCACAGAGAGATTTGATAATTAGATCTTAAGGCATCCAGATATAAAACTGAACTCGATAATGCTATGGGTTGGTATATGCTATGCCATTCTCTATGATCGAGAGAGTGTGCATTTCCAAAGACAGGATAAAGTAGTACATACTTTCGTGATCGCTCCACCCTACGCTTCTTTGTTGGATCTCCTCTGTCCACTGCATTAAATGGGTGAGTTAGATACTGTTAATGGTATGAATGCCAGAGCGCCAGAAATAATGTGGTGATGACAATGCTTGATTTATGAGGATTCCTGAAAACTATATTTTACTATAATTTGTAGATGAAAAGAACACGGAAATCGACTATTAGTTTGAGTTTTAATACCCTCAAGGAGAGTAGAAATATACATCTGAAGCACATTCATCATGGGTTTCAAATACTAACCTGAACCAGCTGAAGTTACAGATCCGTATCGGATTAATCCTCCTTTCTGCTTCTGCTGTATGCATAAAATCCAGGTAAAGCTTAACTTATGAGTTCTTTTGCAGAATCAAAACTATTCACTAGACTCAATATATCTATTTTATGTCTTTGACAGAGGATAAAAAGATAGTCATGAATCGTGAAAGTACCTTCTGGATGTCTTTTGAGTTGTCATATGTATGCTCTTTGAAATCTTGATTCCTTCCAATTCCCCTTTGATTCCTAGAACTCTCGCAAACTGTGGGAGCTTGTGCAGAGATGCAGGGTTCATCGCACATGTCTACAAAACCATTCAAAATTATAGGTGGAGCAACTGATGACTCGCTCTGAGAAGGCTCCCGGGACACCATCCACATAGGGGTTGGGTTCGTGGGGCTCATAATATCCTCCATTAAGGATTCCTCAATCTTCTGTAAAACTCCAGTTTCTGCAACTCCAAGCATTGGTACATTCTGAAAGGTTCCTGGACTTTTATATGCTCGAATTTCCTGGGCTTGATTCAAGCCAGTATGGCCTAGAGCTTCTTCAGCACTATAGTACTCGAAAGAACTCTCCTCTTTCTCTGCCATGTTGTGGAGCTTCTTGCGCTCAAGTGTTCCCTTGAGCATGTTCACAACTGAAGAAATCTTATCCACACACCCTGCCTGAGGGTTGTTGAAAGCCGAGGAAGATGAATTAGATGGAGACATGAATGTAGTCAACTGATTGGGATTCTCGTATATTGGTGAAACATTGCTAAATCCATTTTTTTCCTTGGTTTCGTGCTTGAAATTGTTGACTGCAGTCGCAGATGCCTCATTAGTTACCTCGCTCCCTATAGTTGGTGTTTGTGATAGTTGCATAGCAGCATACCTCCTCCTTCACGAATTTGGAAAGGACTAATATGAGCCTCTGAAGACTGAAATCATGTTGTTTTCTGAACAAAGTTTACGATTCAAGCATGTACCTTAGTTCAGAGGATCGACTTCTAGTCATAGGTTGAGAGCTGTGGAACCATGCCTGCGCGTGAGTAAAGAAAGTGCTGCTCAGTACAAAAATGTGGAGTTGATTAGTTTTTTCAGACCAAGTATCTCTCACCTTTGCCAAAAACAGGTTACTAGCCTGCATTCCCTTCCCGACTCCAGCCCTGATGGAAAAGGAAGTCACAGTTATCCAACACGTGAAATGGGCCGACTACCCAAGACAGTAGTTACTGAGTGTACCTCGATGTGTTGAGATCGACTGCAGAATCAGCAGGCACAGGTATGGTCTCTACACTCACTACGTCATCATTTACCTTCTTCTGGATTGCTGCCGTGCTTTGATTAGATAAATTTGCTATTTCAGTTGATATCCTGAACTTCACACTAAATTTCATCAGCATAGATTGAGGATTGTGTAAAATTTGAGTTTTGAGGTAAAATGGTTTTACATTCTGTTACGGAATGAATGAAGTTAGGACAGGACATCTTTTACCTTCTTGATGGCTGTCTAGAGCGATGTGCTATCCCTGCTGGATGGCAGCCGTTGTTCTGTCGAAAGAAAGAATGGAGTGATATTTAAGACACATAATTACACGTTGGTTGAGATTGACTCTTTTCTACAAGATTTAAGCAATAAAAAGTTTTGTTAGTTGCTTGCCTCGCCGGTAGTGAGCCAACTCTTGAAGAGTTCCTCGCTGTCCGTTCGGAAATTTTGTGCTAGATTCTTGAACCCCAACATCTCCATGGATGGTGCGGGCATGCCTACCGTGCTCTCCATCACGGTCTTTATGAAAAGCTCCTCGCTCGTGTTCCTGTAGAACTCCGAGTATCCCCTTCCATCTAAATCCATTAGCTAACCAACCAACCAACCAACCTTAGAATGAACTTCTTATGATTGCATTTGAAAGACAAATGCAGTCCGTCAATGGCGTGTAAGAAAACTCGTTACAAATAAATAAATACATGTATTGTATAGTATAGTATGTCAACATTAATCCCATCGCTGTCGAATGTGTGTGTTTTGAACTTTTCACCAACACTGCTTAGGGACTAAAATGAAAATGAAGTTAGGAATCGAGAAAGCGTGATTTTGCACGAGATTCCAGTCAATAGATTTGTCTCTATGTGAATTATTCGGTCAAGCACGAAATTTGATCAGGAATAAGTAAATCAATTCCTGATTTAACATTTGTATGCATCATCATCATGTCTATTGGAAAACCTAATCCACCATCTTCTTCACTCAGCACAAGGAAATAAAATTAAAAAGACAACCTAATCCTCCACTAATTGTTGACTTGATTCAAATTATTTTATGCATAGCATAGCATAACATTTTACAGAACTACAACTAGTTCATTGCTTGATTGATTTCTTCAAAGTTTCAAACCGTGTCTGCAATAGTGACCCATTTACTTTAGTTAGAAGAACGACACAATTAAAAACATTAATACAGTTTTCTTGGTTACCTTTGACTGGAGCCTTTTTTTTTTTCAAATGGGTCTTAAAATACTAATTAGTTTAGTATAAATCCGTGGTTAGTATTATTGGGCAAGATGTGTGCCTTGAGAAGGAGCCAAAGAAGCACTTTTGGCACTGTGTCTAAAAAGGGGAATAATATCATTATCATATTATTAACATTTACACATCAATTCGAGTCAACTGCCAACCACGGCCTTACCGACAAAGAAACGTTCGAGCAAGCCGGCACTGCATTTTCATTTTGGTTGCCTTGTCCAAATTTTTAATCAACAATTACCATTTGGTTCTTAAGTTTCTAAAAACCACAATTTTTTATATGTATATATATTGTGATGATTTGTTTCTTTGCAAGTAGGAGTATTAATCAACAATGAAAATCGTAAAAGAAAATGATGGTTATCATGGTTCCATCTCATCACCACCAGTATATGATCTACTTATAAATCAGCATATATAATGTTGTGAAAAAACAGTCCATCAAACCCTAATCATGTACCTTAATAAATCATTAAAAATATCCAATAAATGATAAAAGCATGCCCTCACAAAAGTACTAAAGGGATTACTATTTCTTTTTTACTATTATTATTATTATTAATCAAAACAATATTTGGGAAAAGACTAGTTTCAACTCATTTTTGCAGGATAAATTCTACAAAATTGCAGGGATTGATAGAGCAATTTTTTTCACCCCATCATCAAAAACCTCCTCAGTCGTAGACTGTAGCTTCTATTTGCTTGTGTATAACAAGAAATCATTGGTTTGTAATTGAAAATTAATATAAAAAAGAGTTGGGTCAAGCCCAATTAAATTGGGCCTCAATTGGTGGATCGGGATATGGCAGGCCCAATACCCGGAGAGCGAATGGAGTTCCGTTTCCTCCATTTTCGATACTCCCAAGGACAAGGGAGGTAGCTATGAAAGGACAACACGCAACGGAGTTGTCTTCATCGTGAAGGCAGCAGTGGAGGAAAGTAGCGCGCCGCAGAGCAGAGCGGAGCGTCCCTTCTCTCATTTTCCTTGTGTGCAAAGCCAAGTCTCCCACACCTGATATTACCATGTTTCATCCATCCCCAACTACCTACGCTCCCAATTTTCTTTACCCATCCGCCCCTGGCACTTATCCTATTGGAATCGCTGTAATATGTAGGGAGGGTGGGCTGGCTCGCAGCACCGGACGTGTTATAGTATTATTCTAGTCATAGCAGAGGGGGAGGAACTTCAAACAAGTGCCTCGCTGCGTGATAGGGTAATGCAGTCTTCCTTTATGGTATTCTCTTTTTATTGCTTTGGGTTTTGATAACCGCGATGTATTTATATGGAATGGGGCGTGGTTAGATTGGGATCTGGTTCGAATTTCGATGGATATGGGGTGGTTATTCGCATCTGGAATTCTAATTTTTTAGCTTTTGATCAAGGGTTAGGGTGGTTATTCGCATCTGGAATTCTAATTTTTTAGCTTTTGATTAAGGGTTAGGGTGGTTATTCGGATCTGGAATTCTAATTTTTTAGCTTTTGATTAAGGGTTAGGGTAGTTATTCGCATCTGGAATTGTAATTTTTTAGCATTTGATTTAGGGTTAGGGTGCTTATTCGCATCTGGAATTCTTATTTTTTAGCATTTGATTTAGGGTTAGGGTGCTTATTCGCATCTGGAATTCTTATTTTTTAGCATTTGATTTAGGGTTAGGGTGCTTATTCGCATCTGGAATTCTTATTTTTTAGCATTTGAGTTAGGGTTCGGGTGGTTATTCATCTGGGTTGTTTCGTGTAATTCCCATTTTTGAATGCTGGATTGTGTTTGGAAGGAATAGATTAGAGCGGTGGTGGTTATTAAACCTGCAAAATGAAGAGGGAGGGGAGAGATACTTTCGATTAAGAGAAATGAGAAGTGTTGTTTGAATTGTTTCTTGCGAGGGTTTTCTGGAAATAACATTGATTCTTGATATAAAGTCCTCGCCATCTCATCACAGGTCAGGATAGATCCCGTTGTTGCATTGTAAGTCTAAAAGAGAGAGAGAGAGAGAGAGAGAGAGAGAGAGAGAGAGAGGAAAACCAAAAAAAAAAAAAAGGAGATCAAACCCTAATTTCCACATGAGTGTATCCATCTGCCAAAATTCTTGTGCTGGTTGTTTCCTTTGATATGTAGCTAATTATTCTGTTCTCTATTTTTTATTTTTTATTTTATTTTTTTTCACTCATTTAGCCTTACAGTAATGATACCCTTTGTCTTTGCTGCCAGGCTTCGATGAATTACGGGCTAAAGAGATTAGTATTATCTAGGACATGGATCAAGTCTGCATCTGGTCATATAGATGCCATTATCAAGTTTTCCCATCACACAAAGTCCTTGACCTGCAGTCTCTTGTCTCTAGAAAATTTCTTGTTCCATTTTGTCAACCGCTCTTAAGTAACAGTTTGCTTCAGTACATCATTACCGAGGATAAAGACTGGAAATATCTGTTGGATGGATTCATTCGCTAATCTTCTCTTGCAATTCTGTCGTTGTCAGTGCATTGCAGTGACAATCGTTATATCCTTTGGGAAGCAAACTTGTGGCAGAGTCAGGACTGCACGTAATGGAATCTGTCCGTTTTTACTCGTATCTGGGAATTCTACAATTTTGTGATCCTGATGCTAGTTTTTTGTTGCCCTCACTTCCAGTATTTGTGATCAACGCATGCTTCTAAGGCTCTGAATTGCATCTGTGGTTGCCCTATAGTGGGTTGCTTTCTCATATGTTGGAGTACAGCTGAAAATTTGCTGTTGAATTTTGTTAATTTAACCCGTCTTGTCATTTACATGTCATAGTGTAAAGTTTAACATGTATAGAAACTTCATTCCTTTTCTGGGAAGCAATATCATCTCCAATAAGTAGTGGTGGTGCGCCACACAACGTTTGAATTGATTGCAAGAATGGAAAGGTTTGATTATTCATAATTTCATGTATCTATTAAAAGATTTCTTTTTACGTAATGCATTTAGTTATCATAATGGTATCTGTAGGTACACAATAATTAAGGAAGTTGGTAATGGTACGTTTGGAACTGTCTCACGAGCCCTAAGCAAGCAGTCTGGTGAAGTGGTAAGTGTGCTAATTTTTTGAAGAATCTTACATTTTAAATGTGATAATTGTTTCTTCCAATTTAATGTAGAAGTACGTGATTTCAAAATAATAGTCATACTTCACTAATTGCTTGTACAGGTTGCAATTAAGAAAATGAAGAAGAGATACTATTCATGGGAAGAATGTATTAATCTGAGAGAGGTCAAGGTAAAAAAAAGGAATGCATTTTATCACCTTTTTTTTTTTTTTTTCTTGCTTGATGTTTATGGGAGACGAATGATGGGCTCTTTCTTGGCAGTCTTTGAGGAAAATAAGTCATCCGAACATAGTTAAGCTGAAGGAAGTGATTCGAGAGCATGATGTGTTGTACTTTGTCTTCGAGTACATGGTCTGCTTTGACTTTTTCCTCGCTTTTCTGGCATATTTTTGGAAACTTTTGTGTTCTATAAATTGATAAGTTGTGTTGAAATTTCAGGAGTGTAACTTATATCAACTTATGAAAAACAGAGTGAAATCTTTTTCGGAAGTTGAAGTGAGTAATTGGTGTTTCCAAGTATTTCAAGGTCTTGCATGCATACACCGACGTGGATATTTTCATCGTGACCTTAAGCCAGGTTATTAGATATGATTGATTTGTTTCCTGTGGATTCTTATGGTGTGAAATGTAGTTAATAATTACTACTCCAATCCGTTTTTTTTTTTGGTATATCTTTTAGCAAAATATCTTAAGTTAGTGATATTCGATATTCTGGATTCTAATTATGTTTGTGTGTGTGTTTTAGGACAGTATTTTATGGAATAATTTGGTTTATTTTTATTCTTTAGTGTTGCATTTTATTTAAATGAGGCATGCATGCAGTGGCTCCCGTTTACCTATTTTATCGGAATTTTGACTTAAGTTTTCCGCTTTTGTTCATGGAAAGTACATTTTATCATAATGTTAGCAGTCAAGTTGAATTGTGCTTATTTGCTGCTGCTTGTAACAGAAAATTTGCTGGTATCTAATAATCGGATAAAGATAGCTGATTTTGGACTCGCTCGGGAGATCAATTCCCAACCACCTTTCACTGAATATGTTTCCACGCGTTGGTGGGTGATCATACACTGATCTTTCTCTCTTATATATACTAATATTTTCCCAGAAACTGATTTGGTTACTTTTTACAGGTACCGGGCCCCAGAAGTTTTGCTGCAGTCACCAATATATGGTCCTCCCGTCGGTGAGTAGATTTCAAAAAACAGAAAGACATTACTTTTTTTTTTTTTTTTAATATATAAATTGTGAATGCTTTACCCAAAGATGATAATAACATTGTTTTTCAGACATGTGGGCAATGGGTGCAATAATGGCTGAATTATTCACGCTTCGTCCTCTATTCCCAGGTTTAAGGTATGTTATTCATTTCTGGGAATCCTTACTTTTTGTTTTTGTCTTCAATTTGTGCCTTTATGTGATATCTCTTAATTCCTTGTGCTATGCACGTTTCGTACAGTGAGGCAGACGAAATTTTCAAGATATGTTCTGTGATCGGAAGTCCAACACAAATTGAGTGGTCTGAAGGGCTTGAACTTGCTAGTGCCATCAATTTCCAGTTCCCACAGGTAAGTCTTTACTTGCTCCTTAGAATTTGTATCTATAATTGAATTTAATATATTGAATTACATGTATTTTTATTATTCCTTTCCTATTATGTAAGAGATCTGAATGTGTGATCACAATCATCTGTATCTTAGGTTTTGTTTCAAGTCTATTGCTATTTGCTCTACTTCTTCTCAGATTGTTTTGTTTATTTATTGTGGATTAATTGTATTCAATTATTCAATCCCTACTCAGTTCTAACTTTACCCTAATCAAGTATGAAGTTGAAGGACTAATTGCCCTTTTATAATAATCATTTGCAATGATACGAAAAGGAAATAATGGAAGAGAAATGCATTTATGTATTATGAACTTCCCTTAATATTTCTACGAAATCCTCTTTTAAAGAACAATTTTGTCTTCTAAGGAATCATTATTTTTTAGAGAACTATAGATCCAAAGAACAAAGTTTTCAAAATAATGACGAATATTCAGCATATAGTGTGAATCTTTTCACGGTTCATTTAATTATGTAATATATGTTCACCTTAGCAAAAAAAAAAAAAAAAAAAATGATGTAAAATTATAGAATTTATTAATGATTTGATCTTCAATGCATAATTCAAATTAATAATGCCTGCGTTTGTTTACCATTCAACTATATTTTGGCACTATGTACACCCGACCCCCACCAAAAAAATCACATCCAAGACCTAATTTTCGTTTAAATATTACATAGAAAAAAAAATGTATGTTTTATTTAAAGTATTGCATCCAACACTTATTTTTTCATTCAATTTTTTACTATTCCCAAAACAACCCAAAATACGAAAACACTTCCAAAAAATATCTAAATTCAGCCAAAGTTTTATCAATAATTACAAGATGTGAAATTGGAAATGTATTATGAATTGAATAGTGCAAAAATGAAGATGAAAAAACAAGCAACATACCCATAGATTTGTGTCATTTCACTAATTACGAGTTATTACAAGTGTCATTTTCCACCTTAAATATTTAATTTGATGGTTTAGGGTGTAAGTGCTTAAATTTGAAGTTATGGGGATAAAGTAGCAGATTGCTTTATGGGAATCAAATACAATTTACCTTTCTACTAAAAATAAAAAGCTTCCTCTTTCCTCGGGATTTTATCTTTAGGAAGTTTTGTATCGATGGCCTGTATTTCTCTTGAGAATAATGATTAATTTTTGTGCTTGTTAATTTGTTTAATGTGGTAGGTTGCAGGGGCGCCTCTCTCTATGCTGATGCCAGGAATCAGTGAGGATGCTGTTCATCTAATAGCTGTAAGTCTTCTTTGAACTATCAATGCACTGTATCTCCACTCTTAACACTCTCTAATTCATATCTTTGAGTTTTTCATCTGCATTTCACATTCCCAGACTTATTTCTTTTTCAAGTAAGCACCTTCCTTGAATGTTTTCCCTGAGTAACCATTCTAGTTTATTTTTATATGTTCCGAAATGTAGTCGCTGTGTTCGTGGGATCCATGCAAGAGGCCAACAGCTGTGGAAGCCCTTCAGCATCCACTCTTCCAGGTAACATATATATTGGTCATATTGTAAGATTCTCTCCTTGGGGCAAAAAAAAAAAGGTGGTTTACAATGTTGCAGAACTGCTTTTACATTCCTCCATCTCTGCGTTCCAAAGCTGCTCCTCTAAGAACATCTCCTGGTTAGTGTATCACTTTTCGTTCATACTGTTCATAATTTTTAATTTTTGATTCTCCTTAACACAAATTAGCACGCTATGCTTGTGTAGTTAGAACAAAGGATGGTTTGGAGCAAAAATGTAGTAACAGATACCCAGGAAGTTTATTGAACCAGAAGCCCATGAATAATAGCTTTTGTTCCTCTCAGTCTTCTTTAACATCAGGTATGGTGGTTTTAACATACCTCTGTTCCCATAACTTCTGCATCTGGTATCCTTATGTATCTTTATTTCGGTTTTTATTGAATATGGTTCACCTAGTTCTATGCCCTATCCAGGAGTGCAGAGAAAATTGGACCTAGTACATGATGCCCCTATAACTGGCAAAGCCCAAAAGAACTATGTAAAGCAAGCTGGGAAGTATCGGCTCAAAGGTATGAATGGAATTTGCAAGTATGTAGGGTTATTTTATTAGTCTAACCAAGTCGAATATCTTAGTTTTTAACTTGACTTAGCTCTTATTGTGTGACATCCTTGCTACAATATAGCATAAAGTACCTCTTTGGTTGTTTTTAGGGTGTTTCATGCCACATTTTTCGGTAATAATAGGATAGACTACATTACAAATTGCATGTATGGTATTTTACACTATTTCAATATAGCACCTTTCTTTTTTTTTTTTCCTCTTCAGTATATACCCTTAGAAATAAAATAAGATAAGATAGATAATATAATTGTATGGTATTTTAAGATGGGGAGAAAGGGGCTGGTAGAGCAAGCTACTTTTTGTGTTTGTGTCTTATGATCAATGACTTTTCATTTATATTTTTACCAACCGCTTCTGATGGATCTGAGATTTGAAATAAAATAATTTAAGAGCTTAAAAGTTTCTTAACTAAACACTTAACAGTGTCAACTCAAGCAAATTTAATTCTGAGTAACTTGTGGTTCAGCAGCCGGTAACTTGGGAAGTGCTCGTGGTGTTTCTGATGCATCTGAGAAGTTGGCAAACATGACGGTAGGCACAGGTAGGCTGTTGGCTAAGCCATCAGTGCCACGGTGTGCGAAGGCCGGAGGTTGGCGTGAGAAATCCAGCCTGTACATTGGACGATCACAAGAACTCGCCGGAAGATCATATTCCCGGAATGTGGTTGAGTAAATTAATGCAACCCCTGTTTGTTTGTCCATGTGGATGGAGGGAGGTAATCAATCTATGTTTGTCCGAGAAGCAACATTTCAATAGCATAGCATCTATAGAAGCCTCTGCTGTCATTGTGGTATATTAGAGCGTGGTTTGAATGTATGGATTCATCTGTGATGCCTGCTAGTCGACCAGATGTACTTGAGTGCATGCTGTTTTGGTTGTAATGTTTTCTCTCTGCCCTTTTTTTTTTAAAACACTGTTTGATAATCAATAATAATGATGAAACTCTTTGTTTGCGACATTGAAGGGTTTACTTACACCATAGAAAACATGTGTTTTGCTAATGTTTGGTCGATAGCTACCACAGTAGTGTGCATGTCTGTGCTTTCCAAAGACTCGGAGTCAGAGAAAGAGAGAGAGGTAGCCTGCATGGCCTACAAAATCGAGAAACACCAAGCTGTCCGAAACTACTACACCAACGCAGGTCTCCTCCGTATTGATTGATGGATTATGAGATGATGATGATTATGTTGGGGAGTTAGGAGAATCAATGATTTAAAAAATAAATAAAAGAACAAAAATGTAGCAGATTGGATAATTGATTATTGCGTAACAAATATCTTTAGAAATAAAAAATAAAAATTGAATGCATACATACATGCCTCTTTAAATAACTCTTAAAACAATCAAACGTACATACGGTGGGAACTTGCTAGTCAGTCCAGTGGGTGAAAATTGTTAGGAAAAGCATAATTTTAAATTTAATATAATCTAAACAATGATGAGTGATGAATTGTTTGTTATTTCTGGGCATCCAAGATCTGAGAAGAAGAATCAAATCTAAATTTAAATCTTCTTCTGTCCATGCAGATATATGCAGACGCGACGGCAGCGAGAACACACAAAACATGGGCAAAGAGCTGGAAATTTGCGAGCAACTCGGCTCGTGCCTCGTGGAGAGTCGAGCGGCACACAATGTTGTCCCCCTTGAGGAGGCAGCCGTCCGGCATCATGGGGCCATAGAGGGTGGCGGCAGTCTGGCAGAACCAGAGGCCCTGGAGAGCCACGGAGATGCCGCAGCACAGATCCACGGGGAAACTGGTGGGCATGATGGCGCCGGCAATGGAGGACGCTATGCAGAGGCCTATGAGGACAACCAGGATGAAGTGGTAGTACCCCTCCAGGCCCTTGTGATTCGTCGAGTGGAACTCAAACAGGAGGTATTCTGCTGCAAATGCTGCCGACACCACCAGGCATAAACCTCCTTCAGGCAACGGAACCCATCTGTTACTTATTAGTTAGTTAGGTAGGTTGTCAAAGACATACATACACAACCAAGTCCAAGTGTTTTACACGACATAATGAGATAAAGAACCATCCATCCAACACTACAAAATTCGACAGAATGACTGACCTTGTCTTCTCAGAAAGCAGCGCCACAACACCAAAGATCAAGAACATGAGTAGCATCCCGGAGTGCTCAAAGTTGTTCATATGAGCAGGATTCAGCGTTCCATCCACGACAATCTTGAGATGTGTGGCAATCAAGAACTCGATGCAGAGATCAAGGGTGCCACCAATTGTAATAACATAGAGCTCCAAGTACTTCAACTTTCCTTCAAAGCCCGGCACCGGGTGCCACACCCTGACCCTAAATGATTCGGGGCTCCATACAAATCGGACCACGGCGCACCACATGTGCCACAGGCCAACAACGAGAAACAGCGTCCCAGGAATGACATGGCCTATGAAAGAACCCATGGTATCCAAATCGTGTGAGCAAGGGGAATAATGGAGGTGAGATTGCAAAGATAAGGCAAGTTAAGTTAAGTTTCACTGTTGCTCTGAAACCAATCTTCTAACTCTAGTTGCCAAATTTGACAAGTGGCAATCATGGCAAGCAACACCTTTTTTTAGCAATCACTGCTCGTACCAACAAAAACGAGCCCTACAGAAAATCCTCTTTATATATGATTTCTCAGTTTGATGATGATGATGATGATTCCCTGACGCAATTCAACAATCTGATAACACTAGATCGGGCTAATCTTATCTGACCTGACCTCCTCTCCTCTCGGGTTACCCTGTTATCAAACATCTTGGTTTCTAGATAAATATCCAGTGAGAGGAGAAAACAAATTAACCTGAAAAACATAAACGAAGATAACAATGTGATGCGAGTAAACAAAGAGAGTAGTAGTAGTAGTAAATAATACTGAGATCAAAATGACACCAGAAACTAGAAAAAGTGTTTTTTTTCTTCTCGTTTCTTTTGCTGAATCAAAAGAATAGATTGAGTAATGATGGTGAAAAGTGCGATGGCGAGCTGACGCACGCCAATTATAATGACGTCATTGAATGGAGTGCCTGCCAAAAATCGTCGGTTCGACGCCACAATGATTCCGCCTTTGATCTGTCAAATCAAATCCAAATCCAAATCGGAGACGAAGACCAAACCCGTCAGCCAGGCTCTTCTTTCTGCTTCTTCCTCGTTCGTTAACAAACAAACAAATAAAGATGATGATGACGAGGGGTGCAGAAAAGAAAAGCGTCTTTTTCGAGATCTGATGAGCCCTCCCTCCGTACCGGTTGGTTAATCATTCATTCATTCAGTCGCTGGCTTTGCAGATGAGTGTGTACTGGTTTATGATTATCAATATCCAATTACCAATTACCAATTACCATTTTTTTTGTATATACTACTGCAACTATTACATTGCAGCATGTCATGTCATGTCATGTGTACAACGAAACTGGACTATATTTTATACACTACTTTATTACTACTACTATTTAATTTTATTTATTTATTTTTAATTTCTATTACTATTTAATTTAGATTTGTTTGTATGACAGACAATGGCATTGACCAATAGTCTGGGCGGCCCCTTCCTAACCATTTTATAGGCCCAAATATAAGCCCACTAATTTAGTACCCGCTCGTTGTTTATCGTAGTAATGTCACTCATAATACTACTCTAGTTCATTTCATTCTTTATTTAATTATACGCATGTATATGTACGTGTATGCATTATTATTATTATTATTATTACTATTTGTTGTCTTTCAAATTCTACTCAACTTCTTCTTCCCGGCGTTTGATCGGCAGCCCAGATCGCATTATGTATTCGCACTGTTAACAAGAGATTAATTTTAATTCCCTATGCTCTTACCAACGCTACATATCTTCCATGCGTTCGCATAGAAATTCGTTTCTTGTTGAACACCTTTTGTGTTTTTTCTCGGCATACTTTTGTGAGCTGACGACATTTTGTTGCCTCCCTGACGAATGTATGTATGTCTAAATTTGGCAATCTCTTGTTTGTTTCTACGATGATTTTCTGGCGTACGTGCTTGATCTAGATGCGTGGCTGGCTGTGGCCCTGCGCATACGTGCGTGTATCCATCGCCTCGCTGCATTGCGCTTTGAATTTTGGCAATACTGGTGTTCTGGCGATTTGGAGAGGAAGATCAGACGGAGGTATTCAAGCTCATGTTTGATCATTCGACGACGATGAGCGATAACTTTTGTGCAATTTCAATCCCAATATCGAGAATTTCAGGGTCCAATTGTGGAAGGTGATGGATCCGATATTTCCGAATTTGGTACTTTGGGAGCTTTCTGCTTTTCATTTTTGACGGTGAGTAATCAATCCTGTTCGAGCGGCATTGGTTTTGTTGGAATTAAAGAGCTCTTCCGAGCTTACAGAATTTATGATGATTTTGCGTTTGGAGAATTCTGAAAGTACTGATCAGTGTGTTTTTTAAGAGATAGCTAGAAGATTAGTGTGACAAAGTGTGTGGAGATGTCAAATAATAAGGTGGTGGTGTATGAAGGATGGATGGTGAGGTACGGGCGCCGGAAGATTGGGAAATCATTTATTCATATGCGATATTTTGTACTTGAATCTGAATTGTTAGCATACTACAAAAAGAAGCCCCAAGATAATGTGGTAATTTTCTTAATTCTTTGTTAATTAATTATTTCCCCGTCTATATCCTTCATGTACTGTCATGAGATATTAGATCAGAGTTTTATGCACTTACTAGCTAGTTTTTCTTACCAGGCTATATGCAATTACAGTCAATGTAATGTATCTTAGTAGTAGAAGATACTGTTTCTTTCTTCTTTTTTTCAATGCCAGCATCTGCTTTGTTGTACTACGCAATCAAATTCCATTGAAGCATATTAATTTACTCAACCCATTTATAATTTATGTTCACTTGTTTTTACCTGAAAAGGTACCTATCATGACCCTTCCTTTAGATGGAAACTGTAGGGTGGAGGACCGCGGATTGAAGACTCAACAAGGACATGTGAGTTTGATTAGCTTTTGTTGTCTTATTTTTCATTTACTGGATTTTATCTTACATGGTACACAAATGTGGCGGGACATATCACTTGACAATTTCCTAGTGGCCACTTGGTTTTCAAATTTGTTTCTCAATCTGTTGGCTTGCCAATAGGTGGAAGATCATTGCCAAATTTTCATTTTCAGAAACTCCTAGCTCCAGCATTCCAGGGATATTCCTTCCTTTTTTTCTCATTTTCTTGTGAGAGTAGCTTTAGGTTTATGGTTTTTGATGAACGCTATTTGAACTAAATATTATGGTTTTGGTATGGCAGACGTTTGCTCTGATCTTATTCAAAGAGTTGAAAAAACATGTTTCTTCTAGTTAGCTTCTTACTATACAAGCTATGGTTTTTGGCAGATGGTTTATGTTCTAACTGTTTACAGCAAGAAAGAGAAGTACCATCCAATTACGGTGCGTGACAATTGAATTTTATGATAATGTCCTAACTGTTATATTTGGCAGCAATGTTATTGTGTGAACTAATTTATGGATAGGCTATCTCACTGTATATCTAGTTTTCCATACGATATGGTTAATGGTAACCTAGTGTCATGTGTAAATAGGATCTCAGCCCTGCCTATTCAATCCCTTTAAAAGTAAGTCATGTTTGGTGGATGATATCATGGAGTTCAGCCAGCATCCTAGTCGGACTATTATATGTAGACAGTTCAGAGTAACCTGCTTAAAACTAAAAAAGTTTAAGAAACTCTAGAGTCTGGATATTAGCTATGAGGAATTTCTTTAATAGGAGCCGCAATGATATTAAAGTCGTTCTGCTGGAATTTTTAAATTTTTTTTTTGTTATTTATCTGTTCAGATTCTCTCAGCAGTTCTCATCTTTTCTCAATGGAGTCAATTTTCTTTAGTTCTTGTTCCTAACAGTATGATGTCAAAATGCAAGAGCAATAGCTGAAGTGTTTCAAGAAAATGTTTTAGAAGATTCTCTTCCCAGGCGTTTTTCCTTTAATTTTTCCACCCTAAAAATTTTTATATTTGAATTTACTCCTGTCTATGCATTGCATTCCTTGTTCAGATGGCTGCATTTAATATTCAGGAGGCACTCATTTGGAAAGAAAAAATTCAATCTATTATCGACCAGGTTTCTAAATCTTGCTCATTTCCATCTTGATTGTTTTTAAATTGGCTAAATAAGTGATGCATCTTGGTCATATGTAGCATCAAGAGCCACAAGCTGCTAATGGTGATAACTACCATTCTTTTGAATTCAAAACTGGCATGGAAGTTGAATTATCAGATCAGGAAAATCGGTAAGTATTTGCATGGCACAGTTTCAAGTTGCGGCATGCCTCTACCCATCTACAAGTGTAAAATTTTGACTTTATGTTAGTGGTATTATTGGCTGGTAAGTCAATAGAATGGGCTTATGAAAATTTCGCAAGTCCTCTGCTAATAATTTCTGTGAGAAATAAGAATATTTTCTCAAGTCATTTTCATTTTACAACCGTGAAGGAAGAATCATTCTCAAGACTTTATGTCTTCAAAACCGGTAATAAAGTGTAAATATATATATTGTAATTATATGGTTTTCTCTTTCTTCTTATCTTAGCATTGTCTATTTTGAGTTTTGATATCATAATTTATTTCTCTTACTACTGCTTTCTGTTGAAATGGTTGACTCACACTTCTAATGGCTTTAACAAGCTCAAGTTGACTGATTTCCCGCTACTGTTATCCTATAAGATCATTTGACTGAGCCTGTGTGATTGACGGACTATACGTTTGCACAGGTTTAGTGATGCGGTGGATGAAACAGAAAGTCATCGAAGTTTGTTGCGTAGGACAGCTCAAGGGAATGGTCTTGCATGGTTCCCCCTTTTCTTTACTGTGAGGATTACCTGTAACATTCATGTATTTCTGACCTTTCATTTCAAATTTTTATGCCGCAGCTCCTCCTGATTTTGTTTTCGATTGGACAAAGGAATTAGATTCAAACTTGGATTCTCCGAATCCTAACAACCAAAAATTTTCTCAAAAGTACTGGCGTCTTCTTCAGTGTCAAAATGGTATGTTGATGTTTCTGCCTCCGCGTTAAATGTTTGTAGGTCTGACCTAATGATTTGTGAAAATTATCTTATTGAGTAATTATTCTGTGGGATGCAGGACTTCGAATCTTCGAGGGGCTTCTTGAAGTGGATTTTCTTGTAAGGAGATTCTAGTAGTTTTTCCCATATATGTTTACCAAAAGGTTTTCGATATACTGGAATGGATGCATGAGGTGCTATTCCTTATATTTTCATTATGTAGCCAAAGAGTTGTAATCGAGCAATGAAAGCTGTTGGGGTAGTAGAGGCTACCTGTGAAGAAATATTTCAGTTAGTAATGAGCATGGATACGACACGATTGGAGTGAGTTCCTTCTACCTTTGCTTGAAATTGGCTTTAAATTTTAATGTTGTGTTCCCTTAGATTTTAATAGTCTGACATTCATTTCTTAGATTTTTTCCCTTAGATATCAAGATGTTGTTAGTAGTAATTTGCACATAATATATTTTAAAATTTCAATTAGTTAACTATTCAGTACTATACTGAAGAGTGTCTATCACATTTTGAGAGCTGAATTATATTATGTGAATAAAACTATGGCAATGAATTCTTTGGAATAATTGCAATATGCATGTAAATGATATCTCAAATTGGCAGGTGGGACTGCAGTTTCAAGGATGGTAGCTTAGTTGAAGAAGTGGACGGGCATACTGCTATACTTTACCACAGACTTCAATTAGACTGGTTTCCTAGGTATATATGTTTCTTGCATCTCTCTCAGCTTTTACCTTTGAAGAAAATATTCAGCAAGTAACTTTTCTTGTTATAAATGACATCTTGTATATATTCGATTCCCCAACCTTAAACCTGCAGAGATGCATATAATTGGATTTATCAGGGTGCAAACTAGAATCAACATTATAGATGGATCTCTTCATATATGTTATTGATATTATTTTCTGTATTCGTGATTTCTCTATTATTTCCTGTGGCATTCACTACCAGCGTTGGTAACATATCAAAATTAAGTAACTGAAAGACAGTTAAAACCTCAAGTCATTTGTAACTATTGCTAGCTTTGCCAATCACCAGAGCTCAAGTAGTAATCTTTGAGCGGACCATTATCTTGTTTTATTTAGTCACAGAGGAAACATTCATTGAGTTGTGGAACATTACAGATTTGTATGGCCACGTGATCTCTGCTATGTACGCTACTGGCGTCGAAATGATGATGGGAGTTATGGTAATTGTGTGAGGCCTTTTTCCTCGTCCATCTATCTGCATTTAATTTTTCCTAAAAGTGACTTTCCTTATGTCGTCCACATTATTGTGCAGTTGTGTTATTCCGTTCCAGGGAGCATGCGAATTGCCGTCGACAACCAGGATATGTGCGAGCTCATATAGAGAGTAAGTTTGACTGACTTTTTACACTTCAATATCAACTTTTTCACGAACTCCTCCTCAGAGGGAAATGAATCTTATTTTGAACTTTTTTTGCAGTATTCTTCATCACTTCTATGTTGCTTAATTTCTTCCTAAACTCAGGTGGAGGATATAATATATCTCCTCTAAAACCTCATAATGGGAGAGCCAGAACAAAGGTTCAGCTTCTTATGCAGATGAATCTGAATGGATGGGTAGTGGGTTATACTTCATCTTTTCAGCGGCACTCTCTTCTCCAGATTTTAAACAGCGTTGCTGGTGAGAACTTTAGTAGTTTGATTTTACCTCTTGCAAAGTATTGATGTTAGCTGATTAAATTAAATGGTAGGGGATCATGGGCCAATTAGGTCCTTGGCTCAAATCCTCAAACCAACATATCTGATATATGTTTTCCGCCTTTCATTTGAACTGTAAAATGGCATACAAAAGATTGATAATTTTATCCATACCATTTTCTTTTATATGTAAAGGATATTTTAATATATAAGTACAACCCCTTTCTATCTAATTATCAAATCTTATTAGAGGCTTCTGGATTCAGAATGATAGGAGTAGGGAGGGATGATATGTATGGCTCCGCCATCCATTTTCTGGACGGCGAAGTGGACAGAGGAACATAAGGGATATAGATAGGATAGAGCAAGCTTGATAAGGTTATAGAAACTTGGACCAGGGTTGATGTATGCAAGATTATTCATGGGGACTTTATTTGTTTCTAGATTTGGAAACTGTCAGTCCTCTTGAAACCTTTTTGTATAGATACTCTCTATATGTTATCCTGCTGCGCCTTCTTGATGTCATCAATGAAGTTATCAACCTTATTTGATTTCCAAAAACAAAAAATTGTTAAATATTTTGTGCTTGTTGTGTAGCACAACCATGCTAGGCATATTGATATAAATTGCATGACAGATTTAACCATTCAGTAAATAGTAAACACAGCCATGATCGAGATCCATTGTCTTACAATTAAAGGACAAAAGGAACACAAAAGGTTAGTATTTAGCTTTTTCTCCTGAAGGTGGTGATCGGTTTCAGGTTTTTATCATGACAGGATTGAGAGAATACTTTTCTCAGACCGATGGGAGGCCCCCAGCTCCTAGAATTCCTGTTCTAGTTAACATGACATCAGTATCTGATTCCCCAAAGAAGAGTGAGAAACTCGACTCACCAGCACCTCGTATTCATCACCGAACTCCTTCTCTTGATCAAATGCATGCAGCAAATCGAAATGCTTCTTTGATGGACGAATACTCTGATGACGATGAAGATTTCCAGTTTGCTGATCAAGATGTATGTTCATTATTCCTGTTGATTTCTCGAGGGTTTACTATACCAAGTTTTAGTCTTTAGTCTACATGACCTGCTTGTTACAGGTTTCAGAATCTGCCATAGAGGTTGGAGACAAAGCAACTGGTGTGTAATACTTTAAAGTATTCACATTTTTCATTTACATTGATTTTCTTCCCGATGTGACTGATGTATTTGTTATCATGCACACATATTGAAGACCTTGAAGATGACCCTCAAGACCAAATAGATGCCTCCATTTTCACAGGAAGCCTTGGCCGTGATGATGATGATAACGCTTGTGATTGCTGGACACTGTCTGATGGGAACAACTTCAGAGTTCGTGGCAAGAACTTCTTCACTGACAAATCGAAGGTAAAATCTTGCCTTGTAGAGCAGCCAGCAGCCCCCTTTTTAGAGTGCCTAAATTTGGTCAGCTCAATCTTACAAAGTTGTGCGCATATGTTTGAAGTGTAATGCAGGTAAACACCTTATGGATCTTGTGGCTGTAGACTGGTTTAAAGATACAAAACGAATGGATCATATTGCCCGACGCAGTGGCTGTGTAGCACAAGTAAGTTTCTGCTACAATGGCTTTCTTTTCGCTCAAAATATGCCTCTTCTTACGTGACTACACTTTTTGTGTTGTAAAATTTTCATATTACTCCGCTCACACCCATTCCCAGGTTTTATTACAAACAAGATGACCATTTTGTGCTTTCTTTATAGGTTGCATCAGCCAGAGGATATTTCTCTATTGTTGTTAATTTGCAAGTAAGTCCTATTCTGTTTGGTGTGGGTGATCTCCTTTCCAGCTACTTGTCTGAAGATTAACATACACTGTTTACACTGGCTTTAGGTGCCTGGATCAACACAATACAGTATGATTTTCTATTTTGTATCAAAGAAACTGGTCCGGGGATCGCTTCTGCAACGATTTGTTGATGGGGATGATGAATTCCGCAATAGCAGACTGAAGCTTATTCCATCAGTGCCAAAGGTATCTTTCTTCTTCTTCTCCCCTTCCGATTTGCGCCTCTGCTGTATTCGCCCATGTAGCTGAAAACAGGCCAAGTCCATACAGTAGAGATAAACCTTGTATTCTGGCGTCCTTAGTTGCAGCCATGAACCATGCAGGGCTCGTGGATCGTACGCCAGAGCGTTGGAAGCTCCGCCTGCTTGCTAGGGAAAGCAGTCGACTGCAACTATTTCCGCGGCCTCAATTACCTGGAAGTAAGACCATCTTTAGTGTAGTTGTCTTCGACAAATTTTCCTAGGTGAGAGAAGAATGAGAGCGCATTTGACTGTCTTTCCATTCAATCTGTGTAGATTGATGTTGACATCGGTTCTTCGACCGTGGCAAATGGAGTCCTGGGGCTTGTCATCGGCGTCATCCGGACACTAGTCATCGACATGGCTTTTCTCGTGCAGGTAACCTACATAGTACATAGAAAGAACACATAATGCGTACATAGAAAGAAACACACAAGCATTATGGAAATCCTTGGCTCATGAAACGCTGCTGCAACTACTACTACTACGGCACAGGGAAACACTCCTGCAGAGCTCCCGGAGAGGCTAATTGGCGCTGTCAGAATTTCTCATTTAGAATTATCATCAGCACAAGAAATGTCATGGATGGAGGCTGAGAATCACTCCAATTCCCAGTAAGCACCTACCACCCACACTGCAATTCTATGATTACTACTAGTATTATTTGATTCTTTTCACTCCTCCCGTCTCTCCTGATTTGTATTGCATGGACAATATAAAATCTTGCACACTATTCTTCTGGATAATAAATCTTTTCAGTCAGTTGTCAGCAAGCATCCTTCATTTCTGTTATGTATTAACTCCAGAGAACCATGGTTGGACAGTTAGACAGACTTAAGTGTAGATGCTAGATAGACAGAAGGATGCATGCGTATGTATGTATGTGTGGAGTTTCATCATCAATTATGTTATGACAACAATACCATGTTGCATTCTTTCAGGCTGAGGCTGCCCAATATTTAAAACTAATGCTCTGCATATTCACACACTAAGAAATAATTATACCTCTTTATGGTTTTACAAACACACGTCGATCCCCGATGAATGATTATCCCACTTAGAGAACAACCAGATCTCCTCCAAGACTCTGTAAATAGCTTCGGACTCAGGATGCGACTCGTCTCCCACGAGAAAGTCATGAAACTCGCCTTCCACCTCTATAGAGCTCGACCCCGGGATCTTCTTTACCCCTTTACCCCTCATCAAAGTCCTAGCCATCCTCACGTCACTCCATTCCCTCTGTTTTGCACATAAACCCGCCAGAAGCATGTACGCCCCACTATCACTTGGATTTAGAGCCATAAGCTTCTCTGCCGCGAGTTTACCCAACTCAATGTCTCCATGCATCCTAGCACCGTTCAGAAGAGCTCCCCAAATGCCTTCATCGGGTTCCATGGGCATGGGCATTGATCTTATCAACTCATGCGCTTTGCTCAATAGCCCAACTCTCCCAAGCAAATCAACCATGCACGCATAGTGTTCCATCGTAGGAGCCAATCCAAACAATCCCATGTCATTAAAATAATCCCACCCTTCCACAACTAATCCTCCATGTGCGCAAGCCGAGAGCACTCCAACAAACGTGATTATATCTGGTTTAATCCCCACTTCCCTCATGCTCTCGAATAGCGCAATGGCCTTTTCTGCAAAACCATGCGCTGCATAACTTGTGATCATAGAATTATACGACACCAAGTCTTTCCTCGTCATTTTATCAAACATCCCTTTGGCCGCATCAATGTCACCACACTTGGCATACATATCGATGAATGCATTCCCAAGTATTACTGTAAGAGGAATCCGTTTCTGCTCGATATAACAGTCGTAGATCCTTTGTCCCGTCTCCATACAGCTGGACTGCGCGCATGCGGAGAGAACCAACACCAATGTGCTCTCCATCGGCGCCAAACCTTGCCCCTCCATTTTCTGAAACAACTCCAAAGCTTCCTTGGGCCTACTGTTCTGAGAATACCCCCCAATCATTGCATTCCATGAAATCACATTCCTCTTCGGCATACCATCAAACACTTCTCGAGCCAACTCGACATGCCCGTGCTTACCATAACCATCTATCATACACGTGTAAGAAAACACATCCTTCGCTTCCATAGCCTCGAAAACCTCTCCGGCTTTCTCCATGGCCCCACACTTAGCATACATATCCAGCATTGCGTTCGTCGCACTCACACTAAGCCTAACCCCTAGCCTCGCCGCAGACGCAAGGACTCTCTCCCCGACAACCAAATCACCCTTCCTCGCGCAGGCGTAGAGTGCTGCCACCAGGGTAACCTCATTAGGCCCCACCCCTCTTTGACACATTTCATTGAACACCTTCAATGCATCGTCAGACATCCCATTCTTGGCCATCCCATCAATCATGGTCGTCCAGGTGACAACATCCCTCACTCCACTCTCGTCAAAACCCCTCTTTGCACAAACCAAATCGCCTCTCTCGCAGTAGAAATGAATCAAACCATTCCTAACAATAACAGCCTCTACGAACCCTAATTTCCAGACCCTGGAATGCACACTCTCCCCAACCCTGACGTCTCCCAAACCCCCACAAGCCTTGAGCCCAAACACAAAGCTTCTCTCGTCCATCTCCACACGTTCTCCCACCATTCGAGCGAAGTAACCAAACCCCACATCAAAAAGGCCCTTTCTAACAAAACCCCTGATAAGTGTATTCCAAACGTACACGTTGGGCTGGGGAATCTGCGCGAATAGGGCGACTGCATACCCGAGATCACCATTGTCGTCGAGGGCAATGAAGGAGAGGAGTCTGCTGACGGGAAATAAGTGGGAGATGAGGCAAGTGCGAGTCATGTGGGACTGGATTTGCATTGCTTGGGACATTGAAGTGCATGACTCGATGAGGAGGAGGATCGGGTTCGTTATCCTCAGGTTTGGACTCGGAGAGGAGTTCCATTTGGGGTGAGATTGGGTAAGGAAGCTTCGGAAGAAGAATCGAGAGGAAAATTGTGTCAGAGGAAGTTTCATAGATTTCATTTCATCCCTCCCCTCCCCGTCCCGTCTTCTCAATAACTAACATAACTTTCTATCGGTGGTCTATGCCGCCCCTGCTGGCTGCTGCTAGAGAGTGGGATGGGCCTCGGTGGGTGAGTAAGTAGGGCCTAGCTTATTCATCCTGGGCCCGCCTTCCTGTGGTGACGAATCGACGAGATGGTCTACTGTTTTGCTAGCTGGGACGAGGACACGCTACTTACTGCACGTTAGGCCCATGTATCGATAAACAGGCCCATCGAGCCCAACATGTTAACATCATGTTTGTTCATCGGTAGGCCCAGCTCGCCTCCATTCACCTCGGGCCAGGTCCATAGTGTACCAAAGCCTCCTCGTCTCCCCTCATCCGATGACAAACTACTGTAAATGTCGGTTGGGCATCAGCACTCACTCATTCTGCTTACAAGACACACAAAATAAAATGGTTGAACAATAAATAACAGCACACAAAATCGAAGCACAGCAACCGCGGGGCTGCGTTAACAAGACAAGACACAAACAGGGAAATCAAACAAACAGCATTCATGAAATACCACTAATAAAAATCAGCAATAAAATTTTATAGAAGGTTTACAACAAACAAACAAATAAAAAAAACAATGGTTTCGCTAGCCACCAGTAGAAGTAGAAGTGATGTGAGTAACAGTAACCCCTCTTGTCTATTTAGTCAGGAAGATGAAAACACTGGTCGATAATATCATTCATGGAGTAAAGAAGATAAAAAGACTTTACAATAATAGTAGGCCAAAAACTTGCAACCTTTTCCCCAACCCAGACAAGATGATTTCAATGATTGATTATAGCCACATCACATCGCATGTCACCTGGATGGGGTTTCCGACGGCTGACTGTTCATTGCTGAGCTTGACGGGATTGATGGCAAGACGCCGTTCTCTTGAGAGGTCGAGCCGCCCCACTTTGTCTCTGCATCAGATGGCTCAATGACATGGACTGCACCGTCGCTCATGCCCAGTGCAAACTGGTTCGGGTCTGATGGATGGGCCGCAATCACTACAGGGAAGGAGTTGCCGCCTCCGCTGCTGCTGCACACCACAATTGATCATGAGTCGGAACCAAATAACTAGCTCACTCATTAGTCGGTCACTGCAGTATAATGAGTCACAAGTGCAGTGCTGATAAGCTCAATAAAAGTGTTGTATCAATTGCCTCTAAATTTCCACGAAGTTAGAGCCAGTATCGACCCGTGCTTGATTACATGAACATGTTTATACGTAAAGATAAATAAAAGCAATAAAAAAAAAAAAAAAGAAACTAATAAAATCTTGCGGCTAGTTCAACGGTGAAAATTAATACTACTATTTAAACAATCGCAAACTCAACTCAGTCAACTTACTGAAATTTCAAGTACCTCAAAGGAGCATACAGGATTCAAAGCAAGCTGCCGGCATAAAGAACATCATAATTGCTTCTATTTAAAAATATAAATGGAAGTTTTATCCAAGCAAACCTGGGGATAGGTGACGAAATATAAGCAGAAGGCGCAATCCGGCATCGAAGAGCCAAGCTTTCAGAATCAAATATTCCAACCGCACCATCACAAAATCCAGTAAAGATCAACAGGCCGTCACATGAGTATATAGCACATGACACAGGTGAGGAGAGCGAATCTCTTGGATACCACTGCAATGCAATGACTTCTATATATTATGTTGATATAATAAGAGAAAAAATAAAAACGAAAACAATGGCTTGAAAAGATGGAGACAGCATTACTGAAACAATAACCCGAAAATAATTTGCTCTCTTATGGATACACATACAGAAATGCAATTGCACACAGAGTAGTTAACCTTCTCTTCCCTTCCATTGAATATACTTTTCTACATTTTTTCTCATACAAATTCAAGGGTTAACAACAGTGATTATTTAAGGTAATTTGCATAAAACAGAAAGTGGAAACAGTTTATCTAGATGAGATCGAGAACAAAATTGAAGGGAAAGGCACTGACCGAGCGCAGGCATTCAAGTTGAGCATCATAAATTGCAATTTGGCTTTCATGAACAACCAGCAGATGAGATTGATTATTATGGAACTGCACTCGGGTTTCCCCAATCAAGGGTGCTGACTGGCCTGGAGGTGGCTGTATTGGACGTGATTTCTTCTTCTCCCATCCATCGATGCTCCAGACACACAGCTGCAATCATCATTAACAGATAAGTATGAAGGAATTGTTAACCAATCATCAAAATATAATCACAATACAAATCATTAGTAAACATACATTACAAGTATATAGATTGAAAGACCACTACCAATTAGACTTGCCTGAGCATCGGCACCAGATGAAACCAATATGTTTAAACTCTGAGAAAATGCAAGTCCTGAAATCCGTTTCTGGTGACCCTTGAGCTTGGTTTTAACCTATTGAGCACATAGTAACCACAGCTAATAAATTAGTTAAAAAATTGTAATCGAGCATAGCTACCACTCCATATAGAACTGACAAACTTGACCATGAAAGAACCAGAGTTGTCAAATACATATAAAAAGGTTGTCATTGCTGCAGCCATAAATTATGGAAAAATTTCTTTAACATAATATAAAATATAAGCGCAAGAAAACCATTTAACACATGGCATCTGAACCGGGACAAGCACCATTTTGGAACCAGAACAGAATTGAAACCAATCATATGAGGTTCAGTAGGTTCCAGTTTTATAATGCCTAAATTGCCAATATCACAGGTGCAGTCATCTCAAGGTGTATATAAACTCCATAATCAATAATTAGGGTCAAAAAACATTATGGTGAACCAATTGCATGATATATAGCTTCGCCCAAAAGGGTGTGTTATATTACTTAAATAAAAGACCAACTTTTTATTTCATAAACTATTTAATGAGAATTTGAGATGCACTGCAAGATTCTAATTACAGATCATTCTCTAGGTGTGTTTGTTTAGGGGTTTGAATTTTGAATTGGAATTTGAATAGTATAAATTTTAAATTTGACTAGTTGTATGATGTGATATCAAAGTATTGATGTGATGTTATGAATGTAAAATTAATTTTTAGTATAATATAAAAAATGAAAAATAGGTGTATGATTTGATGTTTTGGAGAGATAAAAAATTGGTGAATAGTGGAAATTTTGGAAAGTACAACAAACTAACACACCCTATGTGTAAATTATTAAGACAATAAATTTAACTATATAAAAGTACATTATGGAACATTGAAAAGTACTGTGGTCTAAGCTTGTTGATAACAATCACACCAAAAACATCATTCACTCAGCTAACACATACATGCAGCAGCCAGTTGCACAGCCATAGACTTTCTATGACAATCTTGCAAATTTGTGACATCAGAAATTACTAGAGGCCACAGTCAGTGCTCATTGGATCCATGACTACCTACTAGAGAGAGATCCTTCAACTGCAGGACATAAGGACCATACAATAGGACCGAACACTTGCTCTTACATAAAGTCTATTTCTAATATTGGAGTTGGGCATTTTAATAGAAATCCTCTTCCCAATCTTGGCTTTGCTATAAAATGAATTTTCCAAATATTTTACATGTTTAAAGCACTTCATATCTCGCAAAACATTTTATAATTAAGTTAGTAATAGCTACACATAATAATTCACTAGTAATAAGAATTACAAATGCAATGGTCTGCAATGCTGATTGTTTCCTATGAATGAAACTCAAATATCCAATTCCAAATGTAAATCAAGGATTGCAATCTTACCTCATCAACCCTCACATTGTAAATCTGTATTGTAGAGTCTTCCATTCCAATTGCAATCACATTGTTATCCTGAGGATGAAATGCCAGATAAGTAGCTGCAGGTGGCGGCGGCATGAAAGTTGTCATGACCTGATTAGAATCAAGACATATATAAATTTGTCAGAGGACATGCAAAATAGCTGTAAATCCATTCAGAATCTCTATGCAATAGAAAGCATTCTCAAGGAACATCAATAAAAGTGTCAAACATGCCTTGAAGGTCATCATGTTAAACAAGGAGACCTTTCCCCCTGATGCAGACATGACATATGAATCATTCTTGGACAATGCGATACATGCAACTGAGTCTTCAGACGGTTTGGCGTCATTCAAGTCATTTGACATGAGAGCCCCATTAGTTGGCTGCCACAGCTGAGGCACACTAGAGGCAGATGACTGAAAGTTCACATTAAGCCATTCAGTTAAAGATGAAGTTGAGAATAAAAAAATTTACAGCACAAGAAAAATGAAAACTCAAAACCCTGACCTTTCCAGATGGATTGCGTTCATTGCGCTGCCATTTCCAAAGCTTATGGACAGCATTGGAAGCTAGTGCCAGAACAGCAAGCCCAGAATTTGTGTACAACAATCGCACAATCTAATCAAATAGCATAATATAAAGGCGTAAGCAAATGCTGGCAATGACCAGAAATGTTTGTAAGAACATAATGCCAATAAGAAAGGGGCCTTTATCCATAACAAAGACAAGCACCAACTGTAAGAAAAAAACACCAAACAAATTCAACATATCTTTCATGTAACATACTTTGCTTGGTGTGAGTGAGTCAGGTAACTTCAGCGTCTTTAGCTGAGAAGGTTCAGATACATCCGGGAACTTCCAGGTTTTATTAATTTTGTCAGGAGCCTCGAGAATCCTAGGTTTCACATCAGCTACCCTGCTGCTTTCCATGCTAGCCTGTGTTTGATCAAATTAAAAGAGAATGGTTTAGAATTTAACAGAACTTCATTGAGTAGAACCCTTTCGCATCCAAGATAACAATGAAAGCAACATATTACCAAAAGGGACATTGGCTGCTGAACTCTATCTGTGCGCTCAAGGATAGGAGATACTGTGGCTGAAACATTGGTAATGGGACCTAATGCGCCAGCAAGGGCAGGCTGCAGTAAAAGTGGCAAATAATAAATCAGGACAACAATATCTGCAACAAGTTATGAGGATCTAAGTGTAAAAGATAATAGAAATACTTTGACATTCATTGGCTCAGAAAGACCACGAGACCCATCAAATCCTCTTGTTTCCAGCATTCTCAACATGCGCTGCCCATCAGTATTTGCCAAGATCTTAATTCCGTTGTCACTGGTTGTAACAGCCAACAGTGAACCTTCCTTATTGAATCTTAATCTAGGGCTTGCCTGCAAGAAAAGTAAAATGTAGAGATGCTTCATTACTATCACAAAATTAAGGACATCGAAACATATGAGTTCAAGATACTCAAGAGACTAACAGGGAGTCCACCGTCAGCATCTGTATAAGTGAGGATGCTGGTATTATCCATGTCCCAAAATTTTATCTGAAACTCATCACCAGCGGCCAAGAATCGGTTCCTGGTTGTGTCAAACTGCACAACACCCAATGAACGCTTCCGGAAACCAGAGTATGTCCTCTTGATGGCACCTTCACTCTCATTCCACTCAACCAGGTGGGATTCACCTTCTTTGCTGGTTCCACAAGAGAAGAGCCTGAAAGAAATGCTTGAGTAATAATTAGCTGGAAAAGGCTCAAAACGTGCGCACATATAAAATATAACAAAACATATAAAGTGGGGAAGTCTCAAGGCTCAGGCCAAACTTGAAGTAATAAACCTCAACAAAGATGCCAATCCCTAGATTTCTATTCCTACAAACTACATTATGATATATAATCAAGTATAATTTTTCCTCAATGATACAAAAACCCATGTTTCCAAGGCAAATAAAAAATGCAAACTTCAAAACTAGATAATTAAACTCCTTCACCTTCAGTACTTCAATATTAGAAAGAAATTAGCAATTTTGAACTAATATATGAACATTAGAACATAAAACAAATGACTACCTCACACAAAAACTTGAGTGCATAGGAAGATGAATAATTTCATATTTAATTCCTTCAACAGTCTAAATAAATTAAGTTACCATATCTGAATTCTTAATCCCAAGTACTCACTGAAGACATATGGGATAAAGCAGCTGGATAATGAAGAATGCTCTGTTTGGGCTTGAACATAAACACCTTAACAAAACCATCAACCCATAGATTCCCATAATTTCCAGATATGATGAAGTATTCATTACATTGCTCGTGACCTCCATCAAGTTTCCAAAATAAATCCGGACTAAAAAAATTGAAGTAACAGTACATGAAGTTAGATATATGTTGACCACCAGGCGAGTAGAGCAATATGATACAGTATTCTTATCAACCTGACAAATGAATACTCTTTAACTCAACAAATGACAACATGATCTCCCAACCTCTTTATCCTTCTAACAATATAAAATTCTCTCTCTCTGATAAATTTTTCCAGCCCAATTTGCTCAGAATTATTATGCCCTGCTAACACTGGCATGCATGTTATTTTGAATTTCATTACCAATTTCCATCAAAAAAAGAAAAAAGATGACTGCTTCGATGCAGAAACATATTAAAGTTCAGAATCAGATGTTACAGGAAATCACATTCTTCAAGGGTAAAGATAAAACTTAAAAGAGAAAAAATTTTAGCCACCTGGTTCCATCAGCACTGTATGCCATTGTTGTGCACCACAGCCCCGGGGCATCATAATCCACTCTTGATCCCAATGAATCATAAAGCCAAGCTTTTATTTTCCCATCAATGGCAGTAGAGAATATAAACTGCATACTCATTTGTCAGATAAACTTTTCTATCTTTCATAAAACAAATACAGAAGTTAGTCCAAATTCCAAAAAGGAGCCTCCTGGCCTTCAAAAGTTACCTGAATATTCTCTTTATAGTGAGGGCAGACGGAGTACACAGGAGCTTCATGGCCTTCAAAAGTATATTGTCTGCGCCCCGAAACAGCATCCCAAACCTGTAAATGAAGTTTAATTAATACCACAAAATCCCAAATTAAAGGACTCCACTATTTTTACTGGATGCTACCTTAATGGTTTTGTCATCCCCGCATGTAACTATGCAGAGCTGCTTATTGGGATGGGCAAAAGCAATGTCATTCACGCCACCAATGTGTGCATCAATCTAATATTTGAAAAGTTAAAACAGTTATTTTATTTTAATGTTAGAAAGACAACGAGAGGGAGGGAAATATAGAGATGATACGAGGCAATTCTCACTTCCAAGTGCTGCCGTAACTCTCCAGCTGGACTGTAGGTATATATCTGAACAATGTGCTTCGAAAAAGCAACACCTACAAAGTAAATATAAGAATAATCAACAATTAACAAAAGACATGAACAAAGTTTTAAGTCCAAGAAATCGAGTGAGAGCTTTCAGTACCGAGTATAGATCCATCTGGGCCCCATACACATCTATTAACTGAGATGGTTGCATCTTTAACCAAAGTTGTCTAAACAGCACAAAATTTTAACTTTCAAAAACACACACAGCCAATTGGGAACTTCATGTATATATATATATATATATATATATAGAGAGAGAGAGAGAGGGACTAATAAAAACTGTCGATCAAAATCAACAATAAAATGCAATTCAATATACAACCAACAAAACCCGTAAATACTCACTTGGAATGGCATTGAACAAGCACCTATCTCCCAAACTTTAAATGTTTTAAGGGCCAACCTTTCACGAGAACCAACTTCCCATATGCTAATATCACCAACATTTGTTCCAACTGCAATATAAATAACAATTAATCACATGGTCATTCTTAAACTCAGGCAGTTTTATAAATAACAATTTCTTGTTCTCTTGTCTAAAGAGAACAAGAATATCAAGCAGAAATGGGACAGAAAGGGCAGTATATAACCTAGAAGAACAGTCTGTTGCTGTGGATGAAAGTCCAGGCTCATAACATTCGATCCTTGACTAAGGTTCCTCACAACAGTTTTGGGAAGGTCATCGGTTGAATAGACATTAGGTGGATGAGTAGAGCCAGAAAAGGACACCTATACAACATCCAAAATGTGACAAATCACAAGCTATAAAGCATTCTCAAAACAAGGTAGGTGCAAATATATATATATATATATATAAGCCACCACCATACTGATGGAGTACAAGTATACGTGTCCATACTTCATCAGGTTGCCCAGCGCGAAGACGCTTCATTAAATGCTCAGAATCAGCAGTCTGATAATCCATTCCAGGACCACCCGGAGGGGTACGTGGATGTTTCAAAAACCCAGCTGATAACAATAGATGAAAATACATGGCATTGTCATTCTTACACACTGACTCAACACAAGTGTAATTTTGAGCAAGATTGAACTTCAATATACACATTATAAAATATAAAATACTATAAACTATAAAAATAAAGTAAGCAGTTTACGTATGAAAGATTACATAAAATCCAATACCAGTTAAAAGAACAAACACACAAAAAATAAATAAAAACAGATTATATAAAAAAATGTGACGGCGGCTGCAGCGTGCCTTACCTGGCAGAAGACAGGCAGCACAGTGGGAGACAAAAGGTGAAAGGCGAAAAGGAGATATAAAAAACAGGAGGGCAGAGAGCGGCAGCTATGAGCAGGAGAAATTCAGAAAGAACGATAAAATAAACTTTTCCGTTTTCAAAAACAGAATAAGAGCTAATTAATCTCAATTAAGCCTAGTAAATGAAAATAAATAGTAATACAATCGCCTTGTTCCATGCAGGGTCGGCCCTAGACAAGGGCGAAATGTCCGCCCAAGGTCTACTACAAAAATAAAGACATGTTTATCTATATATATCATGCCTAACATGTTATATTTATACATTTTTTGCTCAACATTGCTAAGTTCCCGCCCATTACCCTTTTAACATATTCCTCAAAGTGCACGTAACGTGAGACTATTTCACTATGGGTGGAGCTAGAGGAACACTTTAGTTGTCTACTATCCTCTTCTAGTCTTCTAACTTTGTCTATGTAGCTAATTTTTCTCTCTACCAACATACTCTCCAGAAAATATATCTATACCAGTTAACTAAAGAAGCCCACACTTCCCAGAGCCCACTATAAGAAACAGCCAATTGCTTTATTTTTTGTGTTTATTTTGTAGGTAAAAATAAAGCATATTACTATGTAATATGTATATTTAAAGAGGCCCTCGTTTTAATTTAACACCAGGCCAACCAAAAGTCAGAAACAGCCCTGACACCATGGCAACAGCATATTTGGCGTCGCCTTGCCATAGAAAATGGCACAGAGACTGAGCCACAAGCCATATGCTGACTCTGGAAATAAATGCCATGGAAAATTTGAACAACTGACCAGAGCTAGGTGCCTGAACAAGGCCAGGGGGAGCAGCAGCAACAGCAGCATGAGGCATAGATGGATTTGCAGCACTCATCCAACCTGCAATAGCACTTGGAGGAGAAACTACTGGCTGGAAAGGCTGCAAAAAGAGACAGAGGGGACATAGGATGCTAAAAGATTGTGCCTCAAACAGTTATACGACAGTTAGTTTTAACAATTCAACTTACACCATGGCCTCCAAGAGGTGGAAATACACCAGGTTTAGGAACAGGCCCAGCAAGTGGCGCATTTGAAGGAGGGGGAGCACGTGTGCCATTACTAGATGCACAAGTATGGTCTGTAAAGAGTGTTTTGATGTCTGGACTTGGTCGTGGATTCTTGCAAAGCTGATGCTGCCAATTGAGACTGCAAGACCCTCATACAGGGAGCAAAATATTCAGACATTAAACATAACAAATCATAAAGAATACCTGAAGGCAATCAAAGCAACAATTGGACAACAACATATCCAACATCACAACAGATTGCAGATTTTATTGTGTGCGTGTCTGTGTACCTTTGGTTGATAAGTGTCCTCAACCTCGAAGCCTTAAAAGCAGGAAATGTGAGCTTGTCGCGAAACAATGGGTTTGCTTCTATAAGCTTCTTAAGCTCAACCAGCATAATGGTGCGTGCTGACTTTGTATCTCCATATTTAGAGAGCTGTTCATTCTGCCTACATATATTCACCAAAACAATTAAGGGTTCGGAATGGTATAATGACTGATGTACAAAAATGTTACCTAAAATTGTCAAGGGTCAATAGTTGTGTGATCTCTTTAAAAAGATCTTCATTGAAAGAGGCAAACACCTTGAGATCTTTAACAAGAATCTCAACAGCTTTGGCACGATCTTGTCTGCAAATCATTGGACATTGTTAACAATAAGAAGGGCTAACATTTCTTACATAGATCAGCTGCACATAGTGATGCTACAAAAGATCAGACCTGTCAAGAGCTTCAAGATATTTCTGCTTTCTAATCTCAAAGAATATTTTCATAGAATAGCGGTTGTCCTCAACCTTGGTAAATCCACTTAAATACCGCTCAACCTCCTCCCATTCACCGGCTTGAACTTGATCCTCAAAGTACTTCATATTGAAGAAAAAACCAGATTCTTGCTCCAGCCTAGGTTTATTTATTAAACATACAATTACATCAAAAAGCAACAAAGAAACAATTAACTTCCCATGAAGCATTAAGCGAAAACTACTTTGACATTTATTCATGTAGAATGATGCATGAAATAAGATAGAGAAATAGGACTGGCTAATTAGAACAATATAATCAACCATGTATGACTGATGTTTTTTATACTTCATTCATCCCCCCACCTCACCCCGTCCAAAAATCAAACGACATAATAAAGACTGATTACTTCTGATCAATATTCTTTATATGTCTGAATTGTTTAAATTATAAATTAAGCATAAAAGAATGTCTTAGCTTAAGTTTATTGAAAACTCAAGGAGGTGTGTAATGAATCGTTTCATGATGAACACAATTCTTGCATAACATAAGCAACAAATAACTTACTTGTGCACGGTCTCCTTGAACTTTTCCTCATCCAAGAATTGTAATATCAAGAAAACTAGTTCCCGGCTTAAGGACGACATAGTGACGCCTCCCGGTATCCCCAACCACTCCAGTGCAAAATCCCCACTAATAAACAATATAATTCAAAGAAGTACAATACAATCAAACAAAAGGGCACTAATCTCCCAATTCTATCAACTTCAACACAGACAGAGCGAGCACCCTAGGCACCCTTCCTTCTTAATGAAACAACAGATTCCCCCCTAAATCAGGGTAGCATTTCATACACATTGCAGTGTTCTAATCTCCGGAAACCACAAGCTTGAAAACAAATCTACAAGGGCACAAAGATACTAATCCTATAATGTTAGCAATTGCTTCATCCACATATCAACTTCAACACAAACATAAATACCCTGTCTCCATCTTTGAAATCCACATGGTTAAGCCTACAGCACGTCCCAAGATGCTAACAGTCACAGAGCATATTACAAGGCGAAAATAAACCCCGAATGGGAAAAGTGAGAAACCCTTGAAACTAGCACGATCTACAAAACTTGCAGTGAATACAATTGAATCCCCCCGCGAAATAGAAGCACCTCCTCACAAATTAACCCCACCTCCTCCACAACCTTTCTCTCAAACCCTTGCCGCTAACGAAATCAAAACGCAAACGCTTTACAGTTCCCAGATCTGAGTCGGCATCCCATCCTCGCGAAACTAAACACAGGGCCCTCGCTCGCTTGCAATAACCTCGGAATTTTCGCAAGGAACAAACGCTAGGGTTTTTCTTTCGGGTGGGAAGAAAGAACCCTCCTTTTTCTTTTCACTTTGGTGTTTTTATCTGCTGCCCTCCCCTACAATTAATTACTCCACTTTCCAGCCTCTACACTCTTACCTCACCATCTATCTATCTATCTATCTATCTACGTATGCAGCTGCAGGATGTATACACCTCGGCTCTCTCTCTCGCTCGCTCGCTCGCTCGCTGTCCCTTCTCTCTCTAGTCTAGATACCACTCGCTATCAAGTATTTATATATCTGGGAATATGGTATTTATTTATAGGCATTTAATTTCAATGAGATCACTTTTCCCTTTTTTTCACAAGCCTAGGCTAGCTTGCTTGCCCTCGAAACGATGGTTTTAAGATTTGTCAGACTTCTGGTGATGTCTTTCCTGGGGCTGGGGACGATTACCAACATTTCATTTTCATGTTCCCTCTTAAAAAAAAAATAATAATAATAATAATAATTATCGTTGTAAAGATCAATCTAACCTAGTTTTGGGGTTGAGGTTAGAGTTAGGGGAGATTACAATTGACAAGTTAATTATGACAGTTGAAGATATCATCAGATCAGATCAGATCAGACGAATAATAATACCCCATATATATGTTTTAAGAAATAGACAAGATTGTTATAATAACTAAATAAATAATAGTACTACTATAGTGGAAGAATTGAACTCAACCGTTTTAAAACAGAATCTTTATTTTATCGTGATTTGTAAGGCAAAGGCAAGGGCAAGGCATCCGGAGTGTGCGGATTGGATTAATAAGCTCTTACAAACATAGGATAAATTGTTAAGGTATCTATGTAATGCCTTGCATTTGAATTTGGATTTCTACTTTGAAAATAATCAAAATTTAAATTAAATCAATATTTAATATATTATAAATAGATATTCAATAGTATAACTTTTTATTAAAAAAAGATATTTTTTTTTAATTTTTTTTTTTCAGAAGTCTAATTTTGTAGATTTTGTGGATAAAAATTTTTGAGGAAGAGTTTGAAACTATATTCAAATCTAAGTAAAATTTTCCTATATCATTTAAGTATATAATAAAAATTTATTAATTGATGGCATAATAAAATTTCAAACATAATGGTTACTTGGCTAGTGATAATAATACATTGAATAGTCAAATATAATGTTATTGGGACATTGGTTCGCACCGAAAGTGCGCACTGGGTAAATCCCCAGCCGAACCTAATACCAGGTCCGATAGGCAAGTCATACTGGGTGAACTTGACAGATGACCTAAGGCGGGGACAAGTTATTATTATTATTATTGAATGAGGCTTGACTATATGAAATATTCGAAATTTACTTCTAATCTAATACAAGCTATGTATTTGAACAAGTATAGACAGACATAATATCTATTGCAAACTTTTAACACATGTGAAATGCATACAAATTAAAGGAATTTATGCCCAAAATTACAACAATATCACCCACCAGTCCACACATAGACGATAGATACACTTCCTTCCTTGGAGAACCCTAATTAGAAAAGTATCCCCTGACGACACCACCTCTGTTGAGGGATTCGTAGTTGGGAGCATAATCGTATTGAATCCATTGCGCAATTGCGGGTGACCATCGGTACGCACTGTTTTCATCAAACCTCCAATCGCAAGTCTCATATTTGCTTTTGCTGCACTCGTAGTCGAATTTGTAGGCAACAAATGTTCCCATGTTGGTAGAGCAGTTGAACATGGTGGAGGAGGGGTAGAAGAGTCTTTTCCTCACACGGAACTTGTATTGGCCCCATGACGCTAAGTGTGCCACTTCGAACTCGTTGTCGAAGGAAAAGCATCGCACACTAAGGAAGTTGGTGTGGTTGTTGGTCAAAACGACGATCTTGTCCTCGTAGTTGGGCTCCGCAGCGACACACCACGAGATGAGGAAGAGGAAGAGGAAGAGGAACAGAGAACATAATGCACGCATGGTGGCATGCGTGTTTGTATGTTGTGTTGCTTTTGTTTTTTCTTTTGTACTCTCCTCTTCCTCTTCGTGTAAATATGATCATCGTGTTAGAATTATATGATAGAATTTTTAGCTTGAAAACTATAATAATATGGACGAGATGAAATATAACACATACTTAAGAAGACATGCATATTTGTATGATCCATTCCTCTTAATTATTATTTGTGCAATTCAAGTATATTTATTTATATTTTCATGTTAAATTAAGAAAATAGAAATGCTGGCTTGAATAAATAAATAATATTGAATACTTCATAATATAGCAACATTCCACAAAACTCTGCAACAAACATTAAATAACACACATGCTGTTGCATTCTGGCATAAACATATTAGATACTTGTGCAATTCACTTCACATTAACAAATAAATGTTCACACGAATCATGATTCATCTAGTCCTGCAGATTCATATACAAATGAAATTCTATCCAATATTTCCACAAACATAATATTGGATTATAGACTAAACTCTGCATTAATTATTCAAGTATTTAAATTTGATTAAATGACATATGCAAATTACTTAAAAACAACCTAGGAAGGAAAGAAAGAAACGTAGGCTTTAAGGTTTTCTAAATTTTTATTTTTTCTATTTTCTTTCGAAAATGATAAAAGAAAATTGAGTAAAAGTATATATGTAAATAAAAGTATAACAGATGAAATTTAAATCCTTCACTTGCATATTCAGATCCCTTTTTGATTGATTAGATAGATGCATGATTAGTTTTGAGAAACTTGCTGGGCAATTCTTGATGTGAATGATGAAGATTCATAGCCATGACATGACATGACACGACATCAAGAAAGAAACCTTAAAAAGGGGAGGGGAATGCAAAGCAGAAACCTTAAAAAGGGGAGGGGAATGCACAGCACAGCATAGCATAGCATATTCATACCTTTGTGTGGACTTACTTGGAAATGGGGAATGATCACAAACCTTTTGTCTCTAATGATGGACCATTGCAATATAGAGAGTGCGTGAATGGCCCCCAACGAGGAGGCAGCAATTCCCTTGAATTTCTCCCTACCAAATTATTCCTGTCCGCCACATTTATCTTAACTAAATTTAGGCCATTTCTATAACGCCATCTAAAAATAGGAAGTAGCACTAAATAAAGGTACCGACAAGAAAAGCTTAAAAATAGTACATAAAAAGTTATTTTGCTAAACTTTTGTACTAGTTAGTTATCCACAATACAATACAATACAAGTGCAGGCGTTTAACAGGTTAATGGAAGGGGGGTAATCCGACATTGGATAACAAGACAGGATAACTAAATTAACGACTGTTTGCAAGAAACATCCTTCTCAACAAGTCACGGGTGTAAACGGATATGAGCTGGTCATGATATAGATATTACTCTAATTGATGGACGCAAGCAACACTCTGTACCGAAAAATCAATTGCTATAGTTGGAACATCAAGCTTACCTTACTAGACAATATGATTCGATTGCGTAGCATAATAATTGCATGTATTCTTTTGAGATTCAAATTCATAGCTGCCAATGGTGTGAGATTGTTCGACTTTATGACACTGGACAGTCCCTGTTGGCTCATCATCGTGATGAGTAGCAGACGTATTGCCAGCTATGTGTGCCTGGTTTTTATCGACTCTGATTTCATCTAACTCAGCTGCTTCAAAAGAGTGGAAAATAGGATGCAAGTATGCTTCAGCCAAGAACAATTTTAAGTTGGCATCAGATTTGCTAGTTCGATCCTGCAAATCTTTGTCCATGGCTGCCTGAAGAAGCAAAAAGAAAACCAGGCAATTCAGAGAGCCGATTTTCTCCATGAAGTAAAATTAGAAAATTGTCCGTGGGGTTTAGATTGGTAAACTCAAGTGGTATAAACAACATGGGAAATCTTACCTCAATAGGGTACTTTCTGAATGCGGGCTCAAAGCAATTCTTGCAATACTTGTGGAAGGTCAAAGTCAGCACTGGTAATGCCCCAAGCAATGCAGTCGAGTTCACACTCTTTTTCGTGCTGAGTAAGCCCATCAACAGCAATTGTGAGATTATCAGGCTCGCTATAATTCGACTATGAACATGTGGCCAAAATGCCGCAGCACTCTCATATTTTTGGTTATACACATTGATGACCTGAAAGACAGCATAGATAAAACTTTACGCGCTAGTATCACATAGTTTCTAACAAGAAAATGATCAACCCGGGAACGATGGACAGGAACTAACCTGATGCCGGTATACAAAATGGGCGAATGCGAAAAATATGAGTATAAAAGGGAGCAGGATTGGCGTAACAACCATGTACACAAGGCCCAGAAGGAAATACAGCTGAAGACTTGGTAAAGTCTCAGGATAATCAACACCTTTCGGGTCCATCGCCACATCCAAGTCCCTCTCAGTTTTGACAATGAGCATTCTCTTTAGGTGGAAAATAAGCAGAGGTTTTAACCGAAGAATTTCACTAGCAATTCCGGCCCAACCATCCACCATTATATACGTTATAAAGAAAGTTGCTTTCATAGGAATTGACACACCGATATTTCTTGGGATCCTGCAACAAAAGAACTTGTATTCATGCCATATTTTTGGTCTTGATAGTTACTTTTCAACTAAAGCTAAGTTGTAGAGAACATTACTGGGTAGCCGATTGATGAAGAAAAGCGTAAAGCTGCTGGAATGCTGTTCCAGCAACAATGCTTCCCAAGAACACGTTGACAAGCATGAAATAGTAGTACTTCGCAGCAGTCCTTCGTTCCAACACAGAGACAGCCACATGTCCTTCGACTTTTGACATGAACATTAAAATCATCGGAAGGACCAACAAGAAGATTTTCAGAGCCAAGCCTGGAAGGAAACCCTGCAAGAGGGACTTGACAACCTTCCTGCACAATAGAGTCAAGGAGGCATGAAATTACAATGCGTCGTTGAACAATATGATTCTTTGATATCATTGTCTCTCACCATTCTATTAGTGGTCTGAGAAAGGGAGCAACTTTTTCAAGGCCTTCCAGATTTGCTAATGACTGTACAAAAGCAATGGGTATCATGTAAAAGAAGACCAATGCAAACATAGCAATTGCAATCACGAGTCTTCGTATGGTGAGCGATACAAATGGTATTGCCAGGTTCTTCCAGTAGATATCACGGGGCTCGGGTGCCCGGTTTGTGGACCACAGTGTTGGATAGTTGCTCTGTTGTGTCTGTGCACAGACAGCCGCTCCCCATCTAGAATTGAATGAAACAAAGGCAGCAGGCGTCATGGCTTTCGGATCCCTCAAAACTTTTTGGCGTTCCACCGTCAACTAAGGATGCAAACAAATTCTTGTATGAAACTGTTATATCTTTATGATGAATTGTTAAGATAAATAGCGGATCAAACTATGTAGGAGATGGTCCAAATTGAAAAAGAACTAGTGAGCTTACTTTCATGTCAAGATCTTCTATCTGCTTTCTGTAGAAGTCAATTGAATCAACTTTCTCACCCCAAAGTCCAAGGAATCCTTTCTGAATGACAAATAATATGAGACATATTGTATGTTTCTTAGAGAATCTCGTGAGACATACTTTAATGCCAAAAGAGGAGATACCTTTCTAGTAGGCCTTTTATTTTGTCGGTCGAATTTAAGTAGGTTGTAGTCAAGCCAATTCTGAAGCTTATTTCTTTTCTTAACAAGTTTGGAGAACTTTTTAGCATTGTATACCGCCTGCATGAAATTTAGCATAAGCCATGGAGCCAAAAAAGGAATCAAGAACCAATTAATGACATTAATAAGTCACCGCAAGAAAAGGTATCTGTAGGGATATCATAGAGAAAAGCCTTTCAATGATCATAAATCGGGTAATGGCCAATTACCTGGTGACAGAGATAATGATCAGGATGGTTTCTCTGAAAGAAACTTTCAACGCATTCTGAAATTGAACGTCCAGAATCATGGGGAACATTCCTAACTAGAACCTGTTTGTAATTCACACATCTCAAATAGTGGCAACTAGAAAAGGTAAAAACAAGGAAACCTCATTTTGATCATTGATGCTTATTATTGAACACTTGACATCATCCAACTAACCGTGAATTGCTCTGCACACCTGCCCTGAAGAGCCAAGAAATTGAGTCTCATAGATGCAACTCTTCCGTATTCCTTATAAAGCATAAAGCAAACCCAAAACGTAAACAGGTACTGCATTGATATGTGGATGAAAAACCTGCAATTTTATCATATGGAAGGATTTCAGTGAAATTGAGAGCATCCCAAACTCAAATCCTCTTCCTTTTATTTCTTTTATTTTTAAAAATAAAGACATATCAAACTTACTTATATGATTTGGGGCGTACATTTGATATCGAAAGCTTATCAATGTTGCTAACAACCAAGTCACGCTGCAAAAGGAATAAAGTGCCACCCGATGCGTTCACTGGAATCAATACTAGGATTGCTACAACTGCTATTGGTCCGAATATCATCAAGCTGGCAATGTTAAAGTTAAAACAATAAAATTGTAAATATCATTGTGAAACTTAAACAAAGAGGTGAAGCACGGCGCACAAGAATTAAAAAAACGTCCACTGTTGACCTTGTGGAGCTTTTGCCACTTTCATTTCCAAAATCATAACTCAATGTTGTTGGATCCATTGGGAATTAACAAAAAGGAAAGTTTTACTGATAAAAACTTGATAACGTAGATGGGGCAGATGGGCTACCTTGAAAAATTGTAATCGTTGTAAGTGTTCATCACCAGGTTAGAGTTCATCCTGAACCAGTTAGAATCTAAAAATTCTAGGAATATAAATGATAAGGGGATCGAGGGGCTTATCCCCTTCAAGATTTATTATTTGTGTTATCATGTGAGGTGAAAAATGGGAAGAAAAAAAAAAGAAGATAAATAGTCCCCAATACATACTGTGATTAAACTAGTAAACTAGAAGAAATTTCAAACTACAGGAAACAAAAGCTAAATTAATCTGCACACAAATAAAAGTTATAGTTTGTGATTAAATGTTGATTTAGTTTCTTACCAAAAAAAAAAAAAAAATCATGTAAAATTGAAAGCCCATACAAGAATAGAATTCCATGAATTATGATGAAATCAAAATTGCATTTGACCTTATTAGATCAATATGTCTTAAGAAACTCACCATGTATATCTTCCATACATGTTGATTAAGAGTAATACTAGGTAAGATTTTACACGTGAATCCCGTGTGGAAATAGAAATTCAATGGATCCATAGACATCTAAGCAAATAAATCCGATTTAAAGAAAATCAAAGAACCGAAAGGCATCAATAATACTAATAATGTAATAAAAAATCATTAGACATTCCTAGACAAAAGTGAAGAGAAGGGAAGAGAAGAGAAGAGACATTCAATAGCTAATCAAAGCTTCTTCGAAACAAGAGTAACAATGGAGTCTTGAGAATACCCGAGGGTGTAAATCCGCAGGAAAACCGCAGAATCAAGGCCGGCATGGGTGATAATCTCCTGCTCGCTCATCTTCAAAGCCTGAGGGATCCAATTGAGGAAAGTTAAGTAAGTCCTCATATCCAAGTTGACGAATTTGCCCATCACACTACCCCCACGGCGCCTCGGGCTGCTCCTCTTCCCGGCGACGTACCATTTCGTGAAGTAGACCCTGTCGTTAATAGGCTGAATCCTCAGCAGCGCAAACGCCAGCAGGAATGCGAATGCACTCAGAAGGTTGATAAGCGCGGAAACCCCGATATCTCCGAGCGTAGCCATGTCCGCCGCCGCAACAACGACGAGATCGAGGGGACCGGTTTAAAGGGGGAGCGTCGAGAAGCACGCGCAGGAAGGAATATTTCTCCGACTAGGGCTTGACGTGTGCGCGAGTATTCTCTCTGGTGCAAGCAAGTGGAAATCTGAGGTCGCTTCGGTGATTGGGAACTTGAGAGGATGGACTGGAAGTGGCTGCGGGGGCAAAGCAAACAGTATCCGACAAAGCAAATCATCTGCAACACTTTTGAAAGGTGAAAGGGTGCAAAAAGGAGCGGATTTTGGCGCTGTTTTTTGTTTTTCTAGCATGTTCTCTTTTCTTACTTTCTTGCATCTTTTGACTTTCATCTTTTGTCTCTTAGTCTCTGCCGGCGGAAGGGCGGTGGCTGTGGCTGATGTCCTCGCCGATCGCCGTGACATTGGGAAATCTCGTCTCATCGGCATTCCTGGAAGACAGTACTGTTGTACTGCAGTACAGAAAATAGCGCCATGATTATTTAAAAAATACCAATCATCCATCAATGTTCATGGAATTGTTCTTGAAAGATAAAAATAAAAAGCAAATGGTTTGTCTGCAATACGGATCTCAATAGTTGGGCTCAATTCGGATGAATTCGTAGCTAGTTTTAGATAATTGGGCCCAACGAAATTGGGTTGGCCCATACTAGGGGGCCCATATTCTTTTCTTTGGGAAAAAGAAACACCAGGGGATTTAGAAGCCGAGGAGAGTGTGTTCATACACAGACAGATACCAGGGTTACATAGGCACTTCCTCGTAAATCTCCGCCCTTCGTCTCCGAAATCTTGGACTGGTAAACCCCACTATTCTACGTCGATTGAGCGGTGGAAGGAAATCCATGGCGGCCTTGCAGTATTTGGAATCCCTACGGAATGCTCACCCGGAGCTCTCCGAGTGGTACAACACGCTTTCAGATCTGTACCAGAGGAAGCTGTGGCACCAGCTTACGCTCAAGCTAGAGCAGTTCGTGGCTCTCGCTGTGTTCCAGGTCACCAATTGTTTAATCTTTTCCTGAATATGGATTTTAGATTTGTTGCGTATTGCTTTTATTTTTACTTCTATTTTTGTGTCATCTGAATTGTATGATTTGATTGTTTGTTTGTGCTTTGTTGTTTCAACGAGATTTTTTTTTTTTTTTCAACCTTTTCCTATATTGATTTTGGGTGAATTAGGTTTGGTTTTGTGTTCGACTTATTGATGCGACATAGGAAAGGGTTTTAGGGTTAAGTTGTCCGTAAACTTTCTGTGTAAAACCTTCTTTTACTGGTATTGTGTTTTAACTTCGTTAAGAAGCGGATGCAACTTCCATTTAAGGTGTGGGAAAAATGGAATCATTGTAAAATTAGGGTTTTGCCCTGGTTATAGGGAATAGAGAGTAACTATTTGACCTAGAAGATAAAAATAAATGTAGATGGTTTGAAGTAAGAAGGTATTTGGTTTTGATGTTTGATGGTTTAGCGAACGTTTAGTGTGAAAAACTTAGTCATTAATCAGAAATATTATACTTGGCTTCTACAGATATTCTGCTGGCCATAGTTATTAAGAAGTTGTTCCAATTTCACATTTGACAGAGTGACATCATAATAATGATATAGGGGGAGCCGGTAATTGACCGCTAGAAGTATATTGTAAACCCCATAAATGGAGCAGATATGTTTTTATTAATTTAATCTTTTGTTCAAAGAGATTAGTCGCAGCTTTGGTTTCAGAATGCCTCAGTTATTAGGTGATCCTGATTTCTAGCCTCCTACTGACATTTGTGCTCCCCTTACCCCCAAGAAAGAACGAGACCGACTAATCAATTGAAATAGTATGAAGAACTGATTCAGTTCACTCTATTCAATTTTTTCATATGAATATGTGTGTGTATATATTTATATCTATTGCTAAAAGGTGTATCAACACTGTTCTTTGGGGAAATTCAGTGGTTACCTTCTGCAATTCCTCCCAAATGTGTTACATGATTGTATGCACCATTACTTTATGTAAGATGTTAGAGTCTCCTTTCTAACTCTTGTGTGTTTCAAGTAAATTGATATTTTTTAATGAGACAGAGACACTTAGAGAGAAACATTCATAGTGTCTTATTTCCATGTGTTGGAAATGACTTACTTTGATTGTTACAGCATATGCAAACTTTCTTGTATGGTGCTTGGAAATGTATTTGTAACGTATGTCCTCGACATGGCATTTTATGCTTGAATAATTGCTGCGCATGCATACGACATGTAGTCATCAAATATCTGTAGATACAATATTTTACCTTCGGAATTGTTTTCAAGATGCTAGACATTTAATTGTTTTTATTCTGACCACTACTTTGTAAGACTAAGCGATCCCTATTGGTTTACCACAATTTGTATCTAGTCTGCATTTTATAAAGGTTGTGTATTGTATGACATGCCTTCATAGAGCAGACCACAATCCCATGGTATTAATAGAGTATTCTACTTATTACTCCTAGGAAGCTGACAATAGCTGCATGAAACTATTGATCTCAAAATACGATCCATCAATTAGTATTATGCTGTTAGACTATGATCTGGGACTATTCCTCAACCTTCACCACTCAGAGGAAAACAGAAGAACTTGTAAACAATTTGTTTTGCTTAAGCTTGTGTATCATGAAACTCTTAGTTTTTGTCCTTGGGCTTGCAAATTTGTCGATCAATATTGGCAGTTACTTGGATTATTAAGGAGAAGCTTATTTTTTTCTCTATCAGTTCATATTTTAAAATCCCGATCATTGTGTTCCAACTCTTCTTTCTTCTGTGACATGAACTTAGGCCGGAGATGCCCTGATCCAGCTTTACCAAAATTTCATAACTGATTTTGAGACAAAGATCAATCTTCTCAAGCTTGCACATTTTGCTGTCTTAGTCTCTCGGAAGTACTCAGAGAAAGAGGCTGCCATAAACTATCTTGAAGGTGTTATTGAAAAACTTCGTAATACTAGAGAAGCACGCATAGAAGAGCCGATACTTTATGTCAAAATGCAGATTGGTCTGTTCAAACTTGAGCAGGGAGATCAGAAAGAATGCAAGAATCTTCTGGAAGAGGGAAAGAGTACTCTTGACAGCATGACTGACATTGATCCATCGGTTTATGCTAGCTACTACTGGGTTTCATCTCAATATCACAAATCCCGGCAAGAATTTGCGGAGTTCTATAGAAATGCCCTCCTTTATCTAGCTTATACTTCAGTGGAATCTCTGTCAGAATCATTCAAGCTGGTGTGTTTACTGTGTTCAATTATTATGCAGTAGCTTTTATATAAAAACAACATCTTCTTTTACTAAAGCTTATAGCTCCTGTATGCTTATTGTCATTTTCCTGATTAATTAGTTTAATCTGTCTTTTTTTTTTTTTTTGTAGGATTTGGCTTTTGATTTATCCCTCTCTGCCTTGTTAGGGGATAACATATATAACTTTGGTGAACTCCTAGCTCATCCAATTGTAAGTTATTACCTTGGTGACTGTCGTATTCCCAATTTCTAATGAACTTAGACAATGTGAAGGTTATGTTGCACTTACACACACATGGACATACTATCTTATGTATACATGTGTATGTGGATGTAACTATACATTGCAATTGTATCTATTTCGGTGGATGGTATAGTCTAAATTTCAGTTGTTTCATAAGATATTGCATGTTTTATCCAGCAAGAACATTTGGAATTACTTAAATAAGTTAGTTATTCAGTTCTATCTTTTAAAATAAATACAGAATTTAGTTTGCATATTTATGTTAGAAACAGCTGCCTAACTGACATGCATATGCCTTTCACTATTTTGACAGATAAAAAGTTTGTCAGGAACTCCGGTTGAATGGCTTTATTATATCCTTGAAGCATTCAATTCTGGTGATTTAGTGCGTTATCAAGAACTGTGCCGTGTGCATAGAGATGCTCTGAATTCTCAACCTGCATTAGTCCAGAATGAGAAAAAGCTTCTTGAGAAGATCAACATTCTCTGCTTGATGGAGATAATCTTCAGGTTAAGATTACTGTTATCTATGAATAGCTGCTGGTATTAATTTGTCCTCTTGTTGTTTTCACCTGTATTAATGAAACATTGTTGGTCACAGTCGGCCATCTGAAGATAGAACCATTCCATTAAGCATAATTGCCGAAAGAACAAAACTTACCGTGGAAGATGTGGAGTATCTTCTTATGAAGAGCCTTTCAGTAAGCGGCCCCATATGATTTTTATCGATATTGTTATTGTTTTTTAGTATGCATATATATTTCACGTGATGACAGGATCATTTGTAGTCAACATCAAGCCTCCTCCACTTCATTATATGTTTGGACTATTGGTTTTGGGGATGCATGATAAAAATAACATAAAACAGAAACCAACTCAAAGTTGTATCAACTTGAGATGATTAGAATTCGGGGCATGTTTGCAGGTGCGTCTGATAGAGGGAATCATCGACCAGGTGGAAGGAACTGTGTATGTGTCATGGGTGCAGCCTAGAGTTCTTGGGATTTCTCAGATCAAATCGTTGCGTGACCGGCTGGATGGCTGGGTGGACAAGGTGCACACGGCTTTGTTGTCCGTTGAGGCTGAAACACCTGATCTAGTGGCAGTGTAATTTTTGGTCTCATCCTCTTGCTCCACACATTTTCTTTTAGTCGAGACCCAAGCAGAGAGAAGTGAAACTGCTGGCTGGGGGATGGGGTTTCCTCGGCCAAGTTTACATTTTAGGGCTCTCCGAGTGAGTGACGATGATGAATGATGATGATGCACCTGTATGTTTTATTATTATGATTATCTATTATTGCTGTTTTTGGCTATTCTGTTGACTGACAATCCAACCAAACCAAACCAAAGCAGCAGCAGCAGCTTTGATGATGACATGAATGCGAATGTTGGCTACTTTGGTATGAATGATGATCTATTCTATTGTATTGTATTGCAATTGCAACAACATTCGTTGGTGCACTTGTTAGAGGTGGTGTTAGTAAGCCATTTTATGTCGTTCACCAAGGGCGTTCACACGTACGTACCACCCCACCTATTTATCGTTTTTCTTTGTTAGGGTAACAAAGAAAAGCTAGTGTAGATTGCGTATTGGAGACGACTCGAGAGGAAGCCACCGGCACTTTCTGTAATTTCTTCTTTACTACAAGTCAAGAAGACCAGCAGCCAGCCCAGCCCAGCATAGCTTTGCTTTGATATTATTATAGTATTATTTATCATTCAAGGACTAATCAATCTATGCGTGTAACTACTAATCCATCCATCCTCCAATGGGAGGGGCACGATACATATATATATATATATACAGTGAACCCAGACGGCGGCGGCTATTATCCCAGGTGGAAACGAATAAAAAAACACAGGCAGGCAGGCAGATGCATCGTCTCCAGCGAGAGAGAGGGAAGCAACTAGCAAGCAGATATGTCCCTTCATAGTCGTTTCGTCTTCATAATCATAATCATCTTCTTCGTTGCAGCACGATCAGCTGCAGACTGCAGCAGCAGTAGATGCGGAGATATCGAGATTCCCTACCCCTTCGGTGTGGAGGAGGGGTGCTATCTGGACGACACCTTCAGGATCACTTGCGACGAGGCCACCGGTTCTGCTGCGCTGGCATGGCTCAGCTGGGACGTGGACCGCATCTCCCTCGCCGATCACACCTTCAGGCATAAGAATTTCACCGGTGTCACCATGAGATTCAAGACACCCGGCGAGGCCTACGTCGATTATGCATCGCCCGCTGTCGGATCGCACTACAGCATCTCCCACGCACACAACACCTTTGTTGCAATGGGATGCGATTTCTTCGTCTCCCTCGTCGACGAAGAGGATTCGAAGGTCCGGGGATCCTGCTCGTCTCTGTGCAACATCAAGGACACAACCCCGTTGCAGCAGCAGGAACTGTCGACCTGCGCTGGACTGAATTGCTGCCAGATCAGCTTCCCAGCGCACCTGAGGAATTTGTCTGTGAGGGTCCAGACAGTAAAGAATTCCCTGGCAGGGAGAGGGAGTGAGGCCAGTCAGAGTCAGAGTCAGTGTGGATTCTTCACATTTGTGGACAACAACTTGCTGCGCCTCAACAAGATCAAAATCTCGTGCAATGAAAGCTACGTTGTCCCGATGATTCATGAGTGGGCGGTGGGCACAACTCATTGCGACGAAGCTAGGGGAAGGGAAGACTACCTGTGCCGCGAGAACACGGAGTGCGTTGACTACGATACAGGGATCGGTCGATACAGATGCCAATGCATGAATGGGTACACGGGCAATCCTTATCTCCCCCAAGGATGCCAAGGTAACTAACTGTACATTTATATTAGTAGGGTTACTACTAGTTTGCTTGCTAAGTTCTTTCAAGTAAACTCAATCGGCGGCGGTTTGATTGATCAGAAACAGAGATCCACTACATTCTTCAACTAATAATGTGTTTATTTCATTCACTGCAGACATTGACGAGTGTGGTAATCATAGCGATAACAAGTGCCCCTCCGGGAGCCGGTGCCTCAATACAGCAGGAGGTTACTACTGCTTGCCTAACCGCAAGCGCACGCTAGCACTTGTCGTTCCCTTAGGTTAGGTACACAGTTCACTCACTCACTCACTCCATTGATTGATTGAGTTTCATTTCAATTTTGATAGTAGTTGTTGTTATAACAAGCAAGCTAGCTAGCTAGCTAGCTAACACCACTACACCATCATATGATAATGATATACTACTACTACAACAGGAACTGGCCTAGCCGCTGGTATACTAGCATTGGCTGCCATTGCAATATGGAGTTGGAGAAAAGTAAAGGCAATCAAAGCAACAAAAACGAAGCAAAAGTTGTTCAAGAAAAACGGGGGGTTGCTACTGCAGCAGCAGATGATATCATCATCAGCAGCAGCAGCAAGCAGGGGAAGCCTATTGCCTGAAGTGACAATCTTCAAGATAGAGGAATTGGAGAAGGCCACCGACCGATTCAACAAGAGCCGCATAGTCGGCGGAGGGGGGGTCGGCACAGTCTTTAAAGGAATGCTGCCAGACGGGATGATCGTCGCGGTGAAAAAGGCAAACGCGATGAATGGTTATAGCACCACTCAGGTCAACCAGTTTATCAATGAGGTGGTCATACTGTCGCAGATAAACCACAGGCACATAGTCAAACTGCACGGGTGCTGTTTAGAGGCCCAAGTTCCGCTGCTCGTATACGAGTACATTGCCAACGGCACACTCTCGCACCATCTGCACAACCACAACCACGAACACGGAGGAGGAGGGGCATTCACTCTGTCGTGGGAGAATCGGCTCCGGATTGCGTGGGAAGTTGCAGAGGCTCTGGCGTACCTGCACTCCTCCGCCGCCACGGCAATATTCCACAGGGACATGAAGTCGAGTAACATCCTGCTGGACCAAAACTACAGGGCGGTGGTATCCGACTTCGGGCTCTCCCGGTGGGTCGCGGTGGATAAGACTCACCTGACGACGTCGTCGGTGGGAGGCACGTTCGGGTACTTGGATCCGCACTACTTCTGGTCGGGAAGGCTGAACGACAAGAGCGATGTGTATGGCTTCGGAGTCGTATTGGCGGAGATTCTGACCGGAGAGAAGGCAATATCAGAGGCAGCCGACGACGACGACGACCAAGGGCTGGCGCAGCGGTTCCGACTGGCGGTGAAGGAGAATCGGCTGGTGGAGATCGTGGAGAGGTCGGTGGCGTACGAAGGCGAGGAGGAGGAGATTTGGTCGGTGGCGAAACTGGCGGGGAGATGCCTGAAGCTGAAAGCGGAGAAGCGGCCGAGTATGAGGCAAGTGGCGGCGGAGCTGGATCATCGACTCACCAACATCAGAATCAGAAGAAGAAGAAGAAACAACCAACCTTGATTGCGCTGTGTTGTGTGTACACAATTATGTGTATATTTATTTTTATATAAATAAAATTTCAAAACTCTCTGTATATGATGGAAAGAAAATAAAAATAAAAAGAAAAACAGATGAATAGATAGATAGGATAATAAAATTTAAGGACATAGGAAAGGGTCCACAGCTCAGTGGTAGAGTATTTGACTGCAGATCAAGAGGTCATTTTTTTTTGGGTGGTTTCTTGCTTTTCTCTCTCCGCCTAAAAAGTCTGTAGCAGAAGTAAGTCAAGAAAGAGTACCCCCGCCCCATCCCACAAAACAAAAGTGTGGGGTTGGGGTTTGTCTTTGTCTGTCATGTGCCTCTAATGAATTTTTTTCCTGCGCTCCGCTCCTTAGCTTAGCTTAGCTAAACCATCCTCCGACTCGTCTCGGCTCGACTCGATTGGATCCGATCCAGACAGCAGAGAGCAGACAGTAGTGCAGTAGTAGTAATGGCGAGCAGCAAGGGGCGCGCGGCGGAGCAGCAGCAGGCGTACATCCGGAAGCGGGCGAGCGGGCGGACGAACCTGGCGTCGTGCGTGGTGGCCAGCGTGTTCCTAAGCTTCCTGGTGATCGTGGCCTTCATCGTCTACTTCACCCTCTTCAAGCCGCGGGACCCCAACCTGGCCGTCAACGCCGTCCAGCTGCCGGCCTTCTCGTTCTCCGCCGCCAACTCCACCGTAAGCTTCACCTTCTCGCAGTACGTCACGGTGTCCAACCCCAACCGTGCCGTCTTCACCCACTACGACAGCTCCCTGCAACTCCTCCACGCCGGCCGCCAGGTAGGCTTCATGTTCATCCCCGCCGGCAAGATCGCCGCCGGAAGGACTCAGTACATGGCGGCCACCTTCTCTGTGCAGTCGTTCCCGATTCAGTTGGCCCCGCACGCCGACGCCGAGGAGCAAGGAATCAGCAGCGGCAGCGTGGCGCCGAACATAACGGATGGGGTCGGGGGCCTCAGCCGGGTGGGGCCGAGCATGGAGGTGGAGTCGAGGCTGGAGATGGCGGGGCGGGTGCGGGTGCTGCATTTCTTCACGCACCACGTGGAGGCCCGGGCGGACTGCCGGGTCTCCGTCTCTTTCTCCGATGGATCTGTGTTGGGGTTCCATTGTTAGATTCATCGTTTTACTAATTTGCTCCATTGAATTAATTAATTGCTATTATTATTATTATTACTATAAATGTTTTTGCTTCCTTGGAGTAGTGATTATTTATTAGTTGATGATGATCAAACTGTCTTGTCTTGTCCGGTGGTACCGCCGGGCTACAGCGATGCCTCCCTCAGCTCCGGCTCAGGCTCAGCTGATCTCATCTTCTAGCTAATTAATTTCCTTTGTGTAACTCCAACTGTGTATAAAAAGAGCTGAATTTGGGGCTTTTTTGCTTGCTGTGTATTCTTCCAATGAATCGATTAACTTGATTTATGGTGTGTGTGTGTGTGTTTGGGCAGGCAGGGGCAGGGGCACCTGCAGAGCCAGCTGGACTGGATGATGAATGTGGATGAGATGTGTTGGTAAGTAGATGAGCTGAGATGATCCACATTATACATAGGCATAGGCATAGGCATAGGCATAGGCGTATACACACAGTCACAGGCAGGCGTAGGGAGTCGGGGTGATCCATCCGTCCCACTTTCCTTTTCCTTTTCCTTTTCTTCGCTTTGCTTTTGCATATATAATGTGTGTGTGTAAATAAAGTTGCTTTTGGGTGGGGGTGGGGGTGGGGGTGGAGAGAGGAAAGCCAAGCCGTAGTAGTGATGTAGTGTAATGAGAAATGTGTGACCATTTTCTTCTTCTTGTTTTAGGGATTCGAGCAGACGAGACATACGGACAGTGGGTGGGTCCCGCTCCCGTTTCGGGCGGGCCTTATTAATGTTAATATTTTGAGTGGGTGGGTGGTTTTCCGTCTTTGAATAATTAATGAATAAATTACCACTATCAATTAAGTTTTGCTTTTCCCGCAAAATACTATTATTATTATTATTCACTCGGCGGCACTGTCTGATGAATTCAGCGAGTTACTTAGTGAGTGCGTTGCGTGCAGTGGTCCGCATAGTGATGGTGGAGATCTCCACAGTTGATTCATCTCCATGATTTATTAATTAATTAATTAATTAATTATTAAATCATACGCTTGGGGTACTATATTTATTAATAACAAGGAAGGAAGGAATCCACATCAGTAATTAATTAATGATATCATATGGTAACGGAGGAGTGCAGTGAGTGTCCCATGCCATGCACAAACCCAAAATGAAGGAAAATAATATATGCAAACCAAATCCATTCCAGCCTATTCTATTTGATCTGGTTTGATTCGATTCGATTCACCCCCTCCTTCCTTCGTGGCATGCCATGGTGTGGTATTAATAATCATCTTCACTTGTCATCTTGCAATAAGAATGAGTTCGCAAAGCTGCTAACCAAGAATCCACCTGACACATTAATGGGATGGATGAGACAACAACAACAATAATAACATTTATACTGAGAGGAAGGGGAGGACGGCACTGCCTGCATGCATATTAATTGACCATACCCGCACCCAGAGAAGCAGAAGCAGAAGCATAAGCATAAGCAGATAATGTACCTGTATCTCCGAGGCACTCGAGCACTCGTATCGCAGCCCATAACGAGTTAAGATGTAAAAGCAATGCAGCAAAGTGGGGGCGGTCCTATCATCTTCTCGTGTTACACAAGGAAGAGGACCAACTTCAACCACATCTGATAGCAGGGTTGAGTCCTGTGGACTTATATCTGCAAGACCGCATTTCACAACACAACACAACTCAACTCAACTCAACTCAGCCACAACCCCATCATAATTCATATGCAATCATCAATAATTGATCCATCCATCCATCCATCCATCCATCCATCCATCCATCCATCCCTCAATTACCATGAATTGTGGCAGCTTTTGGGGGGAAAAACAAACATTTATATCAGATCAAAGCAGTTAATTAATTAATTACCTGTTGCCTTTATATACAAATAGATACAAGACCCACTGAGGACAACATAGCGTGGAAGCCAATCGTCGACTTCAACATCATCTACTGGAGGAGGTTCTCCAGGAAATGTTGCCCATCTCTGAATTACAAACAGCATATACACATACATCAAAAAACAGTAAAATTCTGGGACAAGAAATTAACATTACGGAGAGTTCATCAATACCATCCGTAAGAATAGATATCCTGATAAATGAGCTGATCTCAATATCTCATTGATATGCTCTATCCTGACAACACAATAAAACAATTATAGTAATGATTAGAAGGTATAGTCAGAACAAAATGCTCCATTGTGATTCCATTTTGGATGGTTGGTATTAAGGATTAATAAAATGGTTGGTAACATTGATGGGCCCTGCTTACTGAGCTTTACAATGAGATTCTCGTTGGTCTAAAGCAGCTAGTTCTGATTGAAGTGCTTTCACCTCCACAGCACTTAACACAATCTGCAAATCCATAAGAGTTTTGAGTTTGAGTTTTCCATTGACAGAGATCAGATAATGTTTCTTCGAATGATAGCAGGCAAAAACTGTCAAATCTACCTTGTCTTCATCATTTTCACCTAACCCAAAAGACAGAGCCCTCAAGCTTAACATGTTCAAAAGTGATACAGCAGTTTTAAATTTCCGCCGAGCTCGTGTATGGCTTTTGGACCTAAGCTAAAACCAAAATAACCATGATCACCAATACGTAATATGAACTCGTTCCACATTGGATTGCTTCGAAGAAGTAATACCTCGAATCTGTATTAGACAGCGTTTGGCTCGATTGGTCTTCACTGGCAGAAGTTGAAGTGGCATAATCAGGAGTGCAGCTTCGAATAGTGTCTTCATTGGAAACTGAAGCAGTAAAATGATCTGGAAACACTTGTATTCCTCGAGGACCATCACCCATAGCACCTAACTCACTCGCAAAACCTGTATTAAATAGTTTAAGAAGTAAAATCTTAAGGTAAGCCTCCTCGTCGTATTATTTCCACAGATTCTTGCATATGAAACACTTTCTCATAAATAATTGAACGTAGGGATTCAAATGCCATCATAGCATACTTGATTCGTATTCAACTAACTCAATACCTTATTTTAACACCCAATCCAAATAAGCACTCCAACAAGAAGTTTTCAAGCCAAATTACTTTCATGAACAAATGATATATCATACAAAGTACCTAACTAATCATAGCCCACAAATCAATAACAAAACAGCTGCTTCCAAATATGGCAAAATAACACGTTCGGCTACATAAATTTTCCATAATATAACTACACGCCTATTCACCTTCAAATATAAAACTAACAAAATCTCCCCAAATCATCAATAAGACAAACGAAATCTAGCTCGTAGCTAAACCGATTTATGGAGGGAAGAAACTTAACACGCAACCTTAACAAAGCAGAAAACACCGGGAGAACCTACGTTTATGATTTAACTACATAGATCACAGCAGCAACTTGGAGTAGAATAAAAATAAAATTCCAAAGGCAGGGCTACAGGGAAGCAAGACGTACTAACACGTGGGAGGAGGGATCGGACGTCGGCGATTACCGAATGAGCGGGGAGACGTTCGGGCGGCGAATTTGTATTGGGATATCGTTGACGCATCGCCGGGAAAGAGGTGTTTTGCTAGTTGATGGGCATCGTGTCGGGTGGGTTTGTGTAATGACAATTATGCTCCTTGAATTTGTTCTTTATGAGTGATAACTACACGGAGGGTAATTTGGGGGTTTCGGTTGGGCATTATCAGCCTGGGCCAAGTTGTCATTTTGATTTTTGTTACGGTTACCGGAGAGTTGTTATGTATCATAATGATGATGACCAATGCTAGTAAGTACCATTTTAAATAGAACTTTCAGTATGAATGCTTTGATATAAAATATTATTGCATGAAATATTTTAATAATAAGAAAATATAGAGATTACATACAGTAATATCCTTCAGTATAATAGTAATCTATTGAACTAATTCTTAATTTATTGGTTTATTAAAGTTAAACTAAAGCCGAACACGTAGACTAGGCCAGGCCTGCCTAAAGATGAATCGGACTAGCCCAATACGTAGAGCGAGCTAAGAAAGCGTCTAAACCCAAGATGAGCGAGCCTGGTCACAATCAAGGAAAGATTAGACTTTAGAGAGGAGGAGGTATGTATGTGTATGTGTATGGTTTAAGCTGAAACAATGTAAGATTTAGGCTGAGACTAAATTATTATATATAACTATGCAAAATGCAAGTTTTAAAAATAATAGGGCATTACACACACATTTCAGTGGAGCCAGCCAGAAGACAAATAATTAAGCTAGCTGGGTAGTTCCTCATGGAAGAAAGAGGACGAGCACAAGACGACAGACAGGTATTATATTGGATCCTCTCTCCCATCTCTCCTTTCTTCTTCGTCTTCTTCTACTTGGCGCCACATCATCCTATACCCGCCGATCACTACTTATCTTCAATATTAATAATAACGACAATTAATTAGTGGGCTAGACAAGAGTGTAGCCGGACACCCATGTCTCTGCTGGAGAAGGAGCCGAGTGGATGTACACAAACTCCATGCTCTCTCCACTACCCAAGGAGTTTATCCACGCCGGAAACGTATAATAGGTAGACCTAGACGACGACGACGACGACGACGACTTGGACTTTGTCAGACCCCACAGCGATAGAGGGCCCTCCGTCTCCGCCGCCTTCCCAATGAAGAGCTTCAAATGCTTCACGGAGATTTAGAAAAGGAGAGAAGCTCGGAGGGGGCAACACGGACGCCGCCGCCATCAGCGCAATGGAGGGACTCGCCGGCAGATGTGAGATAATCAGAATAGACTGATGTGAGGAAGGAAGCGCTGGTAACAAACTGCATATTATTCCACCTCTGCGTGAAAATGAGACCCCCAGGAGTCTTGTGGACATTGCCAACGGCGCCGCCCTTACCCAGACATGAACACATGAACAGCTCCGCCTTCTCTCGGTACTTGTCCAACACTGGTAGTGCATGATGAATCCCCTTTCCATCCATCAAAAACTGCATATATAAATAACTACACGCATCAATGATAGTACTATTAGCTAGCTAGTTGCATAAATTAAAAAGATCCTACTTCAATTTCCCAGAGAAGAGAATGATTGACTAGAATATTCAATTAAGCACCAGGCATATATACCATTCCTTTAATTTCCCTTATTTAGGAAATTAACCACAAGAAATAATAATTTCACATAGACTGTCTATAATTATAGTAATTAAAAATAAATAAAAATAAAATGTAGGTAGGTAGGTAGGGTACCTTGGCAACAAGGGTTTGGACACCAGCATACTTGACGTCCCACCCAAACGCAGTCATGGTCCAAGTGGTTCCCCCAAGTGCATCGCCATTGTCCGCTAGGTAATTCAAGTAGTACTCGTTGTCTGTTGCCTTGTACAGCCATGCCGCTGCCCACAGCAATTCATCCTGCACCCCCCACAAATAAATTAGAATTATAATAAAATGGGAAATCTTAATATCATATTAACAATACTAGAGAAATTTATGAGGAGAATCATCAACATACGGCGTAGCCGCTGACGGATCGGTAATACTCCTGTGCTACCGTAATGCTATTGTCATAGTTACCCCTGTACTTGTCCGCAAATTCGAAGAGCTGGGTATGAAAAAGGAAAAACACACCCACTGTTCAGGTCAGTGCAATTGTATTTAATTAATTGGAGAAGAGGAGAGGAGAGGAGAGGAGAGGAGAGGAGAGAGGAGAAGATTTGGTCGTGGTGGAGCCCAGTCCAGTCCAGTCCAGTCCAGCCCTCTGGTAAACTGCACCGACCACAGCCACAGAACTTTTAACACAGTCTTGCTGGCTGGCAGGCTGACTGAACCTAACGTAACTGCTCTCAATAACTGTTGCTATTCTTTCTTTTACTAACCGAAACATCTCTCTCTCTCTCTCTCTCTGACGCCCGTACTTACCTGATTGATTATTGAGTGAAATCGGAGATGAAAAACACGTACTAATTACCTGATTGGCCTGCTCGAGGAGCTGTGCTGAATAGGAAACATTATGACCGCAAAAAACGATGGAAGCTGCGGCCATGGCGGCGGCTGTCTCACCCGCGAGGTCAGATCCGGGATGGCTGGAATCGATCTTATAAGCAGCCCGGGAGGTGGTCATGTCCTCTGGCCTTTGCCAGCATTCATGATCCGTGTTTCCATCCCCAACCTGTTTGTTGCCTCAGCCAAATACACGACGACGGCCAATCAACGAACGACATCCATAATTGTTGTTTTGATTAATTAAGAAACATACATACATACATACATACATAAATACATACACACACAAGTTGAGAATGATTTTATCAATTCGTATCATCAAATTGAAGCTGTAAATTAATTAATTGAGGAATTCGGCTAAGTAATTAATTAATTACTTGATTACCTGGCCGTAGAGGACGTAAGGTTGGGGATGCGCTTTGATGAGATAGTCAGTTCCCCATTTGACCGCATCAATGGCGTGGTGAAGCTCTCCAGCGGAAGCGATTTGGTTTCCGTATTCGATAATGCTCCAGGACAGCATGGTGATTGTGAACGCCATCGGCAAACCAAACTTGACGTTATCACCTGCATCGTAGTATCCTCCAACGAGGTCCACCTGAAATGAATCATCCATCAAATTAAAAATAATAAATCAATTCAAATTCAGCGTCGATCGAACAATCGCTAGCTAGCTATTAAATCGATGTTCAATAAACGAATCAATTAAGAAGATTCCGTAAGGTGTTGGGTTAAGTCCCGCAACGAGCGCAACCCTCGTGTTTAGTTGCCCTCGTTGAATTTGGAACCCTCCACTGCACTCTCTGATCCCTCGGCAAGTAGCCAGATCTCTGAGCTTCGAAGAACAAAAGGCTCTTGGAAAGAGCTTCGCCGTAGTCATACCCGGCTGCCATCAATGCCGGTGAGAACAGCGCTCCAGTAGCCAAAAACAGGGGACCAATTGGAAGAAGAAGACAAATCGAAGACACGGATATCTTCCCCATTGCCATCCGCTAGTTCCCAATTAAGCTCCAACACGAAGAAATTCGCAATTGGGGAGTGTGGGAGGGAGGAAGGGAGGTTGGATTTGGAATAGCAGAGAGGTAGCTTAGGGGACGCAGAATTTATGGAAAAAGGATGGCATATACCGACTGCAGTCGGGTACAGTGAAGGAAGCAAATCTGGCCTGGCAGCACTGCACCTGCACCTGCACCTGCACATACATCTTTTTCTTAAATTTACTTATACTAATAATAATAATAATAATAATAATATATTTATACTTGTAATTCATGATTAAGTAAGCATTAATTAAATAAGAGAGCTAATAATTGTGAATTTTCAAAAAACAACAGCTTTTTAATTTGCTGACACCATTACTTTTATAATAATAATAATAAGAGGAAACACAACAATACATATGATCGATTAATAATACTATTTCCAAGCCATATTAATTTATTATTAAATAATGATAGAATATTTTGAATGGTCAAATAATTAGTTTACATCGTATTGTATTTGGTGAAAAAAGATGATCAATTCTAAAATATATAAATGAGGAATGAAACAGAACAGAATTTGGAGAGTGGCCAACATTTATAAAATAGCATGCATGTACATGGTTGAAAAATGAGTTGCTATCGGAGATGTGGCAGACTGTTGGTTAAAATATCATATGTAATGTATTAGACTACAGTAGTATTATATACTAGTCAGAAGTGGAGAAAGTTAGGTAATACTTATTTGATAATATTAATTAGCTACTTGGCTCGGGAAATATTTATTATAACAATAACAATTATAGGGAGGGAGAGTAAAGTATGGATGCATGCATGGCAGGTCCAGGTCCAGGTGTGTATCGGAGGGGATCCTCAGCATCATCTCCTCCCTGCCCTACACACACCCATGTTAGATATACAGGTGTGTGATGATGCTGAAAATGGGGAAGGGAGGTGTGATGCTGAGGATCTCCTCTCAAGTATGTATGTATGTATGTATCTGTTACTGCATGTGTTTGTTGGGTTAGGCTTGACCAACCACAAATGTTGGAACCAACCTAACACCCGTACAGATTTATTTTTGAATATTCTCCAAAAAGCCTCGTACTAGTAAAGTATATATGAGACTTACAAAGTGTGAAATTTTCTTTACATATTTCGACGTGGGACACCCCAACATTTTATAATAATAATATATCTATAATTATTTATTTTTATATATTATAAATATTTTATAAAAATAAATATTATTAATGATAACTCAAGAATCACATGTTGAAATAATTAAAATTAATTATTTTTAAATATAATTCAAATTATAAAAAATAAAAAAAAATATTAAAAATATATATATATATATATAAACCGATCATTCAAATCGTAATCGGTGATTTTTAAATAATAATTGAAACCAACAAATTGTAACCAAACTGCATATAATATTAAGATTGCTTATGTTTTTATTCAATAATATAATATTAAAATTATTCTTTTTGTAATTTTTTTAAAATTTAATAATATGATACTATTTTTTTTTTATTTGTAATTGTGTAAATTGTTTTTATTTTATTTTAATTGATAATTCGACTATATAAAATAATACAGATATACAAAGTATCGTGGAGAGCCCGTCTAAGATAGCAAATGTGTATATATATATATATATATATCCCACCACGTCGGCCAAAAACGACGAGACGGAGTTGTTATTTAATTTAGTAATCGCGTGAAACGGGTAAGGGAAACAAAATGGTAAATAAGACAAAAGAAACGCATTAAAGGTGGCCGCGTAGCTTTCTGTCTGGCTAGGTTAGGTGGTTGGTGTGACCAAGTCGTCTTGCATTGCATCCTAATCCTAATCCTAATCCTATTCCTATTCCTAGCCAGCTTGCTTTAGTACGCACAAAAAAATATGCCTTTGTTGTTATTATTATCATTATAAGAAATTTAAAAAGTCAACCCAGCCCTATCATTATTATTTTTTCTTTAAAAAAGAAAGTTCAAAACTCTTTTCGGTTTGAAATTAATTTATAAAATTCTAAAATTATTTAAAATACTAAATTACTATTCATTATAAAATAATAATAATACAATTTATTAATTTAATATCGTATGGCTACTCATATCTTGCAGGAAAGAGAGTGTAAATTATAAAAATTTAAAATCAAACAAAATTCGAAGTAATACTCCACTATCAAAGAAAATATCACCGGTTGTCCGTAATAATTTGGTGTAATAATTCGATGAACTTATGACCTTGGGATCGTATATTCAAACTCCTCCCATGTAGGTCTGCCACATAATATATATATATATATACATACATATCACCTGTACAATAAATTCAAAAAGTTGCTTCTTGGCCTGCGAGGATCGTGAAGGTATTGTAGTCCTTTCACGCGACCGCCATCAATGCGCATCCCCTGCCAACTGCAACGACAACCGGATTCTTCTTCCTTCATGATCCGCAGGTAGGTAGGTAGGTAGCTATAAATTTACCAAGTTGGAAATCATTTTCTTCAGACCTGCCTAACTGCAACACACAAAAAACAACCCCCAGTACCAGTAGCTCTCTTCCCATTCCAACATTCCGGCCGAAATTAAAACCCTACATAAATCATCCCTCACCTCTCCCTCGTGGGTGTTTTTTCTTTTCTTTTTTTTTTTTCTCCTGTTCTTGGAACAATGAATCAATCATTCAAACATAGTACCATCTCTACTTTCCTAGGCCTAGTTTCCTAATTAATCCCACCCCACCCCAAGCAGTTTGCTCCTCCTCCTCCTCTTCCTCCTTACTTAAATCGAGCAAATTCGGGGACTCTTTTTTTCAGTGCCCTGTTTCCTGTTTCCCCCCAATTCGATTGGATCGGAAACCCTAATATCTCAACTTCAGTTACTTACAGATGAGGAGGAGATTACAAGAAATGAGTCCTAATTTCCCTGGTGACTTCAGCATCAGCAATTCTCTGTCGCAGCTCATTGTGAGCAGCAATTCGAACACAATCGATTCGATTTTCTCATGCTGTGTTTATAACAATGATCCGCATCCGATCAATAATAATAATAATAATAGTCTATGCGAGGTGCCGCGAGGTTCATCACCATCAGTGTACTTGCAGCAGAGGGAGCAGGTCCATGATCGATTAATGTTGTCGAATGGGAATGGGAATGTGAAGAGGAAGGTGTACAGGGGGGTGCGGCAGCGGCACTGGGGCAAATGGGTGGCGGAGATACGGCTGCCGCAGAAGAGGGTGAGGGTGTGGCTGGGGACGTACGAGTCGGCGGAGGCGGCCGCATACGCGTACGACCGGGCAGCGTACAAGCTCCGCGGCGAGTATGCCCGCCTGAATTTCTCCAACCTGGTGGACCCGGGGGGGCTCATCGGGGAGGGGGACGCCGCCAGAGTAGAGAATGCGGTGGACGCAAAGATTGAGTCCATATGGCAGAAGAGGAAGAAGAGGACCAAGACCACGACGAAGAAGAAGTCTAATGATGATGGTGTTCTTCAAGTTCAACCGGATGCAGGTTTGGGGAAGAAAGAGGAATCGCTGGGCGTGGGCGTTTCTGGAGAAATGATGGAGCTGGGAGTGGCAGGGGTGCCGTCGTATGATCCAGAGTTAATTTGGGAAGTGCTTACTGCTGCTGCCACTACTAGTGCTACTTGACAGTTGGTGTGTTAGAAGAAGAAGAAGAAGAAGAAGAGCTGGAGGAGGAGGAAGTAGCCAGCAGCAGCAGCAGTCGGTTAATTGGTAATTGGTAATTGGTTGGTCGGTTGGTTCCACCCCTCGCATCGCATCCTTGACTGCCTTAAACCAGATACCACTGCTACTACTACTTACTGCCTGCTGCTAGAATACAGTTATACCAGTAAACAGACACACAAACCCACGTTTGCCTAATGTTTTGTTTCTCTGCTCTCCTCTCCTCTTCTCTTCTCTCCTCTTCTCTTCTCTTCAAATGGATGGTAGATCATACTACTAATAAATTAGTAAGTCAATCAATACAATCTTCTCTGCTTACAGCTTTTATATATCTAAAGACAGAAGAAGAAATGATGTAGCAGCAAGCTAGGAACATTTTATGCAAAATTTAGGATATGATAGGATGACAAGTAAATAAATATGCATGCATGTACAAGCCCAATTCACTTGACTTGAGCAGCTGCTGCAGGCTAAAATGCTTCTATTTCCTCCCTCTATCCAACGTTTGATTCAGCGGGTGGGGCAGAAAAAGAGACGCAGTGGCTGGCAGGTTGGAGATCGCTGGTAGCCTCGAAGCCGCCTCATCTGCACCAACCTGACACCAATGGACGTCAGACCTTTTTAGGCTGGAAATAAAGGCCATTGCAGACTGATTTTTAGACAACATCGACTTAGACGGGAAGACCATCGTTCTGCTCTTACACAGTTAAAAGCTTTCTTTTTGTTTTCTTTAACGATCCTCACACATCACATTACTCGTCTTTTTTAAAAAAAATATATATATAATGCATGTGTTGAGACTCAAATCCAAATCCCACATTGAAAGTTGAAAAAAAAATTTCACATCTTATAAGTCTTAAATCGAACTCTACTGGTATGAGAGAATATCCAAAAACAAATACGAAATAATCGCCAACAACATTTTCCTCCGTAATTTAAAAAATTACATGAGTTCTCTTCTTATTTAGGAAAATATTATACATAATCCTCTAAAATTACATTATTTTTTTTTTACATTTTCTAAAATATTGTACAAAAATTTTTAAAATACAAAAAAAAAATTAGTGTTATTTCTAAATCATAAATAAAAATTGTACAAACTTTTTAAACCACAAGTGGATTACAAACAATATTGCCTAAAAAATATATATACATTTTTATTTATATTAAAATAATTTGATTTTTAAGTTAAATTTAAATAAAAGTAAATCATATTTATATTATTGCGTAAAGTGAAAATTATGGGGTTCTGTTGAGTTTATATATATAGTTAAGGTAAGTAAAAATTCGTATTGAATCTAACCAAATTTTTTATTAACTAAATATATTTGATTCGAATATATATAGGGTGTGTTTGTCTGAGAATTTGAATTTTGAATTTAAATAGTAAAAATTTTGAATTTATATAGTTGTATGATGTAATATAAATAAACGTTGATGTGACGTTTTGAATGTAAAATTAATTTTTAGTGTAATATAAAAAATAAAAAATAAATGTTATATTTGAAAAAAAAAGGATGAATAGTGTATTTAAAATCCAATCTCCAAACAAACACACCCATACACATAATGTCTTGGTTACTCTTAGACACAAGAATTTATGAAAAATATAATTAATAAATAGTTGAAAATATATTAATAAAAATAATTAAGATACAATACAAATAATTATTTATTAAAACTAAAATGGGATGGGATGGAATGGAAAGGATTCAAATTAAACGACAACATGGTCTCTCTCTCTGGTTTGGTGTAGTCTGGTCTGACCCGATCTTATATCGACCCCATTCCTGCCTCGTTACACATACACCTCACAATCACAACACTACACTGCACCACGCGGATTCATTTCCCCAGATTCTTCTCTTTTCATTTCATTATCATTATTATTATTATTATTATTATCATTATTATTATTATTATTATGATTTGTCTTTCTCCTCCTCATTCCTCACTCTTTGACATATGCTTTTTCCTCTTTGAATCGGTCAGTTCAGCTATTCAGAATCTTCCACTCCCCTCCCCCTCTGGAATCTATTCATACCATCACCCATTTCACCTCTCTAATGTAATCATAATCTAAATTCAATAAGCCCCCACCCCACCCCCAATTAATACCATATATAATACTATATATAATTCAAACCACCTCTTTTGGCATTAAAACACGACCCACCATCATCCTTCTCCATACAGCAAGCATTGATGACAGACAGATTTGAATAACTAACTAATTGTATTATTATTAATAGTAAACCATATAAATAAGTGTGTGTTGAATTGGTCGTCGTCACTAGCACAGACACACACTCGTCCTTTCACTATACGTTCCAATATGACCAAAGACTGGTCCACGCAGAGCAAACTCACTCGGTTTCTCCAGTCAAACTTCAACTCTCTCTCTCTCTCTCTACCAATCTTATTCTTATCTCTTAATTCAAATCTTTTCTTCTTCCACTCCCGTTACAACAATTTTCTCTTCTTTTCTTTTCAATTCTTTTGTCCGTGTGGCTCTGTTATTAGTCACTAATAATTCTCCTCTCTCTCTCTCTCTCTCTCTCTCTCTCTCTCTTATATATATATATATGAACCCCTAGCAGCAAGCAAGCTATAATATCCCAACATAACAAACACCTCCAACTCTCTCCACTGTTATAGCTGGAGGCTTCCCATCTAACATATATGAACAAGCAATTCCTCTGAGAGTAGACCACCACACCATTGAAAACAAAACAAAAAAAAAAGAAAAGAAAAGAAAAGAAAAAGAAATGGAGAGTGCACTTACCTGGGAATACATGTCACTGGTGAATGAGCTGACGCAGGGAATGGAGAGGGCAAATCAGCTCCGGCTCCACTTGTCGTCCACGTCTCCCTCCGAAGCCCATCACCTTCTTCTGCAGAGAATATTGTCTTCTTACGAGAAGGCTCTCATGATCCTCAAATGGAAGGGATCAGAGAGGGAGGCAGCATCTGCTGTCCTGGAGGGTTCCGTTTCCGTCGACGGGAGTCCCAAAAGTGATGACTTGAACAAGAATTTCAAGGACCATCATCAGGAATTCGGTGCCGTCAAGAAGAGGTTAGTTTATTCGTTTATTTCTCATTGGGAGGGAGGCATAATATGAAATTCAGCTTACCTGACCCGACCCGACCTGACCAACAATGTTTCTTGATCCCGCTACTCTAGGAAGCTTCAGCCCACGTGGACAGAACAAGTGAGGGTTAATTCGGACAATGGGCTCGAAGGGCCAATCGATGACGGATACAGCTGGAGGAAATATGGACAGAAGGACATCTTGGGTGCCAAGTATCCAAGGTTTGTTCTGTTCTGTTCTGTTGTTCTGTTCTGCTCTGCTCTGCATGCCATTATTTCCTATATGGATGAAAAGAGCAAAGAAGAAGAAAGCTATTGGTGTATTCATTAAGACAAAAATAGTCATACTACTCCAGTTAGTAATAAAACGGTATGTGTATATTCCTCCTAATTATTCCTTTCCTGGTGCTGTCCACAGGAGCTATTATAGATGCACATACCGCATGGTTCAAAACTGCTGGGCAACTAAGCAGGTGCAGAGATCCGATGAGGACCCAACCGTGTTTGACCTCACGTATAAAGGGACACACACATGCAACCAGTCAACTACTGCAGTCGCAGTGCCGCCTCCGCCAGCATCCCCTGAAAAGAAAGAAAGCAAACTACAAAACCAGACTCTAATGAACTTGAAAGCTAACCTCAAGGTTAGCACCGACAACTTGGATGACAAGGGAGCACCGTCTTCCTTCTCTTTCTCATCAACAAATGCATGCCGGGACAACACAGCAAACCAATATTTTCCTCTTACCAGTCTTCCCTACGACAATCACCTGGGAGCATACTCTCCATTATTTTTATCTCCTGCAACGCCCGAGTCTAATTACCTTTCTACAGCAACCCACCAACTTAAAAGCCTTGGAGGGACTCAAAACTATCAACACTCGGAATCTGATGTTGCAGAAATAATCTCAGCCAATGCATCAACAAGCAATTCTCCTATAGGAGGCATGGAGTTCCCATTAGATCGGCTAGAGCTAGACCCAAGCTTCCCGTTCGACACTGAAGGATTTTTCACATAATATAGCTTTAAGAGCTGGCAACGTTAAGATATATATATATATATGTTCTGCAGCTATGATCGTTTATCTAGGCATCTAATATAATTTTAAAAGTGAGGAACAAATAATCTGTAAATACCGAATTTGCAGATTGCAGCTGAATTAACATTGCTCATTCAGTAAAAAGGAACCAAACCAGACAATTAAAACAGAAGCAGCAACTCATTTTCACCAGCAACCTATCAACCTAGTCCTGGCATGCCAATTCATAAATTTGTGATAGTTAGTTAACATGTGCGATATCTCTGAAAAACGACTAGCAGCAAATATTGCAGGAAACAGGGAACTGTTACTGTGAATGCCTGCTGGTACTCAACAACTTAGGAATAGAAGTATTGCGAGAATATAATTAGGTTTTTTTACCTCACGCAAAGCCAGGAGTTAATATCGCATCAGGCTTAAAAAGGATCGATGAATTAAAGCCAAGTATTATAAGATCACTGATGGGCAGGCAACAATTAACTCCAATTTTGTTTTGTTGTTTTCAAAGAGAAACATAATTAAGAATATAACTGGAGAGACCGAAGCGGGAAATAGAGAAAGAAAACCAGAGAATATTTTAAGCAAACTAGGTAATATCACAATGTAGAACGAACCAACAAGATACAAACGGCAACAAAGAGAAAGCAGAGACAAAAAAAAAACCTATGCCGCAGAATCAACCTTTGATCCGCTGCCGCTGGAAAAAGTTGCCCCGTGCGTGTGCATCTTGGCTTTCCCATTTCCTTTCCAGAGTATGGGAGCTCTATTCGCGTTCTTTTCTGGGAACGAGTTGTGACTGTGCCGCTGCACCTCCAAAGCTTGGCTCGAAACCCCAAGAAATGGATTCTTTGTTGGGTGGGGTGTGGTGGGGGTGGGTCTCGTTAGACTTGAAGATGGCTTGAAACAAAGGCTATGAATAGTGTATTGTAGTTTAGCCCATCGGGTCCTGGAGTTAATAAGTAGTAGTAATAATTTTGGCCCAAGGAATCGTCTACTTATCATCAGATCTCAAATGAGTATGTTGAAGAAAAGAGCCCAAGCAGCTGCTGCGCTGCCTAACCCCAGCCACAGCCAGTGACACGTGTCTTTACTTCATCAGAAAATCAATCCAGCCAGCCGATAAAAATCACTACTACTACTACTAAATCCAAACGAGTGAGCCGAACCACAGAAATACTTTACCAACGTATGCTAGGCATGAAAAGAAAATTCAATCCAATTCATAACTCTGCTTGAACACCTAATTGGGTTCTTTGCCTTTCCCGCCCGGCCGGCCTGTGAAGGTGAACGAACCACGTCCTAATTGAGTCACTCTGGTCTGCTGATATGTATTAGTGTAGGGCTTCCGTCATGATCGATCCCCTCCGCTTAGGAGTTCGGAGGGAGTTAGTTAATGGCGGGGAGGGAATAGAAATATAGAATAGATAGATAGGAGGAGGTTCGGCAGTTTGACGGGTAGCAGCATAAAGGCGTGTTTTTACAATTAGTTTGGGATCATTTTACTTCATTATAATGCAGTCCCAACTCCCAAATCTCAATCCAAAAAAGAAACAGAAAACTATGGGTGTATACATGATGTATGTTCAATATAATGACTCGTATTCAGGGAGATGGAGATGATACTTACTACTTAATTAGTCTAAGCAATCGAACAATTCCTTGGTTGGTTCACTGAGTATGACCTATTGAACAAGACAAGAGTGTTTCTTATTGATCGGATTTCCAGCAGACAGAGTATCACGAGTAAATACCCGTGGGCAGGTGCAGGAGCGACGACGACGTCCTGTGAGCAGGCACCCTCTCCGACGCCATCCTCCTGAGAGGCCCCGGCCCCGGCGCTCCTGATCTGTCCAACTCCTCGTCCTCCGGAATGGCGGAAAGCGCCCCCGCGGAGGCTTTATCGTAGAAGACATAATAAGAGAATCGGTCCTTCGCAACCGCGTTTTCTTTACTTGCACTACTACTACTGCTGCTGCTGCTTTTTTTGGTGAAGAGGGTGCGCAGAGAACGCGTCAGCAGCTGCAGTTTTGTCGCCGGGGGCTTCAGCCTCTTCTCCGGCACGGCCATGCCCATGCCCATGCCCATGGCGGAGTGGAGGTGCTGCTGGAAGGACTTGACCTCGAAGGAGTCGTACAAGGAGCTGCCACAGTCCCAAATCGTCGGCGGGGGAGGAGGAGGACGCTCAGATTTCGATCGCGAGAGCTGTGGCGGTCGTGGCAGTGGCAGTGGCAGTGGCCGGGGCAGGGGGTTCTCCATTTTATAGTAGTAATAAAACACCCAACCCGATTTGCTTGATATAAAATGCAGCTTACCCCTCTGGTCTGTTCTGGTATGGTATGTATTATGTATAACTATAACGTATTCCCTTCCCTTCCTGCTTCTAAATTATTTGATGGTGGGTGAGGTGAGGTGAGGTTTGGGGATGGATAATTATATATATAGAGAGAGAGAGAGGGAGGGAGGGGGGAGAGAGGGAGCAAACAAGCGCTGCGCGTCTCCGCCTGAACGACGTCGCATGAGGCGTGCATAATGACAAATAAATACGACGACTACTAGGATTATAATAATGCCAGAAATGAAGACGAAACGGCATGTGCTGCAGATGTCTCTCCCTTTCCTCCTCCTCTTCCTCCGTCCAATCTCCCTCGTGTAAACACCTACTACTACTAGACTACTATTTTATTGGTAATTGGCACGAGAGAAATATGTATGTTTGGAATTTTCAGCGAGTCTCTCTTTCTCTCTGCCTGTCTGTGTCTCTGCCTGTCTGTGTAAAGTGTGAAGAATTTCTTTCTTTATTGTCTCGTGTTGAGATGTGAGGTTGATGATATAAAAAACATGATTAAAGAACATAGCAAAATAAGAGAATGTTTTCTTTCAAATTTTCATTTAAGATATGAAAAATATATATTTCTGATTGCATGGAAATCAGTTCCAGAGATCTAATATAAATTTAGATAATTGATCCTAAGAGAATATTGTACTATCTCTGCATAAATGGAATCTAATAACAAATTATGTTAATTTTAGAATGATCAAGAATGTGTGATTGGGCTCTCATGGATAGGGCTCCTCTATACGGGCTTCTCTCCACATTCCCCCCTCAAGATGAATTTGGATAGTATATCCCAAGTTTAACTTGCAACATACGTGACGAAGTTGGGCAACTGACAATCCCTTTGTAAATACATCAGCCAATTGTCTTTCAGATGGTACAAACTGAAGGGTGATAACACCTTCTGCAAAATGATGGTGAATGAAGTGGCAATTCACATCTATATGTTTGGTTCTTTCATGATGAACTGGATTTTTCACCATATAAATTGTGGACTGATTATCGCAGCAAATTGGTACAGGCGAGGTGACGGAAATTTGCAGCTCATGCATCAAGTATGTCACCCACAGTACCTCAGAAACTGTGGCGGCCAATGCCCTATACTCTGCTTCAGCGGAAGGCTTAGCCACAGTTGTTTTCTTCTTGGTTTTCCACGATATAAGGCATGATCCAAGAAATAGGCAATAATCCGTAAAAGATTTCCGAGAGTCCAAGCATGACCCCCAGTCTGCATCTGAAAATGCCCTGAGTTTGAGCTCCGTACTGGCTGGAAAGATGAGATGTAAGTTCATGGTTCCCTTCAAATATCTTAAAATCCGTTGTACAACCTTCCAATGTTCAGTAGTTGGATTGGCCATGAATTGGCTCAGCTGTTGAAAGGTCTGGTCTTGTCATGGTGAGATATAGGAGTCTTCCCACAATGCGTCTGTAGTTTCTAGGATTTGAGAGGACCTGTCATTTATCTTGTTGAAGTTTCCAGCTTGTGACAAATGGAGTGTCACAAGGCTTAGCATCTTGCATTCCAATCTCCAAAAGAATATCTTGAATCAGTTTATGGTGGGAGACAAACCTGCAACAGATCTTTCAATTTGGATTCCAAGAAATAAGTCAGCTTGGTTCAGATCTTTGACGATGAATGTTTGATCCAAGTACTTCTTAACTATTGTGATGGTTTGGGCATTAGTTCCTGTGATAAGAATGTCATCAACATATACCAATAATAGAGTACTGTCAGTGTCTTTATTAAGGATAAAGAGGCAGGGGTCATGAGTGGATTGCTTGAAACCATATTCTAACACCTTGGTGGTGAACTGTTTGTACCATTATCTGGGGGCCTACTTCAGCCCATAAAAGGACTTCTTCAACTTGCAAACATGGTCTGTAGAAACATTATATCCTTGGGGTGGAACCATGTATATCTCCTTATCCAAATAGCCATGCAAGAATGCATTATTAATGTCTAGTTGATGCACCTCCCACTGCCTTGAAGCTGCAATGGCTAGTATAATTCGAACTGTGACAACTTTAGCAACTTGAGCAAATGAGTTCGTGAAGTCTTGTCCAGAAATTTGAAGGTATCCCTTGGCCACAAGACGAGTTTTGTACCTTTGAATGCTTCCATCACCATTCCTTTTGATTCGGTAAATCCACTTGCATGATACTGGGCGAGCTCCACTTGGCAAGACAATGATCTCCCATATTTCATTCTTTTCCAAAGCATTCAACTCTTCTTGCATAGCATCTTTCCATTCTTTTACATATTGAGCTTGAGTGTAAAAAGTCGGTTCCTGATCATGATCAGATAATGCAACATGCCACACATGCATGTATGTTGGCTTGTTTTTTGCTATGGAATTAGTGGCAGGACATATGTAGTCATTAAGCCAAGCTGGTGGTTTCCTTTGTCTAGGTGGTAATTCAGTTGGCAAGATGTTAGAAAGGGTAGAAGAATGAAAGGAAGGCTTATTGGATTCAAACCGAGTGTCACCAGAGTGATGGCTATGAGATGATTCTTCTTCTAGTAGAGTAATGGGATTACTTTGAGGAGTGGTGCTTGTTGTGTTGTAAGGGTGGTGTGTGGTGATAATATGGGACCAGTGGTGATGGCAATAGGATCATGAGGACTAGGATAGTTTGGAATATTGGACAAGGGTGATGATTGAGACTTAACAACAAAATAAGAAAATTCATGCTCATAAAAGATTACATCACGGGCAACAATTCTTTTTTATTCTCTATATCAAAGAGCTTAAAGCTTTTTTAGCCAACTGGATAACCAAGAAAAACACATTTGATAGCTCTAGTGTCAAGTTTGGTTTTATCAAGTGTTATGTTGGTTGCATAACAGCGATACCCAAACACCTTAAGATGATCATAAGTTGGTTGGGTTTGATAGAGTTTTTGGTAAGGAGTGGCCCATTCAAGAACTGAGGTAGGGGTTCTATTAAGCAGGTATGTGGCATGGAGGAGACCATCTCCCCAAAAATTTAGTGGGTAAGGCAGCATGAAAGAGTAGAGATCGAGTCACTTGCAACAAGTGTTTGTGCTTGATATCCACTCGTTCATTTTGTTGGGGAGAATATGGACATGAGTGTTCATGGATGATGCTATATTTATTAAATAAGGCTCTGCAATTTTGGTTGAGAAATTTTGTTCCATTATCAGTTCTTACCTTCTTTACACAGGAATTGAACTGATTTTGGACAAGAGCATGTAAAGTTTGTATTATTTGATGGATGTTTTGTTTATTTGGCAAAAGATAGGTCCAGATGCCTCGAGAATAATCATCAACAATTGTTAAGAAGTAGTGACATCCATTTAAAGTGGGAGACTTATATGGCCTCCATGTATCCATATAGACCAATTCAAACACAGAGGATGCGCACGAGTTACTTTTATTAAAGGACAATGTAGATTGTTTAGATTTGTGACAAGTATCACAAAGGGAATCTTTAAGAAAAGGAACAAATCCAAGATGTTTCAAACATTCAGCAGATGAGTGACCTAGGCGATAATGCCACAGATGGTAATCAACAACAGCAACTGAAGCAAGCAGATCAACAAAACAGGTTGAGACATCTAAGGTGTATAGGTTGTTTTCTTGGTTTCCAGTAGCCAAATTGACTTTAGAGCTCGGGTCCTGTATGAAACATTTGGTAGAAGTGAATGTGAGGATATAAGTGGTATGTCTAAGCAAAGCACTGACTGAAAGGAGGTTGAATTGAAAGGATGGGAACAAATAAACATCAGTTAAAACAAGGTTAGGTACAATAGTAATAGATCCCACATGACCAGCTATAAAAAATGATCCATTAGGTAAATATATTTTTGGTTTAGAGATAGCAAGTTTGAGGGAAGTAAACAGGCCAGCATTGTTGCAAATGTGACACGAAGCACCACTGTCAATTAACCAAGAACTTTCTCCTACACACAGACCCAACAAGCGAGGAACGAGTACCTGAGTATTCAACTGCTCGAGTAGGATGATTTGAAATTAGTTATGCACTGTTTAGCTGAAACATTCTGTGAATCTCAGCATTGATCGGGGCCTCTATATTGGGGCTTACTCCACTACTCTTCTTTTCCTCTTTTGCTCCAAACACACAAGTGGTTGTAACCCTTTTATCCTTCATTTCTTTGTACCAGGCTGGAACACCATGCAGAGAGAAACATGTATCTTTTGTATGTCCTTTCTTCTTGCAAAATTCACACACCATGTTTTTCTTTTCCAGTTGCAGCAGTTTCTTCTTCTCACTGTTTTGCTTCCATTGATAGGGCTTACTGACTATTAAAAATGCATTGTGTTCTACTGCAATATAAAGTTCCCTTTGTTTTTCAAATTGAATGATCATTGCGTAGGCTTTGCTCATGTTGGGAAGGGGATCCATCAACCGAATTTGTCCCATTCCTCTTGCACTCTCGTAGGTATCATTCAATCCAGTCAGGAATTGAATTAACAAATCTCTATCCATCATTTTCATGAGTTTTGAGTGAGCTCCACATGAACACGCAAGAAGATGATCAATGGTTAGTAATTCTTGCCAAAGTTCTTGAAGTTAGGTAGCATAAGCAGCAATGGAATTATCACTTTGCTTTAGGGATGTGAGTGACCATTTGAGTTGATAGACAAGTGAGCCATTTGATTGCCCATACTTTTCTTTAATGTCCTCTCATAGTTCTTTGGTTGTGGAGACAAAGATGAAGGCGCTTTGAAGTTCTGGAATCATAGAGTTGATCAGCCAAGTTCTGATTAATGCATCCACTTATAGCCATGCTTCATACCCTGGACTGTCCTCCCCTGGTTTGTATTGTTTTCCAGTAAGGAACCTACTCTTTCCTTTAGCTATAAGTGCATTCCACACTCTATGGGACCAAGTGAAGTAATTATTTCCATTGAGAGGGGTTGAGGATAGGCATAGATTTGGTTGATCTTCACTAGTTAACAACAAAGTTTTGAGCAAGTAAGCTTGTTGTGTGGAGACAATTTCAACTCCAAAGGGAGCTGTTGGTTCAGCTGTTGGACGACCAACAGCTTCAGCAGTTGTTGCTTGATTAAAGGATTTATTTGAGATAGAAGAGGAGGACATGGCAGATACCTAGAATCAGAGACTCTGCTCTGATACCATCATGATATCAAGAAGATGATTAAAGAACATAGTGAAATTTAATAACAAATTCTGTTAATTTTGAAATGATCAAAAATGTGTGATTGGACTCTTATGGATAGGCTCATCTATATGGGCTTCTCTCAAGAGAGGTGTTTGATGTCTTTCTATCAAAAGTTATTGTGACCATTTGTGTGTGTGTTCCAGGATTATCCATTTATCTATCCATCTATCGGTGGGGATGGATAACGCACCGCAGTGCACGCCCATGGTTATTATTAATAAGTCAGTCAATACGATTGATTATCCGAGAGGGAGACTCACTCACCGACTGACTGATAGATAATGCGCATAGTTTTAAGTTGTTGTAGTAGTATTAGTAGTAGTAGTACTCGACGATTTTTAATTTCGATGAACATTTCAAAACAAAAACCACTGCAAGGGTTTTTACTTTTTAGCAACCAGAACAAAAGTATGGGACCCATACAAACTGTTGCTGAGGTACATACATACATGCACACACATACCCAACAGAACATCAATCGATAGAAAGGTTGATGGAAGACCAAGGAAGCAAGAGCTGATTGACTTTCCCAAACTTATTCATTCATTCTCCTCCTATGATCAAGATCATCCATCCAATCCAATCCAATCCAATCCAAGTAAAAGAAAGCTGTATAAACCCCCAAAAAAATCAACTAACTAACTATTCAGATCAAGACTTGGCTGGCTGGCTTCAACTTAATTTCCAAGTAGAGCTAGTGCCTGCCTGCGTACTAACTAACTAACTGAAAACAAATTGCTCTGGTTGAATTTTGACTATGGAGGACAGGCCACTCACCAGGAGAGGAAGAGGGAGAGAGAGAGAGAGAGGAGCCAAAAGTATAGTTGGTTAACGCTACCAACGCCATCTACGATGACCAAGCCAGCCAGCCAAGAAACAACACGGCTGGCTAACTCGCCATACATGCAGCAATATAATTTTAACGCGCGCGCACACACACAGACACAAACTAACTCTTCTGTTGGCCAAGAAACCGGTGAACCTTCATCCCAAATCCATGCCCAGCTCGCAGAACCCTGCATCAGCACTCACTCTTCTTACTTGATAGTATTGTATCACATTGTATTGGCATTGAGGGAGACAAGGGTTGGCAGGCAAAATGGGTGAATGAAGAAATTCTTGTAGGATACAGGGAAAACTTACGTTGGTGCAAGTTTGCCTAGGGACTCCAGTTGCTCGCCAGTTTGCTCATCAACCACTTCCCCTGAGATCTTAATCAGATAGGATTTGTACTCGGTGGCCGGGAGTCCCCTTTTCGCAAGCAAATCCAGATCTCTCTGGTTGAGTTCACGCCCGTTGACATAAACCCCAGTGTCTCCAGCAGCACAATTTTCTGGCATAGGATAATTGAATTCCTCGATATTCGGCTGAACAATGTGGATTTCATCATTCAAGGTTGCAATGTAGTAACGAGTAATTGCATGGTATGAAAGACACTGCCACAGAAGAAATCATGTGCTGTATTTTACAAACTCACCATTATAATGCCAAGACAAGGATGGCCCATCACCCCCCAAAATCCAGCCTTCTTATCATACCTGGTTTATTCAAATGGTAGCATTTTTTGGATCAGAATAACAGGAATTCAATTTCGGTAAACCTATTATACATATATAAACCAAGCCATCATTTCAATAGGAACACTTGCTATTTGTGCAACTAAGTTTAGGCATAATAAAATCTCTAGTGATGAAATATATCACTGCAACCATGGCAAAAACACAAGAAAATGGGCCTTACCAGAAGTCAACGGATGCATTTTCAGTAAAAATATGGTACAGATAACTAATTTGGCGAATGTGCTCACCAGTAGTCACCAGGCTGAATTTGCCCAGCTAATCTCTCAGCCCTCTTAACAGCATGGTCGGGTATCAGATGCCCATTGATGAAAACTTCTGCTCCTCGGCTCGGCTGTCCAAAGTCTTTGAAGCCTCTCTTAATGAGACCTGCAAAGAAAGACTTGCCTCCTTTTTTACCATTGGAGTGATCTTTATCCGTGCCAACAGAGTTCTGAGACACATAGCTATTTGAGATCCCATTCAAGGATATCTCAGTCGCCACTCCTGAAGCTGCCACATAACTCCCTTCAGTATTAGGTATATCGAAAGAAGCCCTCTCCTTCTCCTGATGTTTGTCTGCGAACTGCGTATCTGCAACATTTTCAGGATCAGCATTGGCGCGTTCCTCTGGAGGCTCATCAGGTTGTGCCATGGGTAACTCAGCAGGCGGGGAGTGTTTCCTAGATGCCACATTCTCAGGGCTATCCACTCCATTATACAAACTTGATGCCGAAGAGAGAGGATCCATAATCCTCTTTGATCCAGCAGAAACACAACTCTTTTCAAGATTCTGCCGCGTGTCATCAATCTTTTTTTCAGAGTCTACACTGATGCCATTTGAGTTTTCATCTATCTTGGGAGGTACCTGGTCAGTACGTGCAGAGACAGAAGCAACAAACCCCTTGTTCCCAAGTGCCAACAAGACAATGGAAGAGCAAGCGCCACATTTCAATTTCGGCTGGTTTTTCGCCAAAGAAACATGCCTCCTAGATATTTTCAGTAATTCAAAGCAATTATCACACGTTATAAAAGGAGCACCACCTGCAATGGGATACCTTACCCGTCCTCTCCTGTGAGGTAACCCAAACTTTCTCGGGCGATGGAAATCAAGGCCATCACTGTCAGAATCCATGTCAACAACTGCATGCTGCGTGCGATGCTGTTGAGAGTGCAAGTGATGTACAGCCGAGCCTGCAAAAGTATTGCCCTGTGGTTGGTGCAGAATTGGATTTCGACTTTGATGAAAACAAGGATTAGAGGGTCCCTGCTGAAACCTTTGGTTGTGCAAGCCAGGGCGGTCAACATTCAGGGGCATATGCCAATTCTTCTCGCGGCAGTGCACACAAGAGCAAGCTGGTTGGTGAAAAAAGTTGTCATGCCGGTTCAACATAAATAGCTCGGGATTGGCATTCCCATAATAACTGGAATGATATTCGTGGCCCCCCATACGACGAGTGGGCCTCCCGATCATTTCCCCCCTATTCGCATGGGGATGACGTGCGAACTCATGTGGGTATCCCCAGCCACCATTTTGGGGAAATGACTCCAATACCCTCTCATTGTACGCACCAAATTGGTTGGCATATGGTGGCGCACCATTAGAACCAAGCAGTTGCTTGCCTGGACCTTGCGAACCAATCAATCTTCCTTGCACGTACCCAGCAGCAGCAGCATTAAGTCTGCCATAAGGAGGATGAGGTAAAGATGCAGAAAGTTTCACCGGATCAATGCCAATACTTTCCACGGGCTTGTCTTCCAAATCACAAGACCGAGTAATTTGGTCTTTCAATTCATCAAGTTTTCTCAGGAGCTCTGCCCGGCCATTCTCCAAACTTTCTATCCTAGCAAGTTCATCCAGACCATGGTTGGGATACCGAGTTCGTTCACCTTGTTTGCAATTAGAGTTCCGGTCATAGCTAGATTGCCCCTCGTTGTGATGAAGAAAATCATCACAAAAACCTCTAGCATTTTTTCCATGAAACTTAGCATACTCCGGCCTATTCTCAGCATTCACATCATGATGGGTACCCCTATTTCTGTTAAACCCCACAATACCACGAAAATATGGTCCTCCAAGCTCATCATCCACCAAAGTTTGCATTCTTCTCATCCTTTCTTTACCCCTCCTCCTAAGTTTATCATCGTAATCAAATGATGTGTCTGTTCTTTTAGGTTGTAGCATGGAACTGCCATGTGAAGCCACTCCTCCCTTGTCATAAGTTCTCTCAATTTCATCCACACTTCCCATTCCAAAAAGATTCCTCTCGCCTCCAACAATACTTTCCATATTACTTGCGGAAGCTTCTGCTATACTACTACTACTTTCTGCAGATTGCCCACTGCCCTTTACTTCATCAGACACCTCCGACAATCCATCATCCAGGCTCCCATTCCTTTTAGCTGTGCAATCAATTAATAACCAATTTTTTTCAGGCATAGTGTTGAACACGGGGTGTAGAAAGAATTGAAAACAAATCAATTTTAATTACTTAATTCAAGAAAGACTATTACAGGAAGAAACAAAATTGAAAGAGAAGCAAGCAATGCTTGATCATTAAGATTTACACCAGAGACAACTAAGAATATGAAAAAGGGATAAACAGGACTCCCACTGAGTCACTACCTGATATGAAAAAGGATAAACAAGATCTCCCTACCATGACTGACAATCGAATTAACAAGGCCGGTAGATAAATTTCTGTCCAATCTTGAGAAGCTGTCGTACTACTCACCCACCCACCAACAAACTAACTATATATGACTACACAACCTTGACAGTGATGTGACAACACCCACAAATATGTGCTCTCCTAGACACCAATAGAAGCATAAACAGATTTGAATTCCGGAAGTAGAGTACACACTCTCAATCTAACCAGTCACCTTCTTCCTTAGGTTGGCTGCTTTCACAGACACCAAATAACTTGCTTAATAAAAAACAATTCATTTCCTTCATGAGGATGTAATTTATTCCAAGCACAAACAAAAATCAGAAACCAGAGACCAGAGAGATAGATAGATATCTGTGCCCAAAGGAATCTTAATCGCAAAATCTACACCTGATTTGCGCGTACACACACACACACACACATCCCCCACCATATTAAAGAACCTTGACAGTTCATTTGCTCAACCAACCCTAAAAAATAGTACAAAATGCATCAATATAGACAAACGCCATCACCTAAAATAAACTCGAATCAGCTAAAAAAGATACTGAAACTGAAAGCAGTCACTTTTATTAGGCACACAAATCTGCAAATCGCAATTGGGCGAATCTCAACTTAAGCCATATCTTTCTATATCTCTCGTTCTCTTATTCGACCAATAACTCAATACCAAATCAAATCAGAATTCCCAGATTAACATAGAGCATAGATAAATACTTGATTATCAGGTAAAGCACTAGCTGTACCTCTGAGAGCCGCACCGCAGGCACCACACTTGTAAAGTGAGAGATCGGGGAGCTCGGGAAGCAGGTTTTCACATTTGGGGCAACGAACTAACCGAACTTGTCCGGCAGCTTCCGCCATCTAATTCCCAAAAACAAACAAACAAACAAAAATTTGACCTAGAAACTTTCCTAATAACTACTATAATTTATTGGGTAAGATTGCTTGCTTTGCGTTTAAATAGGGCACCAAGAAAATAACTGCAGCACGAGCAAGCAACCTGACGAAGTCAAACTTTAAAAGATCTTGAGGCAGACAGCTCACCGTCAATGAATGCAATGCAGCCTCCCAACCAACAAAATACAATCCACCCAATTGGCAAGGCGATGGCTCCCCCCATTTTAATTGAGGAATTAAATGCAATTATTGAGTAGAACAAGAACAGTGGCACACAATGCTAGGGAAGGGGATGTTTCGCACGGGCACGAAAATTTTAAAAATAAAAATAAAAATCCAAAATTACAGTGTGGTCCGCGTAAGATCAAAACTGCAATGCAAGCAAACAAAATGAAAACTGCAGTCACGAAACTGGAACTTCCTGTTTGTTTGACTTGTTTGTTTGTTCTCTCTCACGCACACAACAGCAGCATATACAGATTTGTTGTCGGCGCTGTTGAGGGAATGAGGGGGGAAAGAAAAGCCGAGGAATTGAGGATTCCAAGAAAAGAAAAGAAAAAGGAAAAGAAAAGAAAAGAAAAGGGATGCTTGGCTTGGCTTGGATTTGGATTTGTTGGGAAGACGATGTGACAAGGTTGGTCTCGACTCCCAACATGTGAATGTAATGGTAATGTGATGCCTTGATTCTTGACCCGCTGTGACTGGGTTCGCTTCGGCTCGACCAAACGAAGGAGTCTCTACAGCTACAACTTTGGGTACAACTACAACCAGAATAACAGCAAAAGGGTAGTTAGGATGTATTTGTTTGGAAAATTTCGGGTTGAGATTTGAATAGTAAAAATTTGAAATTTAAATAGTTATATGATGTGATATAAATAGGTGTTGATGTGATATTTTGAACGTAAAATTAATATTTAATATAATATAAAAAATAAAACATAAGTGTATAATTTGATGTTTTTAAAAAAAAATAAAATAAATAATAAATTTAAAATTCAATCCCCAATTTCTCCTCTCAATTAAATACTACTCCTAGACTAGTGTGTCTCTATTAATTAATGCGTGAGTTTTCACCATTCTATAAATTTATTATATTACTAATTTTGGCAAATTAAACAAAAGTAGCATTTAATTATTATAATTCATTCAATACTTATTTACAATAAATAACACTAATTTTATTACATTCTTTTTATTCATTCACTTTACTTTTTAATTAAATTTTTAAAAATACCCCCAAGTCACTTTCTGAATAAAATATTCATTTTTTTTAATTCATGTACTGAGCCCAAATGGGATAATTTTAACGGACGAATAGGGTGTGTTTCTTTAGGATTGGTTTGGAAAGATTTGATTTGAGTTGGGATTAAATTTGAATTTTCAAGATAGTTTTGAGAAGCTGCTTTCTTTTGGCTTAATAAATTTTGTTTAAATATGAATAGTTATGATGGACAGTGATTTGATAGGTAAGGATTAATTTGATATAAATCTATAAATTAATAAAAAAAAAATAATTTAGAATAAACAATTAAATTAAATTTTGAATTAAAATAAATTTAAAAAATGATGTATTAAATATTTCATCCCGTCCCACCCCATCCCCTCCTCTCCTTTATTTCTTGGTCTTCCGTATACGATCTTTTTCCCTAAGTTTTACTACATCAAGCACCCCACCATTTTTTTTCCATTATTTCTTCCCCCTTCCCTTCTTCTCCTATCTGTCCACCCAGAGCTACTGGTTTTCTCCTAAATGCGTTGAAGCTTAGCAGTTGACTGGACATCTAGGATAAAGCACTGTTTCGGTGAAGGCCTCGAGAGCTGTACCAAATCGAGGTTTTCTTTCGTAAAGCCAAAGACGCCTCAAGACAAAGGTCAAATTCTTCTCTTAAGATATTTCTACAACAAGGAAATAGGGTTCGCTAAATATCAGAAAGAGGGAAAGAGAGGTAGCAACATTTCAGAGAGAAACCCCATCCCTCTCTTTCCTTTTTTCCCCCATGTCGCCACACGGGGGGTCGTTGAGCGACGGCCCTTCCACTCGGCACCGTCGGATCACTAAGGTGTCTCAATTTGGAACTTTGGTTGTTCCCAGAATTGGTGTCACTTTATACTGCCGCCTGTTTTGACTGAAATCTTTGGGGATGAATCCTTACTATAGTTTGGTGACATTTTGTACCCAGGCGCTATTGAAATTGGTCTACAGTGCAATTCTTTACAATGACAATGAGAATCCCAACCCTCTCTCTTTTTTTTTTTTGCCTTCTTCTTCTTCTTCTTTGCCTTGTTGATGACGACTGTTGGTTGAAGAAATTTCAGTTCGATCTGGTGGTGGACGGAAGAGTAATTTGAGGGGTTTGGTAAAAAAAGACAAATGCAAAGAAAAAAAACACATGAAAGGACACATTTGTTTAAGGGTATCAGACCTATAGAATATAGATCAGACTTGGTCGATGTAGGTTATAGTTTGGCGCCTAATATTACTTTAACAGTGTTTCTACAGTGAATTTGAGAAACTAAAGCATAAAAAAGCACACCCTAAATAAATAAAAGCAGAGATATGATGTTCACATTGACTTCATTAGCCATTGCATATTGTAAAGGCAAGTAATATTACCATACATACATGAGACATTGGCTGCTAACAGAGATTGACCATTGTTCTTTAAAGTTGTTGGTTTTATTTAATTCCTAAAAGTGTCATCACGTTTCTTTCTTTCCTTGGTAAGATATATATATATATATATATGTACAGTCTATTCTTTGATTCAATAACAGAAAATACCCAGAAATTTTGTCGTTTCTTCTTCTCTCTTGTTGGTAAGATATATATATGTACAGTCTTTCCTTGGGTTGTCTTCACATATTCAATATACTATTTATTTATTTATTTGCAAATTTGACTTGGATTAATATGACGCGTTAATCAATCATTGATAATAATAATAATAATAATAAAAGACAATTGGAATAAAATATCCACCCAAGTTAGACTTTGTAAGAATGAATGACAGAGAAAGAGACTTGGTACGTACGGGAAGAAGCAAAAAAAAAAAAAAGATAACAATAACAATAACAAAATTAATAGTCATAACGACAGTAGAGCAGACTTGAATGTAGTAGTAGGTAGCAGCAGGCAGCAACTTAAGATTTAAATGAATGTTGCTATATACAAGTAGTAGTAGTAGTACAGCACACCCAACCAACAGGAGCGGAGCGGAGAAGAGCAGAGCAGAGCAGAACGAGAGTAGCCACCCAACCCTACAGTAAAGTAACTAAGAAGTGAAGAAAACTAAAGTACACACCAAATGGAAAGAATGAAAGCAAGAGCAGTGGACAACGACATGCATGCATGCATGCGTGCATTCTTACCAATCAAACCTAAGACGCAACGACCATTCACTTCTTCCTTCATTCAACAAAACCCAAAACCAGTAATAAGCACACCACACCACACGCACCAGCAAAATATAATTATTAAACATCCCCTATACCCTACCCGATCTATATAACTATAATGTTATAATTACTCTTGGTAATTATTGTATATGACCCCGCCCCCCTTTTTTCACTATGTATAACGGAGGGAGGGAGCAAGCAAATAGGAAGATATGATATAATAGTGCAGCAGAAATATAGATTTATGCCTATGATATCATTATAAGTATGATCAAAGTCATCAGTGCACCCTTACCAGAAGCAGCAGCAGCAGCAGCAGCAGCACCTCCTCCTCCTCCTCTAAGATATATGGTAATGCTCATCATCATGAGGTGCACTTGCACTTGGTATAATATATATATATATATATATATTCAGGAAGCCGCAACCTGTGGCCCTCGCCTTGCAGCAGCAATGCCTTTGAGGAGATCCTCATAGCGATCCCGGTGATACTCGACCCACAGGCAGAGCTGCCTTATGGCCTCCCTTTTCGCTTCGCTCACCTCGCTCAGCCCTGCCTCCTTCTCCTCTATTCTTCTTTCGCTCTCCGCCAGCGCCCTCTCCAACCGCTGCACCTTCTCTTCCAGCCTCTCCTTCTCGCCCCTCAGCGCCCTCTCCGCTTCCTCCACCTTTCGCCCCAGAGCCAGCCCCCGCCCCTTCTCCTGCCTCAGTTGCTCCGCCACACACCTCATCTCCTCCTCCTTCTCCAGCTTTGCTTCTCTCATGCCATTCCCCGTGACTGTCACCTCATTTATGGTCTCGCAGATGCGGGACTCCAGGCGACCAAAGTCTTCTTCGAACTTCGTGTGGAGCGCATCAATGCCGTTCAATGTCCCGTTCACCTTCTCCGCCACCTCCGCCGCCACCCTTGCTTGGGCTTCTCTGTAGGCAGCCACCGCCCCTGACAGCTTGGAGTTCTTCTCTTCCAGCAACTTCTGCTCCTCCCGCAGCTTCTCTTCTTTCTTCTGGTGGCTTTCATCTTTCTCGCTCAAAAGCTGCTCTGTTATGCGGAGCTTCTGACTTGTCAGTCGCTGCTTCACCTCCAGATTACTTACGTTCTCTACCAGTGAACTGATTTCATCAGCTTTCATCTCCAGCTCTCTCTTCAGATCCTCAATGTTTTCCTCCATCTGATTAACCTCCTCATCTTTAGCCACAATCTCTGCATGGTATTGTTGTCTAATCTCCTCCATCCTCTTCGCTGATGATTTAAGATCCTCCTCACTCTGCTGTTCGTGCTCCTTGCACAATCTGAGCAGCTTGTCTTCCCATTCTTTCAACATCCCCTGTTGTTCAACGATCTTGCTTGTCAGCTCAGAGTTGCTGCTCTCAGCCAGAGCCAAACTTGCTGCAGTCTCTTGCTTGCCCCTCTCAATTTCAACCTCCAACTGGCTCTTCTCGAATTGCAGCACTTCCAGCTGTTTCTGCAACGATTCAACCTGTTTTCCCAGAGCGGCAATTTCCTTGGATGATTGTGTATGTAATTCATCCAATCTATTCTGGGTCGCGGTCTTATCATTCTCTCTCTCTGCCACTGTCTTCTCCAGTTCTGATATCTTGAGCAAGAGACTTTCTTTCTCCTCCCTCAACTGGTTTTGCTCATCCACCATCATCCTTATCTGGTCGTCCACTTTGCGTTTTTCATGGCCAACACTCTTCAGCTCCACCATCAAATTATTTAGCTGCAGAGCAAGAACCTCCTTCTCTTCCAGGGCACGCTCCCCGTCACCAGTTTTGGATGATACTTCCTCCGTCAGTGATCGTATCCGGGTTTGGAGCTCCGAAATTTCTCTGTTCATTTTGTCAATCACTAGATCCGCCTCACTTTTTTCTGCGGTTAAAGAATCCACTTTCTGGTTAAGAGCATTCAAATCTGCTGTGAGTGTTGCCTTTTCTCCTTGTAACTGATTAAGGGTCTCACTTTTGCTCCTCAACTGCTCCTCCAATCCATGCTTCTCATTGCCTATGGTATCGATCGCTAGATTAAGGTCCTTCACTTGCAAGATCAGACTCTCTCTCTCTTCTACTGTTTTCCGCTGCTCGGTTGCACCCTTCTCCAGGTCTACTTTGAAAGTGTCTGCCTGAAATTTGGATTCTGAAAGTTCCTGGCCCTTTTCTTTTAGAAGCTGCTCCAATTCCTGTTTTTGGCCGCGTGCGGTGTTAAGCTCCAGTTCGAGATCCGTCACTTGCAACTGAAGAGCTTCCTTTTCTTCAATGTTGCTGCTCAGCTCCGAGTTCTTGCTCGCCAGCTCTTCTTTCAGATCTTCAATCCGGATCAAGAATTCGGAGATTTCCTTCACTCTTTTCTCCAGTTGCATCTCGGATTCCATTTTTTGACAGAGCAGGTCCTCAAATTCCTTATGCTTTGCACTGACTTGGTTTGTCAAGTCCTCTATTTGAGCTGACGCTTCATTGCCTTTGCGAAGTGTTTGTTCTTCCAGTTCCCGTTTGTGAATCCGCAAAGCTTCAGCTTCAGCTTGGATACTTTCCACCTGTGATGTCAGGCTGTTTATCCGATCTAGTGCATCCTTCTCCTGGTCGCTTAGCTTTCGGTAAAGAGAAGAAAGCTCATCATTTTTCTGTTTGTCGGCTTCTCTTCTCTGGGCGTGCGAAGAATCAAGTTCCAGCTCCAAATTCCTCAGACGGGTTGCCGTTTGTTCCCTGTGAGCCTCGTGGAGCTCTAGGTGACTTGAAAACTCGCTCTCTTTCTCGGCCAACCTTCTGTTTAACTCGCTTGATTCGTTAACAAGATGCTGAATCTTGCTTTCGGCCTGCTCTATATCATTCTCGAGCTGTGAAACCTTTAGCGAGAGAGTAGTTTTTTCCTCTCCGACGGCCCTGTGCATCTGACTTAAGCTAGCCATTTCCTTTTCTGCAGATTCCAGTTTCTTATTTGCTTCTTCCTTGTGCGCCTCGTGAATCTCCAGGTGGCTCGAAAGCTCTCTCTCCTTCACAGCCATTCTTTCACTTAACTGGCTGGATTCGGAAATATGATGTTGAACCCTGTCCTCGGATTGTTTTATCTCATCCTGGAGCTGTGCAATTTTCGCGGACAGGGCAGTGTTCTCCTCTTCCGCAGCCTTTTGCATTTCAGTTAGCTTCAATATTTCATCTTCAGCGAATCCAAATTTCTCCTTAAATGCAGAAAGGTCTCCTTTCAATCCTTCCAGTTCCGCCAGCATGGTGTCCTTCTCCTGTTGCAAGTGACCGTTAATGGCTGACAATTCTTCAGCCTGCCTCTTCTGCTCTTCAAACTCCCTAGCAGCTGCCTCTTTTGCAGCGCTCTTCAAGCTTTCTAATTCTGAGCTGGTATCTTCAAGTTTCTTCTTCAGTTCATCTCGCGATTGATGCGACCTCTCCAGCTCTGCCATCAGATTGGCGTTTTCAGACGAAAGTGTGGAGGCCGTATCCTTCCATGTCTCAGCCTGGGCATTCAATTCCGCAGCAATTTTCTCTGCTGCTTGTCCTTTGACCAAAGCATCTTGATGTAAAGATTCCTTCTCTTCTATGACAAGAGTCATCTTTTTCTTCAGGTCAGCAACCTCAGAGAGAGCCATCTCAAGCTCATGCTTTATAGTCGGCGCCTGATCCTCAAAATTATCCTCGACTTTTCCATTCTTCTTCTTCTTCTTCTTCTTCTTCGTTGAAGACTCATCGTCTGAGTCTGAGTCTGAGGAATCCGAACTGGATGAAGAGCTGCCCTTTCCATGTGCGTTTTTCCTCAACTCTTGGGTTAGATGGTCATACCGTGCAAAAAGAGACTGGTAATGACTGTGGAAATCTTCAATCAGATTGGCCACCGACCCTTTCCCGTCTTCTTCAAGATCCTTTAAGATTTTATGTACCTTGTCGTCATATTCTGCAAATAAGAACGAAGAAGGCGATCATTTGAAGCGATTACATGTATATATATATATATATATATACTAAAACTAATAGTAATAATAAATTTTCTGGCTCCATAGTTTGATCAGATCAACTCATCACAGCGCTTTTTAGTCGTTTACCTGCTTTGGTTCCTTTTAACTCCTCATCCTTCTCGGGATCAATATGGCTTCCAAAGAAGGACTTGACAGACTCACGCCACCGACGCCTAGGCATGTCTCCTCTTCACTTCTGGGCACGGCACTTTTACACCTGGGATACATGATCGGTATTCATCCTAATAAGTGAATGAAGCTCAATTCACAAGAAGACAGCAGTTTCTTGATTATGAAGATGCCACAGCCACATACAAAGGAAGGAACAAAAGAAGAAATAAAATTAAAAAACCCGGAAGCTCCGAGTTATTTACCCAAACAAATGAACCTCGGTAGCTTTAACACCATCAATGCTCCCTTCGCCCATGAATATCCGAGATTCTACAGGATATGCTAAATATATATCTCATTTTAACGAAGTCGCCCGTAATGTCGGATAATCAGTACCCGAGTCCGAACACAAGACCTTTTACGGGTTTCAGCATTTTTTAAGACCTTTCATAATTAATTGCATTCCTGTGACTCAGCCTGATTTTTGAGTCAACAGATTGAAGAGTATGTCAACTAATAATTTTATTTGGCTTCCCAAATCTATGATATATCATGAATCAACACACCATCTCATATTTTAAGTTCAACCACTAGCCCCCCGACCACCAAATAAACACACACCCAGATCTTGCATATGCGTGCGACTGACCACGATTCAACCGATAAACCTGTCAGCATTTTATAAATTAGGACCACTCATTGACAATTTGGGATAATGATGCATATCTGCATACATGAAAAAGTCCACAATCCTCTTGTTAATCTCTTTCTAAACGAGAAAAATAATAATAAATAAAACACATCACTTATTTTAGTATTCACAAGCTAAGAAAGATTAATAAAAGACTGATAACTATCATTTACTTTCACAAAATAGTACACAAAACACGAGAGTTTGCTTCTAATCAAAATTAGTAAAATTTCTTTTATAAAATATTTTTTAAAAAATAAAAATAAATATTTTAATAATTCTGTAATATATAAATTATCAATAGATAAAAGAAAAAACAACAAAATTAATAAACATGTGTGTTTCTTTTGAGTGAATTTAAAAAATATTAATTTGAATTTATTATTAAAATAATATTAAATAGAATATTTATGAAAAAAATATATAAAATTTAATAATAAATTTTTTTTAAAAAAAAAACATAAATGACAAAGTACATTATTTAATAGTTCTATTATTTATGTTTCCATTTTATTGCTACATTATTATTTATGAATTTTCTAATTATTTATTTTTATTTAAAATGTTATATCAAAATTTTATTTTGTATCTAAAACCTCATTTTAAAAATTCTTTATGTTATATAAAACTTTATTTTTAATTTTTTTTTGTGATTTTCAATTAGAATACATTATTCACTCTCTAGGATTTTTAATAAAAAAATATTATTTATTTTTAAGAATTACATACTATTTAAATAAAATTTCAAATTTCAAATTATAACCAAAGAAATTAAAATAGTCAAAATATCAAATTCTAACTAGACAAATGTATTCTGTACATGTGTGTTCAGTTGTAGCTGAGATGAGAATTTCAGAATCGTTCCAGTGAAGGAGTGGTCATCCCGAAGAAGGGAAGGGTTGGACCATGGTCCACAGAGAAATGAAGAACAGGGCACGGGCACCGTTGAATCTAAAAGTGCAAATATTTATTATGTTCGATTCGATGGCAAACCTACTAAACTTCCAGGCAAAAAACTAAAACACGAATAATTTACAATCACTTGTGTCATCGATCACTGCCAAGCTTGATCTACAAGATCGAAACCAAACACGCAAACTGTATCGATCATGAACTGCAACTTCAATAACTAAACAAATAGCCAACCGATTCTAAGTAAATGAACAGATAGGTCGTCGACCGAATAAAACTAGTCTAACTAAGAAACTCATTCCACTCCACATACCAGTACTTCTTCCGCCCGCACATCGCAGTTAAGTCGAGTAAAACAATCAATCCGCAAAATCATACTTGATAAGAAAATAAAATAAAACAACCAACTAAAATAAGAAGGGTGCGACTTCACCGCTACCGATTTCGTAACATCAACATTCGATGAAGGTCATAAACAGAACAAAACATAGAAAAAGCACAAGTAGCAGCAGATTCAATTGAATTCCAATCAATCAAAGGATTACCTCGGAATCAGAGCATCGGAATCGGCATCCACTGCAAAATCACCAGAGACCAGAACAATAACTTGAGGGGCGGAGAGAATGTCTTGACTGTGAATCGAAAGGAAGGAGACGACGGTGAACCGTCAGGAAGAATCCTATTATTGATTCTTATTATTATTATTATTATTATTATTATTATTATTATTATTATTATTATTTTATATATATTATTGCTAATGCTTGGCTGGAAATTTTAAGGAAAGACTAATTATTTTAATTGAAATGAATAAATAAAAATGAAAATGAAAGAGGCGTTTGGTTTGTTGGTATTGTGCACAGCGACTGCCACTGTGGCTGTAACGCGATTGGATCTGGAAGAACCGTGGACCTCAACACCAGACATCATTGCTAACTTCTGGGGAGCATCTGGTCTTCCAGGTCCGTGGAGTTTGTTGAATAACTAGTAATCAATCCATTTTCCATGAGAGAGATAGAGAGATGGAATCTTTGGAGTCTTCTGCTAATTAATATACTCATTCTCGCCCTCTGATTTCATCTAATTCTCAAAAATGCCATTCATTGATAATAATAAAATATTACGGCCGTTTTGAATTTTATGTTCATTTGATTGACACACATATAACAAAAATAAGTCATAATTATTATTTTATGTATATATTAATAAATATATTTTTATTGAAAAATAAAAATCTATTTTTTTATGACCATCCTACGAAAAAATTACAAATAGAGTGAAATTCTAAAGGAATTCGACCATTGGCCTTCTCAGATTAATCTCAACCGTTCGCTCTGTGGACCCTTAACGTTGATGAACGGTGTGGCTAATTCTGGCCTCGAAATCCCGGGAGTGTGTTTTACTGTTGCGCTATTATTTGGCAGGTTGTAACTTGTAAACTGCATGCTTTTTGTGCTTATTGTGAACTGCCAGATCAGCTACACTCTATATTTATTATTATTATTATTATTAAATCATTATTTTATTGATGCTCACAAGTTAAGGGTAGACAGTTGAGGAATTTTCCTCCATATATGGAGTAGATAGTTGGAGAAAAGCTAAGTATTAATGTAGTTATTATAACTATGTATATAAACATTGCATATACATTTTAGTGTATATTAACTGTACTGAAGGCTTTGTTTACCCAAAAAAAAATTTCTTAATACAATTTTTAATATATATTTTATCATCTTACAAAAATAATATTTATTAAATATTATTTTTATATTATAAGCACAATTTTCTATAACTCAAATAAAAAAAATTCAAATCAGAATACTAAACAAAAAAAAAACACTAAATATTCTCTAATAATTAACAATTTTGTATTAACACCTTTATAATAAAATATAATACTATCTTGGTCCCATTTATTTTTTGATGTTTATTTTTTAATATTAATTATTATATAAAAAGGAGTATAAATTAAAAAAATTAGTAAAAATACTTTTATTAGTGTCTTATAGACACTAATATTAAAATACAATGACGACGTAAAAGTTAAATATGAACCTAGAAGCTAGAGAGTAATATATAACATTATATAGCCATTATATTCTACTCATTAACATTCATATACTTACTATAATAATGCATACAAAAATTATATATTTTGATTATTGTCAAATGTAGACTATATATAAGGTATGCATGCATCTGACCATCGGTGGTGCCTGTTTTACTCCCTACCCTACTACTACCACCTGGCTAATAGAATATAGGAGTACTATGTATTAAGAGCCTATAGCTATCTAACTAACACTGCTTGAATTGAAGATCTATGCATGGCATGCATATATACCATGCTTGGTGACACAACTAACCAACCTTATAGTATAAATGAATGAATGAAAACGGACAGTTCATTATTATATACTACTAGTAATTAATTTGGAAATAGTGGTAGCTAGTAATAGTATTGTATGTGTACCTGTGGGTGCGGGTGCATGCGGTCCGGTCCGTGAGTTTTATATATAATGCCCTCGATCGATCGATCTCTCTCTCGATCCTTCCATGCTGCACTGATGCACGCATTACAGCAATCAGTAGTCTTGTCGTCTCCGGCGGGGTGCAGCATGAGGGGCACCGGGAGTACTAGCAGCAGGAGCAGGACTACCGCCGCCGCCACTACGACTACTATTAGTGGCGCCAGGATGATAGACGATCAGCTCCGAGAGCATCTTCTTGTAGTAGTCGGAGCGGCTCCTGTGGTAGTCGATCCAGACGCAGAGCTGGCGTATGGCCTCCCGCTTCTCCTCCTCCAGCCCCACCATCCGCTCCTCCTTCTTCTTCATCGCCTTCTCCAGCTCCCTCGCCCTGTTCTCCGCCCTCCACACCCTCTCCCTCAGCGCCAGTATCTCCCCCTCCTTCTCGTCCATCTCCCCCGCCGCCCACTCCGCCTCCCTCCGCCCCTGCGCCACCGCCCTGTTCTTCCTCATCGCCCACTCCCTCATGTACTTCACCTCGCACGCCGCTTTCGATATCCTGTTCAGGAAGTTCCCCGTCCTCTCCTCGAACCTCAGCCCCACCCGCTCCACCCGCGCCGCCACCTCCTTCGCCTCCAGCCCCGTCCTCTTTACCCCCTCCGCCCACTCCTTCATCTCCCTCCTCCTCTCTTCTCTCCCCCTCTCCCACCACTCCCTGCTCTCCGCCTGCACCTGCTCCGCCACTCTTATCCTTCTGCTCACTATCCGGTATTTTGCTTCCAGCTCCTTCCGCATCTCTTCCGCCGTCTCTTCCATCTTCCTTTCTACTGCCTGCACCTGCTGCAAGTTCGTTTTCGGATCTGATCCCCACCCCCACCCCCACCCCCTCTCTCTCTCGCCTCTCATCTTGTTCACCGCTTCCCCCAGCTCCAGCATTGTTTTCTGCTGATCGGCTACCTTGTTGGTTAGCTCTGTGTTTGCTTTCTCCCACTGGGATGCTTTCTGCTTCTCTTGTTCCAGCTCCATTTTGTACTGCCTTTTCTCATTCTGCAAATTCTCTCTCTCAGCATCCAGGCCTTTCAATGTCTTCTCCTGCTTCCGGAGCTCCTCATTCAAGGATTCGATCTGAGCACAGCACTCCTCGAACTTCTTACGTTGCGCTGATAGTACGTTCTCGCGGTCTGAAAGGGATGCCTGCAAGTCGAATACTCTTCTTCGCAGCTCCTGGTTTTCAGCTTCTGATTGGCTTGCTTTCCCCAGCTGCTCTTCCAGCTCCAGCTTTTTACTGCTTAAAGAATCGAGTTTTTGGTCTAAATCTTTGACATGATCAAGTTCAGAACTTTCCTTCTCTTCTACTCTGCCTTCCACATTCTTAGCGTGATCCTTCAATTCCCTCCTCAAACTGTCAATCTTAATAAGATAATCAGAAGCTTCTGTTGATTTCTTCTCGAGCTGGAACTCCAATTTTGCTTTCTCACTGTTTACAGACAGTAGTTCCTTCTGCAGCGAATCCAGTTGCTCCACTAGGCCATTTAGATGAGAAGACCTTTCATTGCCTTCATGCAACCATTGTTCTTCTAACTCTCCATCTTTCCGAAGCTTCAGTGCATCTTCCAATTGTTGTTTTTGACCAAAAAGCTTTTCATTTTCAGCCTTCAATCTTGCAACCTCCTCCTTTAACTCCTTCACTTGAGTAGCCCATGGTCGCGGACTTTCTGACTCGTCATCACGAACTGCGTGTTCCTTTAGCATTTCAGCAACAACTGCAGATTGTGGCCCTAAACCTGTCGTCTCCTTCACTTTACTGGAAGAAGTTAGCTTATCCTTGAGGATAGTGTAGTCTGCATCTGATGTTTCGGCGCTCTGATTATCGTCAGTTGGTGTATTTGGAGCATCGGTGTTTCTAAAGACACTTGATTCATCTGGCGAAAAGTACGATTCTGAATCTGATGCAGAAGTAGGCGACTCGCTACCGTCTCTGCCTCTGAAGTTGTTCTTTACCTCCACTCTTAAATTTTCGTGCAGGGAGTGCAGCAATTCATACTGCCTGTGGACATCTTCTATAAGGTTAACAAGTTCAGACTGTCTCTTCGAGTCCCCATCCTTGCTGTCACTTGTTCTTCTGGCTAGACTTATAAGCTTTCCCACTTTGTTTTCAAGCTCTGCAGAACAAGAGGAACTTGATTAGATTCCATATGCTCTTCACGTGAATACGCTGAGCCGGACGATTTCATTCAAGTGAAAGCATATCATATCCATAAGCTAAGAACATGCAACTGACCGGCTGTGTGTAAGTTGTTGCGTGTCAACCGATGGGGAAAAAAACATGTGAGAATTGGATTTGATTGGGAGTTGGTGAACAAATACTATCATAATTACCTGTTTTCATCCATTTCAGATGCTCCTCTTTCTCAGGATCAAGGTGATTCCTAATGGACTTGAGCGATCCCTCGAGCCGGTTCTTTGTCATGGACTCTAGCTACCTCTAAAATTCCCCAAATTTACAACAGTTTTGCTATGGAGTGAAAATTAAGCAAGGTCTTTCTCCTTGAATTTTGATCATAGAATACAAACTCTGCAACAATCAATGTGTGGAATAGAAATCATTTGCCTTTGAGGCTGGTAGCAAGTCAATAATAATTTACAAGAAATAAGCCGTCCAGAAATGCTGAGAGAATAAGGCACTGACGGGATTATTCACCCATGATTACAACTAGAAATTTCTACCGACACATTGTCTACACGAACGACTTCAGTGATCAGGAAGGGATTTTGTTACTAGTATTACCACCAACAACGTGGATTCAGCGGTATAACTCTGACTATCCATGTTCGAGCAATCCGAAACATTATTACTTGAGAATGCATATCCCGGAATTTGTACTTTAATTCGTCTGAAGCGAAAACCTAAGTTTCAGAACAAGAATATGGACAACTGATCTACACATGCACTCGTATGCTCGAAGACGCATTCTAAATCTATACAATGCAACATCAACAGAGAGCACCAAACTCATAGACGGTCCTTATCTAACGCATTCCTGCTGCTTCATCAACCGATACGCCCAAGCACAAACACGCGTGAACAGACAAATCGCGCAGAATCCGGATAAAATTCATAATCTCAGCTACGAGCGAAACACTTTCAAACTACTCACGACCCACAAAACGACTCTCTGTTCATAAAATTGTTTTCAATCATCAATATGAATGCACAAATTCCAGAATTACCTGAAGTTTTCGAGCGACACCAGTTCGATCTGAAGACGAAGCAAATCCGTCAAGGGGAAAACGATAGGAAATCAAAGCAAGCACCGCATGAGAAGTTATGTTCAGTTTTTCCGTTTCGCTAAAATGAATGCAGAGGCCTCCTCCTATCCTGTAGGATCACTAGTATTTATTTATAATTAATAATTTATTAAATTACCCAAACTTTGCATACATAACGTAATTAATTTCATTTTACCACTAAAACCTAATCATTTAATGAGTTGTACGCAGTATTTATTATATTACAGTTGTATTAAAAGGTCTCGTCTTGTTTTTAAAATGATTTTAATTTTTTTATTATATAAGTTTCTGAAAATATAATAATATTAGAATGAGGAAATATTATATTTTATAAATTAATTTTTAAAAATATTTTATATTAAATTAAATTAAGTAATTAATTTATTAAAAAAATTATCTTATGTTAAATTAATTAACCAATATAATTTGCACCATTATTTTTGTTTTATCTTTAATTTTGTGGGTATGTTTGACTGTTTGGATCTTGGTTTGAAATTTGAACGGTAAAAAAGTTTGAATTGGAATGGTAATATGATGTGATATAAATAACTATTATATAATATTTTAAATATAAAATTAATTTTTAATATAATATAAAAAAATTTAAAAATATATTTCATTTGATATTTTTTTTAAAAAAAAATTATAAATAATATAAATTTTTTAAAACCCTTTAAACAAACACAACCACAACCGTTTGTCCACGATGTCAGTGTTTTTTTTTTTTTTTAAAGTTTTTTATCTTTTGTTTTGTTATCTTTCATCTCTCATTATATTTAGTTTAGGGTGTTAGATAATGGTACTCAATAAATAATTAAGAAGTTCATTACTAAAAATAATTATAATTTAATAAAAATAATAATAAATTAAAATTAAAATAATTAAATAGTTTAATTAAAATAAAAAATTATCAATTATGGATTTTAAAATTGGATTAAAATGTATAATTATATTTTTTTTTAAAAAATAACAAATTATATGTGAGATGAACGAAATAGAAATATGATACACATTAAGTGGTACATAGGAAGTAGTTTTCTTCATTTCTAATTTATTGAAAAGTATATAAAAATAAATTATGGGATTTGATTTGATAGTTTAAGAGAAAAAATAAAATAAAATAATAAAACAAAAACTAAAATTTCACAAGAAAAAACACCAATTGTTATTTACTCTCTCCTTCTCAACTAAGATGTCCTCTTCACTGTTGATATTAGAATTTAAGAAAAATATAATTAGTAAATAATTATCATATAATAAAAATAATTTTACATTAAAATTAAGACAACTAATTAATCTAATTAAAATTAAAATAAAAAATTTAAAATTTAAAAATTTAAAATAAAATTAAAGTATATAATTAATTTATAAAAAGAAAAAAAATAACACAATAAATGAGACAAAGAGAGTATTATATAAATATATTTTTGTAAAAAAATATACCTATAAATAATATCAATTTTTTAAATTATAGATATTTGTTTTAAAATATTTTGTTATCTAAATTTCTACAAATCTATCAATAATATTTAAGATTTTCAATTAATTTATGTTAGATAGTATTTGTTTTAAAACATTTATAGGTAAATTATATTTTCTCAGTCACTTAGCGATTTATCCAATTTTTTATTTTGATCAATTTCATAACAAAGTATGCATTTTTAAATAATTGTACGGTCTACCTAATATTAAAAATATTTTTACAATTTACAATATATTACACAAATATCATTATATTTATATCGTACAATACTAATAAGATTATTTTAACTTTTTTTAATTTTTAATTGTATTTATACTACATTCCAATAAAATACTAATTTTTAAAATTTTGTACAAAAAACAAATGAACGGAGGGAGTATAACATTTCATTATCTTTTAGTAAAAATGTATAAAACACCATGTTTTATATTTATTACGTGAAACTCAAGTATAAAACATGCACAAAACATATTTTTTTGACCAAAAATTGATATTTGATTGTAAATATGAATCGAATAGTGCAAGTTTTATACAAATAAAAAAATATATATTAAATATTCTCACTGTCCCTTAACAAATTATTTAATTTTTCATTTTAGTTTGTCTCATAATAAAGTATCAATTTTTTTTAGTAATTGTACTTTTTACCGAACATTATAAATATTGTTCCAATTTATATTACACAAATATCATTACCTTTGTATTATACAATATTAATAAAGTTAATTTAATATTTTTATATTTATTTCTACTATATTTCAATATAATACTAATATTTCTAAAACTCTTTAAAAAATAAACTAATAAATAAATATAAAAAATAATTTGTTTTAATAAAATAATTAATTAATTAATTAATCATCATTTTATATAAAATTTAAAAGATAATTTTATATTAATATATAATTATTTTTGTTAAAATAAAAAATAAATAGTTTTAATTTACCAAATGAAAATGAAATAGTAAATATAATAATAAGTTGAGTTGTTACATAATTATATTCCCTCCGTCTCAAAAGTATAGTCTTATTGACTTGGGTACGATATTTAAGGAATATTGATATTATATGAGTAGTCGATAAAAAGTAAAAAATAGTGGCAATTGTGTAATAATAATGAAAAAGTAGGGATAATTTTATGGTTATATGATTATTTATGAAAATGAGACTATTATTTTAAGACGAAAAAAAAATGATAAAAAAAACTATTGTATTGGGACTAGACATGTCAAAACGGGTTAACGGGACAGATTGACCCACAACCCACCATAACCCGCAAATAGGCGGGTTGTTGGTGGGCCAACCCGCAGCGACGCGGATCAAAATTTCATCAACTCAACTCAATCCACCGGCGGATGGCGAGCTAAGCCGGCTAGGCCACAGGCTTTTTATTAAAAAATAATATTATAAGGGTGTGTTTGTTTGGGAGTTTGGATTTTGAATTTGGATTTGAATAGTAAAAATTTTAAATTTGAATAGTTGTATGATATGATATAAATAGGTGTTGATGTGATGTTTTCAATGTAAAATTAATTTTTAGTATACTATAAAAAATGGAAAATAGGTGTTTGATTTGATGTTTTTGGGGGGAAAAAATTGGATGAATAGTGTAAATCCAATTCAATCCCCCAAACAAACACACCCTAAATATTTTCGTAATTAATATTTAAAAATAGATAAAAATAGTTTTATTGTAGAATCTAAATAATAAATATTTTAAAATAAATAAAAAAATATAAATTTTTTTTAATTCTAAATAGTATTAGTTATCGTGTTTAAAAAAATTAATAATAAGAAATATTTTACAAATAAATCCTAATTAATTTTTATGAAACTATAGATTCTAAAATAAAAAAAAATATTATAAAACAATAAAATGTAAGACGAACAAAACAAACGATGAAAAATCGAAATAAATAAAAGTGACATTGATAATATAGTTAAAAAAAATAAAAGCAACGCGTAGATAATATTAATTAATTTATTAAGCTAATTTTATTTATTTTTAAGTAAAAATATATGTTTTCAGTAGATTAAAATAATAATATATTATTTATTAAATAAAATGTACATGATGATTTTGATATTTTTTTTCTCTTTTGTAAATTATATATAAATTAATTGTATTTATAATAGTATATTTGTAGTTTATATAAAATTAAAATATATTCTGATATTAATATTTGATTACTTTTATTATAATTTTTAATATGACAGTAAAAAATAATTAAAAAATTTAATCCGCCTAACTGCGACTAACCTATTCTCAACCTGCAACCGGCTCAACCTATCTTGACTGCGGATGAGGGAGTATTATTTAGGAACAAATTACTTACCCTATATACTTCCGATTAAAAAAAAAAATAAATTTACTTACCCTAAGCTAACCACAGCAGACGCCGCCCCATTTTCCTCTTCTTCCCAACACCGCAGCCGCTTCTTTTTCCTTCTTTCTCCCCCTTCTTCGGTTCTTCCTTCTTCCTTCTTCTTCTTCTTCTTCACCCCGTCGCCACTGTTTGCCCATAGTTGCCATTGTTTTCCAATCACAGCCGGTCAGCCACATCTCGCCGCCGTTCACGACTTCACCCGAAGGTTTGAAAAATAAAAAAATACTACTACTATTTACTCCCTCCGTCTCATATTTTCGTCCATCTCACCCCCTTCTCAGTTACTTCCAAACACTAGCTTTAGATTTCTCTGCGCCATTTTTGTGTATTATTTTGCCCCATTTTTATTTTTAATTTTATCAGACGTGTATGATTCATGTATATGTAAACTTGAGTTTATTGTTTTGGAGAATAAATTTTTTATTGCTGAGAACGCTATCTTGGAAAATTGGAAGTTAAATGGATTGGAAAGCTTACTCATTCTAAAACTAATCGAAGAATTTCTTGTTGAGAACAGGATTGTGATGGACCGTGAGAAAAGCGTGGTAGACCAGTTAGATAACATCATACAGGATTGTGATTCGTTCAAAGAAAAGGCAGCGTTGTTGTTGAGAACTACTGCATTACTCAATGATGAAAATTTGAAACTCAAGGAAGACTTGAAATTAAGTGAGATGAAATGTAAGGATCTGAATGACACGATTACAAGATTGATTCAGGAGCAAGAAGAGATTAGGGATAAAGAGAAATTGCTCCGCGAGAAGAATTCAAAGTTGGAAGCTGAAAGTAAAAAGTTAGTTTCTGAAGTTGAGGAAGCCCGTGAGAAGAATTCAAAGTTGGAAGCTGAAAGAAAAAAGTTCGATTCTGAAGTCGAGGAAGTCCATGATAAGAATTCAAAGTTGGAAGCTGAAAATAAAAAGTTGATTTCTGAAGTTGAGGAAGTCCATGAGAAGAATTCAAAGTTGGAAGCTGAAAATAGTAAGCTTCTCTCATTGGAAGTAAGAGTCGGGAAGTTGGAGCAAGAGTATGAGGATATGGTGATCAAGAAATTGGCTGATGATCAAACTATCAAGGAGTTGAAGCGAAAAAACTATAAGACTGTTCAGGCTGTGGAAGAGCTGGCTAATCAAAATCTCGATGCTACTCGAACTATAGATAACTTGAGGCATGAACTCTTGGAAGCTCATCAGGCTACAAAGGAATTAGAACGCCAAAATTTTGAGGATACTCGTACAATAAATGAGTTGAGGCAGAAACTTTTGGATGCTGATCGGGCTGAGGAATTGAACCAAAACCCTGAGGGTTCTCATGCCAGGAGTATTCTGAAGCAGAAAGAATTGGAGGCTAACAACTCATTTGAGCCCAAAAACAGCAGAGTTGGAAACACAGTTTCATCTTCTGGGATTAAACGGGACATTAGAGGTGAAGTATTATGCTCTCCTGATTTGTCTTTGGTTTGTAATACTTCTCAAGCTGAAGTTACTGATGCTAATCAAGGCAGTGGATGTGAAGCGCAGCGGATTCTGGAGAATGAATTGAGAGGGCAACAATGTTCAGGTATACATTTTAGATTAAGTTTTGCAGTTACTTAGCGAATTTGAGCTGGTGAGACTGTTTATTTAATTCTCATAAATCATAAAGCGAAATAGCGTATGTTGGACAGTATTTATGGGAAAGCATCTAGGAAATAGAACTGGTGATGCATTTTAAAATTGCCATATAGGTATGAACGAGCAAAGTGCGAATGAGTTTAATGGATTTTGACAACAGCTAACAACAATATTGAATTTTGCATGATGTGAATGGTCTGTTTATGAAACCTAGCACACAACTAATCTTTTGTTTGCCCTTAATCTTCTCCATATATCATTAGCAGATGGAAATAATGTACGGGAAATCTTGTTAAGCTGAGGTTGATCTGACCTTACGGCTTGTCCATGTACTTCCTCTTGTATTTATCATAAATATTAGTTTCTACTGTTGTCATTCTGTAACTCAATAGTTTTTGCTTGCAACTTGTTTTCCTAATGCCTTTGCTTTATTGTTCTTTCTTGTATCTCGATTCATCATCACACTGATATTACTTCAACGGTAGGATCCCGCTAAGAAGTTCCACAGAACACGGCACGATGGAACAATATATTTATGACCTGTGTTTGTAATGGTGGTAGTATGGCGTTGTTAGTGTCTCTTGCTTGTGAGCAGTGTAACCAATGAAATGAGTACTTTTGTTTTTTTGACATGCTTGGTGTTCTGGTGATGTGCGTATAGAATCAGGAGCAACAGCTGGAGAAGGTCGTTCAACGGGTGGACGAGGGTGTTCCAGTAAAAGGCCATGTTTATCATCTTCTGCCTCTCGAGAGATGGTCATCGAAATACATGATAGTGACAATGAAAACGATCAGGCTCTACTATTTTCGCGAGATGGTGCTGGTGCCACCTCCAAGGCAGCGTATGATAAGGATAGTAGTTCTCACATGCCTGGAGGCTTGAACTCTGAAGAATCATCTTCAGAGGATGACTCCGAGTGGAACTCAAGGATGCATGACCTTGTGGCAAGGGTTAAGAGTATTAAGGGTAAAAAATGCAGGTGACAGGGAATAGATCAAGAAATTAGGGGGCTGGGCTGGGCTGGGCTGGGCTGGTCGGGTAAACATCTGGAGGGGAATGCAAGATGATAAAAACGTGGTCTCTGCATGCAGGTGGGGTAGGTAACATATTGATATGTGTGTATAACATAACAACACGATGAGATGATCATCGATGTCCACCACCAATCCTTCACCCTAAACTCACTCTATGCAGTAGCAGTATCTAAAGTTGTTGGTGGTTGCATCGGTGCTGCTATTGCAGGTGGTACATGCCCTGATCTGATGCTGCACACGTACACGTACAGGTACGCAAGCCCACCCCGCTCCAACTATTTGATTCATTCATTTATTTATGCGGATTGCTGCTGTTTATCATAAGTTTCTCCCCTCCCCTCCCCTCACTCACTCAAGTATGTCTGCGTGCATCTGATGTGATCTATGAAGAAGAAATTCACAGCTACTTACCTAGCTATTAATCTTAAATGCGAGTCGTATTAAATTGCTGTGCATCGGAGAATACTAGGGCGATGTTATATATATATATATATATATATACACACACTATTATTCATTAATCTTTTTATATATTGATAGATTTTATGAGTTGGCCCTAACCTTAATTTGAACCTACTATGGGTGTTTGGGAATTCTCCTTCGAGACTATTCATTCTATTTTTTTTTTCTAAAAACATCAAATCAAATATTTATTTTTTATTTTTTATATTATATTAAAAATATATGTTACATTCAAAATATCACATTAATACCTATTTATATTAGATACGACTATTCAAATTCAAAATTTTTACTATTATATATATATATTATTTGTATATTTATTTTAGGATAATTATATAATATTGCATTGCATTTTAATAAAAATAATGCACGAAAAGTAATGCGGCAAATACTCTGTATGTGTTTGTTTTGTGTTTTGATTTAATATATATATTTTTTTTACCGCAAGTAAATAATATAAAAATAATGAATTCATATAATATATTAAGTTTTTTTAAAAAAACAATATATGGGAAATTTTTTATTAAAAGAACAAATTCTCTATATTTATTATGTATTAATAGACAAAACATTCTCTTAGTCCAAATTTGATGTTTTTACTCAAAATATTTTGTATTTAAATAGTAAAAAACTAGAGCTTAATGGCTTAATAAAATTATGATAATAGAATAATTAAAATAATAAAAGTTATATATTATTTTCTTTGTAAAGTTTATATATTACGTATCTTCTATATAAATATATAATTTAGTTTTTTTTATTATTAAAAAATGTGAGTTTATTATATGTTATTAGTATGTAGTAATAATTACTTCTATCCGTTGTAATTTAAAGCTCAATTTTGACTATTTTCGTTCAAAAGTATAGTTTTTCATTTTTAATAAAAATAATCATATAGTAATAGAAAAATATCTGTATTTTTTTATATCTAAATTATAAATATATTATTATACATACAATTATTTTATACAAAAATTTAAAAACAAAAATATCAAAATATGTAGAACACTTTCATTAATTAATAAATATAATATTATTTTTTAATTTATTACAAAATTTCAAATGCCCTGTTCAAAAGAGAGGGATAAAGTATTTTTTATAGATTTAGTTGAACTCATCGAATGAGCTTGGATCAAATCCAAATGTTTTTTTTTTTTTAACTGGTTCAGTCTTGGGGCTGCAGAGCAGATCCAATAGGAGTATTTTTTTAATTTAATGGGCGGGCACTTCATTAAAAGAAAATAATAAACTGATCACAATCATAATAATAATAATAATAATAATAAGAATAATGAAGAGGGAGGTGGGGTGATGATATACAGAGAGAGCAATTAATTAGGAGGGGTGACGTGGCAGGAGAGCGGCCAATAGGTGGGCGAGTAGAAGTTGCGCCCCATAAAGCAGCCACGTGAAGTGGCCAATGGGATCGGATTCTTATACTCCTATTACGTGGACGCCTCTTCGCCACACACATTCAGATACAAATACAGATACAGATACAGATACAGATGTGGAGTATATTACTAGGATCGATCGATCTATAGACTATAATTCATAATACCACCACTCCTGACTCCACCCATCCACGTGGTATTTTATATTATCTTTGTTCCTTCACTTTTATTCTAGGATTTTAAAAAACAAAAAAACTCGCCTTCATTAATGAAATCTGCAATTGCAATAGCAGTGTTTTAATATTATCATATAATAGTATTATTAATACATTGGGAGACGATTGAGTAATTACTAGTGTCATCCACAACATACTCTTTTCATGATACAATAGAATTTCAACGACATTTCTCTAATTTGAAACTGTCAAATAAAATTTATGTGTGTATGTTTACACCCCCTGAGTCTGACATTGTTTATCACGTATAGTTCAATTAGAGAAATCCCGTTGAAATACATATTTTAATTTTTTTTTTATAATATATTGTACTCCCTCAATTTCGGATAAATTGTTCAACTTTAAAGCATTCATTGTTTTTTTTTTTTTTAATGAAAATAATCATACATTAATACCAAAATACTTTTTACAAATATAACATTACACATACACTTATTTTTTTACATAAAGTAGAGATGTAAAAATATCAAAATCTCTTATGCAGTTTCACTGATAAATAAAATACTATTATTTTTTAATTTACTGCAAAACCCAAGAGAGAGTATTTATTTATTTATAATTAATTTAAAACTAATTTTATAAGCAATAAAGAGTTTTAAATATAAAAAAAATATTTGTTTATTAAATAAAAATATAAAAATAAAAATTTTTTGAGTGCGTAATAGATTATAAATTTAATTAAATTAATTTTTATATTTAAGATAAATAAAAATTGAAAATAAAAAAAGAATTATTGTTTTACAATGTTTGTACAAATAATATTTTAGTGTTGATAGATCTCGAGTAGTAAATATAAAATTTTATCATTATCACTATTTATGAAAGATAATTAAAGATTTCAAGTCTCCAATGCTTTCAGGTTATCCGTCATACATGGTTGCACTTTTCAACAGTGATTGCGGATTTTCACATCGGATAAAAAAAAAAATGATTAAAAATGAGGTGGAAACAGAAGTGCCTAAAATGTTGTGTCAATCCACCGAAATTGGTTACTAAACTCCAACCTTAACCATCTCCCTCCTTTGTTTCGGTCTTGTTATCACTTAATTTTGTACAATGTTTTAAAAGATTTAATACTATTATTCAATAGTATTAAATTTTAGAAACATATAAAATCAAATGCACAAAATGATACTCCTACTATTTAGCTCCGTTATAATACTATTCTATTTTATAAAACATCAAATTAAAGTTTAATATCAAATTTAAACTAATAAACATGATTTTTTCAAAGTGTTAATAATTTTATTTATCAATAAGATTTTATTTTTTTAAATTATTATATAAAATACTTAACATAAATATAATAATAAATATCTTTATTTTATTATTTTAGCGGAGTCTCATTTATTATTCAATATTTAATTAATTTTCAAAAATTTTAAAATTTTATATTTTAGAATAACTTAAAAAATAAATAAATGTTATTCTTTCTATTAGTTAAATTTATTTTTATTTTTTCTTTTTAAATTTACTATAAAATCAACAAATCGATATACTCATACTCTTTTATTTTTATTAATTTTTAATAGAAAAATATATATGTTTTTTCTTGACTAAGCTAATTTTACGGATGAAAAAGACTGAGCAGCCAGCCAAAGGAAGAAAAATAAATACTACTATAAAAAAGAATAATAAAAGCGAGAGAAAAGGCAAGGCAGAGTCGAGAGCAGAGGTTGGGGGCCAACCAGATTGAAGATTGAAGATTGGAGAAGATTGAACTGGACCACCACCACCAGCGTCAGCAGCAGCAGCAGCACCACCCAAAACCAAAGCTTTCGCTTCAATCTAAACAAATACTACTAGGGAGTATTTGATAAGTGGCTGCAATGCTTCTTCCGACATCCCGATTGACGACGACGACGATACACGGCCAACACTAAAACCGATCACCCTGCCTGCCCCCCCTTCCTCGTTCTGGGTCGACATATTCTTGCGCAGATATTTTTTCTTGCCATTTCAGGCTCATCCCATAAATCCAACCCTCCCCCATTCCGGAATTCACGCGCCCACTCCCAACTTTTGTCTCTTTCTTCTCCTTCCTTCTTTAGGGCTTTCTGATTTCTGTGGCTCACGATTGTCCCATGTAGATTCCCCTCCCCTTTCAACCTCTTTGCATTCCTGGTTGCGATTTGCTTAGATTGCGAGACTCCTTTGCCCGACCGGACTGGAGGTTCGTATACTTTCTTTGCTTTGGATGATCGTCGCCTTAAGTTGTGATTGATTTGTGTTCGATGGACGGCTCAGGAGATTAGTTTGTTGTTATTGTTATGTTTTGCTCTATAGAAGGGAACAACTTCAAGAGTCTCTAGTGTTTCAGGGTTCGTCTTGGTTTCCTCTCAAAGTTTGCTTTTTTATTTACTAAAGTATTCGTGAAATGCCCATGGAGTTTGTCGAGAAACTGGAAACCGTCTGAAAATACGTGATCTCTTTCCTTTTGATTGATTGATAATTGGTAAAAAGCGTATGACTTTAGAATTTAGATGTTTGTTTTCCTATTGATTTTTTTGTTTAGATTTTAGTCCATTTATCAGTTCTTTTAGTGGTTATGCTGAATGATCCAAGTTCCTCCACACTGAAATTTTCATGTGCATATATGTAAGCATTCATCAAGTTCTGCCACTCACCGATGGTTGTCATGCTTTTACTTTGTTAGATGAATTAAAATTAAACAGTATGAAATATTTGATTTCTCAAGCTTTTATGAATAGAGTTTCATCTGCACACGAGGGATGACTTAACAAGATTTATGTACCTGCAATCATAACATAAAATATAAAAGGGTACATGCCCTTAGTAGCCAGGTATCTAAATTCTCCTTACTTGTCAGTGGCTTTTATTTTCTGCAAATTATTTGCTTATTCCGCTATTTGTTGCTTCATTTGTTATTTTGGGTTTTTAATTGACATCACAAAATTATGTAATCTGGCCTCAAGCTTGAAGTGTTTCTCGGTATGTAAGATAGATTGATTTGAGCAAGATTCTGAAGAATTTGTTTCTCTTCATCTTCAGGCCAGCAATGCCGACTATCTTGTTATGGATTGTGGATTTTCTTGTGGTCGAAAAAATTGTAAGTGGCAGATCTTCTAAAGGACTGAGCTCTAATGCGATTATTACAGTTGGAATAATTTTGTTTCTAAAGTTGTTACAGTACAGTAGGAAATTTTGGACGTTGTTTCTAGTGATACTGAGATAAACACTTCTTTTTCTTTTAAGAATTGTTGACAGCAATAGTATTCAATGTTGGGGATTGGTGCTATTGCCGCCAATATTAAATCTTAAAGTTTTATCTGTCTTCATTGATGAGTATATCTAATAATTAATCTGCCTTCATTTATGAGATCTATCTCATGTTTTTAACCTACTGCAGTTAAAATAAAAGTTATTTTTTATATTTTTTAGTTTTTGGAATTAAAATAAGTGTCTTAACCTCTGAAAGTACTGCAAAAAATGGCATGAGATAATATAAAAGTAAAGCATCTAAATACTACACCAGATTGTCTCCTCTTTGCTCTCAGTTTTCCAGTTAGGATGTCATCTGTTAGTCAAATCACTTAATCTTAAAACATATCTAACTCTCCCTTTTATTTGTTTATTTTTCTTTGCATTTTTTCCTACACAAAAATATCTCTAGACAAGATTGCCAATTTGTTGCAGTAATGGTGGTTCTAAACCCCGTAGATAATATAATCACCAAGGGAACTTCTTATTCTTTTGGTCTTTCGCATATTATATTATTGCTTTATTGGTTTTGAACCCTTGATTACAATTTTGAGTGGGAAGATGCGAATAAATTTTTTAAGTTTGTAAATGGGCATGATTTTAAAGATAGGGTGTTTGTTGGAAGAATTTAGTCACTCTTGGAATGAGTGAATGTGTGATTTGAAACTAAAAATCTATTTGCATTTCGTATGATACTAGTTGTACAAGGTGAATTGCTGCTTTATGTGTGCAGCTTTGATGAGCTATTACAATAGCACACTATTCATGTATTCTAGTAGGTCATGCGGTTTTAAATTATATGGTGTGTTGAATTGTGAAAAAGTATTTAAACATGTCTGAAACAACGTAAGTATTGTTTTTATTATGAGAGAGTATTGTTTACTCATCCTTCCTATTTTGGCTCATTGTAATTTTAATGCATAAACTGTTTAGACTTTATATCGGATATATATATATATATATGAATTGTAAACTTTATCCCATACTATATAGGGTGACAAAATCAAACTTTACTCTTTTAGTTCTTGCAACCATGATTGCCGTCTTCAGAAATCTGAAGCAATGGATCTTGGGCTAATGCCATTGTTGTATTTCAAAGCCAAGTTGTGAAACCTGGGTTACTCTCTTGGCTGCTATGGCATTTTAGTATTCTTGCTATTTATATGAATGCGAAAGTCAGAGCTACTGAATATGCGGATCTTGTATTCTGACAATGCGTTATTATTCTTTTCACAGTTAATAAAAACTCTTCTTAATTAGATGAGAATAATTAGGATATCATGGATGAAGCAATTGGAGAAGTAGCTGAAATGGTTGATGACACACACATACTACATAGAGAGAATGAGTTCTCAGTTAAACCCGGCAGCTCTAACATACTACCTTCAAATGAAATGGTCATGCCTGGCATGGATGTATATCCTGAAATATCAAAGAATCCATATTCTGACATGCTAGATTCAAAAGACATAGATAGACTTGGTTCTTCTGAACATGCGAGTGCCAGTCCTCGTTGCGTGGATGGTAATGGTATCATGGTTGAAGAATTGACTCTGAGAAATTATGATGGTGATAAGATGGCTATAGTGGGTACTTCGGGCAATAGAGAGCGGATGCAAACTAGGCAAAACCAGTGGCAGAATTTGTATCAGATTGCTGGTGGATCAGGAAACACCACTCTTCGTGGACAAACTGGGTACAAAGGAAAAGGTCAGGCGACTGGAAATGCCTGGGAAGATGGGGACAAAAATTTGTTTTCTGCTATAATCGAACAGAATCAGCCGGTACAAAATTACAGTCATGGTGCTATCATGGGCAATTTACTCAACAATGATGATAAAGGCACTCCAGGTGATTGTTTGTATACTTCTACGGGTATCCGGACAAAAATTCTGTCGAAGTCGGGGTTTTCGGAGTACTTTATTAAAAGTACATTGAGAGGCAAAGGAGTAATACATAAAAGCCAAACTCTCAGAGGATCTGGTGAGTCGTCTTTGGAATTGGATCGCCATAAATTTGGCATTGCTGGCTCTACAAATGCTGTTGCATCATATGGTTTGACTGCAAAGCCTGTTTCACCCCTTTCCGATGGTTTTCATGAGCCATCAATTACTTTTGCTTCTAAGAGTGTTGCCGACGGCATAACATTAAGAGAATGGATAGAAGCTGGAGGAAAAATGGCAAACAAAGTGGAGAAAATGCGGATATTCAGAAAGATCTTGGATCTTGTAGATTTTTCTCATTCTCGAGGTGTTGTTCTTCAAGGAATGAAGCCTTCCTGCTTCAAGCTCTCAGTTTCTTATCAGGTTATGTATTTGGGATCTACTATTCGTATTGGGATCCCTGAAAGTGCCACAAATCGAGATACCCAACAATTAAATCATAATCGGAATGGGAAAAGGCCAATGCATCAAACTATACTTCCCCTGGACAACCACTCTTCAAAGAAACAGAAATCCGGGGGAAATATGAACTTTCAAAGATGGCCTCAATTTCCATCAAGGTCTGGCGTTCGTACTACATTTGCAAATGTATCCAAAGCAGATTCTTTTGGTCATTTGAGTCCCAATGATGTAGAAGACGAAGGGAACAATTCTAAACTGGAATTGAAGAACCAGATCAAATCATTTGGCCATAATGTGCCTGATTCATCACAACCAGCAAGGCAGTCTATGGATTTTATGCTGGAAGGAAAATGGTATTCCAGTCCGGAGCTGTCAAATGTGAAGAGCTGCACCTTTGCATCAAACATCTATTGCTTAGGGGTTCTTCTATTTGAGGTCTGTGAAATACTTATAATCAAATAAATTGATTTTTGTATGTTAATCTGTTAATGCTCCTGTTGACTGAAAGAAAATGTTAAATGCTGTAGTTAAAGCATATCACTATATTCTTTATTGGAAATTGTTATTCAATCAAAGGATATTGGTCAATGTGTTGTTTCAAGTGTCTTTAGGTTTAATTTAAGCGCAAATAATTATCAACTTCATGCCTTATAACTTGGAATGAGATTAACCTGTTTTTCCCCTGGTTATATAATGATACCGTTTCAATGTCTAATGATATTAAAACTTTGTCAGCCTGTTTGTTCAGGTTTCTGAGGTTGTGAGAATGTGGTTTATCGTGCAATTACAAATGCTACATACAAAACATAAACACACATAATTTGTGTAGATTTAGTTCAATAATTTTAGGTGGGTTTATTCATATATGATTTTGTAATGGTTCAAATTTGTAATAGGTAGTTATTGGTTTTATGGTTTGTACACACAAACAAACACATGTATGAATGTCAGCATATAAAACACTTGTTTATATGTTTGTTTTACTTTTATAAATAGTGATAACATTTTCCTGTTTGTGTTGGTAAGAGGTAGAGGTAGAGGGAGAGGGAGAGACTATAATTGTGTTACATCCATCGAAACACTTGTTTATATGTTTGTTTTACTTTTATAAATAGTGATAACATTTTCCTGTTTGTGTTGGTAAGAGGTAGAGGTAGAGGGAGAGGGAGAGACTATAATTGTGGTACATCCATCAAAACTTGTCATAAGTATACCAAAATTTGAATTATCTAGTAGTTCTATATTTATGCTTTTATGTGTGCAAGTGATGGCTATAAAACACTCAATTAAATGTGTTGCTTTCTTCTTAATTTCTTCCTCCCTAAGCCATATAATTGACACTTTATTCTTTTGATACTTGTGTTGTTGGCGGTGCTATCAGTTACTTGGCTCATTTGATTCTGGAAAATCTCATGTTGCTGCAATGCACGATTTACGTCATAGGATTCTCCCACCTAGTTTCCTGTCAGAGAATCCCAAGGAAGCTGGGTTTTGTCTTTGGTTACTTCATCCCGAGCCTTCACTGCGCCCGACAACAAGGTATCATCACAATTTCTAGTCTCCACACTGCAAGTTTTCTTCTCCCAACTTGTTATATTCCTTCCCTTATCCCAATCTATTGGCAGAGGATTGAATATTGCCATCTTAATCTGAAGATGTTGGTAATTTATATTTTATAGTTGGCTGTGAAGTTTTGCAACACGACCTAGCAACTTAATGTGGCCTAATTAGAATAATGTATCAACTTGGGAGCAGTTTTTGGATTGAACTGTGCAATCTCAGTTGTGGATCTTTAAATCACCTTCTGTGTTATTAGCTACTCTGCTATTAAAATTTGTTCATAGCGAGAAAACAAAAGAATGAATACTAGTTCAATGAGGGCATTGTTATGAGGAGGCAAGCATATAGAGAAATCCATATGTAGAAATAATTAAATTAGATTAAGACAGTTTGATTGTTTTTCATATTGGGTATGGGATCATATTTTACTAATTTTGAAATCCATCTAGTAACGGCACTTGAATTGATTGCCAGGGAGATCCTACAGTCTGAATTTGTTACTGCAATTGAAGAATCACCTGAAGGTGAGCTGCTGTCCTTGATTGATGAAGAAGATGGGGAATCGGATTTGCTATTGTATTTTCTTTCATCACTAAATGATCAGAAACAAAAGGATGCATCCAAACTGGCCGAGCAAATCCAGCATATAGAGGCTGACATTCAAGAGGTTGAGAAGCGCCGATTGAAAAACTTGCTTGTTCCATCTTCCTCCTACCGAGAGTCTCTGCCTGCACGTGGGATCAGCTTTTCATCTGGTAGCAACACAGGTGATATGGAGAAAAGGTTGATGGGTAATATGAGGCAGCTTGAAAATGCATATTTTTCCATGAGATCCAACATTCAGACACCGAGCGGTGATCTTGTCACTCGGAGAGATGGAGAACTGTTGAAAGGCCGTGATAACTCAGGTACCATGGAAAAGGAATCTGCACATAATAGCACAGATGATTTAGGTGGCTTCTTTGATGGTTTGTGCAAATATGCCCGGTACAGCAGGTTTAGAGTACGGGGGGTATTGCGCAATGGAGAATTCAATAATTCTGCAAATGTGATATGCTCCTTGAGTTTTGATCGGGATGAAGACTATTTAGCGTCAGGAGGGGTGTCAAAGAAGATCCGAATATATGAATTCCAATCTCTCTTCAATGACTCCGTCGACATTCATTATCCTGTGGTTGAGATGTCAAACAAATCAAAGCTGAGTTGCATATGCTGGAATAGCTATATTAGAAACTACCTTTCTTCGACTGATTATGATGGCGCAGTCAAGGTCTGTATTAATATGTGTTGCTCATTAGTGTGCATAAGCAAGTCAATTAATTTGCACTGGCTTAATTTAGTAGATAGGCTTTTTGGAATAAAGCATTTTTTATTTTTTATTTTTTTATTTTTATTTTTTTTCTGATATTAATGTACGTTACTGACTTTTTATAGTTGAGTTTCTGATGCAACTAACTTACTGTTGATGGGTTTAGCTATGGGATGCATCGACTGGTCAAGAGTTCTCTCATTTCAGTGAGCATTCTGAAAGGGCTTGGTCTGTGGATTTTTCCAGTGTTGATCCCACAAAGCTGGTCAGTGGGGGTGACGACCGTTTGGTTAAACTGTGGAGCATCAACCAAGTATGCATGCTTCATCTCTATGGATCATGATACTTAAAAATCTTCATAATCAGTGATGTTTTTTCAGTTACTGGCTACTAGTGTTGGACATAAATGGATGGTCTTATGTTTTGTTGTGATTCACAAGTAAATTTTCTCCTTCATCTCCATCTTTGTCTTTGTCTTCTGGTGCAGAAAAACAGCTTATGCACAATCAAGAGCAATGCAAATGTTTGCTGCGTCCAGTTCTCTCCTCACTCGGCTCATTTGCTAGCATTTAGCTCTGCTGATTACAGAACATACTGCTATGACGTACGCAAAGTTTCGGTACCTTGGTGCGTGTTGGGGGGTCACAAGAAAGCAGTAAGCTTTGCCAAGTTCTTGGATTCAGGGAGCATTGTTTCTGCATCTACGGACAACACGCTGAAGGTATGGGACCTGAAGCGAACGAGCTCCAACAGTGTGTCGAGAGATGCTTGCGTGTTGACTCTTAGAGGGCACACTAATGAGAAGAACTTTGTGGGGCTATCAGTTGCTGCTGATGGATATATAACCTGTGGGTCGGAGACGAACGAGGTAGGTTGGTTGGTTCTTCTAGTACTTTTTGTTTTCAGACAAATTAGTAGAGTAATTGAAGGGGGTGGGTGCAGGTGTATGCATACTACAGGTCGCTGCCAATGCCAATCAGCGCGCACAAGTTTGGGTCAGTGGATCCCATAACTGGGAAGGAGAGGGAGAGGGAGAGTGATGTGCAGCAGGGTGGTGGCGAGGACGAGAGCGGGGGCGGGCAGTTCATCTCCAGTGTGTGCTGGAGGCACAAGTCAAACATGGTGGTGGCCGCCAATTCATCTGGCTGCATCAAGCTTCTCCAGATGGTTTGATCATCTATCTCATTTGATTTGATTATACTACTATTACTATTAGATTAGATTAGATTAGATTAGATTATATTTACTACCATTGTTATTGTTAATAGCAAGCAGCAGCAGCAGCAGTTGAGTATTAATTAATGATCTCATTCACATCATCATTCCTGATAGATATAGATAGATAGATAGGTAGATAGATATCCATCCTTGAGGATGTGGTGTGAGTGTGGGTGTTGGTGTGGGGTTTCCATTACATTTTCGTTTGCCAATTTTTTTTTTTATTATTATTTCTTTTATACTTTCTTTTAGAAAAAGATTTATATATATCTATATGGATATATATGCCAAGAAAAACATATATGATGATGCACTGCACTGGGCTGCACTTGATGGAGAGAGAAAAAAAATGTGTGTTGTGCCGTGTTCTCTTCTCTTCTCTTCTCAAAAAAATGACAGAAGCGGAAGGGAGGGGACACAGCACAACACAACTCGAACTATATATGAATTTCTCAAGAAGGAAAGGAAGGAAGGAAGGAAGATCGATTTCTCAAGAAGGAAAGGAAGGAAGGAAGGAAGGAAGGAAGGAAGATCGATTGATATCCTTCTCTTATATGCATATGTATGATATATGTACGTGTGAGTTGGTTCCGGTTGCGGTTGTTGCGAGTGATGGTGTTCCCGTCCGGAGGTGTCTGTTTGTTTTCACACCTCATTTAATGTTGAAATTGTTAGTATAAACATATACTCTCTTCCTCCAATAGTGCTGTTTATCATGTCTGTTCGTCTCAAAATAATTGTCTTATTTTTATAAATAATCATCTCACTGTAAAATTATTTTTATTTTTTCATTATTATTACACATCATTACTTTTTATATTAATATACTCACAAGGGCAAAAAAGTCTTTTTATCTGTATTCTTTTACCACTATCAATATAATATAATACTTTTTAAATTCGATGCCAAACACAATCCATACTATAATTCTGGAAAGGAGGAAATTTAAATATTGGTAATGTTGTAGCTTTGATTACATTGAAAGATAAGTTTAAGTTGTATTGGAAAGATGGTTGGGATGATTTGTTGAAAAATATGAAAAAAATTATTTGAAAAAGATATTTTTGTTTCGAAAGATACTATGCGTTGTCGAACGAAATTTAATTGAAGAAAAATCAATGGTCAACTAAAGATTTATTTTCATTTCTTTATGGGTACTTTACACATTTATAGCTACACATATGTGATCTTCATTTATTTTATTAATAATTAATTAGTTAGTTTGTTTGTTTGTTTTTTTTTTTATTTTATCATTGAAGATTGTTGATCTCATTGCAGAAGAGATCGATAATTGTTCAAAATTTTTTGCTATCATTGCATGTCTTGATCTCCGAGATTCATTTACTAGATTTGATGTTGGTAAGTTACTCGGTTTTGCTAAATTATATTAAGATGATTTTGATGATTTGTTGACCTAGGAATCCAAGCAGTACATTGTTAATATTAAAAAAATTGAGTGTGTTTTTTTTTTTTTTTTCTTTAGAATATCGGTGATTTTGTAAATAGCACGATTGAAATAAAATGATACATTGTTTTGAAGTTAGTATATCGATTTGCTGAATTGACATTGATTTTGCTTACTGCAATAGCCATTGTTGAGAGATCTTTCTCCGCAACAAAGATTATAAAAAATAATTTGCATAACAATATAGGATAAGAATTTCTAGCGAGTAGTTTACAGTGCTAAAAGAATATTTTTACAAAAGTCGAAAATGAAATTATTTTGCATTATTTTAAAAATAGGGCAAAGTCTAGTGATTCAACTGCTGAATGTATAATTTTAATTGAACAATATTTAATGTTACTTGCGTTAGAATTTATGATTTTTAATGTTAATAATATCTTATTCCGCGTAAAAAGAAAAATGTGCTCCTTAGTTAAATTCCTGGGATATATAATTCTGCCGGTGGATATAAATTAGTATATAAATATGTACTGCGTTTTGGGGGATATCATAACGTGTGTATTAATTAAATAAAAACTTGGCAATAAGTAAGTTGTGTGTCTGTAAAGATCACTACTCTTTACTTACTACAAGATCATTTCATATATAATTGTTATTACTTCCATTAATTAATTATTTGTATATATACATATACATATACATATATATATATATATAAACATAATTGATTATATTTATGTACGTTTGCATGTACGTGTCAATAGCCAATCAATTCCAATCAAACACAAGTAGGAAAATTGTAGAATCTTCACCAATATAATTAATGATGGTGATATATAATAATACATTGCACACACGGCAAAATATATATAACACGGTCATGGATTTAAATTCCAAGTTCGTTAACAGTGTATTTTCGGACAGCAATTGCAAGTCTCACGTCAAAATATATAGATTCAAATTTCAGGTTTGTTATCAGTGTGCATTTTCGAGTAGCGTGTATTTTGACGTAGACATTGATTCGAATCTGAAATTTGAACCCATACCTCAAGGTTATACGTCCAACCTCCGCACACCACATATATTCGTTCTATAAAAGGGAGGTGAAGTGAAGCACGAAGCATAGAGCATAGAGATTAGAGAGAGAGAGAGAGAGTCCAAAAAGACATCAAGTCAAATCGGCTATTATTTGCACATATATATATATACTTAAAATGAGCAGCAGCAGCAGCAGCAGCAGCGGAGGATTAGCAGGCAGCCCTAACAGCATCAGCTCTGGTTCTTCTTCTTCTTCTTCAGGAGTTAATAATAATACTGTTACAGCATGTGGAATAAAGGGAGTAGAAGTAGTAAGCAGGGTGGGTGGGGGGTTGCAGGAGGAGTTCAGGATGCCATTGCAGTACCCGCGGTACAAGAAGTGGGAGTACGAGGAGATGCCCGAGTGGCAGCTCGACCTTCTCCTCGCTCAGTACGGACTTCTTCCCTCATGGTTGTTATTATCATTATCGGATGAGGATCACCACCACCACCACCACCATCTTCTTCACCGGAAGCGCCAATTCGCCATAGGTGCTTTCATCTGGCCCCCCACCACCACCACTACAGCTACTACCCACCACCAACACTCCAGCTCCAACATCACCAGCTAGCTACCTATCGAGAATATCCATCTATTTACATGATCTATATCTACTTCTTCTGCTTCTCTTTATCAATAGTTTGTATGTTTGTGTGTCTTGTTTCTCAATAAAGGTTCATGGGTACAATAATAATATTAATCTTGCCTATATCTATATAGCCCTTAATTGATATATACCCATATATTGATTTTATATACCTCCTCTTTATTTATTCATTTATTTCATCCAACAATCATTTACAAGTTAAATTGAATAATACTATATGTTATAAGCTAGCTTGCATCATGCACGTCCAATACTGAGAATATATACATTTTATTATTTTAATTATATATATCTTCGATTTTTCATCCATTTAATTACCGATAGATGCATGTAACCACAAATATATATATATATATATACATGGATTAAATTAAAATACTAATGTAAACAAGTAAGGATCGATGCATAGATAGGATAGGAACAAACATATTATATAGATATTAGATATTATATTTATTGCAGTGAAATGGTAATTGAATAATCATTATACATATATATATATATATATATATATATGTACAATGCCCTCCAACGGTGGCAACTTTTACAGGCCAACAAATAACAATTACACGCACGGTACTTCCCAGTTCCCAGTTCCCCATTCAATGTGGCACTCACTCACTCCCTCACACTTACGAATAATATTCATATTGACCACTCCGTCTACTCGCTAATGTCAATGTCGATGGCAATCAACAACTCTCTCTCTATCTCTCCCACTCTCTCACACACTCTCTCTCTATATATATAAAGAAGAAAGAAGTAAAGAAAGAATTAATTCAACTTTAATATTGCAACTCCAAATGATCATTCGACTTAGGAGGCTGTTCATGACCGATGATTGAATTGAACCTCTTTCTAGACTTTGTCATCAAACGTATACTAAGGAGAGAGTCGGTATGTATGTTGGTATGTACGTTCATATATAGTTGGTGGGATTTGAAGCCCGATTATATCCTAAAATCTAGGGATATGATTTGGATATTATATTTTAGATATGATTTGGATATTATTGTCAAAGGCTTAGGCTATATCCATGTATTCACTTTAACATGCGCCTGCGTATTTTATAGTAAAATTCTTGGCTTGGCAGCACCCCAAGACGTAGATCATCGTGATCGAATTGGGTTACCAAATTCTTGTGTTCTTTTGTCTTTGTTATCTCATCTTGATTTTCTGAAAATTTTCGTAACAAGTGGTATCAGAGCCTGGTTTGTTGGTAAGGTGGATTGGGAGGCATCGAATATTGATTGTTGTTGTGGGAATCCCTTGTGACTTGCAGAAGTACCTTGTGTCGAAAGTCTCATGGCAGTGTTGGGTCGGTCCCGGCTGGTAGGTCAGGCAGCGGGTCCCTTTGTGATAGGCGGTGCAAAGGTAGGCAAAGAAGGATAAGGGTTTCGGCAAACGCAGTGGATGAGATATCCGATGTGCTCTCATATCAAGTGAACCTTGGTTTGTTTGTGGGAGTCAAGATGGGTGATCGTCATGTTGTCAAGGTATTCGATGGTATGAACTTCGGTTTCTCAAATATGCAGATAGAAGATTACATGTATGGTAAAGATCTAGTTGCGATATTGAAGGAGAAATCCGAAGACATGGATGAATCCGAATACAAGAAGATCGACAGGAAGACGATGAGTACGGTTCGACTAACCCTTTGGGAGAATTTCTCGACTGGATTTAGATTTGAGACAAAAGGAAAGGGTGAAGATCAAGAATGGTCAAAGTTGAAGCCGAAGAATAAGGACAAGGAAGATGCAAGTTAGGTGGTATATTGGAACTGCAAGGGGCACTTGAAACGACAGTGCAGGGCACCGAAGAAGGATCAGGGTTCAGCAAACGCAACAGAGGAGATATTCGATGCGCTGATCTGAGCGTCATCAGTCCAATGGAGTCATGGATTTTGGTCTCAGGAGCGTCATTCCACTCATGCAGTGATTCGGGAATCATGGAATCCTATACCACAGGTAATTTTGGTGTTGTCTATCTTGTAGATGATGAGACACCGAAAATTGTAGGTAAAGGAATGATTTGAATCAGAAGACCGAATGGTGGGGAGTGGAGATTGGATGAGGTATGTTAAAGTGGAAGATGAAATCACTTCAAGTGGGAGATTGTTGGGATATGAAGCCTGATTATATCAGACAACGGCTTTTGGGTTATGGAATAAACTGTGTGAGAAGTACCAAAACAACTCTCTCACGAACAAGCTATATCAGAAGCAACGTCTTTACACCCTCCGGATGTTCGAAAGTACTCAGGTAAAGGATCATCTTGATACCTTTAACCGTATCATTCTTGATCTTCAAGGAGTTGAGGTTAAAGTAGATGATGAAGATCAAGCCCTAATTTTATTGTGTTCACTACCTGGTTCATATAAGAATTTTGTAGATACTATGCTATATGGTAGAACTACAATTTCTGTTAATGATGTGAAAGACGCCCTTATGTCCAAAGAATTGAAAAGAAAGATTTCTCTGGAAGAGGGTTCTGGTTCAGGTCTGTTTGCAGGTAGGGGAAGACCACAGGAGAGGGGTAACGGGAATGGGAGGTCGCGTTCAAAATCAAAATCCTCTAGCAAAGTTAAGTGTTATCTTTGCAAGGAGAAAGGGCACGTTAAAAGGGATTGTCCACAGAAGAAGGGAAATACAAAGGTTGATTCTAGTAACAGTGGCAGCAGTGCTGCTGTGGTACAAGACAGTTCTGATGATGGGGACTTTGGTGAAGTTCTGACAGCTTGTAGTGCTAGTACTGCTAATTCCTGGATTATGGATACCGGTGCTTCTAACCATATGACGTTCTCTCGTGATCTACTCACTTCTTTTAAGGAGTGGAATGGAACGGTGAAGTTAGGTGATGATAGAGTTCTAGCCATAAAGGGGAGCGGGATAGTACAGATAAAATTGCATGATGGTACTGTCAGAAAATTTGATTGTTGGTATGTTCCTGAACTCAGAAAGAATTTGATTTCTCTTGGCACCTTAGCCAAGAATGGTGTAAAATATCATGGTGAAGGTGAGTGGGTGAAAGTCCGGAAAGGTGCTCTGGTAATGATGAAGGGAAAACTGCAACATGGAATTTATTTTCTTCAGGGCAGTTCAGTGATGGGAACGGCGGCGGTATCCCAATCCTTGGATAAACATGATGACATGACAAATTTGTGGCACCGTCAATTAGGTCACATGAGTGAGCTAGGGTTGTCTGTGTTGAGCAAGCAGGATTTATTTGGTGGGGATGTGATAGGTAAAATTCAATTCTGTGAGGCTTGTGTAAAAGGGAAGCAACGCAGGGTGAGGTTTAGTACCGGTCATCACACTTCAAAAGAAATTCTGGAGTATGTTCATTCAGATCTATGGGGTCCTTCTCTGGTGAAATCGCAGGGCGGGTGTTCTTACTTTGTCACTTTCATAGATGATTATTCGAGAAAAGTCTGGTTGTACTTTCTGAAGACTAAAGATGAGGTGTTTGGGAAGTTCAAGGAGTGGAAGACCATGGTTGAAAAACGGATGGGTAAACAGGTCAAGACTCTAAGAACTGATAATGGGTTGGAGTTCTGCAACGCTCCATTTGATGATTTCTGCAAGAAAGAAGGTATAGTGAGGCACCGCACTGTACGACACACACCACAACAAAATGGAGTTACAGAGCGAATGAACCAAACCCTCATGGCACGTGATAGGTGTATGCGCATATTTGCTGGCTTATCTAAGCAATTCTGGGCTGAAGCAGTAAATACTGCTAGCTATCTGGTTAATAGATCTCCATCAACTGCAATTGACTTAAAGATTCCTCAAGAGGTATGGTCCGGTAAACCCTCTGATTACTTTAATCTAAGAATATTTGGATGCCCTGCATACGCTCATGTGAATGATGGTAAGCTGGAGCCGAGGGCGGTAAAGTGCATATTTCTAGGGTATGCAACAGGAGTAAAAGGTTATCGACTGTGGTGTACAGAAGGTAAAAATCCAAAAAATTTCTTATTAGTAGAGATGTAACATTTGATGAATCTACAATACTTGATCAGAGTAGAGATTGTGAAAGTATTGCAGGTATAAAAGATTGTGGTGCTAACCAGAGGGTGGAGTTTGAGACTCCTGACAGAGTTGTGTTAGAGGAAGATCAGCAAGATAATACTATTGAACAATCCGATCAACCAGATCAGTCAAAACCTCAAGGGAAATCGGTTGAGGGGAAAGTTGATGACGCTGGTATTGGGGTTGAAGATTCCATAGCAGCAAGAAAGGAAAAGAGAAATATTCAGAAACCAGCTAGGTTTGCAGGATGTGTCAATATATGTGACATGAATTCTGTGGCTTATGCACTGGCGGTTGGTGATGATCTTGGCTTTGATAAGCCAAAGACATATAAAGAAGCTGTGACGAGTAAAGATGCAGAAACCTGGATTATGACAATGAATAAAGAGATGCAGTCTCTTGAAAAGAACAAGACTTGGGATCTTGTTGCACTACCAAAAGGGGTGAAGCCAGTGGGATGCAAGTGGGTTTTTAAAAGAAATGAAGGAATTCCTGGTGTTGAACCTGCTAGGTTCAAGGCAAGGCTGGTGGCAAAAGGGTTTTCACAGAAGGAAGGAAGCGATTACCATGAAGTCTTTTCTCATGTGGTGAAACACAAAACCATTCGGGTTCTGTTTGCAATGGTGGGTGCTTTTGATCTGGAGTTGGAGCAGCTTGATGTAAAAATAACATTTCTTCATGGTAATCTAGAAGAACAGATTTACATGTCTCAACCGGAGAGGTTCTACGGTTCTAAACGGGACCAGGTATGCTTGTTAAAGAAATCTCTGTATGGCTTGAAGCAGTCTTCGAGGCAATGGTACAAGAGATTTGACTCATTCATGGTGTCTAATGGTTATACTCGTAATCAGTTTGATAACTGTGTTTATTTGATGAAAATTTCTACTGATTTCTTTGTGTATCTGCTGTTGTATGTGGATGATATGTTAATTACAGCTAAAAACATGGCTGTAATTAATGACTTGAAGGTTCTACTAAAGGGTGAGTTTGAGATGAAGGATTTGGGTGCGGCAAAGAAAATACTTGGTATGGAGATCTGGCGTGATAGAGAAG